AACTTAAGTCGAATCTGCTTCTATATAAATTATGTCCAGCACATGAAAAATTCAGCGTCTTAAATCATCAGACCTTGAAAACGTTTCCAGTCGCAAATGATAAAATTTTGCGAATAAGAGTTGTTTATAAACTTATGCTCATAGAGTTAAAGCAACATTACATCTGTGAGAGCGAATGAATGTTCCCTTTAAACTATATAGTACTCACATCTTAAAGTCGCGGCGTAGTATCAAATAGAATTGTTGTCTCTGGTACCTCAGACATGGTTGCTTCCTCTCAAGCGGAAATGAAAACGCTTACCTCAGCTCAATTAGATACTAGTGTCCAACCTCGCCGCCAATTAGACGATGTGAGACTCGGTTCCAGTTCTTCGCAGCTGAGCAATATACGGTTTTTCTCTCAAATTACGATAGAAACAAACAGTTTACCATTGAGAAAAATACTCCTCACTAACGTAATAAACATTTCAATTCTATTCAACTGTCGTCATCGAAGAAGTAACTAGCTGTCCATATTTTCAGATGAGAAATTCTGTGGGTTTTAAATGTCATGGATTTTGTGCGTTAACCCGGTGAAAAATTTCTCCAGAAAAATTTCCTAAATATGCTGTAAAATTTTGTCTGCGAATTTCAAACACATCATATTGACTAGTAAATGGCGATTCTCTCGTTGCAAGAATTGTGTCATCGGACGATTGGCTTTAATTGGACACCTGTAATCGGACAGTTGAAGCAGCCAATCGTACTAAGTCCTTTCGGCCAAATCCACCAATCATAGTGTTGATCACAATAACCATAGCAACAACCACTTGTCTTAAAAAAAAAATTAAAAAAAAAGAAAAACCAAGGAATTTCCAAAGTTAAGGAGGTTTTCTTCCTTAGACATTGTCCATACCGGTGACATTTGTCCTAACTGTATTTGTTGTTTTCGGAAATAGTCATGGTTATGATTAATTGGTAACAGGACTTTGTGTCGTCCAATTCTGTGTGTAATCATACTCGTGATTGTCAAATCGGACTCCCGCAGATTTTGTTAACCTCTCGTATGACTTTTGACTGGATCAGACTCCACTCGGTTCCTATTACCATTATCAATTATGCACGTAAGTGGGTGACGCCACCTTTCTCTAAGGATATTTAGCAGCATGCACTCTGACTTCTGGTAGTCAAAGTTACAAAGTATCTTTAGAGTGTTGGTCATTTCCCTAATGTGATAAAAACCCTCCGCCGGCATTCCCTTAAATATTTCTAGAATTTCTTCAGTATACGCTTTTGACCCATGTATTTTGTCTTCTTTATCCAGTAAGGATGCCAAAAGCTAAGGAACACTTACCGGCAATTGCAGATTTACAGGATATATTTTCTTGACAAGTTTCAGTGCATTATTTTAACGTTTCATAATTTAATTGAAAGCGCACGCTGATACGTTATTTTCTGCCCTCCCAATCATCATTTGTAACTGTTCAACTAGGTCACCTGTAAGTCTTAAATTCTTCCTACCATTTTCTAGTAACGTTTATATAATAAGCTCAGTTATGCACGCGTTTTGATTGGTTCTCACTTATAATCTATTGGAGGACAGACGTATAGAGTGTGTCACTGATGTTCTTACCACATTTTGACGTCCTCTGTGATCTATTATTATTGAACAGACGCACGGCAACTTGGAATCTATTTGTTAATTTGTAATTTGCCTCCCGCTGCCCCTCCGATGCGTAGTAAGAAACATTATGTTCAAGAACTCGAAATCTGATACTGTTGTCTATGATGACGCCAGACTTTTCCAGCTTATTTAACATCTGTAATGTATCTTCAGAAAGTTTCTTCGCCTCTTTTTAACTCTTGGAGTCAGTACAATTTCTTTTGTTGATACTTGCATTCAACATTAATTTAAGAATGAGGTTCGGATCGCCACCAAACCGCAGTCTTTGAATTAGTAACCGAAATTCTGAGAACTCAGCATGAGGTCTATGGATAGAAACGTTTATCCCAAATAAGCGGCTTAAAAAAAGAAAGCGATTGAACCAAGGTGTCATTGCTGCTGATAAAATGGATGAAATTTCCTCCTGACGATTTGCCTCCTTCTTTAGATGATCTTTCAACTTCCGAAATTCAACAAAAGGGTGATAAAAATGTTTTTTTTTGCTTTTTCCACATCCACCCAGTCTGCCGCTTCTTCTTAACTGCATGCTTAAGAAGGCGCATGGATGAGACCAACAACTCTGTCGTTATTGATGCAGTCAAGCTATCGCGAACGAGTTTGTGTAGGCTAAATACTCTGCTCTAAATACTCTAAATACTCTGTAGGCTGCTGCTCTAAGAGACGGAACTCTCGGTGCTTGACGAGGTAAGTTTCGAAGGTACAAGGAATGGGAAGCGCAGATATGTAAGCTGCTGCTTGCTCGAGGGCCAGTGGAAGACCTCCCAGTGTAACCTTCAAAGGTTACCAGTGTAGCGGAGAAGACGATCCGAACGCACAATATAAATCGCGGTTTAATCAAATGAAGTACGTAATCAAAATTACAAACGAAAATAAGGAGATCGGTGTGAAATCACAGATGAAGAGGGCGAAGTGGGATTGAAGATAGCGTAGTTATGATTGATGGTAACGTTGTAGCTGAATTTGTGTGGTTCGAACTAAAAGAAAATGCAGCAGAAACTAAACTAAGAAAATATCCCTGAGAAAGTAACACTAGCCTAATTAACAGTGAAGCCATTATAAAGTGAACTGAAAGCGAGAAATATATCGATATACGTATCAAAAAAAAAAGGAAATATCCTAAATGTGAAATAAAGAAAAACTTACTTTGGTCTAGATCCTAATGATTGTAGATAAATCGCCGATAGCGGATCGTTCGTGAGTAGCAGACAAAATTGGTGGCGTCGACAGCAAGTTATAGCGATGGAATATGAAATATAATATCTGGTACATGTGCTTCAATGAAACTGATTGAAATAAAAAAACTTATTAAGTAATAATCATTAATAACCAACGAAGAAATAAAAGACAGGAACAAACATAACAGAAAAGTACACAAGTTACGCCCAGTTCTTTTGCCATATCATTAATCATTTTAAATAAAAGTGATTACAACTATGTTGAATGCCGTTTTAGTAATTGCGCTCTCTAGAACAAGGAAAAAAACATTTAACAGAGATTTTATCCCCCTTCTAGTTTCTCAGACTTTATATCCTCATGTTTATCTTTCTGTGTTATCAATAGCAACATAAAAGTCATGGCAGATAATGAAAATAACAGGTTTTAAGTGGTAATTTGCCTAAATGTAGGCTGCGCGTGATCCAACCATCTCCTGAACTATCTGATGTCTTTTTCAAATCTCGTGCGACGCTGGGAAGTTATTTTAATTTATACCACCCATGATAACACAGTCAACGATCTCGATATCATCTGTCTTTGTGATTTTAAATTAGTTTTAACAAATCTATAGCCGCTCATTGTATAAACAAATTTATAGATGTTTGGCTCACAATTCCAATACTTGCCTTTGTTGATTTATAGGGACACAGATGTTTGAATCAACACAAAAAATTGTGCTTAATTGCAGTTTTGGTCAGGTTAACGTTTGCTATTGTTTCGATGTTTTTTAATTTCTCGCAAACGGCTGGGGCTCATGTAAACAAAATCATCTACCAAATTATTCACCAATTCATGAAAGTAATGAGCGCTAAAGCTAACTGATTTAGCTTGGAGCTAGTCAATGTCACCCAGTAGAATTCAATTAAATTCAAGTACAGCTTAGGGAAATTTGCAAAGCAGATTCAAACCAACTTCTAGAATTTTTTCGTCAATAGTGGGCCTTATTGCTATTATTTTATATTCCGAGCTATGAATTAGCTTTTTCTGGCTTCGACAACATGTTTAAAGATCAATAAAGTTTTCACTTAGAGCGAAGCCAAGAAGGTTAATTTGCATGCACATAATAGAATAGCAAAAATTTGCTCGTGAAAATGTCTCAACTCATTTGCATTTTACAGTTCCTCGTGGTGCAGGCTGTTTTCCTTCTCGGGGAAAAGGAGCAAGAAAACCGTTGTCTTACATTCAAAGTTAGCTGGAAGCATCGACGAGTTCCTTGAGCTTGAGGACCAGACATGAACTATCGTCTAACCATGAAGGTTTTCACAACATAACACCAGGTGTGGGAGATTTGAGGTGAACATGCATGTACATGTTGTTGTTCAGAGCACCTAATGAACTTTAGATAATTTGGAATTCAGAATTATTTATCAACAGGCAATGCCTTAGTCAGATCTCCGTAAGAGATAAAATGAAAACAAAGCAAAACGAAGCAAAAAAATAATTTTTCAAAAACTGTTCAATGGGCAAATTTACTAATAATTTTTTCAGTCCTCCGAAACCGAGGGGAACTTTGGTAAGGACGGATATTCTTCTCGTGGTGAACAACTGAAACCGAATTATAACTTGTAAAATTGCTTAAGACCTGAAATTGTTGTCGAATTATTTATAATAACCTCCATTGCCAGGCATATATATATGCTTCTGCAATGTCGGACAACGAAGGCCGAGCAAGGCGGACTTGATAGGCAACTAACACGTGACACGCGTGAGAGAGGAACTCGCGCGCGTGATTTCGCTCTCCTTTGTACGCTAAAAAACTGCACCTGTCTTGCTGGCTCAGGAGTTAATGATACTATGAGATGAAGTGAGGTAGAAGGAGGAAAGGATTTTAGCTGTTTTCGTGAGCTGTGAATGTTTCAATTAAATTGCTTAGAACTTTAAACCTTCCTAACGCAGTTTACAGAATGACGGGTAACAGAATTTTTTTGTTTCTTGTAGGTGAAGTTCTTTGAGGGAGGTTGATAAAATGGTGCAATGTATTAATAGATGCGCAGAGAATCCATGTTGATCAGTTAGGCCATATTCGGCCGAGTAATTTTCTGGCTTGTGAAGGTAAGTTAAAAGTTTTCAGAGTGATTTTTTACATAAACAGGATACCTTAAAAATTCTGGGTGACTGACAAACCGGAAGGAAATAGTTTTATTTTCTCATCACAAATCTTGAAATGGTATTCCATGGATCATTTATTATGAAAATTGTCCTATTCGAGGTTGTATGCACAATTAAAATGCGAAGACATCCTCTCATAACTGAAATAAACAATAAATATTTGTAACGCAAATCAACATTGCTGGGGCCTCACCATCAGTTTTTAAAATTATGCTATGAAAAAAGGGGGAAGAGAAGGTCTCAGTACCTTTGAGCAGGTAGAGACACTCCCTATGTTTTGAGAAAAAAAAAATGACAACATCACTCTTTCACTGTTTTGCTCAGCTTGGCCCATCGACCCTCAAATGCAGAGTAATTCTGTTAGTTCAAAAAATAAAAAACAAAACAAAATAAAAACAAACAGATGCACCCACAAAAAACAAAAACACGGCGAAAACAAGACCACCATAAATATGACATTTAGGTCACGGGAAAAAGGAAATGATCATCAACTAAAGAGGCTCTTGATTGTTAAACAAATTCTCCTTGTCAGCACCCTAGGAAATGTACAGAGAGCAGTATGGAGAATATACGCTCTGATGTTAGGTTGTAAAGGGTTAACATAAAAAAAACCACGCAAGAGCTTTGTCTGCGCTTTGCCATCACTTAATTACAATTCATGCTATACAAAATTGCCCGAAAAAAGTTGTGAAGTAACAGTTGTTGCTACCCTGTTCGGTTTACTTTAAATAATGTAAACAATTTTTAAAAAATTGATAAAACACCAATATTTCCCACCATATTTTAAGATAGTGAAAATCTTTGTTTTCTTAAATGCTTTACACCTAAGTTAACATTTTTTTAAAGAAACAGTTCATCACACGTAGAATCTTTACAGCGATGTAACAAATTTCCTATTTAACAGCCGGGGGAATTTGGGCTGGGAAACAAAAAAGACAAAACAGATGTAAGTAATTTTCAAAAATATCTCAACATTAAGAAATTGCTAAATAATTCAATAATCCATACATTTGACGAGACGTTTGAGTCAGTCACGACAACTGAAAATTCTCATTGCGTATTTTCTAGACTTCCACAAATTGAATAATTATTTCTTCTAAGGCTGTCCATCATTCAACTTTTTTTATCTCGTCTACTCAACGTGTTGTCGCATAACTAGACCAAAAAAATGAGTTAGAAAGTACACTACTTACATCATCGCCTCTCATTCCATCACGGGTAGAGAACAAATCCAACGTCTTCACTTGACCATCTCCAATATCAGTCCAGCCACCCCTGGTATTCTTTAATCTTTTCAACTCGTCTAGAAGCTTGTCTGGATCGAACCACTCGTCAAAGTAGATTTTGATACTTTCTTTAGTCGTGTACTGCAGCAAAGCCACGTGGGTTCCATCTTATGAGATAGAAAAAGCCTTGATGAAATATTTGACAAAATCTTTGGTCTGACGGTATTCACTGTCGTCGATTAAACTGAGCCATCTATTGCGAATCCTACGTCAAACTTGACATATCTACTGCAACTTGACATGTTACAAAACACAAGTAATCGCGTTGATTGATCGAACAAAAAATTAAGGGACCACTCATTATCTATCGTGGGGGGAGGCGTTTGAAGAACTTTGTTTTTTGGGGGGGAGGGGATCACATGGCTTTCAGGGAGAACGGAGAGGGTATCAGTCGATATCAACATACTATGGAGGGAGGACTGTAGAAAATTGACTGCCAATTAACTGCCACTGAGGGGGGGGGGTGGGGAAATAAGAATATTAAAGAACCTTATGGGGGAATCAGATCAAATTCATCGTGACACCACCAAAGACCGCCAAATCTCCCCCCCCCCATAAATAATGACCAGTTCCTAAGTGTAAAGACGTTAAAGATTTGCCATAAGGTAACAAATGAAAAAAATTATTGTTACAATCTTACTTTGAATTTAGCACCGTGTCCCGGTATCTCTTGATTTGCAGTCACAACGGAAAGTTCCTCTCTCGCACTGCGCACGGACCATCATTTTGGGAAGGCTGATATTTACATCTGCGCCACGTTACACTGACTAACAATCGAGTGGAGTCTTGTTGTTGTAGTTCCGCAAAACTTACTGATCACCCCCATCCTTTCGCGGATGTAAATCAGTTGCTAAGCAAGTCAATCTATATTGTGTGTAGAATTCGGCGCTCTTGAAAACTTCAATTCCATGATAGAGATTCTCATCACTCGTTTGTTTGACAATAAGACGATATATTCTGGAGAAGTTCGTTTGTCCTTTTGGCCATATTGGATGCAGAGTATCGTCCAGACCAAAATAGGCAGATCATCGATTTCTTCACTTGTCCAGACGTCACAAGTTGAATAAGCATCCCCTTATCCTGATACGAGAATTTCCATCTGGCGTGTAAGGAGGTGTCTTGAGATGAATATTATTGCTTCTGTTTTCTAAATGTAAAAATTTACACTCCATAATCCAAATTTCGATGTACAAGAATTTCATCTGTCTCGGCAGTACAGACTCGGAAACAACAAGACTCGACCAGAAAATCATTCTGAAAATTAGTGTCGCTAGTGCTGCGTATGGGAAACTTCAAGAAAGACTGTGGAGAATCGAGTTGTCCCCGCCAGAAGTGAATGTGAGGTATGCCGAGCTGTTGTGCTTAGCACACTCCTTTATGGTGAGGAGACTTGGACCATTTACTAGTCACAAGTGAAGAAGCTTACATGCCTATATGATGCGCCATCTCAATGAGATAATGAACATCATTTCTTGGAAAGACTAACAAACAAAAAGATTTTGAAGAAGACAAGTCTCTCAGCAATGGCTGACATACGGACTCAGATAAACCTGAGATAGCTCGGCCACGTAGAGATAATGGACTTCGCGAGATTATTCACGCAGCTGCTGTGCTCCCAACTCCTTGAGGGTAAGAGAAAGCTGGAAGTAGTACACTTAATCATCTAAATTTCCTCTATAGATCACAACAAACTTGATTCAAACAGAGCAGCTTCCAATAAGGAAGATTAATGCCTTCTTGGTCGATTATATTGCATTGAAGAAAAAGGAATTAGGAATATTAATACAAATATTATGATAAATTTGAGTACAAGAACTGTTTTTGGATGGCGGCGTTCAACGCGATAAAAGATTTTATCCGTTTGTGAAAGGTGGGACAGTGAAGAGGGCAAACTTGCTCTTTCATCATCAGTGGGGCGGAATGATTCATCATCCAGCTCTGATTCTGATTCACGTGATCCAATATCAACTGATCTTCGGCATTCTTGTGGACAGGGCAAAAATTTTTCAATTTCTTTTAAAAGTAGGCGTCCCTTGCCAATTACAACTGCTGATACCAAGAAGTTTTTACCATCTTTTATCAAAATAATTCTGCTGGGGCTGGAACCTTTACGTGCAACAGCAGATTGAGGATCATCGCATTTTTGTAGTGTCCTAGAACTAAAGTTGTTTACATCTTTAAGCATTCTCGCAGCAGCCATCAGAGTAGTAAACTCAAAGAAGCAGATTTTGAAGTGTGGGGTCTCTTCCGAGTTATAGAAAAAAGCTGTTCCCGAGTCCAATTCATCTTTCTTTACAACGGCTTTCTTTAGAGAACGTTTACACACAAAGCTATCAACGATAAAGGGAAGGTCATCCGCCCTCGTACTTTCAAAAACGTGAATTTTGCCATAACGTTTGGTGACTTCCCGGATGTTCTTACCTTGGCTCAAGTGATGATACACTGCCGAAGCAACAAGGGCTTCATCCTTCCTTCTTTGTTTCGCCAAGCTGGTTGCCTTGTTGAAGTAGCCACGTAAACAAGTAGAGTCTGCTGCTATGGCAGCTTCTGAATCGCTCAGCGCTTTTTCCAGAAACGAATCCCGTTTATTCGCATCGTTTTTTACTCTCTTAGCACATTTAAGGTGCGCTGTAGCTCGCAATGCAAGAATCTCTGCTGAATCGGTCGTTTCTTGGGTAAGTGCTTCAGTGTAGTACGCTACAGCCTCATCTAACTCACCACATTTCAGACATTTTTTTGCATCCTCCATCAGCTTTGCCATATTTGCCGTTGGGGGTGATAGTTTAACTCCCTCTATGAAGGTAGTTGCATTCATTTGTAGAGGGACACCTTTTGCTGCAGTGCTGATTCGGACATCTCCATGGCCTACTATTATGGTGTCCCTTTGAAGTTTCAAGGGTTCTGTTAAATGATATCTTCCTTTCATCATTACAATCACTAGATTACTTGTGCCTCTCTTCGTGGCGCGGAGAAGATCCTCGCGTGTTTTCACTACTTCGGTGTCATAGCATCCAAACTTCTCCACAACTTCTTGGATACTGTTGTATTCACTTGAAGCGAGAGTTTTAGCAAGAGCAGCTGCTGCTAATGAGTGACAACGCTTGTCACAATGAGCAAGGCAAACAGCCTTCCGATAATAAGCCTCTGCAATCTCCTCCTTGCTTGGTGATAGTGCTAAAAACTGATCGTAGCACTTTAGTGCTCCCAAGTAGTTTCCTTTCACGAACAACTCTTCTCCACGTTTGCGGTGTTGGAGAGCATCGTTCGTTTTAAGTTCTTTAGGCAACAAAGATTCTAATTTGTGATATTGATCCTTGGAGACAACCGGAAAATCTGCCATAAACTCGCGTACATCAAGAGGCTGGAAGGACATGTCATCTTCTGTTGGTGGATATTTATTCCCATACCTTTCTCTTCTTTTGTCATCGACAAGCTGCTTCATCTTCACGATTCTTTTGCAAAAGTTGACTTGATGATTGCCAGTAAGCCATTCTTCATATGAGCATCCCCTGAAAATGACGTGGAAACATTTCTCCAACCCTTCAATAACTTCAAGTAGGTGTTCTTCACTACCTCCGCTTCGTTTATTGCCGATGCATCTACTTCTTTCTTTTATCACTAAGGTGTATAGCGACGGCCAACGATCACCAAAAATATCCACTAGCCGAGCGTACGACCTACAGGGATCGAACACACTCAGTACTTTCAAGGTACTGACCAGTCCCTTAATGAACCAGTCGGATTCTCTAGGTAGACTGTTGACAAAGCTCATAATCTCCTCAGCGTACGGAAGTGCATCTTTAATTTTGTGTTCCTGGTACAAATAGCCAATAATCAACTGAAGAACGCGCAACAACTCAGGGTGATCTGAAGGGTAAATCTTCTTAACAATCTTGAGGGCAGTCTTATAACGGCTTAAAACAGATTCAAAGTTGTCAGGCGAAGGCACTCGTCTCGCGGCGTTTGCAATTGAGATGTTTAGATCTGCAACATTTGCTTCACTAATCTGCAATCCTTCAAGCTCCATCAGTTCTTCATAACATTTTTGGGACGATCGAAAGGAAGCATGGTTTTGACGTACGGCAAATTTAGTATCGTTTCCAATTGAATGCCCACAGTTTTCTATCTCCACGAGTTTCTGAACAGCCTCCTCAGCCAGTTTCTCTGCTTCTGCAGCGTGGGAGTTTCGTTTGCTTTGACTGGAGAACACCATAACTTTTAAATACAAATCTGGATCAATCCGAAGGCCGCGTTTTCCTGCAATTTTCAGCTGAAAGTCCAACAAGTCAGCTTTGAGTTCGTTGAATAGTACGATATTTTTCATCAAATCGCACGCGAACGCAAATAATGAAAGGCCTTCAAAAATGAAAAGTGGGATTTCTGTCCCTGTAGATGATGTTAGTTCCCTGTCCATGTGATCTTTTAACGGACGTAAATTGGAGAGGAGACCAATGATGACATCCGATTCCTTCTTCAATTCCTCTGACATTTTTCCAAAAGCAAAAAAATTCGATAATTTCTTCAAATTCTCTTCTTTTTCTTGCAAGGCAAATTGAAGAACTCGAACAGCTGTTAGCAGTGTTTCTTCTCTTTCAGGTGTGGAAAGGTTGTCTCTGACTACATCTTGGACAAGATTGTGTACACTTAACACTTTTGACTGACGATCGAATGAGAACAGGGAATATATCGAGAGCACCTTGAGAATGGTAGCTACGTCTATCTCAGATCGAGCACTTTCTCTTAGCTCATCGTCATCCAGTTCAGGACGGCCAGGATTAATGACTTCAACGGGTATACACCCAGGATTCAAATAGGATGCAAGATGCATCACTTTAGCAGCAGCTTTGGTTTTTTTGGCAACAGATTCAAAATTAAGTAGCCAGGTTGTGCGTACCGACAGGCGATGCTCAGCTTCCTCACCACTAAACGTTGTTGTTGGTTCATGTTTCTTCAGCAACTCAAGCTTACGAGCCCGGTACGTGTGTAAATAATCCTGAAAACTGCATGGAATAGGGCTGGAAGACATGAAGGCTGCTGCTTGTTCGAGGGCTAGAGGGAGACATCCCAGTTCTTTTGCTAAATTAATTGCATCCGGGTCTGAAGACTTTGCTTCGGGATTAGTTCTTTGCTCTAGCAACGATGCAGCTTCCCTATCATCAAGGCACTGTAGATTCAGACAATCTGCTGTTGACTGCTTTAAGAACTTTGTTGTTTCTTTTGCATTTTGTCGAGTTGTTAGCAATATATACCCTTTCTCAGATGCATTGCCATTTCTTTTCCAGGCTCCGCGAAATATCTTTTTCACACCTTCGGGACACACTGGATCTGTTAATTCATCGGTGTTATCAACTACTAGGAGCCATGGAAATTCATTATCGGCCAACCTGGAAAGGAACGTGCTCAAGGCATCTTCGGGTTTCGGAAGTTGAATCTTAAGAGAAATTAGCATCTCAACAACTGATTTACGAATGTTGTCATCACTTTCTCCATTGATCCAGAACACCCCACCTCGGAAATAATCCTTATTCATCCAAGCAAACTCGACAGTCAGAGCCGTCTTCCCACATCCTCCAAGACCGCAAACTGCTTTTGTCTGACATTCACTCTTTAACACATTCTCAGGACTATTGATAGGGGCAATTAAATTATTTTCTAGCCATTTCAGATCGGACTTACGACCAGTAAACGTAGGTTGTCTACTCGGTGCGAAAAACCGGGGTCGGCTTGTATCACCTTTCAGTACCTTCACTTGTTCCTTGACTTCACTGACTGCCTTTTGCAAACAAACAACTCGGGATTTTGTTGCATTTTGTTCCTCCTCGAAGCGTTTTAATATTATTCTCAAATCTAATTTGATGAGTTCAAATTCTTCTCTTAAGTCGTCTCTTTCATTTATCAGCAAATTGAAATCTTCAATAGTCTTTGAAATAACTCCGATGTTCTCTTTAAGGTCTGAAATGTCATTTGCTGACTTACTTAGTTGCTCGTTTAGTTCGCACACTTCCTCTCTGTTTATCAGCCCTTGTTTTTTCACCTCATCCATGTCATTCAGAATGATAGACACATCATATTCCAATGATAAACGGAGCAAACGAAGGGCTTCAATTTCAGGTGACAAAGCGTTTACCAGGCCGGTTTGCTCCAAGTCTTGCAAGTCTTTGGAAGATGATTGGGCATCTTTGTCAGAAGAAAATACGGACTCATTCAGTAAGCTTCTTAGAAGACCAAATATGGTTTTTACGTCTGTATCAGAGAGTTCTTGGTCTGGAGCATGCGTCCATCTATTTCGGCATTTGTCTTGTACTTCATCTAATACATTCTGCTTTATTGGGGGAACGATAACAGGAGACCATTTTAATAAGTTCAAGAGACCTGAAATGTCTGTCGTGTTGGCATCAATGACGTCTGTTTTTCGTTTTCCAAGGGTTGGCATGAAGACTTTTGCTATCTCCCACGCCCCAGCAGGAGATCCCCATTGTTGTCTATCACTGTTGTTCCAGAAAATCTTTGGTCGCCGAGACTTGTGGAGGCGCTTAAGCTCCTTCTTCCATGTGGCGCAAGTGGCACATTTGGACGAGTGACCTGCACAGGTGCATGGGGAGAGTGAATGCAGAGGAGGGCTGGAAATAAGTGACTGGTACCAAGCATCCAGTCGCCTTTGGATTAGAGGCGTAATTCCATTTTTTGTTATGTTTAAGGCACATCCGACCGTTACCCAGTTTTTGTGCTCTTTCTTATCTAGTTCTGCTGTCCAGCCGGTAGGCATCTCGTGTTTTCCTTTATCAAGGCTAAATTCTAAAAAATTATATGACTTTGTTAATAAACTAAACTCAGGGATTCTTTACTACGTCTGTTTAGGGAGATGAAGTGGTTCGAGATACTGAAGGGTGAGGGAACTCAAGATATTGGGGATGAGATTCTATGGGCCTTAGGAGGCAAAGATTTCAAACTTAGAGTCATTTTATTTCTGTGCCTTAAAGCAGTCAGTCGGTCACTAAATGTGAATGATTGACTGAGGTTAGTTGGGCAGTCAAGCGGTCGGTAATTGAATCATTCAGTCAGTCGGTAAAAGAGTCAGTCAGTCAGCGATTCAGTTAGAGAATCAATCATTCGTCAGTTTGTCAGCCAGTAGCTCCGAGAGTCAGTGCGTCGGTGAACAAGTAAGTTAGTCGATCAGTAGGTAAATTAAGGAGTCAGTCAGCTAGTAAATCAATCGGTTAATAAATCAGTCAGTCAATCGTCAATCAGTCAATCAGTTAGTCAGTCAGTTGATCATTAAGTTAATAAGTCAGAGAGTTGGTCGGTCAGGAAGAGAATCAGTCTGTCAGTCAGTCAGACAGTCGTTTGATCCATTAATTAGCCAATGAGTGACTCAGTTAGTCAGTCAGCAAGTCCGATAGTCAGTCAGTTAGTCAGTCTGTCAGTTAGTCAATCAGTCAGTTAGTTGGTCAGTCGGTTAGTCAATAAGTTAGTATATCCATAAGTCGGTCAGTCTTTCAATCTGTAAGTCCGTGGGTCAATCAGTCAGCATGTCTATGAGTAAGTCGATCGTTACGCAAGTCAGATCAGTCTGTGAATCAGGTAATTAGTCAATCCATTCTTTAAATCATTCAATCAGTTCATCTCTCAATCTCTCATGAATGGTTTATTCAGTCAGTCATTCAGTAATTATAAGTCAATCACTCAACTAATACGGGTAAGAAACAATCGATCAGTCGACCAATGAGTCAAGTGCAAGGTAGTAGTCATTAATTCAGTCAGCCAGTCATTCGTTAAACCAGCCATGAGGTTATTCTACCCACAAAAAGTTAATTAATTAACCGGTTTTCTCGAAATCAGAGGGTATGTCAAGGTTTTGAAATATATGCAGTCGGAAACTATTGAATATCATAAGAGAGGCGAAGTATTATGATTTTAAAACCAGAATACTTACAAGTCGTCACCAATGCAAGTAAGCCAGGTTCAGTATGATAAGGTAGAAATTTCACCGTTTTCTCTTAATGACCTTGCCTGTTAAAAAAAAGTGATTTTGAGATGTCCTAAAGTCTTGACACCTTAAATTTTATATTTATTGAATTTCTGTTTAAGTCTTCGTCTAATGTCGTTTCACAACGTAGTTTTGTTATATGCATCCCATAGTTAATCAAAGTAGGGTTATAACAGTTTTGACTCCACTTGGTGGAAGCAGCTCTCTCCTTCATGACCATCCTTGGTGCAGAAAACGTTGCTTTTTGCGGGAGTTGCGTTAAGGAAAACTCATCCTATACACAGGAATATCTAGTTGATACCCTTTCATTACCTCTGACGCCAAATTAAATTGCTGACTTCAGTTTCAATCTAGATATCTCCTTCTAGCTCCTAGAGACTTGGGTGATAATAGCTAAGCTGCCAAACTGCGTGCATCATTCATTATCTGACACCCTTCTGACAAATCCTATTGCATTTCGAAGCATCTCCCTGTTGTTATAATTGCTCCTTTGGTATGCCTTTAAATCATTATACTTTTTTCGGCCTAGTGGGGTTTCATTGTCTAGTAAACTTAAAAAAAAATAAAAAATAAAATGGCAAACCTACCTTATCTGCTCAAAAATGCAGCTCTTGAAGATAGCTGATGTGCTTGACGTAACTTTTTCTAAAAACAAGTAAAGCGTTAATATTGTTTTTAGCAGGATCAGATTAATGATATATATGCGTTACAGACAATTAAGCTTACCATATAACCAATTCAAAAATGATACGGAATCACTGAATACGATTTATCACAAATGTTGTATGAACAAGAATTCACCTGTTGTACCTCTGATAGGGCATCTGTTTGTTCTCTCGTGAAAGTTCACGCAATGGCAAATAGTCTTTGGAAAGCAGCAGTGGAAATGCTCACCTATGCATATGCTGTTATCTAGTCTTCTATTACCTGTAGATAGAGTGAACATGGTGTTAGCTTACTGGGCATGATGTCGGGGACTGGCCTCCCCGTGATTAATGATTAACAATAGATATAAAAATGGCTTAAAAGAGGTTGGTCAAGTGAATGGTGTAGTAGCGTTTTCCTGCATATTCGGGAACTTTGATCATCTTGTTCAGAACTTTTGTAAAACCTCAGAATAAAGCGAATAAAATAATAAGACTCAGAATAAAAGTTTAAACAAAGTGACACTGTGCGCATCCTGCCTGTAATGGCCAGAGAGAATCCAGCCGCGTGGAAGAAGTATAATTTAAATAGAAAGTTACATATGTCAGAGATATTTTGTGAGCAGCAGAGGCTATGTGGTCTCATATCTTTACCATGATAATACTGATAAAATTCGCATATTTGCATGACAACTGCATTGCTAATCTTTTTGCCACACATGATTACAGGCCCCAGAGATAATCTAGAACAGGAACAAGAACTGGAACTTGATAAAATAACCTTAATTGTACAAATTAATAAGCAGCATGTTACTCCATTTGACCAGGATTAGTACTTACATAACCATTGGTATTTGTTTTATTCTCATGTTTACAACTTGGAACGTCATTGGTTAGGGAGAATAATTTTTATTCCTTAGGTTGTTCCTTTTGCATTCCTCATCCCCATAACAAGTTTCCCTATAGACTTTCTGCTTTCCTCTACAATCTTAAAAAGGTCTCCTTGCAGAAAAAAAGCTTATGCATGTAGGGAAAGTGAAAATGAAACTGGTAAATCTATGTTTGCCACTCGTCGATGGAGATTTGGCAGACCATTAACGTGCTTGACAAACCATTTCACAAACACAATGGAAGTGAAAATGAAAGTGGTAAATTCCCCTCATAGTATGAAGATTTCAAAGATACTGGTCATTTGTTCACATAAACACATCATTAATTAAGACTGAGATTGATCCTCTTTCGTGTACCCTATCATTTATTAACTGATTTATTTCCATACAGTTTTAATTTCACATTTGCAAGGGAAGTACATGTAGTAATTAAAATGTTAACCAGCAATAATAAATTGCATTCAACACCTTTTCAATGTGACACATTTTATTGCAATTTACAGTTTTGAACGCTGCACTCCTCACCCAAACCACCTTTTGGTATTTCCGAAATGCACTTGATTATTAAGATGACCATAAAAACAAAATGCGTCAGCAGCCAAATGATTATGTTATCACTACTAAACAGGAATGCCGCAGAATACAAATCTCTCAATGTAAAAATCCTTTTTAAGCCTGAATCATTAAAACAAGATAACATTACAGAAACTGTTATAATTAAATTCCACCTTTTATTCTTTTATCACGATAAACCGCTGAAAAGTCATTTTCATGAATGCTTGATGATGATAATTATTTGAGTCTATTTGAATTTAATTATTTAAGTTCTTTCCTCAAAACCTTCTTTATCTTCTGTATTCACACTGAATCATTGACTCGAACACGCAAATGTTTTTGATGTTAAGAGACAAATATACTACGTATTAGACTGCAGATTCCAATGTTTAGCTCCAAATGTAGGTATATAGTATTTTTAATTCCTCCCATACAAACGCTATGAAATCATGGGAGGCACCGTAAAACGAGGGTTGTCTGATCAAGTACTTACTGATAAAACCTTTGCAAGGGTATCCTGTTGTTATGTCACGTACAAACATGCAGCGGCATGTTTGCGTGCACTTAAATGTTTTTTTTATATAAAGGAAAAATGTTCTACGCAGTAGACTGCCGATTCCAATGTATAGCCCCATATGTAGGTTTGCAGTATTTTAAATTCCTCCTTCTGGGCTCAAAAACGCTATGAAATCATGGAAGGCACTTACTTGTTAAATCCTTTGCAAGGGTATCACGTTGTTATTTCATGCACAAACATGTAGCGGCAAAACGGTTTGATTGTGCAGTAACCTAATGGAACAGTCAAATTTCCGCTTGCAGGCGAACTCGATTTCACCGGTTCCTCCTTTCTCAACTTAGCCGGATACTTCTATGATCTACATAAAATGGAAAGTGAGCCAATAAATCTACCTTATTTCCTCAATAATATAGATTTCACAGATGACTGGTATGCTCGACTAAACCCTTTGACAGACACAATGAAAGTGAAAATGAAAATGGTAAATCTACCTTATTTGTTAAACAATGAAGATTTCAAAGATAACCATTGTGATTGACTGAACAAAACAATGAAGCGAAATTGAATGGTTAATTTCCAAATATTGGACACAGATTTTAATGATTACCCAGACTTTACTCGAAAAAACGTCTTTGTAACTTGATTCATTTTCAAGGAAAGTTTGCATTTTATTATATTTTACAGTCTGTAAAACAGCTCTCCTTACAAGAGCTACCTTCTTGCAGTTTAAGTGATTATGAGCGCATTTTTCCGTTTCAAATTTCCGCCAGCAGGCGGACTTGATTTCACTGGTTCCTCCTTTCTCAACTTAGATACCTAGTCTATGATTTAGATGACACGGAAATTAAGCTAATAAATCTACTTTATTTCCTCAATAATTTAGATTTCACAGATGACTGATATGCTCGACTAACCCTTTGACAGACACAATGAAAGTGAAAATGGAAAAGGTAAATTTCCCTCATACCATGAAGATTTCAAAGATAAAGAGATAGATTAATATCCGAGACATTTGACATCATATTCACGCCACACGTTCAAGCAAGCACCCTGAAGAGAATATAGACTAATAATCTCTTGCCTCTAGTATCAACAGAAATCAATTGCACTCAAAACACCCTCGTTCAAGATCTTATAATGCGATACATTTCATTGTAATTTGACGTTTTGAACCGTGCACTGCTCAGACAAGCTCCTTTTGGCATTTTGCTTGACCATCACTACTAAACGGAAATGTCCCAAAAAGCTAATATTTTGATATGAAGACATTTACAAGAATGAATATAACTTAACAGATACTCTTAAAATAAAACTCGTTTTATCTAAACAAAACTTCGACGAAAACAGAAATGATCGTTTGAACAAGCAAGTAATCTGACCGGTTTTCTAGCACAAGGGAACATACTTTATTCATACACCACTAATAAGTCATTTTCACAGATGCTTGGATACTACCAATTAGATAAAACTTTTTGAGCTTTGACTTAATAATAAAAGCTGGTTCTCCACTCGCCTATTTATCTCCTTATTATTTCTCTATTCAAAGAATCGTTTGCTCTTAAATGCATAACACGTTTCTGACTGAATGACATAAACGTACCAGATGTCTCAATGTAAGATTGCCACCGGAAATGAACGATCCCAGTAAACAGGAATAATTTAATTTAATTTCCTGTCTCACGACGACTGGAATAACAGAGGTGGCAAAACAAGCTTGAAACGGCAGAGAACGCCAGAAACCACAATGGAAACATAAGGTGCGAGTAAGATCTACTAGGTTTTACGTGTAAAATGTTTATATTTCGAAATATTTATCGTTGTAAATCGATCATATTTCGTTCCCCATACTATTCCTTTTAACGTGTTCAAAATACCTTAACTTACACCGCGTCACACAACGCGTGACGCTTTCATGAATTAATCGCTTGCTTTTTCTTGAGAAGTAAACTTGGGACGCCTGCAATTCCTCTCATACAAAAGTGTGCTCAGAAACGCCCCTATGAAAGCATTGAAGACATATGAGACGAGTGTTTTTTGAGGAAGTACTCACCTGTTAAATCTCTTGCTAGGATATCATTTTTGTTATGTTATAAAGAAACGCGCATCAGCAAAACGGTCTGATTGTCTAATAAACGAAAGCAAAACTACTTTACCTGAACGTATCTGTTCAATAATGCATCTTTCAAGGGAAGTTGATTTACTTGACTGACACCTTTACAGACACAACGAGAGTGAAAATTTGTGAGGTAAATCTACCTTATCTGTTAAACAATGCAGATTTCAAAGATTAACGATTTGCTTGACTGACCTTTTACGAACATAATAAAGGAGGGAAAAAAAATACGTTCGCAATGCGTACTTGTGTAGGATTTTTTTTTTCAAATTAGGCTTTCAACCGAAATTTCCGCACTTTTTTGCTTAATAGTAAGTACCCTAGCTCTCTTAGGGTTCGGTTACACAGGGCTCTTTTTATCGTGGTAAGTGACCCTTTTACAATGGGAAACTGCATTTAGTGAGTGTTACCAATATTTCCCCGAGGTTAAATTTCCCGTGGTAAATATTTATGGTTACGTCAAAAAGATCACACAAAGCACCCATGGCATTAAATGTGGTGGTGTTTTGATGTCCAAGGTATAAGAGCCAACCACGAAGTAAACATTTTACAGGATAGGGCTTGTCGCACATTACAATTGGGTGTATTTGAACATCTGTGGTTCTCAGCTACCAAATCCTTCGCACAATTAACTGCCAAAATGTGTTCAGGCGTGAACACACTACTTCAGGGACTCATGGAATATTTGCGTTCGACAAAAAGGTAAATGCCGTCTACATTTATTGATCAGCGGAAATATTGGAATCAGTCGCTAGTAGCAGAGTAGAATTTGTTTACGATAAACCTGGATAAACCAGCAGGCAACTGCAGATGTCAGCTAATAGTATTCATGCTTCCAGCCTAGAGCATTGTACGTAAACTATACTTTTACGAATTAGCTTTTAATATGACAAGTAAATGTGAAAATGTTTGGCAGGATGTTCGAAGGGATTAGTTCAGTTCTATAGAAACTGGCACAACGTACGGACAAATCGTAGTTAAAAGAGGAAACCTCAAATTGCTAATCGTAAGTCCACAAGATAATACTGGACTTTCTGATTATGTTATATCTGTCCGTAAAACTTCGGTTGTTGGTAGAAATAAACGGGAGTTGAAAGTAATGAAATCATTCAAATATAAATTTTCTTCCGACAGCTGCAGGTCCTAAGACCTAATTACTCCCTCCGAATCTCCAAAACTAAGAACTACGACAAATCCAGAAATATCTAAAACATAAATTGATAGTTTTTCTCTATGAAAGCTCACAATAAATGTAAGGTGAAGGGTTGTAAAACTTAATAAGTAACATATTTTCAAACTTAACTCGTTTTGTGTGAGAGTAACAAAAGCTCAAATTTATTTAAAAGTGTTTACATGTCCTTCACTCAACTTTTCTTCGTTTATTATTGTAGTGGTTAACAATTACCTACTTAGCCTTGCTGCGAAATGCAATATTGTTGACAACTATTACAAGATAAAGTGAAAACCTGATCATGGTATTGTTGTGACAAAACAAAATGATATCGGCAAAATGGTATTCGCAATTAACGCAAAATTTACGGTAACTGTTAACTTTGTCGAGTAAAACTGTTGGCTGCTGGTGAAGTTTTTTACGATGACGTGGTAGGAGTAACCGCGAGAAAACACTCGTTCCCAGGATCCTCGCTCTTCCTTATGGAACCAAAGACCACGTGACGGGCACTTTGCTCCCGTACAAAAATGAATAAATAAATAAATATCGTAGGCCCTGACAAAGTTTGGGGAAATCCCACACAAAAATGGTAAATTTCCCACATATGACGCGCAATTCAACGAAAACCGATTACTTGTTCGCATTAATTTCCCTCTTGAAAGTGACTCATTTTTTACCCTAGCAGAATTTGAATATCATCATAATTTACAGTCAGTTCTCACGCTTTTTATTTCTTCTAGTCTGTGCTAAAAGAGCAAACACGGTACTTTTTCTTTTTACTGTGACCATCAAAGGAACGTCGGCGTCTAGGAACTCGTTGTCCAGCGTGGAATGTCCAGCATGTTCCCTGTGAAGCACTCCGCTCTCCGAAGTGAGATTTTGGTTGTCAACTGAGTTGATAGTGTAAATTGGCCACAAAGAGTTTTAAAGCTGACGTTTCGAGCGTTAGCCCTTTGTCAGATCGGCTCAGTTGATAAAACAAAATTATCTTGTAATAATCCCCCACTGACGTAGCATCACAGTTGCTCTAGAAACTTACCCCCTTTATTATATTTGAAAACTACTTGGGTTTCAGAAAAAAGTACCTAGGAGGAGGAAGAGGAGGGGCACGTAGCATTCATGCTGCGCATTCTTCATACCTATATTGCTCTATTGCGCTTTACAACACTTTTCTCAGGCCTTTGGCCAGACTGTATTGAGCAGTGCAATCTTTTTTATCTGAAATGTTTAATATGTTCCCAATTCTCGAAACAAGACCAGACCAAGGCACCAGGATCACTTTGCGAGAAGTGCGTGGATTCTTTAACGTCCCCTGCTTACCAGTGCTGGGAAGATGCAGGAGACGGGGCCTGCGATTAATTGTCATTATCCGCAGAGACTTACTAGCGAGCACAACCGCGTAAAGGCATGTATCCTCAGGAAAGCTGTGTATGGTGATACTAAAACGAACCACTTTAGTCTGCATCAAGCAGGATTTGACAAGAACATGCATACCAGTAAGTCCGACTCTTTTTGTCATTGTGTCATTCCTCCCCAATCTTCTTTCACATTTTTACTGAGAAACTAAATGAGCATGGACCGGTGATAGGTCAAAATAGCTTGGTAGTGTTTGCACTCATCAATCGCGTAGAAATCATATTACTGAAAATAAATCTAACAGTGAACAACGCGTATCGCCATCTTAAAACTCTAAGGAATCTTAAGTTTCCTTAGCTCGTCTAGTTCTTGTTCATGAACCTTTTAACCACTACTTAATCACTCACTAAAGAAAATCTTGATTGTCAGACAAATTCTCCTTGTTAGCACGTTAGTAAATGTACAGAGAACAGTGTGGAGAATATGAATGCTGATGTTAGGGTGTAAAGGGTTGAAAACATACTCAGTGATATCTTTCCTTCGATGGTAAAAAAAAAAAAAACCACACAGGAGATTTATTTGCCCTGTTTTATTGTTTCAAACATTCGAGACTTAGTAGTTACACAATTCAGAACAGCTGAAACTAACGCTAAACTAAAATTATGTATGTAAGTTGCATCTATCCCAATTGGTTTCTCTTTGAGTATGTGTTGCTTACAAGTATAAAAAAGTAACTTTTTCCTAAATCAAATAATTAAAATACGTTCATTTCTACAAGCTTTAACGTACTAAGCTTAGAATATAGTTGTAGCATAGCTTTTCTTTTTAAAAAAAAAAACCCAATCTTCTATTTGGGTGATAGCAATGGAGCAATTTTCTATTTTAAGAAGGGAAACATTTGGCCTGCAAAACAAAAAGATAGCAGTATCTTAGTAATGCTGAAAAAAAAAATATAAAGGTATAATTTAGCAATTAAAATGTATTCATCTCTATTAGGTCTTCTCGATGAGCTAAGTTATATTTTGTCTGTAAAGTTTGCATTTCAGTATGATCATGGAATTCTAAGCCGATCACGATGACTGAAAATTCATTTTAGACATTACGTGACAAGGGTCACAACAGTCGTCGCGTTACTGCTGCCACACTATTTTTTTTTTGTGCAAAGATACCGCATTGTATTTTTTTTAACATTTCTTAAGAGTGAGAAAAAAAAGGCATGTGAACTGTAAAACGAGGAACACCTGTTTTTCACCCTCCAAGACTTTGTCAGCATTCTAGAAGTTCTTCCATAGTTCTGTCATTCCCGCTCCCTTCCCTTCCATTCCTATCACCCTGAGGTCGTTGAGAGTGTTTTTAGTAGGGGCGGAGTGCCCGAGAATAATATTTTAATATGTGCATTAAGGGTCTAACGCGATACATATTGTCTTCATTTACAAGGAGGACAGCGCTCTCACCAAAGTGCCATAACTGCTCCAACATTTATCAAACCAGAAGGGACGCAAGAGGGTGGGATCACATTCACCCTGCACCCTAAGCAAAACCCCGTGTCACCTCACCTTATACCGTTGGACGTTATGGAAAATCATCTTCCTTGCACTCCCTGGGACTCAGTTTGTCTATGAGCAGTTTCAGCTCCTCGAATTCCTCTATTTCGAAAACCTCGTTCGGACTGGAAGCGATTGTCTGCAGTTCGCCGCGACTTACTGCATTCCCCACTCCAACGGCAATCGACGTCATCCCCGGGATGTTCTTGATTTGGTTCGAGTATACACTTAAATCCTCCCCAGGGTTTGTATTTTTGCCGTCCGTGAAAAATATAAACAGCTTTTTCACCTGAGAAAAAGGAAATAATTCATCATAGGTTAAAGATTGCGAAGTAAAGTAGCCAGACGTACCACAGGAGCTCATCCCGGCTTCAGCGGAATAAAGTGATTAGGGGTATCGTGTTCCTCCAGTCTCCCCTCCCTGGATGGGTTGTTTGTCTATCGCAAGTTGAGCAAAGTACCAACTAACTTGTTCAGGCGTTCAGGAAGTTAAACGGAGCACGAATGTAAACGGCTCGTCGTTACAGAGGAGCGAAAAAAAAAAATTATGAAGGTTTTGGTCCGTCCCTCGTTTGTACACTCTGCCGCATTTATCTCGCTCCGTTTTACAACTGAAAGCGTGGAACAAGTGTTATAGTAATCTTATCTGAACATGCACCGCCAAAAAAATGGTGCTCGGAATGATAGTCCATAGACAGCCCCCTGGGTCCCAGCCAGGGGTTCGACCCAGCCCTCCGCTTACCCAAGCCAGAGCACTAACCAATGGATTTCTGCGTCTTCCTACTTACTAAAAGTATACACCTATTGTAAATTTTTACAACATTTGTTTGCAAGTTTTGTCTGTTTCGGTCAACTTTCGTACTCTCTGCAGCTTTCCTGATCTCAAGCGAAAATACATAACGTTGCCATAAATTTGCAAGGAAAAAAATAAGATAAAAAGAAATATCGGGAACTGTTCATTCCACTAAAGTTATTTTCAGAAACGGAATTATTACTTCCTTTAAGACTGTCCATCATCATTTAATTTTTTTTCTGTGTAATGGACTGACGAGACCGTAGAATTGTTGATAAATCTAATACTTACATCATCGCCTCTCATTCCATTTCCGGGAGAGAACATCTCCAACGTCTTCGACAGACCCTTTCCGATATTAGTCGAGCCACCATTGGTATTCTCTATTTGTTCCACCTCATCTAGAAGTTCTTTTGGATTGAAATAATCGTCGTCAAAGTACAATTTGATAATTCCTTTAGTCGCGTACTGCAGCAAAGCCACATGGGTTCCATCCTCGGCGATGGAAAAAGCCTTGATGACATCTTTGACAAAATCTTTGGTCTGACGGTATTCGTTGTCGTCGATTGAATTTGAGCCATCTATTGCGAATCCTACGTCAAACTTGACATTTCTACCGCAACCTAACAAGATAGAAAACAACATTAATCCCGTTTACTATATGGCAAGGGAGTCTTGGGTTAAATCCGATTGTTCTGATTGTTTCTTTCTCGGTCGGGATTTCACCGCACAGACCGTTGAAACGGTCATAAGCCGTAAATTTTTGTTCTCAAAAGCCGGCAAATTCAATACTTACAACTAAAGCTTCGAAAAGGAAACCTGCAAGTGTGCTTATTCTTTGCAAAGACACCCCCCAAAGAGTCGATCCTCGGTTTTTATGTTGTGGCCCCCTTGGAGCACTCGGTTCGCACTACCACGACCTCGGTCCAATATTTCCCAGTACGGCCCTCAGCCACGGTTAGTAAGAAATTACGGCTGACCTTACCTTAAATTGACTATACCGAGAGATGTCGAAGATTTCCCGCAAGGGGATAACGGAAAAAAAAAAAAACAACAACAACAACAACAACAACAAAATAGAGGTACCCTGAAGATCTTACTTTTGATTTCGCAATGTGGGCCGGTAAATCCTAATTTGCAGTCACAACGGAAGTCCCTCTCTCTCTGTGCGCATATTCCGTCATTTTGGCAGGGCTTGTCTTTACATCCGCACTTCATTACATTGACGAATAATCGAGCGGGATTTTGGTTTTCCCCTTTCGCAAAATCAACTGATATGTCCAGCGGTCTCTCGCGCAAATTTTCGTCTTCGGATTCGAAGTCCCGGATGCAGCCTTTAAAACCAGCTCTCACCTTAGTCCTTTGGAAACTAAAAGAAAAAGGAAAACATTTGTTGTTGAAGGTTATAAGGAAAAAAATATTTACTTAATAGACCATCTGATTTTATAGTTCACTGCCATTGGGTCTCATCTTTCATGGATCATGCTTTTTAGGTGTCAACGTTTTTACAATCGAGTGTTTGCCAAGAACACAAAATCATACTCAGTTACTCCCCTTTTGAGCGAGCACGTCATTGTTGCATCATCAGGAAGTTGTATCGATGTCCACTAGTACTAATCATGTTCGTATGTATGTATTTGTTTGCGATATTAAGACAAACTGGCCTAGTTCTACTCGAAGCTGGTTTAAATGGGGGCCTGTCTAAACAATGACAAGGCCTGGCCACAACACCGGGAGCTATGTTCCCTACTCTTTGAGAGAAGAGCGTGGGTTCTTTAAAGTCCCCTGCTAACCAGTACAGAGGAGATGCAGAAGACGGGACCTAGGGTCTAACGTCCTTATCCAAGAAGACTAGAATGTTTGGTCATTTCCAGATGTGATAGCAAAGGCAGCACATTCTCCTCTGTAATTTTAAGACCCTGGGTTTTGGTCCTGCCGTGCAGGAGGTCGAGGTGCAAGCCCTCGACCTCCTGCACGGCAGTCCAGCGCTCTACAACGCGAGCTTATCAAGCGTGGTCATAACTTAAATTTAGTAAATCTAGGGAACAATATTCAAACGAAAGACATCCACTAAGGTAGTAAATATTCTTTTCGTGATTGTTGGAAACGAGCTGGTTACGCCAACTCAGGGCAGTAGCCAAGGATGACTGTTTGTTCTTCCAAATCGCTCTAGTGTCACTTACATGATTGTAGTAACAGCTGAAGACCCTCCACCAATATACACACTTTCCTGTAGTAAAGTGGAATATAGGTTTGTCGAGACGCCTGTTGCTCTGAGCGTGAAGATGTTGATGCCGTTAACTATCAAAGTCCCTAAGGCCTCGCTTCTGCCCACGATATCAATATACGCCTCGATATTGTGCCAAACGTTCAGTTGTAGGGCGAAATTCGTCTCGATTATCGCGAAACCTCCCCCTTGGCTTAGTTTGAACCTATATTTCAACAGGAAATAGATAACTTAATAAATTAATCAATCAATCAATCCGTCAGTCAGTCAATAAATGTCGGAATAAATAAGCTATTCCACTGGTGGGTCAGTTGATTGGTCGGTCAGTCAGCTAGTCGGACGGTAAGTCAGCCACCCATTCAGTAAATTGGTCATTTATTCAGTCAGTTGGTGGTCGGTCAGTCAGTCAGACGATTAGTCGGTAACCAATTCGGTTTGTCAGTTACGACGATGAACCACACAGTCTATCAACCAGTCAAGATAGTCAATCAATTAGTCAGAGAGTTGGTCAGTTAGCCAATCTGTCAATACAGTAAATCATTTAGTCGGTTAGTTAAGAGAGCAAATCAAGAAGTAAAACTTGGCAACTTGTTAGTAAGTCAGTCAAACCCTCAGTCAGGAAATCGGTCAGTCAGTTATTCAACCAATCAGACAGTCAGTCAGTCAGACAGGCAGTCAGTCAGTCAGTCAGTCAGACAACAAGTCAATCAGTCAAACTGTTAACCAGTTGAAAGGCAGGCAGACATGCTCCCACGAAGGGCTAACGTTTGAAAAGTCAGCTTTCGAAACTATCGACTGAGACCAATTTACATAATCAACTTAGTTGATAAAACCAAATTATCTGTTTATACTCCCCCTCCCCACCAACGCAGCACCAGAGTTTCATCACAAACTCACCACCTTTATTGACCAGACAGACACTCAGTCGGTCAGTGAGTCAGTCGGTTAAGTCTGGTGAGTCGGGTTATTTATTACCCTTTGGGTCTTGCCCATGTCAAAGATTTACATTCCCAACCCTTCCATTAAAAAAACGAGTAACGCTCTTCAACCATACCTGAATTGTATCACGCCATCAATCATGGCTAACGAAATGAAAGCGTTCGCAGATCCAGAGTACATGATAAGGCCATTATTTTGCTCAGGTCGAATACCGAAGACAGCACCGAAAACGTCTACCCTCGTCGAAAACATAAAATTCCAACGCCATTCCATGAAGGCACTGGTGATAGCTCCGCCTCGGAAGTAGGGCACATTAGCTGAAAAAAACAATGAAAAAAGAACAACTCAAGATCTGCTGTAGAGGATTCTTGAACTGAAAACAAGAGCATGTGGTTGGAACGGTACTTGAAATGTAAACCAATTTTCAAGCAGGCTAATAGACTCCAACTTAGAGGGGAGCTTTCTTTTAGATTTGAGATTTTTATCTTATTTTATCGCATGATAAGTAAACACAGTTTCTGTTTGATTTTGTATTGATAGGTGCCAAAGCCGGTGGCTAAAATAGCATAGGTCAAGCGGAAGATAAGGTGTTTACCCAAGGTAGTTAATCCATGCATAACTATTACCACAATTATTTAAAGCAGAGTAAATTAAACGTAAAAAAAGGATGGATTCCAATAACAAAGTCCACCCAGAACTTATAAAGTGATAGCCTTAATAAATAAACAAGCTATGTTAATAGATGCAAACTAATATAAGAGAGAAAATAAACAAACAGTGGAGAGCTATTGCATACGAACTGATCAAATCGATCACAAAATAGAGAAAAGGGTTTAAACGGAAAAAAAGCTTGAGTTAAGCTGTCACTGAATAAAATTGTATGAGTTCATAAAGCTAGTAAATAATCCCTTCTTTTGTTTGTGGTTGAGAAGAGTAAGTGCATTTCGCAGTGTGAGGCAAATGTTGCTCCAAATGAGGGGGCCTGGGGACTGATTCTCGAAGGTTCCAGTAATTAAAAGGACCCGGAAAACTGTTCTGCTTGCTTCCAAGATGGGATTTTCAAAAGTTTTGAAAATTATGCAATAAAACTGTCAGCTAAAGAAACAAAATGGGCTGGTTAGAAAGCTAGAACCTACTTCTCTAATCTTTAAATTTAAATTTCATAATATGGCTTTGGGCCCGTTAAGTTACCGGGACTTTCGAGAAACGGGCCCCTTGACCCGAAGAGAAAAAGAGTATTTTTTTTTTTTTATCGAAGAGTAAATCTTTCAACCAAATACACAAATAGCCGATACTCACTTCTATACTTTCCACACTTAACGTTTGCTTCCCATTTTTTTGTAAAAACACTCAAAGTCTTCCATATATTTCCAAATAACTAACAATGATTTTCTCTAGCAGGGGATATTTCCTTTAACTATTTCAAACCCGGTGGTTTATGAGTAATTTCTCCTCACATTATCAGTTCACTATCAGGCATAAAGCTGATGAGAATAAAATACCGCTCACAGGATATCCACTGATTAAACGCCAAATTTCCAGGGTTAAAATCAAAGGAAACGTATGGCAGACAGTAAGGAGAAGATACATTCAAATATTGAGAATGAAAAGGTTGATGAGACATACCTCGCAGTTGACAACGATCACCCAAAAATCCTTTCGGGCAGTCACACCTGATTTGGTTGTCCAGAATAGAACAGATGCCGCCATGTTCACACGGACTCATGAAGCACATGTCTTCCGCGCCTCTTATCATGTTGACGGTGTTCAGACCGCTCGAAGGTTGGCCCGTTCCTTGGTCAGATAATACCAAGTTATAATACTCACCATTGATGGTAAGTTTTCTAATCAATCCATAGAAGCCAGCTGTTACTCCTTGTAGTCCAGTGCTAATGCAAAACATAATATTGATTTCAGAATTTTGTAAAAGCGAACGACTTTTCCTTATCTGTATATGAAACAACGCAGAAGTAAGATGTCTCAAGTTTAATCCACTATGGTCCATGCTCCAAGAGGCAGGGGGGGGTGGGGGGTGGGAGAATATGAAAATATGAACTTTGCCCGGCTCGGTTGGGGGGCATGAACCCGGAAGTGACATGTTGAACGCCGAAGAAAATGTCGATGAAAAAATGAATTTGTACTTTTATCTAGAATCTTGCGAATGGCTGGATGTGTTTGCCGTCTCTTACAGCGGCACACCTCAACTTCAGAAAAATGCATGTGAGCAGCGTTGAGTTTCAAATGAAAACTTGAATAATTTGCCGTTTGGATTTCCATTCTCTGGCCAAGCAAATTTTTGTGATTTCAAGTTTTTTTTGTGCAGAGCACGGCCTAGAAGTGCACGAGGCTTCAAAACACACTTGTTACGCTATTTTTCTGTCCCTTAGATCTTTTGTTTGGCCACTTCCTCGTTGCCGTCTCCGTCGGGTTTACTTAACCCTTTAACTCCCAGAAGTGATCAGCATGTAACTTCTCCCTATAATATCCATACATTACCCAGCAAACAGGAAATGAGAATATTCAAACTTATCATGTAGAAGTTGTTATTTTGATCTTACACCAAATTCTCTTAACTAATTTACAAGGATATGTGTAGCAGCTAGAGGGGAGAAGTAACAATCAGATCTTGGGGGTTAAAGTGTTAAGGTCCTTATTAACACTTCAAGAGAACAAATAATTAAGCAATTAAAAAAGAAAACGGACTGTGACGGAAGTGGGCGGAAGGGCGGGAAAACTTGATCTCTCGCTGGTCGCTATGTCACAAGAAAACAACTATCAAGCGAACAAACAAAATCAGTCAACATATTTTCATCGAACAAACAAGAATTACTAGAAGTGTTTTCCTTTTCAGGCGGTAAGCGATAAGATTCTCCACATGCATTCATTTTAATCACTGCCTTAAGTCACCTGGCATTCATGAAAAATTCAACAGGTAAATTGACTATTTTACCGGTTTGAAAATTTCGAATCAATGTCAGTATGTGAGTATCTTTGCACCTACCCCTCCCCCTAACCCAACATTAACCCTAACTTGTTCTCAGTCAACTGTTATCAGGCTAGGGGAGGGGTAGGTGGGCAGTAGCTCAGAAACGGACATCGAGCCAAAATATCTTTGTTAGAATACTATACTGTAATCCTACTAGTTCGTAGGGGGGTGACTTACGAGAACACAGATGAACATAGGAAAGCACAAAGAAAATTCTTGCTTTTGACGCAGCCATTTCCTTACCTCCCTTGTTTGGTTACGATTCCTCCAAGGTACATCTTTAGTCTGATATCAAGTTGGCTGAGGCCTGGAGGAGAGGTACCGTCGACACGTTCCCCATTCAGCACTAAGTAGCCATTAATACCTTTCCTGTACACACGCAGCTGGTTCCATGCATTTAAGTTCACAACTTGCCTGCTTACGATAACAGCCGGTCCTTTGCCCAGGTTATAACTGGAAGGATATGAGAAAATTTTTAGACACGTAATGCGCGTTAAAAATACAAAAAGGAAATTATCATCTGCAAGACGGAAAGCGTTTGCTTCAGTTGAAATTTAAATGAGACAGAAGGTTACACGTCAGCTGTATAAATCAGCACCTTCATCAGGGTCGACCATAAGGACACCTACGGAGATTGGGGAGAGGAGGGGGGGGGAACTAATTGACTTTCGTCCGAAGTTGTTTTCTCGTCGTCTCTGCCTGAGGTACATTTATACGGTCGGGAAGTCCACCGTTTTGTGAATAATACAATTCTACTATTAAATTAAATTGCAATAAAACGGGTGATTTCACAGCGCGTACTTACACAATTCCAGATCTTTTCTCTGCTCTTAGAAAAGTTGACTGCCAATAAAACCTAGGCCCTTGGGAAACGTAAAACTAATAGCGTTCCCTTGATTACATACCTGAAGATCACCCGCCCGCGTTTCAAGATGATGAAGATAAAATCTCTACCCGAGTCTTGGTTATTCAGTATGATACCAGTGCGACTGATTGGTCGGAATTCCATTTCAATGTCTGTTTCTTTTTTGACACCTGACAAAGGTCTGTATTCCAAGTAACCGTCACCTCTGAAGCCAACCGATTGACCTAACAAGAAGTGGCAGCAATATTTAAGCCTTGCGCTCTCGTTTGTGATTATAATGCAAGTATACGCAATCTCAATAGATATTCTAGCAAAAAATTGATGAGAATAAACAAATTAATCAACTGGTGGGAGTTTCAAAAACGTTGCAACTTTGAAATATATTTTAAATATGTATACATCTCTTTTCTTTCATCGTCAGTGTCTCTTTGAAAGGAAAGGAATGTATATACTTAATAAATATTTTAAAATTTGCAACGTTTTTGAAATAGGGATGTATGTATATATATATATGACACCAAGTTGTCCAAATGTTCTCAAAAGGAAGAGAAAAGCACATGTTTTTGGAGTTCCGCCTACAAACTAGTGGGCCGTCTTCCACTACAATTCATGAAAAAAACTAATTATAGGCATTAACATGATTTCTCTTACAATTTGGTGTTAATAAGCACGATTAAATTTTTAAAATAAAACAAGATTGCACGAATCTTGTGCAAGTGCAATCTGTAGTCTTTGAAAATTTTATAAGTGCTTATAACACTAAATTGCATGAGAAATCATGTTATTACTTGTCAATGATGTTTATAAAACAATATCAGAGAAATTTGAAAGCTTGCGCGTCCAATCTGTAATGTGCATTCGTGTTACAGTTTTGCACTATTGTTACATGAGAATGCACTTATTTTAAGCAAATCAAACGCGCGTAGTTTTTCAGGTACATTATTAATGTAGTAAATTCGCCACGATCGTCATACTGAAGCAAATGGCAAAATACGACGACGATTCGTTCCGCCCTCTAGGCATTTTTGGAAGCTTGTTCTCCACCATAACTTTACGTTCATCCCAGCTTGAACAGAAATTGGAATCCCACCGCTTTGGTTCGATCAACGTTCATTGAAATTGTCTAAAGAACGTTATTTTCTCCTGTTCAATAGTAAAATCGTGGATACATGACACGAAATTAAACTTCACAGTTAGCTTTTTTCCTAAATTTTTTTTTTCTTGGAAGACAACAGAGTTCAGTGTTGTTCGGAGAGTGATCTTCCTCAGCCACTGGAACCTACAGTACATCAAATATTGTTTCTTGGACGCCATATAAGAAATATTACCGGAGAAAACAAGTAAGGTTACCTTTGCAGTTCTATCATATTGTCACCCTTGAGAAACATCACACCTCCAAACACAATGGCAGAGGAAAACAAAAGAATAGAACCTTACGAAATGGTAGGAAATGGTTGTAGTCTAATCAAGCAAAGACTAAAAGTCAGAAAACACCAAGAAGACCAATTCAGACCATTAGGAAAGAAATAGAAAACTTACGGGGAGTTAGAGACTTGGAAACGAACTGTTCGGCGACTGCGCGTTTGGTTCGCGATCGTACAGACCTCCTAGCAGGACGCGGACAGTTCCCACCGACGTAAACTAAGTATAACACCATAGATAAAACACGGGGACAAAAGTAGGGTGGCAACGAACTAAAGGAAATTACTTTCAAGACTCGAGTGTAAAAAAAGCAAGAGAGATAGATTTTCTTTAAGCCATCTATCATACATCGAGAAAAATGCAAAGGGGCGTTTAAGTAAGGAAAAAAGCTTCTATATTACTGTTTCAGGGCATATTCACAAAAGAGAGGAGTGCTCTTGAATGTCACACAAGTATGGATCTAGGAGAGGGGTGCAGGGGGTGTGCATCCCCACCCCCCAATAAATTCCGGGTTTTTTTTATATTACTAGTACTGTGCAAAAGAAAATTTTAAAAATTAGATGTGGTTTAATAGTGTTGAAGTAAAACATGACACAAGGTTAAAGAATTTATGTGAAACCCTGTACAAATGGTAGTTTGGCAATGAAATTTCGAGCATAAGCCAGTCTGTTCGTTAGGTCAAACTTCAGTGACGTCACTCCTTAGTGGTGAAACCCTTCTTCAAAAAAAGGCTGGATCTGCTCCAGGAAAACAAACTCTTTCCCAGTTGGGAAAACAAAATTTCCAGATGCTGGTAACTACGTACCACACTGTCCCCGTCTGGCCACAGTGATGCGAGTTTGAGTTCTACAAGATTCTACTTGAAGTGTGCACTTATTAAGATAAGTCTGTCTGTTGGAACCACACACAGGATCGAAAGACAGCGGGCACTGTCTAGGACAGACACATTCCAGAGAGCCGTCAAGCTGCGCTTTGCACTCAGCATAGAAGTCACATTTCAGGAGAGCACAAGGAGCTGGGTAAGAAGAGGAAGTAAAGAGGAAAATAGAGATCGTTATTTCTTGTACATATTATGGAGCAGTATTCTGTCCATTACGTTCCAACGAGCAAAGGAGAGGAAAGAAGCACTTCTTGAAAGAAAAGTCCAAACTTAAGAAAGTAACTGGAGTAGAAGTGCAAAACCAAGTTTTTAAAAATATATTCGTATAAGAAAGAAGTATCAAACAGCATAAAAAAAGTTTACGAGTGAAACTGTGTATGCTAAAGATCCTTAATACTTCGTAAACGACAAAGCTGTACGGTTAAAAGTAACCAGAGTGAAGAAACAAACGCAAAAAATAAAGGAAGTGCTCTACTAAAGTGTGACAAAAGATCAAGACTTCACATCGTTCTCAAGGTGCTGGGGAAATAGAAAAGATTCTGCTTTACATGCATGCCTCACGCAACTTACTACAAGCTCCTTTCTGCAACACAACAAAGCTCTTTCGCTGTTTGCAGGCGTCCGCCCGAAGAAGACATTCGTTGATGTATGTTTTACCGTTGCTTCCACAGACAAGATCTAATTTCAGATCACATCGTTCATTGCACACACAAGCTGCCTGTCCGTCAGGCCTCTCCACGCACGTGGAATAGAAGTTGCACTTGATATCAGCGCAACCCACGACTAGGAGAAGTAAAGGTAACAGCAGGGAAATGAATGCAAGAAATATTAGGACAATGAGAAAATATTTTGGTAAAGTTTGCAGCTCTTAAACTTAAAGTTTGAAAAGAATGAGCCATAACAAAAGCGTAAAAGAAGAGTTGAGAAAATAGGAGGACGTCAAGTTCTCTTACAACATCTTCCTTCACGTGCGTGCATCACTGTGCCATTTGTTAGACACGTGTCTAGATCCAGAGCACAGCGGTTAGCATAAGTCTTCTTATTGGTACCACATACGGGTTTGTAAGACAACGAGCAGCCGAGAGGGCACTGGCACGATTCGGACCCATCCTCCAGAAGAAGACATTTGGCGCCGTGTTGGCAGCGGGAGCTATTGCACGCTGGGAAGAGGTAGTAATAATTGGAACATTATAACAGAAGATTGGAGGATGGTAAGACCCCTAAATGAACGCGGAAAAACATTCACTTGCGTTTTATTGCGTAGCGAAATAAGCGAATTACAAAGGACAGAGAAAAGGGGCACAGGTGAAGACAAAAGAGACAAAAAGTCATTAAGAATATTTGATGAATAACTAATTTCTTTTAATTGTCACTATGAAAAAATAGAAGACGTTTTTAAGGTGACTCAAACATGAAATATTTTCAAATGAGCGGTTGCACGATTACGGTAAAATTATTTATACTGGTGATAAAAGGTTTAGTAAACACTGTTCAGCTCACAGTAAACTTTAAAAGCAATGCAAAGAATTCCTAAAAATAATTTTTTAAAATTACCATAATTATTGACCGAAGAACATTACGGCACTTACAACAACGACCGTGCTGCGCCACGGAAATATGAGTCTGGGTAAGACAGGCATGCTGCTTAAGAAGGCAGTGGTTTATGTAAGACATTTTGTCAGTACCACAGACCGGCTTGTATCTAAAGTGACACCTTGGGCATCGACAGCGGGTTGCGGTGTTGTTAACAAGCTCGCAATATCCACCGTATTTGCATTTGCCTTCATGACAAGGGACTTCGAAGATTAGAACAGATTAAAGAGGTTAGTAGATTAACATGACATTCGTCAAATTTCTACGCATCAATTTTTACGCAAATGTTTTCATAAAATGTTCTTCGTTTGTTGGGTAGTATTTCTATGCATGAAAACTTGTTAAGTGCTTCAATAAACAATAATTTCTCCCACGTATTGCTATAATTAGGTGGTTAGTGCAGTGACCTGGAATGTCAGCGAAACGACCTATGAGATGTTAACGAACCGACCTGAAAGATTGGGGAAACGACTCAAGCTAAGTCGTTAACGGACTGGTCATTAGCGAAACAACCCGTTGGCGAAACGACAAAATTTCTGAAAGTAAGTAAGTAAGTCTGTTGGACATTAGCTTAGAGCTTTGATTAGCTGGCGGGTTGGTTGGTCTAATAATTCAATAGACACAGTTATGGTGAAGCGATCTGCAAATCAGATTTAAACAGTCCTACCAGAACTGTGTGACATTAAACAATGAGCTATAGAAGGAAATTGAGGCAACAAGGGAATCTTTACTTACTTTCGCAGTAGCCCTTGTGGGAGACTCTAATAACTTTGTTCCTTTTACAAGAGTCTCTCTCCAATTCACAAGTGTTACGGTAGCTTTTTCCATTACTCCCGCACACAAAATTCAAGGACGTAGGACAAGACCTTGGACATGCACAGTCTGCTGTACCATTAGCCGCAATAACGCACTTCGCGTGAGGCGGACAGGTCCTGAGAGCGCAAGGATTCTGGGGACTGTCTACAACCCCAAAGAAGAAAGAGCGATGATGCGAGAGAGAAAAAGGAAAAGCGAGTCAAAAGAAGAAAAACCCAAAAGTAGGAGGAGAGGTTGAAAAAAAAGAGATCATCAATCATTCGTTTTAAATTCATAAAAGGAGACGCACCGGTCTTACAGTCAGTGCTCCAGACCCCTGCGTCCAGAGGTTCAGGTTCGAGACCTGGCCAGGTCATCGTGTTGTGTGTTCTTGGGAAAGACACTTTACTCTAACCATGCCCCTCTCCACCCCAGGAGTATAAATAGGTACAGGCGAACTGCCGGGGAAGCCTGATGAAGGGGGCGGGGGGAAGTGGAGGGAGGGTTATCTTCGATAGACTGGCGTCCCATTCAGGGGAGAGTGGTAATACTCCTAGTCACTTCATGCTATTTAACCGGGATAAGGTGGGTGACAGAATGCAACCCTTGGCTCGAATACAGACTTATCCTATTTCACCACACGATGGAAATGAAATTAGTCTTATAGGATACCCGTACCTATCACCAATTTTAGTGGCATGAAATGGCTACTATTATTTCTATTTCCCCCTGGATTGGATGCATCCAACAGTTTACTGGTATCCATTCATTCTCCCTGGTGGAGAGGGGCGTGGAGAGAGAAATGTCATCCAAGAAAACATAGCACAATGACACAACCCAAGATTAAACTGGATATCTGTCGATCAAGACTCCAAAGTTCTGACCGCTGAAGTCACAGCGTTGCGTCGAAAAGAGATTAACCATAACTGACGTGAAATGTTTGGAAAAGATACAAGAAAAAAATAAGCTATCTTATGAATTGAATGTCGCAGTGAGGGTAAAAATGACAAGTGATGGTCTCATACCACACGTTCCCTTGTAAGCTGCTGTAATGTTTGTATTTGATTGACAAGCTTCCAGTTTAAGAGCACACAGGTTGAAATAACTCTTGCGATCCGTGCCACAAAGTGGCTCATAAACCAGCGGGCATTTACCGGGACATACGCAGACGGCGGAGGTCCCGGACTGAGAAACACACTTAGCATATGGCGGACATGTCTTGGAGTAACAAGGATCTGAGAATTAACAATGAAATTAAGGAAGCAAAGAGCGAGAATAACAGAAAAATATTTCAGCAGAGAAGAACAAGAACTGGTTGAGACTATGAAAACTACACCCTGATGAAATGACTGAAAATGGAAAGGAAGTGTTGTACTTGCGTGCAAAGCTGGTTAAAAATAATGTGTTTGGTCAAGAATAGACTTCTTAGTACATTCAAATAAAGTGAAAGTTTCTCTTAGTGCTAGGCAATTTTAAGCTAAAAGAATTAAGATTGAAAGAACAGACACAGTCAGAGTAAATGTGCAACTTACTGCAATTCCCCGCGCGAAAAACGGACACGTTCGCTTTTCGGTTACATGAAGTTACTTTCAACTGACACTCGTTGATGTAAGTTTCTCCATCACTGCCACATACAGGGCGTGGCTCATAGGAACAGTCTTGTGGACAGACACACACTCCGATGGTGGTATCATTAGTGGACACACACTTTGCATAGCGCTGACACGTGACCGTAGAACATGGCGCTGAGAGAGTGTAACGAAAAAGTAAAGAGGAAAATATAGAGAATTGACTGAATAAAAAGTGGGAGGGAAACAGGCAAATTGTTAAAAGATAAAACTAAAAGGCTTGGCAGCCGAAGGTGCGAAGATCTAAAAGTGCTCTCTAAAATCATGAAGATCTTGTCTTGTCTTGAGGAGAGTTCGAGACGTCATTTGTTGGTAGACATCGTTCAGTTGATGGAAGATTGTTTGAGGGACAAATGGAAATAACAAGAGACTAGATCAAATCAATAAACATATATTATGGCAAGAGGCATGCCAGAGCGCTTAAAAGATTGACTGTAAGAAGATCATTCTAAGGTACCTTAAACGAAATCTCAGAAATATATTAGAGAAGATATCATTAGCTCGATTTACAAAGAAGGAAATCACAGAAGACATAAAAACTCACTACATTGGCCTTGGTGTAGCATGGTTGTGTTTCTCTTCAATGCACAAGCTGATATTTTGAACACGCATTCATTCAAATATGTCTTGCCATCACTGGCACATACGGGATCAAACATGAGAGAGCACCGCTTTACGCATGAGCACTGCGCTTCTCTGTTACTGTCAAGTGTACACTCAGTGTATGGTGGACACTGTTTTGTAGAGCATGGATTGTCTGTGTGGGAAGGATAGAAAATCCGCGACACAAATTGTTAAGCTCGGAGAGAAAAAGGAATATTAAAAGAGTGTTAAAAGCAAACTACAGAAAAATATTCCAGCACAATGCATCGAAACACAAAGAATCAAAGAGATAGATTGAACTTTCGGTAGTAATTCAACAGATAGGCACGCAAGGCGTGGATCAAGTTCTCAGGATGTGTCATCACTGGACATTCTTATGTCTAAATCTAGTTTAAGACGTTTGAAAATCATACCAGCCTTTAGATAAATTTGATAAGAATACAACTGCATAGGAAAAAGAAGCACTCTTTTCTCTTGTCGCCGTTGAGTGGTTACAACTTCCAAGTCCTTCTATGTTCAGAAGAAACCGTTATAAACAAACGAATTGAACAAATCGAACTAACTTTGTCGAACGAACTAAACTGACCAAACACAGCTCACCAAGGTCACTTGTGTCTTCAAGCCAACAGAAACACAGCTTTTCTGATCTAAAAACAGTCGACTGACGCAGTCGTCCTTACTAGACTCTTATGACGTGTTCTGCTCATGTCCACTGTCACAAACTCTTCAGGACGTACCTCATCCAAACGATCACCTTATGATCTATAACTTAGGAGCCCTGACTGCGCTCCAGAAAAACACGTTTAAATCGCATAATCCTTTTCTTTCGTTGTAGTTGCTGCTGGAATGCTGAAAACATGAATAGTTATCATATTCTCTATTTGTTCAACTTACCTCGTTCTGAACAGTGTCGGAAAGAAATCCGTGAGAGTCGTGAAAAAAAGAACACGAAAGAAACATTGGTTAGAATAAAAACAATCAAAGGATGAAAACATACGAACAAACAATGACACTTATTAAATGGTTAAGAATATATGAAAGTCATATAGGTAGAGCGCTGCACCGGTATCGCAGAGGTCATGGGTTCAAATCCCGTACAGGCCTGAATTTTTTTCAGGCCTTATTTTCACTACTGCCTAAGTAGTGCAAATTACTGCGAAGATCACTTTCATTCAATGACACTTATTATTTGAAAAGTCAGAACCTACATTCCCGAAAAAAGATTTAAAACCCATTTGCGAATTAAGTTGAAATCAAAAAGTGAAATTCCCTATAAGTCTACAGACATGGAACACGAGTCATTTTAACCAAACAAGATTATCTGATTTCAGTTGCCGTGGGTACATCAGTAGCACCCCGCTAACTCGAACAATTGATGCGAACGTGATAATATTTACAAAAAACGTAAAACATTTAGCTTAACTTTTCAAATTAAACGGCCTATAAAAAAAAGCTCATGCAAAAGACTAAATGTGAAAGTGACTGTTGATTGATCAAGAGTGGTAAAAGCATTATTCAGGATAGTTAAAATCCAACACCAATCCCGGTAATTGTAACCATTCTTCGTTTATCTTTGTACAACATTGCACATACCACAGACTCCTTTGTTCTTGACTGTAATCGACCTTTTTTCCTTGCATGATTTCACCTTCATATAACAATCATTGTCGTATTGCAGGCCATCGGATCCACATACAATTTGATTTGATTTCAAAGAAGAACAATCCTCCTCTTTGGGACACTGACATTTGGGTTTTCTATCAATGAGATCACATTTGGCGTGGAATTCACACTTGACATCTGCGCAAGTTTCTGTTTAACAACAAAAAATGAAAACTGAGAAGACTGTTCTTTAAGGTGTGGTCGAATTTTCAAACGATTTCGCAAGGGTGAGTTGCTTAGAGATTAAAGAACATTGCAGGTGCTCGAAAGCAAGTGTAATTTGAAGTCTTTGAAAAAACTAACGAGTGATCATCTATTCCAAATTACACTCAAAATTACTTGATTGTTTGGTAACTATATACCCTTAACCCGGCCTTTAAAAACCTAGCATCAGTATGCACATTCTCCATACTGATCTCTATACATTTCCTGAGGTGGTGACGAGGAGAATTTGTTTAACAATCAAGAGCTTCTTTCGTTGGTGATCATCTCTATTCTAGTAACCAAAATGAGGGATTCAGGAGTGATACAAAAGGGAGAAATTAGATACTCATCATTCTTAGGGGGTTAAAGTGTAGATATCACTTTTAAGCATTCGTTTTAAACTCTTTGCACCCGATATAAACTTTCCGCACTGTTATTTACTTTACTTGTTGGTCAGTTACATCTATAACCACGTCTTGTATTTTGTTTTACAAAGTAATCGTATTCGTTGTGGGATTGTAACGTCTCGACTGCTCTGTGGTGGTCTTCAGTCGTCTTAATGTTATGATGGCGACAGCGTGTGCATGACCTTATGAGAAATTATTCTTTTCGTAATTTAGGCCTGAAAATGCATTTTCAAATAATTTCCGCTATGAGTTAATTAACTGTAGAGTAACACGTACCACAGGGTCCTTTCTTGACAACACCAAGAGGAACCTTTGACTTGCAGGCCTTCGCCCTCATGTGACATTCTGTAGAATACACGTTGGAATCATTGGCGCACACTTCATCAACTTCCACAGGACACTGATCCTCCTCAGGACAAATACAAGTTGCCACCCCAGTGTTAGTGAACCGACATGTGGCAAAGAATTTCTCGCAATTTGCTTGCCGACATGCTCCTGGAGAATTAACAATAAAATGTCAACAAATGATGGAAGAATTCTAACCTTCCGTGAAACCGCCATATTGAGGGATAGCACGCTCATGGTTAATACTATTCTCTCCCATCTGAAGAATTGACGAAGTTTCACTTCTGGGCCGGGTTATTCAAAGCTTGGTTAAGTTAACCCAGGGGTAATGTTAAATTTGATTTCAAATCTGATAATTTAAAAGAGAATTTAATTTATTTCTTTTTGTCCACAATTTGATGATTAGATGGTCTAAAAGAATGGGGAAAATTATCCTATAAAAGGCTCTTAAATAAAGAAATAAAGAAACATTGATTAAAATTTAACCCTGGGTTAGTGCTAATCGGTCTTTGAACAACTAGGCCCTGATCTCTTTCTTGTTTGTTCAACACGCAAGACTGAGTTACTATGTAATGGTCCCTGAGATGCAAGCACCCCCCCCTGCTAAACGAGGAGAACATTGTATCCCCTAACAAAACATCTTCAATTATAATAATAATAATAATAATAATAATAATAGTTATTATACTAATAAAAACAGCAATAATAATACTTTGTTTCTATAGCACAATTTCCAGTGATGTCCAAACGCACTTCATGGCGAATAGTAAATAGGCTCACTTAAGCTTTATAACATGCCGGAAAAAATTCATTTGCAGACAATAGGTAATATGTCGAAATGAAATAATATATCTAGTTCTGTTACAAACGCTAAAAGCTATTATTATTATTATTATTATCAGACGATTATTATGATTTTCTTAACTTATTAGCTTAAAGGTATATTGTCCATCAAGTAAAATGTCTAAAAAATAGTAAAATATCAAATTCTCTTGAAAAGCTTTCCTAAAAAGATGAGTCTAAACTTTTTCAATGAAACATTCAGATCGTTACAATCTCTAATTTAAGAACTCTCTTGGAAGACGCGCCGATCCATTGTGAGTCAAAATCTAAAGTAATTCACAAGTAGCTGTTTTATCTCTTAGGTAGAGTGGGGCTTGACAAGAGCTCACTTCTTGCGCAAAAGAAAACAAAAAACAAACACAAAAACAAAAAACAGTGATCGCAGCAAAAAGTGCGAAGTTTCAAAACACGGCATCGAAAGCAACACCTGATACTACTACTAACGTCATTTTAGTGGGTAAAATTTTCTTCGTACCGCATTTGTCACCGAATTCTACGATTGTAACATCCTTTCTCATCTGGCAAGCTCTAGCCTCCATGACACATGGATTGCGATATCTCCTTCCGTCACTACCACACACGGGGTTGTCTTCTAACGGACAATCAATTTCCACGGGACAAATGCACTCTGGGTAACCCTTTGTAAAGCCACACCTCGCGCCATACCTACAATAAGTACTGGTACAGGGTAGAACGACCAAACCTGTGGTTTAAGTAAATTGAAGTAATTAAAATTCATCCTGAAAAAAAAGAAATTATTTTTGTAGGAAATTATAAAACTGTTCCAAAAATAACGTCCAATTACAGTTGGAGAACTTCCTTATATTTGTTCTAATCATTAACAAAAAGCAATTATCCCCAATCGATGCAAATTTTTAACATAAATGAGCCGAAAAACTAAACAAAATTACTCGTAATTTTCATTTAAGCGACGGCTTGAAGCAAACGAAGAATCTCATAAGCTTACTTTTTAAACGGTTCTCCCAATAATGGTAGTAAAATAATGCAAAATACTTCAAGTAATATGCCAGTCTTTGGAGTTCTAAAGCGATGTTCTCATACTTTAGATACCTTTGAAATACTTACCACACTCTCCCCTGAACAGCAGGCGAGCCTTCGATCGTTTCGGGCAGTTCGCTGCCCTCAGCGCACACTCACTTGCGTACGTTATACCGTCACTACCACACACAGGCGAGGCTGCTTGACTGCGCAGGCACTCGAGGGGAGAAGGACAAACACATCTTGCTTGGTTGTTGCTATTAAGGACACATCGTTGGTATAAATCACATCTCTTCAGGGCGCACGCATCTATTAAAAACAAAATAATCCACACATTATACCTTTAATAGAAACCCTGTTCCGTGCAAAATTTGGAAGCTAGAATTCCTTATAAGAACCCTGTATTTAAAGACTGGAGGATAAAAATATTCCAAGACCCAAAAATAATAACTCCTTACGAACTGAGTGTAGAGGCGCGGTGGCTTCATGGTTAGTGCGCTCGAGGTCAATGTGTTGTGTTCTTAGGCAAGACACTTTACTCTCACAGTGCTTCTCTTCACCCAGGTGTACAAACGGGTACCAGCAAATGTGCTGGACTCCCCCTGCGATGGACCAGCATCCCATCCAGGGGGAGTAGCAATACTCCTAGCCGCTTCATGTTAAGAAAACCGGAGTTAAGCACCGGCCCCATGGGCCACCTGGGCCCGTATAAAGGCTTTACTTTACTACTTACTTTACTAACTGAGCGTGATGGCCGCACTGAAGGGCGTGGTAGTATTTCCCAGTGCAGCTCGACCAACTGAGGTTAGTAAGTAGTTTATCATATGTCGCTCGAACCAAACTTGTTTATTTTGTATTTGCTGGCTTTCGCGAGCAAAAATACAGCAATGGTTTATGGCTTATGACCGTTTCCATGGAAACAGTCCGTAGGCAGAATACCGACCGAGTAAGAGCCAATCAGAACGCTCGGGTTTACATCAGGGCTATCATGTCATATAACAACGAGGTTTATTATATCTCTCAATAAGTAGGTGCACTATGTTCCTCCTCTATTTGAACCCAGCGATATCTTAAAAATCTTACTAATCGCGGTTTCTCGCTCCGCACCGTTAGTTTCAGAGCCTAGTTTTTTTCCGCTCGGATTTATGACCCGCGGTTTACCCTTGGGCCATAAAACCGAGCGGAAAAAACCTGATCCTTAACGTACAATACGGGCCTCGAACTCAGTATGTCTCTGAAGAGGGAAGTAGAGATTTAGAAAAAGATAATCTCTTACCGCATTCCCCTTTCTTGACCACAATTAGCTGCTTTCTAGCCTTGCACGCCTTTACCCGCATCAGACACTCGTTTGTGTACGATTTCCCATTGTTAGCACACACTCGATCCTCGTTGGACGGACATCCTCTAGGACACTGGCACTTCGCTGTGTTGTCAACCACAACACAGTCTTGATATGGCTTACATTGATGGAAGGAGCATGCATCTAGATAACAACAATAAAACGACAAGATTCGCGTTTTCACACAATTTCCGCACGACCCCAAATCGCCTGAGCTTACCGGATTATGTGTGATGTCTGTCACCCCTGTTACCTATAACGATCGATTATCCATGGATAAGTCGATCAATGGTCGGTCGATACTCGGTAGATAAGCGACCAGGGGTAAATACGATATATACATCAGTTTACGCGACCATTCCAATTGCCTTCACAGCCCAGCACTCTTTGTTCTGCCGCACGTAATCCTCATTATTTCGTCGTGTTTTGGTCATAGATTTAGCGATCCCATTCACAGTGAAGCTGGTAATTGACGATTATCAACGTTTTCACCAAAATAAATCAGCTAGTTTTCGTTGGATACTTTAAAACATAGATCAGAGGGTTTAATTGGTTTTATCTAACAGTCACAATGTATCTGAAAAGTTCCAATCCCTGACAAAGGCAAAAGAGTAGCTCTTTCTTACCGCATTTTCCTTTCTTCATCTTCAAGTCAGTTCCACAGGCAGCGGCCTTGAAGTCACATTCGTTCTCATAAGTAGTACCGTTGCTTCCGCACACGGAATCTCCTCCGATCGGGCATTCATCCCGTGACTGGCACACGCACTGAGTGGAGCCGTCCGCTCGCACCTCACATTTGTTGTGCTTTTGGCAGGCTACAAACTTACATGGGTCTGCAAAAAATGTGAGCAGCAGTGATAACGTATAACGTTGAGATTTGTCACATTCAGGGCCGGGTTGTTCAAAGCTGGGTTAAGATAACCCAGGGTTAGTGTGAAATCCGATTTCAGATCTAAAAGCTTTAAAAGAAAGTTCAATCGAATTCTTTTTGTCTAGAGTAAGATTATTTGATGCTTTGAAAAGGACACTGAAAATTTTCCCAAAAAGGCTTTAAAGTAAAGGAATAAAGAAACCCAGATTAAAATCTAACCCTGGGTTAGCGCTAATCGGCCTTCGAACAACTGGGCCCAGTTTAATAACATTCAGAGATTGTTCTTGTATGAAAGACAGAATATTTCATTAAATGTACCACGAATATGAAAAATAAACAGGTGGGCTTAGTACGGAGAGTTGTTTAAATTTTGAACGAAGCGCAGACCCATGCACAATTAAATGTTCCTTTTGATTAATACCACCCCTACCATTATGAACATAGGGCCTCTCCCCCAGGCGCGGACTTGATTCCCTCCAATTACCATGAATCGCGACTCTCGTCATCCCCTGCATCTCAAAATTTACGATGGTTTACAAGGGAGAAGGCGTCCCTGAATATTCAACTATTCTGTACAGAAGCTTATATTCCTAACTTATATTCTTACCACACAATCCATCGTTCTTCTTCTCAGTGTTTTGTTTCTTCTCACAGGCGATAGCTTTCATAAGACACTCGTTGATGTATGTTTTACCGTCTGTGCCACACACTGTCTTTATTACTGGTAGACAGTCCTTTTTCCTTGGACACACACAAGTGCGTGACCCATCTGGAGCGTTGTGACAAACTGCGTACATTGGACACTTCAGGAGGCGACAGCCACCCACTGGGGAAAGTGGGAGAAAATTCAATCAACAAATCACTTTTCAAGTTTTAATTGACCTGAAACGTCTAACGGGTTCCTACACATTTTCTGAACGCTTTTCGAGACTCTTTCAAATCAATTGTCCGCACTTTTCAGACTCGAGGTCATGATTGAAATCGTATGGCCATAACAAAATGGCGGCTGTATAAGTTTGCAGTAAAACGCGGTAATACACCGTTTTAATCAGCGTATTTTATGTGAGCGATATGTACACATATGAGTCTGTACACATTTTGCAGCACGGCACAAACTACATAATTCTGTGCATTTGTTAATTACTTAATCTTTCCTTTCGATACTCATTCCAGATCTTGAAATTACTACACAAATTTCGATCCTTCGCAAGAATTCAAAAGTCAACACTTAAACATATCAGAATACCGAAAATTCACTTGCGTAACAACTTAACACGAGGCACGTGTTCTGGATAAGAGGTGTCGCTGCTAGAGATCAGACACGTGCTGCTCAACAAGACGCAAGTGCCGGCCACCAGACTTACCACACGGGCCTTTGTTTTCTACGACCAATGCACCACCAGCGGAACAGGACTTGACCTTGAGATGACATTCGTTAGGATACTCAACGTCGTCTGAGCCGCAGACCGGCGCTGGAACATAACTGCAGTCGCGTATGTTAGGGCACTGACAGGTGGCTAAGCTCTGAATTACTTTACAAACTTGGTTCGGTTGGCACTTCATTCCCGTGCAATCATCTGAAAAAAGAAGAGAGAGACTTCGAAAAATTAGCCGTTTATAAGGCTACTTAACAATCTACTGCGACAGACCAGCGTGCAAACATTGCAAAGGCTAAGTAGAGTGCTCTCATGCTGTCAGAACCATAATGTCTTACAGGAGCTCTACACAACCAAACAAGCTAGAATGTCATGGTGTTTTTAAAATGTGTAACGTTTCTGATGAAGCTCAAATCAAAATCTGACCTATTTTTTCGAGAACTTTTGACTTTTCCTTTACTTACTTTTGTTTCCTTCACCAAATTTGAGTGAAAATTTCTATTTACTTTCCCATACGTTGTTCATTGTGTTTTGCGTGGGAAATATGTGTGCGGCCGATCAGAATTGATCCTGTTGCGCATTCCCGACGCGTGACCATTGTGTTCGGGCCAGCAGAATCTACATTTATACTGGAAGGGGGCAAAACAACTTCCTTACCGCAGCGTCCTTGTTTCATGACCACAAGACTACCATCCCCAGAACACGATTGTACTTTCAGTTTGCATTCATTGTCATAGGTTTTGCCATCACTTCCGCAAACTTTCTCCAATGTCGACGGACAATCATCTTCTCTTGGGCAGCGACACTCGTGGAGACCGTTCGATTGGATGAAACATTCAGCGTTTTTAGCACATGTTACCAAATCACAAATGCCTATCGAAAACAAAGAAACGGTAAATCAACTCGGAAATGAATAAACTGAAAAAGAGGAAAGTAAGAGGTCGACTCATTAAAGAATAAATTCGTGGGGAAAAGTTTTTGACTCAAAAGCATTTATTCATTCGGCATGAGTTCGTGTTCTATAAACTCAAACCCAAATGGTAAACGAACAGAATACCCTAAATTAAAGGACCCATGTTTTCGAGAACTTTGGAGTTTTCCTTCCCCTTTTTTCGTTTCCTTTAACAAATTTGCGTGAATATTTCAATTTAGTCCGTCAACCAGTAAGTTAGTCAGTCAGTCAATCAGTCTGTCAGTCATTCAGCCAGTCAGCCAGCCAGTAAGTCAGTCAGTCAGTCATCTTGTCCTCAATCGAGATGCAAGTCATGGAAGCATAGTATTGTCACGTGACCACTCACCACAATAGCCCTTTCTTTTGACAGTGACCTTCTTCCCTGCCTTACAAGCCCTAGCCTTCATAACACACTCGTTAAGGTAACTCTGATCATCAGAACCACAGATCAGGTCAACTTTCCATGGACAGTCACGTTCTGACGGACAAACGCACGTTGCTTTGTTGTTCCTCATTTCACAAGTAGCAAAGCTGTGACAGCTGGCCAAATCACAAGGAGCTGTGGAAGCCATTGAAAATTGTCATTAATCAGTTATAGAAAATAAATAGGTAAATAGATAAAGTAAATAATCTGAGTCAATAGAAACAAGAGGTGACGACCTGACAAAAAAAACTCACCACATTTGTTAGGAGTAACTGGAACAATTCTTTTGCCCTTTTTACAGGAATCAACTCTCATAAGGCACTCGTTGTCGTAAACTGTGTAAGTTTCTCCATCACTGCCACAAACCACGCTCGTAACATCGGAACATTCGTTTTTATCTGGACAGCGGCATTCCACTGTACCAGACGAGAACACGCATTGGGCGTGATTTATGCAACTCTTCAGTGAGCAGGGAACGACCACCAATCCTGAAAGCAGAGACAAGCAATTACTACAATAAACACGAATTGGAAATCAAGCGCTTTACTGTTATCTTTGAGAATGTAACTAAAACATCATTCATTTCCTATGATTCTCTCAGTCTGGTCTATAACGTTACAAACCTTGCGTGACAAGCCTTCTGAGACAAACCCGTTTGCTCGCAAAAAATAAAAGCCTAAATTTGTTTTAAACTAGAAATTTGTTCCCCACCTCCAATTAACACCCAGAAGTAGTTAACAAGCAATTTCTACTTTCGATATTTATACATAAAACAGGTGATGAGAAATGAGAAAGTTAACAGCAAAAGGATGTTAGCTTCATATCAAAACAAATTTTCTACCGATATTTATAAGAAGATGAATTGCAAGTAGGTGTGAGATGACTAAACAGATATCGGTTTGTTTTTATTAGTTCAACTTACCGCAGGCACCAGGTTTGAAGAAGAGTCCTTTTTTCTTCTCGCACGACTCTTTCCTCGCTTTGCACTCATTTTCGTAGGTTCGGCCATCGCTGCCACAAACAGGCTCACCCAGGCTGGGGCAGAATTCAGGACATTTACACGATGCTCTACCTTGGGCATCCAATTCACATTCTTGGTCCTGAGCGCAAACAGACTTGGAACATGGCGCTGATGGAAAGATACGAAACAATTCTAAATAAGTTCCGCACGTTTCCTCTACGTAATTCATCCACGAAGTTTAGACCTCAATTATAAAAAATTTTAGCGTGGCGATTGATTCCTCTCTTTTTTAAAAACTCTTTGTTGCTCAACGATTAGAACTTTCGGGCAATGTCTGCTTCTGTGTTGATAAATTGAAGCCAGATGGAAAACTACTCACAAACAGACTTTGCATAACACGAGCAACATGGCAACCAATTGGTCAGAAAATTGTTTTAAACTTACTGCACGGTCCTCTCTGTTGGACTTCAATTTTTTGTCTAAGTTGACACGACTCCGCTTCCAAAAAGCACATGTTTCGATACGTTTTACCATTGTCTCCACAAATCTCCCTGACATTATTTGAACACTGGTCAGAGGCTTGACACTTGCACTGCGCAGTCCCAGATCCGTCTTGTGCTTCAATACATTGGCCATTATAGTCAACACAATCTGACAATGAGCAGGGGCCTGGAGAAAAACTCTATTTTAGATTCTACTTTCGTCTGTTCATGTCAACGACCATTAAAAATATCATCCTTTTTGTGTCAAATAAAAACCTAATCAGGTGAAATGTAAAAAAATCGTCATAAAAAAACGGTTTTTTCGAACTAAATTTTTACATCAAATCTCGGAAAGAATGTCAACAAGAAAATAAAAATAAAGATTAACATAATAATAATAATAATGGTAATAATAACTACAAAACAAGAATCGTTATTATCACAATAATGCAACCGACAAGATAAGGATATACGCGCTGAAAAAATTGTTATCATTGGGAAATGACGTGCAAGAGCCACCAAGAAATCTTAGGAAATCAATTAGGAAAAACACGTGGCCGACCATATTACAAAATTTAATAGAAAAGTACTTATCAATTTTCTATTGTAATTACGATGGTTATCATAACACAACAGTATATACACGGTTATCCATTTGTTTTCCTACCACAAGGCCCTTTATGTTTCATTGTAACTTCGATTCCTGCAGCACAACTTTCAGCCTTCAGCTTGCATTCACTCTCATACGTCTTGCCATTCATTCCACATACGGGATCGTTGACATCCGGGCAGTCCTCCAAGCGCGGACAGCGGCATTCAGTTGATCCATCAGGTATAACTCCGCAAACAGAATGGTACATACAACGTGAGGCTTTACAGGGATCTACGAAAAAGTTTAATTCAAAAACGTAATCAGTAGGTCTATTTATTAACATCTGAAAACGTTTGACTCAATAAAATCTCAGCCTTACCACACACTCCCTTTTTAATCATCCTGAGTGGCTGTCCGGTTATACAAGCTTCAACCCCCATTCTGCACAGGTTGATGTAAGTCTTTCCGTCACTTCCACACACTAGATCATAATCTCTTGGGCAATCGTCTTCTGTTGGACACTTACAGGCTGGTATCTGCAACTTATTTACCATACACCTCTTGCCTGACGAGCATCGAGTGTCTTTACAAACCCCTGTTCAAATAAATAATGAGATAACCAAATTTTCTTGGCGACACGGGCTACCATACTTCCTTAAAGATGGTTCTCCATATTTAAGGATAAATACATCACAGCATCGGACTCTAATCTCTTCGAAAAACGGTATCAGTATTTTATTCTCATTGTAGTCATGGTGAGGTTTTAGGCAGGTTTATTTTATCTAAGAAATATGGAAGAGGCCTTCTTAAAAAGGAGTAAAATAATGTGGCCAAATCACATAAAGCACAGTACCACAACGTCCTTGATGCCTCAATCCAACAGATGCGTTCTTCTCACATGACATCGCTTTCATAAAGCACTCATTCAGATAGGTTTTCCCGTCCGTGCCACAAACAGGGTCATTTTCTTTGGCACAGTCTTTAATTTCGATGCACTTGCACAAAAATGGTCCATCCCTTTGACCGATGCACACTTCGTTGGTATTACAACTACCAGGGTTACACGAACCTGAACACAGAAAAAAATTAAAAAATAATTGAGTTTGACGAATTTACGGAAGTTGAAACACTTCGTCAATTGTATTGGAGTGTAGTGCTGCTAAGGTGACAATAAAGTTCACGAGATCACCATGGTTACCGAACTACAAATTACCCCTAGGGACCTTCAAACATTAAAAAACTTTCTCCGTCGGAGACATTTGGCGACTGATTAATCATTTCGCGTAATGTTAGTGCGATGTCCACACTCAATAAGGCCAAATACACCAAATAAATAGGGAAAGAAAAGACGTTCTGAAACATAATGTAATACCTCTTGATAATACTTTGATAAACAAACGCAGGGCATTATTGTGATAAAACTAATGCAGAAATCAGAGTAAGAGCCCCCCAACCAGTAACAGAGTCCCATATTGATGCCCCTTTTTACCCCATTACCCTCTTACCACAAGGTCCTTCATGCACAACTCGTACAGTCTCATTATTTTCACAGGCTGTCACATCCAAAAGACACTTGTTAATGTACGTCTGTCCGTCTGAGCCACACACACCATCACCGTCCTTTGGACATTCGGCCTCTGTCCGACACCTACAAGAGACCGTTCCGTCCGCGTTTCCGATGCAGGCGGAGTTGTTCTCACAGTCCTTAGCGAGGTCGCACGGGTCTGGGGAAAGGAAGGTTGGTATAAATGATATGTTGTTAGTGTATTGCCCTTTAATCTTTGCATGACTCTACATGAGATCCTCAAACCCAAGAGATTACGGGACCAAAAAGGAATTTCTCTTGACAATATCAATATATTTTCTGACAGGAAGGAGAGAGAGGAAAGAATAATGTCAATCATGATGTTTTGTTGAATTTAAAACCAAGTTATCAGAGCTGAAACAGTAGTAGATGTATGAAAAATAATAGTGAGAATTTGTATTCAGATCTTGGGAATGAATGACTGACTATTTCACGCTTGGTCAGTATACAAAAACTTCAGCCGCCAGGCTTACATTATTACAGAATTTGTGTTTGCGGAGAAGAGGTCGCTGTGTGAAAAAAATAAACAATAACTCCAACAGCATTTGCAACTCCATTTATAGCAGCAATTACACCAAATTTATCTTAAGCAAATAACTTCAAAAACCTCGAATCTTGTTAAAAGATTTTCCAAAAGTCACATTTGCAAGTGACTGATTAAAACATGTCGGCTCTTGTTATCTATACATGCTGCATGTTACATTACCTCTAGTCCAGAATCCTCTCTGCAGATGCCATTATTGTTCATTTGCTGAACTTGTGAAATTCAAACGCATATATTTGCCAAATGTAGACCAAAAACGTTTTCTTTAACATCAAGACCAGTACTCACCACAATATCCATCCATGACGATATAAACCGGCATTTCTCTGAGACAAGCCTTTGCCTTCATCACACACTCGTTGAGGTACGTTTTACCATCGCTGCCGCACACAGCATGAACAGTCATTGGACAATCTCTCTCATCCGGGCACACACATTCAGCGTTACCTTGGGAATCCGCTTTGCACAACTTTGGTTCCTTACACTGCACCTCGGCACAAGGCTCTGACATAACGTTACAAAAAAAGGAAAGAATATTCGTAATTGACGCATGTCGCCAAATGCAGGGAAACGCCCACATAGGAACCCCCCCCTACCCGACTACTCACCCTTCGAGCTTTGTAGTAAAGGGAAAGGGGAGGGGATGGGAGGGGGGGCTCTCGTGGGTGCCAGGACATGAGATCTTTATCACCTTTTCTCTCTTAAGTTCTGCATCGACTTGGCATCGAACAACAAAAATAACAACAAACTATAAACACTTTGTTTTACAAGAGTGCATAATTACAATCGAAGATTGCATTCTCCCATTACCCCAAGACGTGAAACTAATACAAAAGGATCTCACAGATACACATGAAAGGAAACTCATATTGGAAAAAAAAAATACTAAAACGATTTATTAATTGTTAAGCTGTATGAAGTGAATTCACATATAAACAAATTATAACGTATTTTTCATTTCTTCAAGTCGGACTTGCCAACTAAATCCCTAAGACCATTCTATAATTTTAACATTACTATAGAAAATGTTCGCTGAATATTGTTGGTGGGTAGAAGAGGAAGCCGAAAGGCTATTTGACTCTGTTTGAATTAATCTGATGGGAGTTCATCCAGGATCTTTTTAAAATAGAATAAGTAGTCTCACAAGCGCCCGCTAACAGGTTCCAAGGAAAACTGAACCAGATGAGACGGGGTACTTACCACACTTTCCTGGTCTCTGCTGATCAACAATTTCTTCAAGTCGACAATTCTCCACATCCAGGTAGCATACGTTGATGTAAGTCCTGTTGTTCTTACCACACACAGGGGTGGGAGTCTGGGGACACTCCCTAACGTCCTTACAGACACACTGTGCCTTGCCACCCTTAACCTCGCAGTGCGCATGCTCTTTACATTTAACACCAGCACACAAACCTAAGAGAAAAATTACAACACAGATCGATGGTTTAAAGCGAATTTGGATTTACTGTCGTTCTACTCTGGCCATAATTATGGCGAGGGCAAAATAGAGCATCGGAAAATAACACAGAGAATTCAGTAACATCAAGTTCACTGCCTTAGCGCGGGAAAAGATGAATTCCCTGCTTCTGATTGGTTTATTGAATTGGATTGAAAAGGGAGGCACGATGGTTCTAAACCAATCACGGAGCGATATAAAAGAAATTAGCAAAGAGGCGTGGATCAAATATCACATTCACTTGAAAAATTCTCTTCCGGCATTCGTAGGGATATACCCAGTGCAGGAAAGTATTTGCAGAGTTTTCAAAACGTTCAAATCTTACCACATGGGCCCAAATTATCCACAGTGATGTCTTGTCCTCTTGTACAGGCTTGGACTCTTAAAACACAGTCATTGTTGTAAGTGACTCTATCACTGCCGCATACTTCATCTTTGGTGGTTGGGCAATCACTGATCTTTGGACACACGCACTCTGTGCGAGTAAAATCGATTGCCTTGCAGCGGGCATAGGGCTGACAAATCTTCTTTGCGCAAGGGTCTGTAAGTAATAATTTTTAAATTATGAAAAATGTGGTGCACATTCCTTCACAAATAGTTAAGACATGGAAATCATAAATTGCTGATTATAAATTTCCATTAAAAATGACAAAAAACAAGTTAACCTTTGTCTAAGTGTTAAGTCATAGTATCATGTAATGAACCTTAGGAGAACTCACTTAGCAAGTCAAGAAAAGCTCACCTTCACACGTGTCCTTGGCCAACCTTGCAGCCAACGAACCAAGCTCGTCGAAACTGTCAACGGTGTGAACAAACTTCCTTCCACTGGCGAGACTAACATGCCGAGATGATGGTGTAGTCACACCAACAGCAACGACAAATATCTGAACGCCCGTGCTCTTCAGTTTGGTGGCAGCAGATTTAAGGTCCTCGGTGATCTCACCCGCAACTAACACAATTAAAGACCTAGGAACCTGTAAAAAAAAAAGAAAAAAAAAAAGAAGGGAAAGGTTTTTAAAAGGACAACATGAAGATATATGCATTAAATGTCAGAAAATGTCAATCAAAAGTATACGACCCTTTCAACGACGCCGATCCCCACAGCACTCTAGACGCACGTCACGTAAGAACCCTCTATACGACCTAACACCACGATGACCTGTCTTTAGCTCAGGAACCGCTCATTTTGTATCGCCAGTGGGGGAGGAAGGAGGAAGGAGGGGGTAAGAGGATTTTTGGTTGTGTCGCAAGAAAATTTACCTGATCCCCCCGCCAGGTTCTGTAGTATCCTAATGACCCCCCCCCCCGTTTGTTGGCATTCAATTTTGTTTGGTCTCCCCTCCCCCCTTTAAACTTTGTAGGCGAGGACTGATCCCGCCTCCGTTGCGAGGACTGGTCCCTTGGTAATAGCACTTCTATGTCTTACGTGCATTTCCGAGGAAAATCTGTGCGAGGTTGACCACACTACGTCACAAACTTCACTCTGACCTACAGCTACAACTGTACGATTAGCATACTATCTATTGCATCAAGACAAGACATAGTGTTCTTGGTTTAAAAACAGTCGATAGGGTCAAAATGAAGGCGACAATGACAAAATCAAATTGGGATGAAAAATTTTCGTGGTGTAAAACGCACAAATAGGTACGATCCTACCTGTGACCTTCCTCCATTTTTAAACACCGTTGTCGCCTGTTTGAGCATGTCAGTAAACCTGATTGTCCGATCTGAAGGAGAGTCATTGGTAGCATTTAGTTCATCTACTCGGAATTTAAGTATTTCAGACTGGGTGTACTGTGTAAGCTCAATGTCCCTCCTGGCTGTCTCTCCCACAGTAATGACTCCCACATGCGTCCTGGCGACGGAGATGGTGAAAGCATTGATCATTGTGACAACGAAGTTCTTCTGCTGGATGTAGTCTGATAATGATAACACGGACGAAGAGTCCAAAGCAAAGACCACATCCATGGGGAATGGACACGCTGAAATTGGACGACAACAAATTTGTTTTAGATTTGTGTGAGTAAAACGCTGCCACATTACCCTCAGCGGGGTTAAAACTTTATTCTGTCACCATGACATATAAGTTGGCACATCTACGAAGTAGCTAATCATTCAAGGATTGTTTCCACGTCAAAAATGGAGTTTGGAGTGTTTTATTAAAGACGGCAAGTAAGAGAGGTCGCAGGAAGCCCTCTGAGCACGTACGAGAACTAACAACAACACATTCTACTTTCATGGAATAACGGGTTCAAGAATCGAACCCAGGCCACAGTGGTTTGAACCGAGAGCACTTGCCATTGAGCCGTCTCGGCCCCTATCTGGCCAGTTACTGTTTTGGTTTACGTTGAAGTTTGCTCATTAGGGAAGGGACTAATGATGTTAAGTGCTGTCCAACCATTGCTGAGCTGCTCTTGTATCACTTATAAAGGTCAGTGGGGTTCGCTTGTTCAGGATGAGGTGTCTCGTAGCTATCGCGGCATTTCCGTTTTTATGACTGGAATAGGGGTAAAAAAAGTTGTAAAAGAGGAAATCATACAACTTGAACTTGTTGCCTACCTGCAGGAATAGTACATAAAGGCTCCACTAATATAAATCCCCTGGTCGGCTTACAGCGACCACACCAGCCTCCACACTTAGCAGACACCACCGCACCATCAAGCGACTTCTGGTAATCTTGAATCTGCAAACCATTCGGGAACCCCTGCAATGTCCAGCTCACATCATCCCGCACTCGAAGTCTTGTCCCGCTCAAGTCAACCTTGAACTGACCCTTTCGACATTTACCAGTGTTCACCGAGTAACAATCCCCTGCTGTGCCATACGGGATGTCTTTACCCTCTACAGTCAGCGCAAAAGTGAAGTCACGACTCATAATTTTCATGCTTGCGATATCAAGGCGCACTTTGAAGAAGTTCGTTGAACCTTGCTCAGCGTACAACTCACTTCGCGCAGGCCCACTGCAACTGTACCTATTCTTAAGCCGCTGATTATAGATAATAGCGAAGTTGTTCTCGGCACCAGACTCCAAGGTGATATACTCTTGTGGCTCGTTGGACGCCATGTTGTGACAGTAGATTCTAGTTGGATCTTTACATCTGTCGCTTATGTGAAGGAGGTAATGGCCATCAGAAGAATACCCAGATGCTTTTACTTCAGCACAGCTGCGAAATACTGTCCAAAATTGACAGGAATGTAAATTTAAGATAATTGGTGTTACTAAATAAATTTCAGATGAGTCCTGAAAAATAGTCAAAATAATTTTTCTTGGCCTAGTATTAATTGCGTGAGCCCTAAGAAAAAGATTCTTGACCTTTCGATTTAGAACCAAAGATACACGAGCAGCAAACGTGTCTGCAATGGAGATGTTTTAAGAGCACTCTTTTATGCATAAAATGACGTACCTTTGCTAACAGTGTAAGGCAGTTTCTTGGCCTCCTTCTTATCTTTATCAGGCTTGGTTATAACAATGAGATTATTCCCCGAGGAGATGTTGTTCCATTTGTCTACGCCCGGTTCGTCCGTGAAGGCAACCACCACGACCTTGATTGCATTGCTTCTCAATTTGGCGACCTCGTTCCTGATATCCGCAGATTTATCTTCAAAATTACCCTGGGTCATCACAACAAGAACATCCTCTGCAAATGGCCGCGCGCCGTTTTGAAGAGTGAACACCTCATCTCGTACTTTGCTTAAAGCGTCGCTAAGTGTCCCCGGTCGACCTCTGGGTACTGGTAAGCTACTTGCGATCCTTTTAAAGGTGGGTTTGTTGTAACCGTCGCTGAATAAGGCCCTGGTTGTCGCAGGACCATTGTAGTCTACCAGTGCAACACGTGTTTTGTCATTAGATATCTCATATTCATCAACAATGTCATTCAACATGGCTACCATTCTTGCAAAGACAGCAGACGCTTGAGGTTCAGAAGCGCCGATAACAAAAGCAAGGTCGGTGGCTTTTTCTGAAAAATTAAAGACAATATTTTAAATATAACAAAATCGTGGAGATATGAAAATTAAACGCTATTAAGTCCACGCATGAAGTCTGGAACAGGTTTTTCCAAATATGGATGAGTTAACCCAGGGTTAATGTACATTTTTGAGTCAGTTTTAGCCTTAGTTAGCATTTCAGACAAATTTAATGTTTATAGCTTACTTTCCCCATAGGTGGATAAAACCCCGAAGATCTTTTTCCCCAATAAACGCCTTCAAGCTGAACAAACCAAGACTGAGCTTAATTGTTTATCCAATCTTTGTTCCAACCAACCCTCAATCTACCAGTCCCTCGCGTCAAACTTAATTATTCATCTCCTCAGAATATTTCAAGAATAAGTTGACCCGCAGCTAGCAGATTCGTCAGTCAAGGTGGATCAATCAACTGCCCAAGATCAACTTAATTATTGCAAAGGAGAAGAAGCTAAAGAAATTAAATATTGGAAAGTAAGGAAATTAAACAACACCAGACAAATAATGAAATAAGTAGTGTACAAAGAGGTACTTATATACTGATGAACGGTATGAGACATACACTTTGATGAATTCAATTTTATATTACAGTCTTCAAACTAATATTTTCAATATTTTTTAAAAATGCAACAAATTCAACAGCTCCTCCTCCTTCCCCCTTTCCCACCCCCGCTAGATTAAGAAAAGATGAACTAAAAAGTAGAAACAATAAATCAAATTCCTTCTAAACCATTCTCCCAAACCAATCAAACAAAAAGGTGAAGAAGCGTCTTCAAATACTCACGACAGATTCCCTCTGACACCACACTAATCGCCATTTCATTCTTACAAGCCTTCCCTTTTAGAGCACATTCACTTGCGTACGTCACCAAGTCACTTCCACAAACTGGTTTAAAAGGTTCCGCTGAACAGTCATCCAGACATTGACAGAGAGCGGTGTCATTGGGCAAGGCTCGGCACTCAGCGTTGTAGTCACATACGACGTCTTCACATGGATCTACAGCAAAAAAAACACGGCCAGAGGGTCAGCGATGTACTCCCTCAATCAAAAAAATCAAATAGTGATTCAGAATAAAATCGATATTTTTCTTTTTATCGATAAAATAGAAGCACACCATTCTGCTTGACGTCCTCGAGGTAACGATTTTTTCGAGGCCTCTTGCATCCTACGTTGCTCATTGATGAAAGTTCTACGGCATATTTTTAGTGAGTGGAGGTAACAATACTGATGTGGTAGTTGATATTTGCAGCTTCTTACTGGTGCAAAACTGGATTTGTGTTCGCGCTTTGCGACTGCTTTAATAGATAGGAAGGTTCTAGGAAGTCAGTTAACAAAATACTGATTGGAATGATATAGAACGTTATGCAATATCAGCTAAAAAAACAAAACAAAACAAAACAAAAAACCGATAAAACACCCGACAAAGATATCAGTGGGGTTTCCTGACCATTCACCTCTACTGACTTTGCTTACAGACTACAGTTTACAGTAACTATTAGATGTTGGCATTGCTGGCATGACTCTGACGGAAAGCTTGAATGAGTGACGTTTCATACCTCATCACATCGTTAACATTGGAGACAGCCAAGAAAATTGGTTAAAATAATCCACCAACATTTTATCTACAGCTAAGTTAGAGTAAAGTAATTTTCAAGTGCAACATCAAAGGAAAGTTAACCAAAAAGATTAGGACTTACTACAAAGGCCACTGTACTTAACACTGATTTGTTTCTCCGTAGCACAAGCGTGACGGCGAAGAAAACACTCATTCAAATACGATTTTCCATCACTGCCGCACACCGGCTTGTAGATGTCGTGACAAGAACTGGTGCATGCGCAGTATTGGGTTTTATCATCCTTAAGCTGACAAGCGCCGTAAAAGGGGCATTTGACTCCAGAACAAGGAGTTTGTTCTTGTAAATGTAAAGAGGAGAGAGAAAAGACAGAAGAAGGAAAACTTAGATAAAGAAGTGACAGCAAAGTGAATTAGAAATTGACAGACTTTTGAAAATTTTCAAATGCAATAGGATCGCAAAAGAATAAATGAAACAACCGAAGTTTCGTCAAAAAAAAACAGAGGCCACCAGTCAAACCATATAGAGTTAGACTTCTGTACTTTGTGGACGTCTAGAGACGAAACAAAATAAACAGGAACTAGAGAGGTATATGATAAAATGATTTTGCACCTGGAAAGAAGAAAACATTTAGTAGAAGAGTCGTTGGAGGATGTAACAAGTGGAATGTAAGAGAACTTACTACAGCGTTTAATAGAAGCAACTGAAGTATTTTGTTGCATGAAACAAGCCTCTCTCCTAAGAAAACACTCATTCCAATAAGTCCTTGAGTTAGATCCGCAAACAGGAAGAAAAGATGAAGAACAGAGAAGAGAGCACGAGCAAAACGCCGTACCATCCCTTTGGGGAACACAGTTGGCGTAGTGCGCACATTTGGTTAAAAGACAATCACCTAAAAGAAAAGAAGACGACAGACCAAAACTGCAAAAGGAAATACTCATCAGAGGTTCAAAGAATGTTTGGAGATAATTTCGGCTGAATACGATAAACGGAATAGCCTTTCAAAGTGGAGATGAATGTTTAAAAAAAAGCCAATGAGAAATACGAGTGTAAATGGATGTAACCAAGCAGAAAAGCAAATGACCAAGTCTCGACTAGTTAACGTTTTGCAAAGGATTTGGTTGGGTAGGACTGGTGGCTAGAGTTTTCTTGACCCATCAAACAGCGCAGTGAAGTAAAACCATTACAATCCCACAATTCTTACGAGACTCGCTTGAAAATAAAAGTTATTCGAGAGGGATGAGAGGTAGGAAAAGAAGTAAGACAGACATTTTGAGTAGCCTCAGCAAAGAAAACGAAGGACAGTAAGGGAAATCACTTACAGTAAGCTAACGGGTTAGAAATAAGTTGTAAAGCGTAAGATATCCAAATAACTTTAGCGATAGCTCTTATGTTCATGAGTAAGTTCATGAGTAGGAATAGCAAAAGACGTGCCGAACCTCTCTCTTACCGATAATAATTGCTTTAGTTATATTTTGAACCAGTATATCCGGTTTGTCCACATCAGGTTCAGGATCTACGATTACTTTGTAAGGTGGAATTATGATGCCTCCCGGTCCGACTTCCCGTCCAATAGCAACTGGGATTACCTTCAATTAAAAAATAAAATTGTTAGCTTGGGTAGTACAAGTACAAATAACAGAAAGAAAAAATTTATCTTCCTCAGTCATTTGTAACTTCTCATTTTTAGTTATTGTTAGTGTTTACTTGAGCCTTGCATCTAAAGGCCTCTCTTCAAGATCCCGATTTGATTTGAAGCCCACGTTGAACGACCACAAAGAGAGCCCGAATTGCCGATGTGTACCAGTAAATAATGAGTCGAGTCAGCCCTTCTGCCGACAGTTACCGGTCGTTTCGTATCCACGGACGTTTCCTATCCATCGTTTCGTACTCAGCTAGGACGTTTCGTACCCAAACAGTTAAGTCGTTTCTTACCTAACTCATTCGCCTCGTACTCAAGATAGTAAGGTATTTTTTCCATGTTCACACAAAAAACAAAAGCTAAAAAAATTGGGAAACAAATGTGGCGCAAAAGTCCAATACGACGGCATGGTAGTAGGTCATGATGCAGAAACAAGAAAAATTAACAATACAAAACATGAAATAGAAAGGCAGGATGAATAAGACCAAAACAAACTTGGTTATTTAGGTGGAAGTACCAACCCAGGTCATTCATTACTCAAGTTCCTCAGTAAAAGAGCTGACGAGGCTTTACCAATGTTTGTATGCTAACACTTATAAACATTTGACCGCAGGCCGGTTACCCTTTGCGGAGAGTCAACTCAGGCTAGCTGCCACACCTTGGTCATAAGAGGCCTTATAAAAGATATGGATAAATTTGCATACGATAGAAAAGTACTTGTGTAAGTTACACTTTTGGTCTCCTAGCTTCTCGGAAAAAATACACAGTGTGTTCAGTCTATTAAAAAAAACTTAAATATAGGCACATTTTATAATTTGGGAGCCTATCCTAGCTTGACAAATCGCTCCTACCTTTATTCCTGTGTTTTCTAAACTCTTTGCATACCGAGTCACGTCTCCCACAGTGTCCTTGTCCACAATCACTACCAAGAACTTACGCACGCCGGGTCTCTCTCCTTTGTATCCGGGTCGGAAAAGCTCTGTAGCCTTCTCGAGCGCTTTCTCCAAGTTCGGCTGTCCACCGATTCTTGGAATATTTTCCAGTACAACCTTGAGTTGGTCAGGGCTGTTAAATGCATCGCCAAAGCGTATTCGTACATCAGTGTCGTCGCCAAACACCATGAATGCATAATGTACTGTGTACATGCCGTAATTATCCACGATAAGTTTGATAACGTCGAGCATGTAGTCATATAATTCGTTGGCTCTGGCACTCGTTGCAGAGATGGCGAACGCAATGTCGACTGGGAAACTGATGACCACTGAAAAATGAAAGAAAGAAGTAATCACTTGTCCCTTATGCACGAAACAAGAGCAAAGCAGGTTGATATGAAGTTCAACATTGCCCCAGGCAACAATTCGTGGGTTTTTCATTACAATTCAAGTGCTCATTTTCAAGTGTGGCAAACCAGCCTGACCAAGAAGTTAACCGTCCTTCTCTCAATATATTTCACCCTCGTTCAGGTTCTTATACCCAAGAAGACTAATTTCTTACGATTTCCATACAAACGACTAAAAATTATACCATCATACTAACAAATAACGTACGAAGAGACCTCCAATCACCTAGAAGTGGTTTTCATGAGGGTGTCCTTGAAGACCTCGAACAACACAAAATATTGTAAAGGACCACTGCACTAGAGGAATAAGATATCACCTGCACAAATATTACCTTAGACAAATGGAATATCCTCCACCTTCTTAAAAATAAGTAACATCTTCTACCTACTTACCCTTCAACGGACAAATTTTTTCAGAAATCAACGGCGCCACAGACATGAGTTCACTAAGGGAAGGAGCATAGAAGGCGTAGTCATCTTTAGATGCTACTCTCTTGACTCTAGGATCATCCATGCCACTTCCCACCCCTACAGAGTAAACTATTGCATCATGTGCCTTCAGGGTCCCTGATCTTTGTAGCAGCAAATTCATGTTGTTTTCCAATTGATCCATGATCACAACCACGGCCTATAAACGTGAAAGAAAGAATCAAAGTTTACAACACGAAACGATGACGTAGGACCTCATCAACATTTGTAAGCGTGAGCTGGTCTGCTACAACGGTTCCTCAAGTTAGCGCAATCATTTTAACAGTTTCATAGGCACAGTACCTTGAAATATGCTACCAGAATGAATTTTAGATTCATATCGTTAAAGCACAATTTTTTTCTTAGACGTCAGAAATTAAAGGGATTAAAATAGAAGAAACGAGTTATGCTCTTCAGTCACACTCTAATAATTTTCGCACAAATCTTTACGTTTCCCAGCTTCTAATAAAATTTTCCCTTGCAGCTTTTATAACAGAGTCGACTGAATGTTAAAAACTTAATCGAAATGACACGGAAATTACGGCTAGCAAAAGACTGCTCGCAATTAACGAAACTTTACACTAATAATAATTATAATAATAATAATAATCATCATCATCATCATCATCATAATAATCATAATCATAATTCTAATAGTAATAATAGTAATAATCATAATTATAGTAATGATGATGAAAATAATGATGATAATTCATAATCAACCGTTATCAATTTTTAATAATTATTATTTGTATGGTGCAAACTCCATGTAAGCATGATCACATGCGCTTCACAATAACCAAAAAATATAAGTTAAAAAAATCTGACCTGTTTGACGTCGACTCTCCTGTCTTTTATCGCTTCCAAGGCTTCCTGTAAACCAAGAGTAATGCCTGAGGATGAACCCACATCGCTGACACTATCAATGTCGAGTTTGACCAAGTCTGCACTTTGAGAATCATTAAATGATATCAAGTAAAAGTCATCTGCATCTGACAGCACCATTCCTACTCGTGTATCGTTAGGACCGATGTTAAATTTATCGATGACTGCCTTTATGAAGTTCTTCTTGACCTCAAGGTTCCCTCCATCCAGGACAAAGAGCAAATCGACCCGGTTGCTACAAGCTACAACAAAAAAAAAAACGATAATAAAATAATCATGACATAACGAACACGATAATCCACCAGAAAAAAGAATTTCACACATAATACGACTTAGCTTTACGATTTATAACAGTTAATAAAGAAACTCAAAGTAAAAAAGCAAACCACCTAAAACGTAGAAAAACATGTGTGATCAAATTTTGGATCTGATTGGTTGTAAAAGAAGCGCGAGTTTCTGGACCAATCACGAAGCGACTGAAGTAAAACCAAAGCAATCCAAGGTTATTTTCGAAGATCGATTGAAAACTGCTCTTAATGGTAAATAGACTAAGTGTAACAGGTTTCGATACCTTCACAGACACCCTCCTTTACAACTGTGAGCATCGTCTGCGTCCTGCAAGCTTCGAATATCATGCTGCAGTTGTTAGGGTACGTGCGTTCATCACTGGCACATACAGGAGTGTATGTCTGAGCACAATCATCACGGCACACACACTCGGTCGAACCATTTGCTAACTTAACACATTTGGCATCAAAATCACACGTGGTAACCAAACATGGATCAGAAAGAGCTGCAACAATAATAATAATTCGATTACTGGATTAGCAGGGTTAGGAAAAAACCCATGTGACTCATGAGGAGAGGCCGGTTATAGGTCCTTTTTCGCCAAGATATCCATAACAGTGACAGACAAGCAATATTTCACAGTCAATAGCCTAGACTTGGTAAAACTGCGGGCTTCTTTCTCTTCCTCCACAACAGTGTTTCTGATCTTTCCTCCTTTACCCACCAACTATTTTTAGTTTTTGTCTCACTAGATCGAGATGCCGTGAAAGATGACATGCAAGTTTTTTTCCTTCAGACCTCAACATACTTTGCATACTGGATGTCGTAAAACCAAAATCAAAATAATCACAAGGGTCTATCAGAAGAGGCAGATCCAGGACAATTCGATGGGAGGTGGGGTGGGGTGGGGTGGGGTGGGGTGGGGGGGTGTCAAAACTCTTATTCTTAGAACACATACAAATTGTTTACACCAAAGTCTAAATAAGCAAAGAAATACATATACGGAAATGTCGATTTTAGAAAGTTCACATTGAGTAGTGACATGTACTCCTATTATTGCACGCATTGTATTGTCAGACCATTAGAAAAAAAAAAACCTACAGTTCTGATGGGGATGGACACTAGACACGACGACCCCTCGGCCTAGATCCACCACTGATCAGAACAAAGGTAAAGATAACAAGGACCCAGTGAGAACAAAGTGATTAAATGCAAAAAATTTTAAGCACCGGCAAGTTTTACAAGCCTTGGCAGTCATTTTCTACCTCATAACGTGACGTGCTCTCTCCCCATGAGAACGAATTATGAGAGGACACGAAAAAGCGCTAAAGGAGACCATACACTATGTACGAACTCAATATCTCTGTAATATTTACCCAAAGTTATCAGCACCATAATCTTCTTTCCAACTATTGATGGGACGCCATCTTTATCCGTATACACTATGTTTGTTTTATCCTTGTCTGGAGCCAGTGGTATAAGCTCATCTTGGCCAGCGTTCTTTCCAATGACCACAGTAACAAACCTAACCTTTCCGTCTTCAAAATCACCCACAATCTTTTCGATGTTACTTCCGGTGTTAACAGACTTCCGGTCGATCATAACTATGATAACCTTCCTGGAATCTGGTCGCGCGCCTCCACTTGGTTGGAAAAACAGATATTTTGCGTCTTTGAGAGCGTTTACCAGATCAGGTGAACCACTGGGTAACCTGGCGCCTTGTATAAGAGTTAACAAAGACTCTTTATCGGTCTTTTGGAACGGAAAGACTATGTTGGATCTTTGACCAAAGGTCATCAAGCTGTACAGGTGTTTTTTGACGCCATGTCGTTCGATTATGGAGTCGATTGTGGATTTGACGAGTTTAAAATTTTCTTCGGCATCCACGGAAGTCGTGCTGACTATAAATGAAATGTCCAGTCTGGTAAACGTGGTGATACCTGCAAGAAAACAAAAGAACTTTCTGAGGGATATTTAGAGCAAAAAAATTACGTCACTCTTCTCAAAAAGATCCTTTCAAAAGTAGCTACGTGGTGATAGACTGACACCATCAGCGCCTCAAGGAAAATTCCATTGCGATACAAAAATAAACTTTGAAAGAGCCAATAGCCATGGAGGTCAAACGTCAGAGAAATAAGACTTAATGAATCGATCGATTCGAAGCTTCAACATACTCCCCCCCTCGCAGGCATTTGAGTTTCTGAAGATTGATGTGTTTAAATTCCCGACCCCCAGGTTTTCTACGGAAGCTCTGTACAGTGGCCAATTTACACAATGAACCCAGTTGATAAAAGCAAATTATTTTGCACTATACCTACCATTCCCACCATTCCCTCCATTCCCACCATTCCCTCCATTCCCACCAACGCAGCACTATAGTTCCTTAACTTAACTCCCCTACTTACCACTAACGAGTATCTCCTCTATCTTATCAGCGGTTTTAATAGGATGGTCTTTGTCTTTGGTTTTGATGACTTCCTCATCCGGAAACTCCTTTTCGAAGTCAGAAACAGGCCTGTTACCGATAGCAACTGGGATGACAACTACGGAGCTGTCCACCAGGTCTTTTGCAGCTTCCATAATGGCTGGCTTGTTACGACCAGTGAAAGTGTCCATGATAACAACAAGAACCTACAACGACGGTAAATAACAGTGATATTACCCACCATTGTTGAGTGCAGTAGTAAAAATAAGTAAAATTAACAAATTCAATTACCTCAACTACTTTCAAATTTCCCTATGGACTTAAGAGAGTAGTTGCATCTCATGGCAAACTGCATTGTCAGAAAGTCCATGTTAAGTTGAGCTCAAAGCACACGGCAAAAATTGCCGCTCTAAAAGCTAGGCACAGAAGGGGCGCTTTCTGTTTATCTTTTTTTCTCTTTTTTTTTTGCCTGAGACCTAGCGCGTTCATTTATGCGAAAAGGACAAGTGAACAGATAACAAGAAAGAAAGAAAGAAAGAAAGAAAAAGAGGAAAAAAAACCAAGGATACCCACCTTTTGTGCATCTTTCCGGGCAAACTCACTTTCAAACAAAAGCTTAGCCTTAATGAGCGCCTTATCGAGAGCTGGCTCGTTATCGTTGGAAGCGACTGAGCCAATGAAAGTCTGCAACTTTTTAGGGTCCCGATATTTATCTCTGAAGTGAATCCTTATGAAGGCATCTCTACCAAACACAATCAAACCGTATTGGACACGGTCGCTGAAAAATCTCTCTGTTACTTCCTTTACAATGTCCAGGATCAATCCAAAATTACGGTCCCTTGGTAAGGCACTGATTGCGAAGGCGAGATCCAACTTGGGTATTTTAGGTGTGACTGGAAATGGAAAAATAGAAAGGATGTAGAACTAATGTTTGACTCTACACAGTATCGGTATACTAGAAAAAGATCACAATTGGATTAACACATAAATAGACATTTTACCATGATTTATATCAGTAAAACAAAGGCAACAAAATTTTTCGATCTCAAGAGTATTTTAAAAGGTATACGCTAGAATAAAAATAATTTATTTTATATGATTGTTATTCACTGTAGCAGCTTTCCAGAAAAAAGCTGTGAAGAAAGGGAGTTGGTTTACCTTTCAGAACTTTTTCCATCACAGAGTAGCCAAGGTCGGTTGGGTCGACATTCTTGCGCACGACAACGAGCACGTCTTTATACGGTGAGATATCCTTGATTTCCTTAGCATCAATATCACCGCCAAAAGCAACGGGCACGATCTTAACATTAGCGTACTCCAGTTCTAGTGCCTCCTTCCCAGTTTCACCGCTATCTCCAATGGGTGATTTGTCTGCAATCACCACCAGTACTTTTTTAGCATCTTTACGACCACTTGACTGGAACAACACCCTGGCCTTCTGTAAAGCCTTCTCCAGAGCGGGCCCTCCTTGCTCAATCCGCATGTTGTCAACAGAACTCAGCCAATTCTCCAGAGCAGGGAAATTCCTCTCGAAGCTAAGAAGTACTTTTGCATCGGAGCCGTAAACAATAACAGCGTAACGCAGGTTTCCAACAGTGTACTTCTTGATTATGGATTTCACAGTTTCTTTCATCTTAGCGAACGTTTCTCTTGCATTTAATGCTGTTGCACTTAAAGCAAAGCCAAGGTCGATCTTCTCTGTAACGACATATTCTGGAAAGGAAATGTCATGTAAAAAAATACATTTTTAGAGGACGGTTGTAATAAGTCAACATCAGAGTTACGTAAGAAATTTAATTAGCTGACACAACCACACAGTGGATAGCGTTTCCCCTGGTACTGAACCATAGCCTTGTTTTGCAGTAAATACAAAGGAATTCACCTTTACTCAACACTGTCGGAAAGGCTATGCATGAAACATTTGTGGAGGACGTCCCAAAGGCCAGAAAGAAACCTCTTTTTCTTGTAATAATTCGCGTTTGTTATAATACATTCCTATCTCTTTCTTTCTCTGTTTAATATCAACTTGATCCTGGAGCCCGTTTCTCGAAAGTCCCGTAACTTTGCGGGCCCGAAACCAAATTTTAAAATCAAATTCTTGTTTCTTTATCTGATATTTAAATAGTGCTATTTTTAAACTTTTGAAACCCCGACCTTAAATGAAAAAAGAACAGCGTTACGGGCTCGTTAACCTACTGGGACCTTCGAGGAACGGGCCCCTGGTCAGTTTACGGAGCAATAACTGAACAAAAATAAATAGAATGCAAAAATAAAAATCAAGTAATTATGATGTTTTTCCGTCTTATCAAGGGCGTGGGACTAAAAAAAAATTTAGTCCCCGTGAGAAATTGAACATTAGACCTTTGGATCTCGCGCACCGACGCTCTACCACTGAGCTACAGAGACAAGGTTCACATTCATTAACTACTATGACAAGACTTGAAATTTGAGCGTACCATTTAAGACTACCATCAATAACTCCTTCGCTGTCTTCTTGGGAAGTTGTTCTTCTTCCGGCTTGATGACCTCCGGCGAGACCGGATCAAACTCATTGCCAAGTACAATGGCGATCACGCGGACGCCATCATTCCTCAGCTTCTGAGAGGCAGCTCGTACAGACTCTTCAGTGCTGTCAGACTTTTTGTCAGTGATGACCACTACAACCCTCTTGGCATCAGGTCTGGCATCCTCAGCTAACGCGAAGAGATATCTAGTCTCTTCCAAGGCTTTTTCGAGAGAAGCGGCACCCACATCTTTCTTGACGTTGTCAACGATCTTGACAAGATCTTCCTCACTGGCGAAGACGTTGTCGAATCTTATTTTGACCACAGGTATGGCACCAAATGTAATTAGGCTGTACCGGACTCGAGACAGGCCGAAGGTTTGCACGGTTTTCTTGATGATTTCTTTAGTTGCTTCGAGATTTTTGTCCTTATCCACAGCAGTCGTGCTGATGACAAAAGCGAGGTCCATTTCCGGGACGAAAAGTGTTTCTGATGGGCGAACAAGGAAAGGAAAAAAAACGAGTAACAGTATGTTTCAAAAGACTAAGCAAAAGTAATAGCCTAAAAATTGAACGCAAAAAGGGCAAATAATGAAGTAAAGAAAATTGACGGGAAGGACCAGGGAACGCCAAAGAGAGACAGAGAGAGGGCAGGGCATAGACGGACCATAGACTGACAGGCAGACAGACGGACTGTAGACAGACACACACACGGACAGACATACAGACAGACAAATGGACTGACATAGGGACAGACAGTCAGGGAGATAGGTAGATAAACAGACGGACAGACTGGGGGAAAAAGATGGCGTAGAGACAGACAGACGAACGTACTGACTGGAACGCAAGAAAGGCATAAGAATGAGAGCCTTAGAGACACACCGACTGATCGACAGACAGATCGTCGGATCAGAATGAATGTAACTCTGATGTAATATGGAAACATGTTTTTATTCCACGTGGAATTACTCCTGAAAGACAAAGATACGATAATAGGAAAAATGAAATACCTTCCAAACCCTTCCTCATGATTACGTCCACCAAATACTCTGTGGAAACCGTATTTGGTTTTGTAATGATGTCTTTCTCTCGTGGAGTTAAAATTTGCAGTTCTGTTTTATCAATTTCACTTCCCAAACCTACAGGTATTACTTTGATTTTAGCTTGTTCCAGTTGAGACGCCTTCTCCTGCAAGACTTTAGCATCGCTATCAGATTTCCTATCTGTTATTACCACTAAAACCTTCCTCGCTCCAGGACGCCCATATTGATTAAATGCTTCCTTGGCTTTATCCAGCGTAGGGCCCAATGCAGAACCAGATACTCGATTTATATTCTTAATAAAAGTCACCAACTGGTCATCTGTTCGTCGCTGATTGAACTGGATCTTTACGTCTGGGACAGAGCCGTAGACCAATATACTGTACAATACTCTCTCTTGGCCATACATCTCTACTATCTGGCTAACAACATCCTTCATCTTTTGAAAGTTGGTACGTGACTGTACAGCGTTGGCACTGATGGCAAAGGCCAGGTCAACCTCTGGTATGATCGGCAAATCTACAAAAGAAACACAGAAATTATCATGATAAGAGAGCAGCGGAGATGGCGTAGTGACGCGTCATATGTGATGCATCACATGTGGGTTGAGTTTGTTGTTTGTTCTCCAATTCATCCGGTTCATCCGGTTCATCCGGTGTTCCTCCCTCCGCAAAAACCAACATTCCAAACTTCAATTCGACTTGGAAACAGTGGACAACAACAAACACCTTGTGCAATGTCCACTGCTAAATTCCTATTACCATCATAATCACTTTTAAAAAATACTCATAACGGTAACATTACTTTACGCAGCGTCTAAAAGTAAACTTGAAATACCCTATTTACCTACAGTCAAATTTTCGGTCCTGAACAAAAATCCTTACCTTTAAGTACGATAATCATAACTTCGTTTCCCAACTTGTCTGGGACTTCAAAACTTTCCTTGGCCTTTATTAGGTTTCCCTTGTTAGGCACGACTTTGATGAGCTCATCAGGATCTGATTCCGATCCAACGGCCACTGCTATCACTTTCACACCTTTGTCTTCCAGAGGTTTTGCAGTCTTCTTCAACATTTCCAAATCGTTCCCTGATTTGCTTCCAACAAACACAACTAAGAATTTCTTAGCTCTCGGTCTTGGTGATGCAACCTCGAACAACTGTTCTGCTCTATCCAACGCCTTCACTACGTCCGGCCTTCCGCGCGGTCGAGGAATGGCTGTCACAAATCTAATCAAACCGTCTGCATCGCCCGACTGGTCTCTAAAGCCTCGTACAGAAGAAGGATTTGTTCCAAAAGGAAGGATAGCGAAGCGAATTTGATCATGATCTTTGTACTTTTCGATCATGTGTTTCACTGCTTCCTGCATTTTCTTGTACGTTTTATCTGCATTGGAATCAGATGTGCCAAAGGCGAAGCAAATGTCCATTTCTGGAATAGCTTGTCCTTCTGTAAGTTAGAAAGAGAAATACTCCGTCAATGTAATAATAATGACCCAAAATGTAACGTGCACACGTCCAATAAAACTGGTTATACCTAATCACACAAAACAAGAAATACGGTAAATTTTAGCATAGTCGTCCTTCGAATGAGGAAAGATTTTATTCGTTTTATCGTGTGCGTGGGTCTTCACGGGTAGTCAAACACAAAACTTTAGGATTTCATCAGGATCTGCCTCCGATATTGTACCACAAAGCTACAGGGAACTAGACGGTAAATTATACCGCGATCATGTTGGGAATCCTCAGGGCAAAGTTATAATGTGACTTTTTGTCACGAGGATTGGACAACAAAAAACCTAGTCCTTTACGAGGAATTGGACTCCAAGGAGAGCTAAACAAATACGAAAGAGACGAGGGCTCGCATCATCATCATCCCCGCTCCTCTCTTGTGGCGAGAAAGATTTATGTCAGAGTAACGTAAGATTGCAATCTTGCTAAGAAAAATGTAGTGATTTAAAACAGATTATAACCCACACCCATTAACTTTCGCGCGATTCTATTAGCCATTTTACGTTATGCGGTGCAAAATCATCGGACAGTTATCACGAAATAACCCCCGTCTACATCGATATTCTCCCCCGATTATTTCTTATTTCACATTTGCCCTCAGCCCTGCTCATCATAAACTAACATACCAGCCGCCCCAAAGTGCACAGGATTTTAAAACATTAAGTGAACACAAACTTACTAGCTCTCATAATAATCTCCTCTGCAGTTTTCTCCGAGTCTCTGTCTTTGTCGGCTTTCACCAGATCGTTCTTATCAAGTGTTGTATTTGTGAGTTCTTCAACATCTGCTTCTCGGCCAAGTGCCACAGGGATGACACGGATTTTGTAACCTTCCAGCAAAGCGGCGGCATTTCTAACCTCCTCTATGGTATTGTCTGACTTTTTGTCGATAATCACGACAAGTACTTTCCTTGCATCCGGTCGGTGACCTGTGTGATTTTAAAAAGTTTGGAGTTAAGTCCTAAACAATATAAAGGCGGCAAACACCGTCTTTGTCTATCCCCTTTTTCATAGCTTCACTTAAGCTTATCCCCTTTTCCATAACTCGACGTGACCTAATCCCACGGGAAGGGGATGATAGATCATGACAGGTAACCCCACCCATACCACTGTGGAAACAAATGCCGTACACAAATATTCAATACCTTGACCCAGAAATCTCCTCTCCAGCGGGTTATCTTTTAGGTCTGTGCGTCTCACACAATAACAAAAAGTGTCAGCCATGATTTATAAGCAAAGACCTTTTCTCGTCCCGAACCTGACTAAGACATTATGACGAAAGTATCTGCTTCTACGCAGCCTTTGTTTGGTCATGTCACGCTACAGAGAGCAGGGCGCATACGTGAAGACACCAAACACGGTTGCGAAGCCACAATAAAGTCTGATGACAACTGTCATTTCTATCACTACCACACTAGATTTCTTTGCCGTATTGTTTTCTGTACTCATTCTGATTGTACCCTAAACAACTATACTCACTTACGCTTAGTATTCAACGACATGTTTTACAAATGTTTGCAATTCAATACCGTGTGAGTACCAACCTTCAGCTTCTTCAAATACTTCTCTTGCTTCTTCCATTGCATCTTGCAGAGATACGCCACTGAGATCCTTCATTTTGCTCCGACTGATGGCATTTTTCAGCCTGTTTACCTCATCAGAGATGAAATTAAATTTAAAATGTACGTACGCCTTTTGGCCGAATGTTAACAAGCTATACTTGATCTTCCTAATGCCATATTTTTCGATGATCTTGTAAATGACCTCTTGTGTGTAAGCAAAGTTCTCCTTTGAGTCTGTGGCTGTGGTACTGATTGCGAACAACAGATCCATGGCAGGTACGAAAATCCTCTCTGTAGATAGAAACGCAATGTTGTATTTGATGAATACAAAAATTTATGTTGGCTTCAAGATAAAGGAGCTGAACAAACCGGTGATTTGTAAGTTCGAGATCGGATACATCCCCCTGAGAATCCGGAGAAGGTGATGGGGGGGGAGGGAGGGGAATAGCTAGGATATATAATAACAAGTTGAATGTGGTATTACAGAGGTTCAAAGCTAATCAAGCACCGCTAGAACGACTGCAAGGCCTGTTGGGTACAAATGCATCAGTGCAATAATTTTTCATAACTTTTCCATCACGAGTTAGTACAGGTGAGAAATGAAGTCGTTTTACATTAGCATAATTTTTCTGAGTGAATTTTACATTCGTGTCAAACAAACCTTTAAAGACAATAACCATCAATTTATTCTTAGTTTCGCTAGTTTCATCAGTGGTTTTAGCTGTCATAAACGAACTCTCGTCATCGGTCAGTAGACGAAGTTGCCTTTCATCAGCCGTGACTCCGAGGGCGACAGGAATAACTATGACGTTATTGTCTTGTAAAGGCTTCAACGCATTTTGTATTTCTCTGTCTGTGGATCGAGAACTTCGGTCTGAAACAACGACTAAGACTTTTTTGGCGTTGGATCTCCCTTCTTCTGAAATCATGTCCCATGAAGTCTTGAGAGCCTAAAACATAACAAAGATGACAAACAATATTCCTTTTTTTTGGCAAAGTTTTGTCTCAATTTCAACCGTAATTTTTCATCTTTCGCAGCAAAAAAAGCACTTCTGCTGCAATTCGTATCGAGACAAAGATAGAAAATGGCATCGTCTAAAAAGCTAGCAAAATGATTAAGACAAGTTGCTGAGTTTTTCCTTGAGCAAGCGACTAGTTATCATCTAGCTCTTTTGACGAAGGGGATTGCAAAGTAAGTTTTCTTCAATCATGAATCACCGAAGAAGCATATGTTCTAACATCAAGTCTGAACGTGAAAGTGATCGAGTTCTAAGTGAATTTTTTTGTCAAATCGCTCTTATGGAAGAGATATTTTAAAAGTTTGTCTCGATCATAGGACAAGGAAGGAAAACGGTGTGTCCCCAGTGAGAATTTTAACGGATGACCATCCGATTTTGCGGTCGGAAGATCTGAACCCACTAAGCAACAAAAAATTGTTGAGGTCATGTGTGGCAAGCGTTATGCATACGATTAGGATCAACAATGTCAAAAACATCTTCCTCGCTCTTTCCAATTTCAATACCGTCAGATTTTTTGCCGCAACAGAAGATCTAGAAACTTCTGGGAATTGCACCAGCGTAGTTTTCCCCGCAGTTCGTATTCAAGAGGTAACAAGCTGGGACGATACCAAAAACTGTTATTATACCTGCCCATACCCTACCTTTACTAAGTCAGCACTGCCTGTTTCTCGGTCAAACGAATTCAACTTTGCCATTAGTTGTTCGTCTGTATTGTAACTATCAACCAAACGCAAAGCTTTCCTTGGCTCCCTTCCAAATATCACCACGCCATAACGAATACGCTCCCGGCCATACTCCGTGACTATAGAATCAATTACATCCTTGGTCTTCTGGAAGTTTTGCTCGCCAAGTGTCGCCGTGCAACTGATTGCAATGACCATGTCTACCCTCTCTATCGATGGATAATCTGATGAGGAACAGATAAAATGCTTAATTCCCCTTTTGAACGTTTTTCGATTCAGTGAGGCAAAAGCAACCCCAAGTAAGATTCCCTCACAGATTCCGCGCTCTCCACTCCGCGCACCGACGCTTTATCACTGCTCCGCTGTTGAGTTGGGTGACTTATGAAGCCAGTCATTGCATGGCTCAAAGTTCAGTGACAGAGCATTGGAGGGCAGATTCCGAATGGCTAGGGTTCGATTCGTAACAAGACGAATGACGAATTTTTTATCCCAAAATTTACCATCGCTATTCGTTTTGCCTCGTGCGTGAGACAAAGAAAAATCTGATTCCTCTAGAGCCGCGAAACCCAGCTCCAACGTTATTACATCGACCAACCGTAAATAAGGTAAATATCACAAGACGCTAAAGCAAAATTGGTCAACAAAAATAAAGAGACAAGAGAAGTTCATTACCTTTTATGACAATGCTTATGATCTTCTTTCCCAGAGCTTTAGATTCTTCATCTTTTGGTGAGGATATCATATTCTTCCGGTTTGTGGTGATTTTTTCCAATTCGTTGCGACTAGCACCGGTGCCAATGGATACTGGAATGACCTGCAAGAACAAGATAGAAAGGTAGTCATTATCCTTGTATTTTTAACCGATTTGCAAGGAAACATGTGGCAGCTAGAGAGGAGAATTAGCAATCAGGCTTTAGGAATAAAAGGGTTAAAATTGACAAAACGAAGCCGACCCACCTTGATTTCTTCCTCCTCTAAAGCTTTTGCACCTTGTTGGATCTCTCCTGGCTGGTTTCCTGATTTGGAATCCATGACAACAACCAAGAACTTTTTGGCCCTTGGTCTGTCTAACGCTTGATCAAATACTCCTTTTGCTGTCTCCAGCGCCTCTTTCAGATTTGTTACACCAGTAGCACGAGGAAGACGTTTGATTAATTGTCTGAGTTCATCCACTGTCCGACCATCTTGGAACTTGACGTCGTCGTACGAAGATGAACCAAATGTGACCACTGCATAACGAATGCGATCGTTGCCGTAGTATGTAATAATAAAGTCAATAGCGTCTTTGATTTTCTGAAACGTTTCCTCTTTTCCAGCAGCATTGGAACTGATGGCGAAGGCCAAGTCTACTATCGGTATAGCTAGGAAAACACCAAATAATAAAGTCATCCAACGTGAACAGTAAAATAGGAAGAAAAGTGTATTTAACTGTTGGAAGATGAGGTCGCAGATTGTAACGGCTGATATGCAGTGAGCAGAGCAGCCCTGATTTTACCCTGCTTAGCTGGCTATTTTGTTAGCGCTGTTTTGTTACACACAAACCTTTGCGTCGAGCGGCAAAGCCACGAGAAGTTTGGCTCCAAAAGAGAAACGCCTGTTCTGCTGGCCACCCTAAATTATCAAAGCTGATTTGACTAAGAGGACGAGTCCTATCATTTAAATTTACCTGCTGGTGTAGACGTCAGTCGGAAACAAAACACTCCCTGGAAGTGCACACAATACCTTTCGAAGCGACTGATTTGCAACTTTAAAAAGTTTCATCAGCAGGTACGAAAGTGATTTTCATTAACAGAAATATTATTGCGTTTTCCTGAGATGACAATTAAACCGCCTCGATTTTGCCACTTTACCTTTCATCATTTTCTCCATGATTCTCTGAGCAATGTTTACCGTCTTGTTATTCACATATGCCAATATCAAATTTTCCTTATGAGGCGTAATCAACTCCAGCTCCTTCTTGTCAGCCTGGCTCCCAAACGCAATCGGAATCACCTCGACGTCATCCTCCCACAATGGAACAGCCATGCTCTGCACATCCTTTCTGTTGCTGGTAGACCTCTTGTCCATTATCACCACCAGCACGTTCTTAGCACCCTCCCGGTAATATTCCCCGAACAAATCAGCAGCCTTCTTCAAGGCTTTATCCAAAGCAGCTCCGTCCGAGACTCTGGCCTGAAGATCAAGGTGTGCTTTAAGCTCGGCGTCGCTATCAAAGGTCCTGGAGAATCTCAGCTCAACCGAAGGTTCGTTTCCAAACACAATGAGACTGTAGTGAATCCTTTCCTTGCCATATTCATTTACCATGGTTTTGATGATGTTTTTCATCTTTTGGAACTTCTCGTTCGCATTAAAGGAGAGACTACTGATCGCGAAGATCAAGTTGACCATTGGGACTGTTGGAAGATCTGTAAGAAAACAGAGATGACATTTGTTATAATGTTCACGTAGTAACATATTTTCACGGTGCTTCACCATATACGTAGAGAGCGAAGGTACTTTAAGTGATTCATTCACATTTTACGTTCAATATAATCCCTCCCGGGGATGCCAACAGGTCAAGACAAAGACTTGCGCGTATAAATGATCCCAACAGCTACTTCAACAAGGAAGCATCAGTCATTGATTCTAATACTAGCAAGAAAAGACGCATAAAAGCGCATAAGGCCTAAAGCAAGTTACAGGCTTTAAGGGAAACAAAACACTCACTCTTTAAAGCTTTTCGGATTATTTCTTCTCCAAGTCTCTCTGGATCCTCCTCATTTCCGACGATAACGATAAATTTCTTATTAGTTGTTGTCTTTTCAAGTTCAGATAGACTGACTTCGGAACCCACTGCCACAGGGACCACTTTGACATTCACGTCTTCCAACAGTTTAGCTGCCTCTTTAACATCACTGGCATCACTGGCTGACTTTTTATCCATTATTACTATAAGAACCTTCTTAGCTCCGGGTCGAGGGGTCGCCTGTTTGAACATCATCTTTGCCTCCTCGAGAGCTTTCTTTAAGTCTGGTGCACCACTCGGTTTACTAGCCCCTTCCAAAGCCTTTCGTAGTTCTTCTGGGTTGGGCGAATCTTCAGTGAAAGTAACCTCTTTACTGACTGTGCTACCAAATGTGAGTAAAGCGTAGCGGATTTTGCTGGCCTCGTAATGTGTTGCAATGGAGTCTATAGCTTCTGTCATCAGAGTAAACGTTTTGTCTGCATCCTGTGCTGATGCGCTGATTGCAAAGCCCAAATCTAAAAGAGGAACTGATGCTGTCTCTGAAAGATAAGAAAAATATAATAAAAAATCTAAAGTCTAATTAACTGGATTCCTACCTACAACCTTCCACGTGGCACTCCGTCAACAAAGATCACGTGGTTTTCTTACCATTCAGTGCCCTTCTTATAATATCCTCCGCAATGTTTTGAGCCGTGTCGCTGCCTGGTGGTGTCAGCACATCCTCCTCCACAGCTGTCGTCTTGTCCAGCTCACCTTTGTCCGCTCTATCAAGCCCAACTGGGATCACTCGGATGCCAGCTTCCCTCACCAAAGCCGCGGCATCTTCAGTGTCATCACCAGAACTGTCTGACTTGTTATCGATGATCACAACTAATATCTTTTTGGCATTCGGTCGCCCTCCATTCTCCTCGGTAAACATGGCTGAGGACTCTTCCAGAGCTTTAGCCAAGTCAGAGCCTCGTTGGACTCCGCGGACAGAATCCACCAGACGCATGAACTGAGCATTACTGTTTACTTGTCGGCTGAACTTGATAATGACGTTTAGCTTGCTTCCAAATGTACCCAGACTGTAGTGCATTTTATTGATTCCATATTTGCCGACAATATCCTTGATTATGTCTTTAGTTTTCTTGAGGTTGTCACCGGCTTTCAGAGCTGTGGCGCTAATGGCGAAGGCAAGATCCAATTCTGGAAGTTTTGGTTTATCTGCAGATAAAGGAAAACAGTAAAAACTGCGGTGAAACGAAGTAGTTACAAAGGTTGTATAATTTAATCAAAAGTATAAACATAGCGGTTTTTCATTACCTCAAGTATTAATTAACCCCCTACCGCCTAGCATCAGTAAGCATATCTATACTGTTCTTTATATATTTTCTAAGGTGCTGACAAGGAGAATTTGCTTAACAGTCAAGAGCTTCTTTATTTGGTGATCATTTCCTTTATTCTCGCAACCTTGATGTTTGATCCAGGGGCGATATTGTAGGGAGAAATCAGATGCTGGTCACTCTTAGGGGTTAAAAAGGTAGTAGCCTCCACAACACTCCATAACCTGGTAACCGTCTGATAACAAATTTTTAGCCAGAAATGTTTGTTTTTGGTTGGTAATTACATTATTTTCTACAAATTTCTGTAACAGGGAGCAGTGACTGGCTTTCCGAGAGTCTGAGGGGAAATCTTGACCCTGATAAATACTTCTACTCAGTTTGCCAAGACGTCGGTCACTGACAACGACAACGGTCACTGAATGTATAAAAGTTTTCCCACCAACCTTCCAACCCAATCTTCAGAATCACCTCTGCCACTTTATATGGATTGCTATCCTTGTCAGTCTCTATTATATCATCCAGCCACGGCGTGATTTTCTGCAACTCGTTTACGTCAGCCTCGTTTCCAAGCGCCACTGGTATAACTCTGACGTCTTCCTGCTCCAGGATTCTGGCTGCTTTAGTGACGTCACTGATTTCGCTCGTGGATCTCTTGTCTGTGATTACAACCAAAATCTTCCTGGCGTTTGGACGTCCCAATAAAACGAACTCCTACATGGAGGAAAAAATAAGTTACTGGGTGAAAGACTTTCTATTTCAATGGTATTTACTACGAAAACTTGAGACCAGTAGCCAAAAGACAGCAAACCGATATGGGCTCTTAATAATAATAACGTCTCAAAGTTCCATGCAAATATCTTATTGTTACCCTTCAAAATTCGGTAACCTCCAACGTTTGGGAGGTTCAGTGACTTTTATAATCGTTTTCACGACATTTGCATAGTCTGACGTTACCCTTAACAGAGAGATTCTTGTTAAAACATTTTGCAAAACCAAACCAAAACTAATCACAACAGCAAATCAAAACAAAGATTAAATTACAGCGAGTCAATGAGAAAAATATTAATGGTTTCCAAAACAACCCCGTGATGCTTTGCGAAACATAACTCGACCCAATCTCCTGCGCAACCTCGGAACGGTTGCAAATTTCATCTGACTCGCTTATAGGGTAACGCAAATTTTCTCGGCCGATCGCAAACCCAGACGATGGCAAACTACTTTCGAAACTCAGCTCAAAATTGCTATATCTAGTTTGATTGTATTGCGCTTCCTTTCATTGTTTGACCAAGAGGCAAACAAGTAATATTAAGAAGTTATTGTTTCTACTCCACCTGGTTCGCAAGTCTTAGGGCTTTAGAAAGTGATGCTCCACGACCACTACGAATTGAGCTGATGGAATTCATTAGAGTTTCGTCCGACTCAAAGTTGCTGTTTAAGCGAAGTCCTAGCTGTGGTTCATCTCCGTAGACTATGACCGAGTACTTTAGGTCTCCTGTGCCGTACTTGTCAATCATGGCATTGATGATCTCTTTCATCTGACGGAAGTTATCTAATTGATTCAGCTGTGCAGTGGCGCTGATTGCAAAAATCATGTCCGTCTCAGGTACGTCCAATATTTCTATAAAAAAAAGAAACATCTTTTTTAAATTTTGTAAACCAAGAGATGTAGTACATCCATGAGAGGAGGTGACAATAGCAGCCTCAGTAAGGTCAATTGTTACATTGTCCTACTCTCTCACCAACACATTGCGCATGATCGACAATCATTTACCTTTGGTCACTTTGATCATAACCTTCTCTGCAAGCTTCACAGGATCTGTGCTCTTCTCTGCAGTCACTACATATTCCTCTGCGGACGTAATGTTCTTCAATTCATCTAAACTGGCATCAGTGCCAACGGCTACTGGCACCACTTTGACATCATCTTCCTTGAGAGGCTTCAAAGCGACGTCAATCTCCTGATATTTATTGGAAGATTTCTTGTCCATGATGACCACTAAAACTTTCTTGGCATTTGGGCGTGGCGAAGCCTGGTCGAATAATTTCTTGGCTTCTGACAAAGCTTGCTCGAGGTTGGGTTCACCCGAAGGACGCGAGATGGAGTTGAAATACGTTTTTATCTGAGGGAGAATACAGGAGATACTCAAGTTGTGTCATTTCAGATTTATCTATGTAATCAAAGCGGGAAAATTCCTGGAAATTTTGGATATTTCAAACGGTAAAAAATTGCTTATAAAATATCAAAGTGCTTCAATGGCGGCTAATATTAGTTTGCGCGCTATGAATTTCATCTATTCCTTTACATGAGCGCACGAAGACTCCATGGTGCCAAAGAGGAACCAAAAAGACACATAGAAGGAAAAGTTCAGTTTTAACACGAAGATTATGAAGCATTATGTACGTGGTTATTATTCGTGGAGAACTAAAATACAGTTTAGGCTGGTCCTATCGTTTGTGATTAATTTTGACAAATATGCCGAACAAAGCTATTGAAAAGTACCCAATCACAGCAAAGCAAAGCATAGACCTTTATATGGTGATGTACAACTAGTCGACATCATCTTCTTGTGCTGACTTGCCGTCGTAACGTTTAGGCATGCTATAAGACTTGTAGGTCTAAACTAAAACAGTGGACAGAGTAAAAGGTGCGCTCTGATTGGTTACTCGAAGTCCGAATATCCTTTGCTATTCTCCTACGAGCGACTCGCGCGGGACTCGCGCCCGAAAATGTTGTAATCTTTGCAAAAATAAATGAGTTAAAATCATCTTAGTGTGGTATATTATCTCACTCTTTGAATATACTCTGAAACCACTATTCACCTCAGTGTCGGCGGTGGATATCTACGTCTTAGCTCGGTATATATGGTAGATATCCACCACTAGCCACTGGCACTGAGGTGAATAGCTGATAATTATCATATGAACCGTATGGCTCTACGCGCGCTTTTTCTTAATAGGACAAAAACTACCCTTAAGAGGGCTGTGATGGGGTGAGTATTACGACGTCATGAGCAGCGAGGCATAAGGTGAAAGGAAGAAAAAAGACAGAGCGACGGTCGTAAAATAAAACGCTTAGTGACTTAGGTCAGGCTGGACAGGGAAATATTGGGTTCTCCATAATGAAGCACAAATGCTGCGCTCAGTAAGTTAGTCATGACCACGACCTACACATTTTTCCGTCCTTCCGTCCCACTCAATGGGTACCTATCATTCTTGCATTACAATTATGTACTGGAATAATGGCATAAATCACTGTACCGTTTTGTCATCTGGAAGTGTCAATGCAAAGTTGATAGGAGAAAGGACCCGACCTCCGAACACCATCACAGCATACCGCAGTTTGTCGGTTTTGTAAGTCTGCATTATCTCTTGTACGGTGTCTTTCATTTGCTGGAAAGTTGTGTCAGAGCCCGCGGCAGCAGAACTGATGGCAAATGCCAAGTCTATCTCATCAAGTGTAGCAGTTTCTGCGATAAACAAACAATTTGACTGTTAAATTTTGATTGAAAAAAAAATCATGGTGTTATCGTGTGCATATGCAACGAAAAATAATTGTCATCTCACTTTTGTGTACCATCACCCACTTCGTAAGAACTTTCCAAAACATCAATTTCTTTTATTTATAATTTATGACTCGTGGATTGCTATCTTCAATAAGGTATTCAAAAAACGTAATTAAAATAGTCGTACAACGTTCAGGGGCGAGCAGGTGGGAGGGTTGAGGCGGGGACTTTCAGACACGCAAAAAACGTTTCTAATCTCGCACGCAACATGCTTGAATGTGATTATTATTTTGCGTCATCTTACTTGTCTTCCAAAACATAAGAGGAATAGTTTTGTCTACGTTCCAATTTGAAAAACAAACAAAACAAAAGATGACAGGAAAATTTTTATAAGCTGTGAATCTGGGCACTTGCGAGTAAGTGTTGAATTTGCTTAAAAAAACTGCGTCTTATATTACTTATATGATCACCAGTGCGGCAGACAAAGTAAAAAACATTACTCAGGAACTTACTGTTTAAGACTTGCTCAACTACTTTCTCCACAATTTTCTCGGGTGAAGTCGAATCGGTTGTGTTGATGACGTCACCCTCAATATCAGTAATCCCCTCCAGTTCTCCATCACTTCCATCTCCAAGTGCAATGCCAATAACCCGGATGTCGTTTTCGTCGAGTCTTTGAGCTGCTTTCTTCACTTCCTGCTCCAGACTATCCGACTTTTCGTCTGTGATCACCACTAAAACTTTCATAGCATCCTTTCGGGCACCATTGGAATCCTTGAAAAGCTCTTTCGCTCCGTGCAGGGCTTTATCAAGAGACGCTCTCGCTTCGTTTTGTGGTATGTTGTTTATGATGCTCATCAAGACCTCGTCTCCATTTGCTGCATCGCTAAAGCGGACACTAATAGTTGGGTTCGATCCAAATGTCAGAACACTGTAAGCAATCCTCTGAGAACCGTACTTATCAACGAAGGTTTTGATGACTTCTTGCATTTTCCGGAAATGTTCTCTGGAATTTATTGCCGTTGCACTGATAGCAAATCCCATATCAACCAATGGAATAACTGGCTCACCTAGAATAAAGCGGTGGTAACAGAAGTTACTTTTCAACGGTGAAGAGTCAATGCCTCGTGAAAAGTAATTCAAATAACTTGGTACTACCATAATTTGTTATGAGCTAATCACGATGCTCAGCTGTAAGGGTCAACCACACCTAACTCGAAAGTAAACTTAACGCAAATTTTAACTTGAACTACTATTTGTTTGAATGCAAAAATCGCGGCATTTAACAAGTCGACATCGGTTTAGCGTGGTCTGTACTCTTATTGACAACGATGTTCGTCATCTCAGTGGTCAAAATGTTGTGAACTAACGAGGCACAATACTCTTAGCGTCAACGGTAAATTGGTCTATCAGATTAAAACATTACTGCCAATTATGGCAAACATTTCCTTTAAAAGTTTGTAGAAAGTTCAAGAACGGTCGACAAATGTATATCAATGCTGTGCTCTGCGCTTTATGGGGGCCGGAAAGAGATTACAAACTTCAGACTAACTGAATCTAAGACCTGATCTCCTCACTCGGCTTTCGCAAATTTTTCCTACCGATGAATGCAGATGTATTTCTTTTACTCACTGTCTGTAACTTTCTGTGTGATTTCCTCGGCAACGGCTTTCGTATCACTGGTGTCATTTGCCTTCACAACATTCTGCTTGTTCGTGGTAGTAGCTGAGGCCTCATCCGGATCTGCCTGACCTCCTAACATCAGTGGAATGACCTTGATACCATCCTCTTCTAATTCATTGGCGGCCTCTTTCACATCGTCCATACTGCTTCCTGATTTCGCATCCATTACTACCAACACGACCTTCTTGGAGTCTGGACGGCCGTCCCGAAACACGCCTCTAGCCGTCTCTAGCGCAACAGAAAGCGATGAACCTCCACCAGGTCTTCGCAAACCCTGGATAGCTGACTTCAAGGAAGCTTCATCCAACTGTTGTGTAAACCTTATCCTTATGCTAGGAACCCGACCAAACAGTATGACACTGTAGTAGACCCGCTGAACACCGTACGTGTCAATCAGTTCCTGGACCACCTCTTTGATTTTAGCGAGGTTTGCATTAGCATTTGATGAGATGGTGCTGATGGCGAGTACAAGGTCCATTTGGGGCACAGCTGGCAAATCTTTGATGAATAAGGCAAACAACATATATTTGGGATGTATTTCGATTTACCTCCTTTAAGGTCTCTAGAACAGGGTAAAAATCACTCCAAACATTCTACTCGTTTAACAGCAAAAGTAAAATACTTTACTACCTCTGCTTAATTCATCATTTCTTCTGTATCGTGGAGTCCAACGATTTTGCAGGTGATGAGAACAACAATATTTGTTAGGACAGAGATCTTTTCGTTCAAGCAATGGTCAGGGTCAAAGAGGAGACAAGTAGAGGTAGTGTAAATCACATGCTGGGACAAAATCGCCTCAACCGCTGATAAACAACACGAGGCCTGATGTTTTAATTTCAGTCACTTGCGACACCGCAGAATTACTGACAGCTGGTCCATAACGTTCCCCTTCGACTATAACTCTTAGATTCAAAACTTTTAAACAAAATTTGAAATACCTTTCAAAATCATCTCCATTATCTGTTCCGCAGTCACATCTGGATCCAGTTCCCTCTCTGTCATGATGAGGTAACCGCGATTGGATGTAACCCTTTCCAGTTCATCGGGGTCTGCTGATGAACCAACCGCTACAGGGATAATTTTAACACCTTCCTCCGCTAACGGAACGAAAGCCATCTTCACATCTTCGGGACGACTCGTGGATTTCTTATCAGTTATCACAACAATAACTTTCATGGCATCAGGACGTTTTGGCTCAGTCTCGAATAATTTCTTGGCCTCTTCTAAAGCTTTTTGTAAGTCAGGATCTCCAAAAGGACGACGAGTATTCTTTATCTTATCTTTTAGAGAGTTGATGTCAGAAATCTCTCGGCTAAAGCTCAGTTTTCGAGTTGCGTCTCGGCCAAACGTGACAAGACCGTAGCGGATTCTACCAGAGACTCCATACTCGTCAACAATGGCATTAATAGTCTCCTTCATACGCTGGAAGGTATCTGCTGCTGATGTAGCATAGGCACTGATCACAAATCCTAAATCGATTTTGGGAGTTCGAAGTTCATCTAAAAGATACAATGACATAAGAAAAAGAGACGTTCACTTTAGGAAAGCATTCTGTCATCATATATTTACAATAAATACCAATAAACAAAGATGTCGAATATTTGTCATGAGCAAAAAAAAAATCTTGAGTCCCTCGAAAATTCCAAGGAGGAGGAGGAGGAGGAGATAGGCCATAAACTAGGCGACAAATTCCTTCATTACTACACAGTCGGACAATTCGCAAGCCTCCGAGGTAGGGACAGTAATCGTTGTGTCTACAATGACCACAAATACAGACGCAACTAACCGTTAAGAATGTTTCCGACAATCTCATCTGAGATGTGCCTGGGTTTGTCTGTAGTCTTCGGCTTAATAACGTCTTCACCGATGGATACAATAACCTCCACTTCATTTAAGTTGTCCTCGTCACCAAGCGGAACTGCAATGACACGGATTCCTTCGTTCTTCAGCTGTTTGGCAGACATCATGACATCTTTGTTGCTGCTGTCTGACTCCCTGTCGGTCATGACTATCAGAATCTTCTCAGCATCCTCCCTTCCACCTGCACCAGGGCTGAACAACAACTTAGCCGCACTGAGAGCTTCATCCAATGCAGCTTCCCTAGATGGCTTACCGATTCCATCTATCAGTTCCTTAAGAGTGCTTGGACTTGCCATTTTGTCGCTAAATTGCAAATCCTTCGTCGGGGGATCTCCGAACGTCATCAAAGCGTAGTGCACCCTTCCGTGCACACCAAATCTATCCACAAATTGTTTAACTGTGTCTTTCATTTTCATGAAGTTTGCATCTGACTGGTGGGCTGTGGGGCTGATGGCAAACGCTATGTCCATTTTGGGAACATTGAAATCTACAGAACGAAAAAGGAAAGCAATGAAAACCCATGGTTATGATTCTACGTGAATAAATTCATCCGTGTATGAAGTAGTGGCGACTAGCACAAAACAACACAATAAAAGCATATTTGAGCCTCGCAAACATCACTGACCCTCTAAAACCTTTTCCATTATCTCTTTGGCGACTTGGTCAGGATTGCTGGTGTCTCTCACGTCAATCAAATTGTCTTCCTCGGACGTTGTAGCCTCCATTTCATCCTGTGCAGCCTCTCGTCCAAAGGCCACTGGGATAACTTTGACACCATACCTCCATAGAGACTCGGCTGACAATTTAACGTCATCGAGACGGTTGTCAGACCGTTTGTCCATCACAAGAACCAACACTCTCTTAGCGTTCGGTCGGGGGGAAGCATCGAAGATCCTCTCAGCTCTTTTTAGTGTATCTTTTAGGCTTGCACCAACTGAGCGTTGTGTTTGTTGTAGGATTCCTCTCAGTTGTTCGTCGTTCACAGGCCGTGTAAAGGTCAGTCTTACCGCCGGGGTAGATCCAAACACGACGAAACTGTATTGTATTTTACCGATACCATATTTGGCGATGACCCTGTCGATAATGTCCTTCATTTCCCGGAAGTTTTTCGCTGAGTCCAACGCACCACGGGCACTTATGGCAAACAACAAATCTAAATCAAGTATCTGAGGGATGGCTGAAAAGAAACAATAACAGACAGTAACGAAAGAGCTACATCACAGTGTGTCTCTCTTGGAAAATGAAGCTCAAATTGTTTAAGGTAGCTATCAGCAGTCCAATCCTCTCCATTCCAAACCAACTTTTGAAGGTTTAGGTGAATTTCCGAGTGTTTGCCTATCCTAACAGAAAATTAGTTGAGTGAATAAGTTTGGAGATAAACTTTATGGATTAATGAGTAACACCCACCTTCCAAAACCTTCTCCATGATTTTTTCTCCTATTTCATTGGGCTCTCCTTCCTTGTCAATAGACAAAGGCGTTTGCTTGTCAGGTATCATTTTCTCCAACTGTTTGTTATTTGCTTCATCCCCTACAGCTACTGCAACAACTGTTACCCCATCTTCCTCCAGCGGTTTAGCAGCCTGCTTTATGTCATCTGACGTTGATGACGATTTAGCATCAGTTACTACAACCAGCACCTTGTTTGCTTTGGGTCGGCCGGAATCCTGCTCAAACACCTTCTTTGCTGCTTGTAACAGTCCCTCGAGATTTGGTAATCCAGAAGGTTGCGACAGCTCGTCGATATCCCTGGTCAGTTTCTTAACCTCTTGAGGATCTTTAGAGAATCGGACAACGAGCGATGCAGAGTCGCCATAAATGATTACACCATACCGTACGCGATCTGGGTCGTACATTTGTATAATATTCTTAAGAGCATTTCTCAGCATCTCAAAGGTCTTCACTGCATCTCTACCAGCGGTATTGATGGCAAAGAGGATATCAAGGTAGGGTGTTTCTGGATAATCTATAATAAAAAAAAAGGAAAAGAGTCTACATTGTAAAAAGAGTAAACTAAAGTTACTTATCAAATTCGGTGTTGTGATCCACACAAACAAGTTAAGCACTTACAAAGAGGGCAGTGTTTTCGAGTGAACAGAAACTAACGTTAAGTGAGAAATGGAGGTTTTAGTCGCAGATAAGCTACAATTAAAAAATTCGCAGGAGCTTAAAAAACATTCAGGCTTCGACAAGATTCGAACCTGTGCCTTTGTCGGGCCCTACTATCACGTACGCTACGAGCCACATGTTAGGAACCAGGCAAACTCACATAAATGTTCTTAATTTGAAACTCAAATTTAAATTGTCCAACGTTCACACAAGTCCTTAATACATCGACTCTCAAATTTCCCAACGCGACTGCACCTCACCTTGTAGAGCTTTTTCCATGATGGCATGAGCGGTTTTCCTGGTGCCGTCAGTACTGTTAGCCTCAATGACTGCACCCTCTTCAGGCGTCAAAATATCAAGTTCATCCTCATCAGATTCTTCACCCAAGGCAACAGCAATAACCTTGATGCCAACGGGCTGCAACTTGAAAACTTCCTTCTTGAGATCCTCTCCCCTGCTATCGGATTCCTTATCCGCTATAACAACTAGAACCTTCCTCGCATTAGGCCGGACTTTAGCTGCAGCATCAAACTGCTTGGTGGCCTCTTGCAGCACCTCAACCAACGCTGCACCACCACCGTTCTTGGAAATGGATTCTGTAATGATCAAAATTTAAATGAATGTCACCCAAGAGACTAGAACCGCCACCTCCAGGACATCGACCACAAGGTAACCGTATCTTACCAAATTTATAACATAAACGACCAATCACAGCAAGTGTTGCTTTTCACAGTAGAACAAGATGAAAACAGATGTAACCAGCGTCAAACGTACGGGAAGTGGCTTACAAACGCATATTTGCCTTTAGTTAGTTAAAACTAACATGAAACAAAAATTTCGTGTTAAATTTGCCATTTAGGTCTCTATACAGACTCCGGGAACAGTTGACAACACGAGGCCCCTATTTAAGTCTATTTGGACCAACTACTTTCATTTTTAAAAAATTTTGCAAATTCAAAGCTATGCAATAAGATGTTACGTTTATAAAATAGGGGTCTCAAACTTGTTAGTTGCACATACTGATGCGCTGTTTTAAATCCTCGTCGGAAGGAAGCCTACGATCGAATGGCAGAACAGTGGTTGGTGGGTCGCCATATGTAATGACACTGTAATGGATTCGACTTGAGCCAAACTTTTGCACGATTGACCGTATGATGTCCTTCATCTTCGCAAAGTTTGTCGCGTCCTCTATAGCTCTGGCGCTGATGGCAAATGCTAAGTTCATCTCCGGTATCTTAGGAACATCTAAAGGAAATCAAGGAAATAAACACCATAGGTAACCTAGCAAGTTTTAAAGGTGAGTTTTCTACAGTTAACATGCTTGCATTCTTTAAAAACGGATCGACTTGTCAAGCCAATACTTGAAGAACGTACGATTGTCACGACAGAAAAATCAAATGCTTGCTTTCTAATTCCCTTTGATATTCAAAATTATGACAAAATTCTCGAACGTGATTGGTTATCGGCAAGTCAATTCTAGCATTAGTCGAAAAGTTAAAGAAGGCAATTAACACGTCATTTCTGTGTACTTGGACGGTACATTAAGTCAAATGAGCAGGCTGATAGACAGACTATTTGGTTTATTTACCCGTGAATAAACGCCAATTGCTATTTTTTTTCTCTGAATACGGTCAACTTTTTCGTTTCTAACATTTATCACAGTTTTAATGAGCAGCACTGTCTGTCGCACAGTTCTGTCTGTAATCATACCGTGATTGAAAAACCGGACTTCCGCCTCGCAATCGTGCAATTTCTTTGATCACTCGCATGATTACAAACAGAATTGGACGCCACTTGGACCTATTTCCATCACCGTGTACACTGCTTGGGTTAATGGTGTAGTGATTTAAGAGGGTGTTTTTTGTAAAAGTTACCATCCCTAAGTTTTAAAATGGTGATTACTAAAAACATATAGTGCGAGTACCTTTCACAATCTTCAGCATAATAATCTCGGCAGTTTCTGCTGGATCATCACCTTCGTCAATATCTACAAGGTTCTCTTTGTTCGGTGTGGTTGCAGACAGTTCTTTCATGTCGGACTGTTTTCCAAGGGCGACTGGAATAACTTTGATGTCGTCTTTTTCCAAGAACTTGGCCTGCGTCTGGACATCTCCAAGAGAACTGCTAGACTTGATATCAGAAATCACCACCAGCACCTTCTTCGCGAGAGGACGACCTTGGGTTTCGAAGAACTGCTTGGCTTTTGAAAGAGCACTATCTAATAATGCTCCTGAAGTTTTCTGAGCCGCGTCGACTAAGTTCATCAAGGCTTTATCGTCCAAGAAAGCTGCATCGTAGGAAATTCTTATAATCGGTACGTTTCCGAACGTCATAACAGCATACCGAAGACTAGATGTCCCGTACTGATCAATCATGGCCTTGATGATATCTTTCATCTGCTGGAAGTTGTCTCTGTCTTTTACTGCGTTAGCACTAAGGGCAAATAAGAGGTCTGTTTCTGGCACGATGGGAGGATCTACTTGGAGGAAAAGAGAGATTCATAGTTGAGTTGAAGTAAAAGGAGTAAGTCGGGAGAGCGGAAGGTGTGGATGAAGAAAATGAGGAGAAGGACAAGGAAGAGACGGAGAAAAAGAAAAAAATGAAAGGAGGTGAGTGAGAAAAAGGAAGAGGAAGAAAAGGGAGAGACAATGGTAATCGGAGGTAAGACAAACAGTGGGAGCAGGAGAACGCTCCAGGAAAGAGCGATGGAAAGAGGAAGCAAAGGAGAGGAACTGGAGAAGGAGGATGGAGAAGCGACAAGGAAGGTATAAATGACAGGAGTTAAGACAAGGATAAATGGAACTAAGTAGGTGAGGTACGAGAAGAAGCTGGAGAAGAAAGAGAAGAAGGCGAGATGGGAAAAGGAGAAGGATGTTAAGAAAAAGAAGGAAGGAAAAGGCTGGGAAGGCAATAAAATGTCATGGTAGAAGAGAAAAAAGAGCAGAAGGGATGATTGGAGGAGATGGAAGACAATCTTTGGTAAGACCAAGCAAAACCATCACTTTGAGAACGCGTAAGCAGAATTCTCACCCTCATGGATCTTCATGATGACTTCTTCACCCACGCTCGACGAGTCGCCATCCTTGTCTGTTTTAATAACGTTTTTCTTGTTCCCTGTCATAATTTCAAGTTCCTCGTCATCGACATTGGGTCCAACGCCTACGGGTATGACTTGGATGTCGTCATCTTTTAAGACCTTCGCCGCTTCCTTAATTTCACTTTTATTATTGGAAGAATCGTTATCGACGATGACAGCAAGGACTTTTCTAGCACCAGGTCGGGGGGTCGCTTGATCAAACATTGTCTTTGCTTCCTCTAACGCCTTCTGCAAGTCTGGCTCTCCACGGAGTCTTTGTGGCAAATCGAGGGACGATAACAATGCCATCTCGTCAGGAAAAGTTCGCGAGAAAGGAATGTATGTTGTCGCTGACTCGCCAAACAGGATGACTCCATATCTTATGCTGACCAACCCATACGAATTAACAATATGTTTGACCACATTCTTCATATTTTCGTATGTCTGGCCGGCTCCGGTGTCTGTGGCACTGATGGCAAATCCTAAGTCTACCATTGGTATCGGCATAGAATCTATTAAAAATAAAGAAAACAGAAAGTTTTGCCACCAAAAGTTACGGGGGAAGGAGAGCTATGTTACGAGGGGGGGGGTATACGATATGAAAAACATTTCCCTGTCCCCTGAGTCAGGATCTCCATAGAACCCCTGCCGATATATCTATCCAATAGATTCAAATAACTGATCTTTTTTTAACCAATCGTTGGTGAAGATACAGCGAAAACTGCCGTTCTAAAATTGGTTAGCATTCTTGTTCTCATTTTCTCATGGCTATTTTGACTCTCTTATTGTCAACTAACCGATGCATCTGACAAAATTGATTTACCTCAAACATTTCATTTTCACTTGAACACCAAATGTTCATGAAATCCTTTCTACTAACCATTGTTTGCTCTTTCTACAACTTCTACCGCAATATCCTCGGAACCATCATTATCGTCAGTTTGGATCACATTGTTCTTGTTCAGAGTTGTCTTTTCAATCTCTTGTGGATCTGCCTCTTTTCCAAACGTGACAGCGATAACTCGGACTTCATCCTGAGCCAAAGATCTGGCGGCTACTGTCACTGCGATCTCATCACTGTCAGACACCTTATCCATTGCCACCACCAGGATCTTTTTAGCATTAGGACGACTCACGGCTGCTGTCTGGAATAGCTGCCGAGCTTTTCGAAGGGCCCTGGCAAGGTCGGCGCCCTGCTGATTCTTTGTGATCTGCTGTAAGGTTTCTCTCAATTCCATGAGGTCGCTCACGCCTCCAAAATCGAGTTCAACCACTGGGGTCTTCCCAAATGTTATGATACTGTAGCGAGTGGCAGATGGACTGTAGCTGTTTATGATCTCATCCAGTAGAGATTTCATCTTCCTAAAGTTGTCGTCTGAGCTTAATGCTGTGGCACTAAGAGCAAATGCAATGTCTACCATCTGTTCCTCATCGGTGACATCTAAAGCAAACAAATGACAAGCAGGAAAATGGATTAAAAGCGACAAGATTAATAATCAAACGAGCCACTATCATTTAAACAGCCGACCTTACACAACTTGCGGCTGAAAAAGAATTTCTTCTTAGGGATGGTGAGGGAAAAAAGAAGCACGTAAATGTCAAGACGGCAGCCTACATTAAGTTCGTTCTAAACCCATGGGCTCTTGGTGCGTATTCTTTAAAATTGTTAGCGCCTCTAAAACGACTTTCTTCGAGATATTTTGATTACCGACGGTTTTCAAGGCGCAATAAAACGTTGCAAGTTGAAAGGATATTACGAAACAGTAGTTCGGTAAATGAATTTTAATTTGACTTGCAATAAATCATAATTTGAGCGACTGCAGAAAAAAAACCTGAAAAATTAAGGTTAAAAGCGAGGCAAGGTTTAGTGAGTTCTCCGATCCCGTAAAGAAAAGTGACAATCTAGCTGTGAGGATCATGTTTGCACGTGATTGAATTGAATTCGTAAAATGACAAACTTGGAACATGTTAAGTTACCTTCCAGCACTTTGATCATTATCTTTTCAGCAGCTTTCTCTTCATTCTCATCTTTCTCCATCTCCACCAGGTTATTTTTGTGTCGGGTGATTTCCTCCAATTCCACTTTGTTTCCTTCTTCACCGAGCACCACTGGAACAACCTTAACTCCAGATATCTGTAACTCTTTTGCCTTCCTTTTAGTGCTCTCCCTTCCACTCGACTGCGTCTGGTCCATAATGACAACCAACACCTTCTTAGCATCAGGTCTCGCTGTACGCTCAAAAATCTCTTTGGCCTCCTCCAGGGTTTTGTCTAAAGCTGCACCAGAGATTCGTGTGAAACGATTGATTCTATCCTTGAGAGTAGCGACAGTGTAACGCTGGCTCTCAGCAAAGCTGACTCTCTCAAACGGTTCATCACCAAAGAGAATGAAGCTGTATCGAATATCGCTTTTTCCGTAACGATCTATTATCGATTTCATGGTGTCTTTGATCTTTTGTAAGTTGGCATCTGCATCCGAGGAACCGATGCTGATAGCAAATCCCAGATCGAGCTTTGGAATCTTTGGCAGTTCTACAAAAAAGAGAATCTTTCGATAAGTAGTCGGAAATGTGGCACCGGTTATGCTGCAGCACACGTGCGACGTCATCTGCAACTTATGGCTCTATGTTATACGTTTCAGTGTATTATTGGAGATCTAGAGACATTTTAGGATATGGATCATAGATTCAAAATAATGATTTTTCATAGCATGAAACCTTCTGATACAGTGTAACGCAGAAGTTAAACTTGCGCCAAACAACACTTTTTTATATTCCACGACCGATATCAGAATTTTGTCTTTCATAATTTTCATAACGTGTGAACGCTACATGTAGCTCTATCATCTGGTCTAACAACTCTCCAAAACATTAACTGAACTCAGGGACTTAATGTCAAGTAAAATACAGTCTTTGATAAGCGTCTTTGCTCGTAATAATGAGAATCTGGTCTCGAAAAGAACACTGTACCCAAAGTACAGAGATATCAAATCGCCGGCAGATTAATTTAAACAGCTCTAGAGGCGAATAATTGGGCAAAAAGTTCACTTCAAGCCATAGGTTTCGAGTTTCCTACCTCTTGTGAAAAAGTGGGTCATAGATTTAAAAAAAAAAACAACAACATTATTATATGAAACAGATATCTAGGTTTCCCACATGACTGACCAAAATTTCCGTTAGTTTATTAGAATCTGTAATGACCAATGCAAGAGAGGAAACCAAGTAACAAAAGCTTTTAGCTTCATCATTTAGCTTTAGTTCCGTGACCCACCCTGTATAGCCTTATCGATGATTATCTCTGGCCAGGTGTCGGGCTCAGGAGCTGGACAGACGGCGATGAATTCCTTGTTGGTAACCAGTACTTCTATTTCATCGACATTAACCTCTGACCCGACAGTCGCAGGTATAATTGTGACATTCTTCTCTATAAGCGGTTTAGCTGCCTCCTTGATGTCATCACGGCTATTGGCTGACTTCTTATCTATAAAAACCACAAGCACTTTCAAGCTTCCAGGTCTGGGCGAAGCATTTTCGAACAGTTTTTCTACTTCTTCCAAGGCTTCCCTCACGTCTGGTTCACCCGTTGGCCGGCTAACGTTTTGAACAATTGTCCTAAGTGCGTCTTTCCCGCGGTCATTGTCGAAATCAGCGACAGTATTAGCTTTGTCTCCAAATGTCACGAGTGCGTACCGGATCTTGTCAACGCCATAAAGCTTTACTATAGTATCTACTGTATTCTTCATCTTATCGAAGATATCGTCGGCGTCTACAGCAGCAGCACTCAAGGCAAATGCAAGGTCGATTGCGGGAATATCTCGAGTGTCTGAAATAAAAAAGAATGAGAACATTCCGCAAGGTTTCTAATAGAAATAATAATGATATTCATAAAGACGTTACCTAGACTGAAAACACAATATTCTTGTTAAATCTTAATTAATGTAAAGTCTTCATTTAAAAGTTCTTAGCTTATCGCAGGTGCGAAGTTCGTATGAAAGATCGTTCAATTCCTTTCCAGCGGCGTATTGAAATGTGGATTGACCCATAGCAATTTTTTTGTCGGGAGATGAAGTTCTCTATTGTTTTTCGGGGTCCTACCACCATGGAGTTTAGATCTTAATACAAAATACCCATGCAGTTGTAGTTGCCAAGGACAGTTATGGTCGTTAACAGTTCTTTAAACTAACTGCAAACGAATATAAGACCGCCTTTTGAATAGGGTTTAAGAGGTGCGTTGACAATATGACGTGTAAAGATACGCCAAGTGAATAATTGAAAAAACTTTATGCACTCTAACTCATCCAATGATGTCTATCTTTCACAGAGACTAATTTCAAAGGAATAAAGAATCGACCTCAAACCTGCTTCATTCTTACCTTTGTCAATGTTTCTAATAATCTCTTTGGCCACGCCCTCAGGTCTATCGGTTGTATTGGTGAGAATCGCAATATATGTGATGCTTCCTGTTTCTTCTTGATCCACCTCATTACCGACACCAACAACCATCACCTTCACTCCATCACCCCGAAGCAGTCTTGACGAGACCTTGACATCGATCATGTCACTGTCAGATTTACTGTCTACCATTACAACAAGAATATTTTTCGCACCGGGCCTCTCTGTGGCTGCGGCGTTAAGAAGATCCCTTGCTTTGTCCAAGGCTTTATCGAGAGAGCTTGAACCAGTTGTTTGACCAATGGAGTCAATCGTTCGTTTAATATTCTCGTCGGAAAGTTGGTCGGTGAAGTCCAAATGAACAACAGGCGAATCTCCGAAAGACAAAACACTGTAAAATATATTCGATGTGGGATAAGTGTCCACAACGGATTTCATGATCTCCTGCATCTGTAGGAAGGTTCTATCCGAATCCATGGAGTTGGCGCTGATGGCAAACACAAGGTTGACGTCTACTAATTGAGCAGGTCCTGTGGCACATAAAAGATAGATTGAATTCCACACAAAGTTTCCATTACTAACTTATAGTATTGAGAAAACGTAATTGAGTGAGGTGCGCGAATTTCGCTCATTGAAGTAGCGAATTTCAAAGAATACTTCGCCCGAAGAGTTACGTATTTGACAACCGTCTTCACTCTCTCTGAAGTACTAAGAAAAATGAAACAGTTCAATTCTATTTTCATGAAATTTGGGTTACTTCGAAAGTTTGTTTTGCTTGGACTTTCAAATATTCACTCAATCAAGGTAGAGTTCGTGGCCTGGTAATTCAAAATGTGAAATTTCACCATGTAGGCAAGTAATCAGTAGGGAGAAGTGCTGCCAAGCTGTACTGTCTACTTAAAAAAATGGATAACAGAATAACACAGAGCACTCGTTGAACAAGCACAGCGATAAAATTCCAAAAATGTGTGAGGATACGTACTTTTTATAGCCTCGTCTATTTGGACGACAATAACCACTGTCACTTCCTCTGGTCTATCAGTTGGTTGGACTGGCACAATACGATCTTCGTCATCTGTAACGGGCTTGACATGTTCCTTGTTTACTTCATCGCCAATAATAACAGGGATTACTGTCACTCCTAAGTCCACCAGTCTTCTAGCTCTGGCCTAAGATGGTTAAAATAAAATGTGTTAGTACTTTAACCCACGTCAGAAACAGCAGTCTATAGTGATATACTTCCTTTCGTTTCCTTTCAGCACGAAATTAAGGAACGTTTGCGGTCACACTAGCAATACAACTACATTTCAAAATAAACAGTCTGTAGGAAGTTGTCGCTGTCGAGAAACATTCGTTCATACGGTCATAATCATACAATCGCGAGATCAAAAGTGGCTTGTCGTATTTAGAATCAGTGCGTCCCACAATCGTGACAAATTATTAGGATGGTCTATTACTATGTGTTCTACCCAACAGATTTAAGAAGAAATAACTATTTCAGCACAGTTAAATCAGAAACATTTGCGCGCCGCTAGTGTAGGACGAATATAGGTCCGAAGCAGTAAAGAAGAGCACCTCTACTGCAAACAATTACAACTAAATACCGTGTACCTGTACGATAAGAGGATCACTCGATGATAACCGATCCATTATCACCACTAAAATTTTGTGCGTCTGATCTCGCTTTGAACCTTGGAACAGCATTTCCGCCTTTGCTAGGGCCTCGTCTACATTCGGAGAACTGCGAGTCGATATCATGTTTTCACTGACAGACTTCTTTAGCTCGTCCGGGTCCTTGACCTCATCTGTAAATCGGATCCTAATCGTGGCGGACGAACCAAATGTGATGAGACCATAATGTATTCTGTCCACGCCGTAGTTGTCGATCACTTTCTGTACTGTGTCCTTGAGAAGTTTGAGGTTCCCTTGGTCAACGCTAACGGCAAAAGCAAGGTCTACACCTGGTTCTATTTGGAGATAATTGGCAAATCATGAAATAAAACAGATACAGGTATATCTACAGTAACCGCTTCGGGTAGAGGTCAATATCGCAATATTCTTACTTCTTCTCGCAGCTAAATTCCTACCAAACCTAACAATGGAAAAAGGCAAATTTTTTGAACGGCAATATTGCAAGATTTCACGACATATTCAATCAATACTTTTTTACCTTTCAGCACTAAGATGATGATCTTTTCGCCCAGTTCTTTCGGATTTTCATCTGGTGTGGTTTTCGTCACTTCGTGAGGAGTAAACTTCTTCAGTTCTTTAGGGTCAGCTTCGTTACCAATTACAACGCTGATCAGTACGATATTTTCTTCAGTCAGACGATCTACCTCGGCTTCAATGTCTTCTTGGCTGCTGCCAGACCGTCTGTCAGATATCACCACTATAACCTTGCGAGCGTTTGTTCTCCCGCTTGTCTGAAAAACATTCTTTGCAACACTGAGTGCACTTTTTAGGTCTGGTACTCCAAATTTAGGTAGCAGCCTGCCAACATCAGCTTGTAGCGAGTTATCTAAGTTACTCTGTATGGAAATGGAAGTATCAACTTCTCCTCCGAACACAATGACACCGACTCGTATCAAATCCATGGAGAACGTGTCCAGGATCGAAGTGATTGCATCCTTCATATGTTGAAGGTTGTTTTTCCACCTTGAAGAGGTTGCAGTGATTGCAAAAACAATATCCGTTTCAGGAATACGTTCCTCTTTTGCAGCTGTTGACATCGAAAAGAGAAACTATCAATCAAGCGATGGAGCACTCTACGACCGACTGAGGCGCATGCATTTCCTTTTCCTTTATTGAATTATCTTTGATCGAAGTTCAGAGGAAACCCCTAGTTAAGTATCTAGCTATAAAATTATCCCAGATAATAATAGCTTAGTAAAATAACTGTGAAGTAAGAACACCTAGAGGAACCGTCTACAAAACTTCAAAATCTTGCGTTCTTCAATTGTGACAAAGATACGAAATGTTTGATTCAACTGCCCGTCTCGAAAACGTGTGCTATTTTTCAATTATTTAAAAGTAGCACGTTTGAAACAACCACGTAGGATTCTGCGCAAAGTTTGCGCGGGAAACTGCGCAGGAAATTGCGTGCGGCCGGCTAAAGTTTATACCCTCTTGACCACTATATTAACAACATCAACCCACCGGCGACGCTTTAGGTTCAGGAGTCAACGCAGGCTACAGCGGTGGGAACGAAGCGCTTTCACTGTCTCGCCATCATTATTCCCCATTCGTACGTAAAGAAATTATAATGGAGTGGCTACTTACCGCCAAAGGTCTTCTCGACTATTTTCTCTGCAAGTTCTTCTGGATCAACGTCTATGGACTCTTTAATGAGATTCTCTTTACGAGATATCACTGTTCCAAGCTCATTCAGATCTGTTTCTTCACCAATCGCGACCATGATTATGCTCACGTCTCCTCCGTACAGCTCTTTAGCAGCTTGCAGCTTCTTCATGTTGTCTGCGTCACCAGTTGACTTGTTGTCAATCAACACGACTAGCACTCGCTTTACCCCGGGCCGCTTGGGACTCTTGTCGAAGGTTTCCTTAACTTCTTGCAAAGCTACATTTAGTCTGGGGCTGCCAGGAGGTAGTCGAACACGGCTGATGATGGATATGAGATCTTTGTCGCTTAGATTTTGATCTCGGAAACTAATTAAAGGTTGAGCTTGGGTACCAAACACGACGGCTAAATAGTGAAGTTTGACAGCGCCATACTTTTCGATGATCTTGTTGATTGTCTTCTTCATCAAAAGCGATGTCTTGCCTGATTTTATGCTTGTTGCGCTGAAGGCAAAGCATAGTTCAATCTCTGGAGTCGGTTTAAGACCTAAAATGTAAAAAATGTACTTCAACCATACGAATGATGGCGTCTTAATTCAGATATAAAATGAAGGAAACCAGGAAACAAACTCTCCAATAACAAAGTGTGGATCACGTCTAAGAACAGGACAAACTCAACTGACAGAAAATGTGACTCACTCTTTCGCCTTTTTACACAGAAATTTTTCACACCACAAGAGCAATTTAAATATCCGATCTGTATCAATAAAATATGTATACCTTCTTTCAGAACTTCGTTGATCTTGTCCACACCCACTTTAGGACCTTCTTCTGGTTTTGACGGAATGATACTTATCTTATTTGGAGTGACCACACCGCAAATTGGAGGAACGTTCCTCATGTTCAAAAGAACAACAATAATCTGAATTCCTTCCTTTTCCATTTCCTTCGAGGTTTTGGCTGCTGCAGCCGTGTCACTGCCGGTTTGTTCTCTGTCCGTGTATATAACAACAACCTTTCTTGCGTGAGGCCGGCTTCCAGATCCTACTGTAAACAATTTCTTTGCTTCCACCAGGGCCAGATCAAGTCTGGCACGAGAACCCAATCTGGCAGGTAGGTTCTGTACGACGGCTTTAACCTGGCTATCGGAAGAGAACTTCCTTTGAAAAGTATGGACTCTTCTTATTCCTGAGTTGTAAGTAAGGAAACTGTAAGCAGCTCTGCTAATTGGATATCTATCCAGAAGTTCTATACCCATTTTCTTGAAGAACGGCATGTTTCTAAGACCAACAGACACCGCAATGACAAAGTCATGTTCCTCGCCTTTCTCCTCTGAAAAATGAATCGTACAGTTCAGTGGACAAGAGATACTCGCGGTAGAATTTAAGGCCAATGCATTGAAAGGTTTAACTCTTTACACCCTAAAATCAGTAGACATTCACTCCCTAAGATGCTGACAAGGAGAATTTGTGTAAAAATCAACAGTTTCTATAGCTGCTGATAATTTTCTTTTTTCCAATGACCTTACTGCATGATTCAGGTGTGCCATTGTAAAGAAAAATTAGATTATAGGGGTTTAAAGAGTTTGGAGAAACAGTATTTGCAAAAACGTAACTTCTATTAGTTATGTAATTACATTCTCAGCCTCATTTTTGCCATATTTTGCCAACTCACTGTTGTGTGTGACGCAACTGACTTGCACTCAAAGTCTAAGCACTGAACGTCAACTGAGCGTCGAAAAAAACCACAATCTATCTGCTAAAAATTCACGTTTTAAAACTTCATTCCATTTTACAGGAATTGAGTCCCGTTCAATTTTCCTAACAGTCCACCGTGTATGAAACAAAAATGAGAGACAATGTAAATATTTAACTTTTATAACATCGCGGTAAGTGGATTTACCTTCAAACACTTTGCGGATTATTTTCTCTTTAAAATCAATGACAGTGACGTCGGTGGTGACGTTGATAACGTGGGTCTTGTCAGGTGTGATCACTCCAAGTTCATTACGATCTACTTCGTTTCCAATGGCAACTGCTATCACCCTGATACTGTCTTCCTCCAGCATTTTCGCACTTTCCCTTAATTGGGGAAGCTTACTTGTAGACTTTCTATCCAGGATTACCACAAGAACTCTTCTTGCATTTGGACGCTCTGGTGTCTCATAAAACAATTCCTTTCCCATCTTTAGAGCCTTATCTAAATCAGGAAGCTCTCTCTCTCTGGAAATGATATTTAAAAAACTCTTGAGTTTCTTATCACTGGGGAAGTCGTCCAGTAAGGCGATTCTTGTGGTTGCGCTCGATCCAAATACAATGACACCATAGCGGAGCTTGTTCATGGAGTACGTGTCAATGATGGCCTTTATAACTTCCTTTACTTTCTTGAAGTTTTCATCTGCATTTGCTGACGCAGCGCTGATCGCAAACACCAGGTCGACCTCTGGGATTGATGGAAGGAACAGATCTGTTGAAAAAATAGGTTCGATGATTTAGATAAGCTAACATGTCTTAACATTATAACTGAGGGAGGGCAATAAATTTCTGCAGGAAAAAGAGGACGAGGGGATGGCGCAGTGGCGACAATGCTAGCCTCCAACCACTGCGGTTCAATTCACTAAAATGGCGTCATATGTGGAGTTTGATCTTGATTCTTGTCGTTCCTCGGGTTGGAGGGAGGATCCATGCTCTCCTCCCTCTTCAACTGGAAACATCCTTTTTTCCAACCATCGACGACGACGAAGACTCCTCAGTGATGATGCCTCTGCTATAATCTAATTTATTTATTTCAAAGGCACACCCGTTCAAAATAGCCCCATTTAACAACTGAACATATTTCGAAATAACCGAGCACTATACAGAAGAAAGCAATAACAGGGTCTCTGCGGTGCGATCTAATAAGACCGACGTTTCTTCTAATGATGGAAAATTTCTACACTTACTTTCTCGGATCTTGTCGATAATTTTCTTCCCAAGATTCTCGGGCTTTGATTCCTCTGGAACTTCAATGATATTTCCCTTCAGCGGGGTAGTGTTCTCTAGTTCCTCGCGGTCTACAGCACCTCCTATTCCTACTGGTATCACCTTTATACCGCCACCTTCCAGTAAGAACGCAAATTTCAACACATCTTCTTCGGTGCTACCCGACTTGTTGTCCACCAGGAGCACAAGGAATTTCTTCGCGTCTGCACGGGAGCCCGGTCCCTCCAATGCACTCTTTGCGTATTCAAGGGTCTTGTCCAAATCAGGTGTACCACCCACGGGAGAGAGGTTCTCTAGTATCCTCAACAAGCCTTTCTCGTCTCCAAAATTGTCTTGAAAGTTCACAAAAGATCTTATTTGAGATCCATATGACACAATGGTATAATGAATATTTTCAGCGCCATGTGTGGCGACAATGGACGACAGAGTGTCTTTCATTAACTGGAATATTTCCTTTGCCTGTGACGAAGAGGCGCTAACTGCGAAGACTATGTCGATCTTCTCTACGTTGATAGGGTCTGGAACTGTCAGGAAAAAAAACACTCTGAGAAATAACTAAAAATATGAAATAACTAAAACATTTGTAAGAATATTCAAGGAAGAAAGACTACATCCCCACTAAAGTACATTCAAGAGTTCCGTGTGTTAACATGTAGGAAGAAAAATCATAGTCAATGAAGACGGATAAGATCTTATCAAAGGTTGATGTGCTCGTGCTATTGTTTTTTTCACGTATCCACGAAAAATCATTACTCCACGTCCACTCTTCTTTTATTTCGACCATTAGCCTTCGACCACTAGCCTTCGACCGCTAGCCCATCATAAACTTATCCCAACAAGGGCCACACTTCAAAGAGTCAGCTTTTGCAACAACCTCTATCAGCTTAAAGTTATCAACTAACTAATGTAATTAACAGAAACTTCAAATAATCATTTAGAAATAACCACGTACGTTGTGCTATTTTCCCTATGATCTCTTCAGCAGTCTCTCCCGGATCCTTGTCAGTTGTTGCGTTCAGGGAGTTGCCATCAGTGGGAGTGAGCTCTTCTAACTCTTTACGATCAGCCTCGCTTCCAAGTGCAACAGTTATAATAGACACGTGATTGTCAATTAAGTCCTTAGCAACACCCTTAGCAACCACCGTATCACCAGATGACTTCTCGTCTGTTATGATGACCAAGATTTTCCGCGCTTCCGGCCTAACGGCCTCGTCCTCAGTGAAAATCATTTTAGCTGTCTGTAATGCCTTGTCTAGTGCTGAGCCCCCAGGGACGTTTCTAGCCGAGCTTATCTCCTCTACAAGTTTGTCAGGATCCGTATATCCGTCAGAAAATCGCAGAATGACAGAAGGTTCATTACCGTACAACACAACTGCGAAGTGGATTTGATTTGTGCTGTAATTCTGCATAATGTCAGTCAAAATGGCCTTCATGTAAGGGAATGTTTGAGAGGATTTAGACGATTGCGAGCTTATTACAAACATCAAGTCGATCTTTGGAAGAGGTATTCTCTCTGATACGGAAAGAAACAACAAAGTTAGATTAAAAAAAAAAAACACACAATGATGCATTGTTGCTATAAAATAAAAATAAACAAAACCTAACAAAATCATTACCGCGACGATAACTTAAACACTGGAAAGCGCTTTGATTGTTAATTCGCAGGCGCAAATTTCAGCTACGTTGTATTTGTTATTTAGTAACAATCGGGGATCCTAGCAGTATACAGGATGCGTGTCACATAAGAAAGTTCGTGATGGCTTGTCTACCGCAGAGTCTCTGACGCTCAATGGTAGAACATCAGACGCGGAATTCGATCGCTGAGCCTCGATTCTTCAATGGAGACTGAGAACTCATTATTTGTCCCACGTTCATGACAAGATGAAAATATATTTCTCTAGTCCCGGATTAGTTATGCTTCACTTTGCTCTCGGTCCACTCTCTCAACCAATCAAATTCAAAATTGAAACCAACTGCAACTTGATTACATGTTTTTTTTCCTCAGGCGATCTGCTCGTTTTTGCTTTAAATTACTATTGGCTCCTTTCCTTTTCCTCTAACTGGTCGTTGTAATTATGTGGTTTTAGTTTTCCAAACTCAATTGTTAAAGCGCGCAGATTGGTGCATCCGTTTAGGGTCAAAAATTCCGCTTACTTTGTAAACAGCTGTATCAACGATAAGCAAACATGACATTCAGAACCCGATACCTACGAGCCACTTAAAATTAATCACGTAAAAGCCCAACATGAAGGAATTCACAAACTCTTCCTAGGAATTCAACAAGTTCCTCACTTATAGGTAATCACTGAGTTTACGCCATCTCGCTTTTTTTTTTAATGAAAAGAAAACCACTTACTTCTTAGTATAATCACTACAATCTTATTTGCAATATCCTTGGTGTTATCATCTTTATCTGCTGTGATAATGTTGTCCTTGTATGGTGTAGTGGTTTCAAGTTGTTTGCGATCAACTTCACTTCCTATTCCAACCGCTACAACTTCGATCCCTTCTTCTTCAAGTTGTCTCGCTCCCGCTGTAATAACCCACGGTTTACTATCTGACTTGTCATCAGTAATAATCACAAGCACTTTCTTGGCATTTGGTCGAGATCCCGCAAATACGACCTGCGACATTTTCAATGCTGCATTCAAGTCTGGGGTTCCTGTGTTCCGCGGTAAGTTATCAATGCGTCGCTTCAATTCGTCTATGTCGGTGATTTCCTCGTCAAAGCGTAGCCGTACAGACGCACTGTCTCCATACACGATTATCGCTGGCCGGATGCTTTCAACACCAAGCTGATCAAAGATGGACTTCATCACTCCTTTCATTACACTGAAGGTTCGCCGATAGTCTCTTGCCGTCGCGCTGATGGCGAACACTACGTCAACATCTTGAATTTGTTTTGCTGGAGAAAAACAACAAAAAATAGCATTACGGCCATTATTTTCTCAATCAAGAATAGCTCGTGAAACCAAAAAATATAAAAAAAAACTTCCACGCTTACCCTCTCTAATTTTTTTCATGATTTTTTCCCTGACTTCTCCGCCTTCGTCAGTTTTGGAGCTGTTGATGATGTTTTCACCAGATCCTGTTCCCGTTATCAGCTCGGAACGATCCACTTCCTTGCCAATGGTGACTGCAAGGACGCGAATTCTTTTATTATCAACAGCTTGTGTTGCAAGCCTCAACTGCCTTGAAGAGCTGCCTGACTTGACGTCTGTGATTATAACCAGGACTTTCTGAGCGCTTGGTCGAGCGGGAGACAGAAGCTCTACACCAAGAAGTAGAGCCTTGGCCAGGTCAGGGGTACCCCTGGGTCTAGAAAGACTTTCAACCTTTTGTAATACACCTGAGTTTACGCTGTCAGGTAAGGCGAGCTCTATGCGTGGCGAGCTTCCACCTGAGATGATGCCATAACGAAGTCTGTAGGTGGAATACTTATTGATGAAAGACTTGACGATGTCCTTAATTTGTTGCAACGTGGCTGAGGCGTCAGTCGAACCAGCAGATATAATAAAACCCAAGTCGACTTCAGGAACCGTTGGTTCGAGGATAACTAAAAACAAAACAAAAGTAAATTCATCTGTTAGATTAAGTCAAATTAAACAACTGGACGGCAAATGGGAAAGTCTAAACTCCAGCCAGATGGCCCATCCATCAGGAGCTTATCCCGGTTTCTATAACATGAAGTGACTAAGAGTATCAATGGTGGGATGTCAGTCCATCGCAATGTTTTCCTCCGGGATTTCATAAGGCTTCCCTGACAAATCGCCATTTATACTCCTAGGTGGAGAGAGGCACTTTGAGGATAAAGTGTTTTGCCTCAAGAACACAACCCAATGACCCGGCTAAATCACGACCCAGAGTCCAGCGCATTGACCATTTAGCCACCGTGTTCCCCGGGAAAACCAAAGTGTTCAACAAGGCGAAACATTTTGTGCCTTTCAGCGCGACTAGTACATTTACCTTCCAAGTAAGTGGCCAAAAGATGTTTTTTTTAGGGGAGAAGTGCAGAAGTATGGGAAGAATTAAACTTAACATTTTCACTTCCATAGGGGACCGAGACAGAATTACTCCTTATAATATCAATACAATATCCAGCAGACAAGTGTTGAAAATAACGAAAAATGTCGATTAGAGGATTGTTAGTTGATCCAATATCACAAGAATTGTCAATGTTGTACATAACCCTCTTCACTGATTGGCTGTGTATCACAATGCCCCCTTAAACTACTGATGGAGGCTTACTTTTCTTCATTTTATCAATGATCTCCTTTGCCACGTCATCGGGATTTCCTGTCTTCGGTGCTGTTACTGTTGTGTTCTTCAGAGGAGTAATGGCCTCTAACTCCTTTTTGTCCACCTCTTCGCCCACTCCAACAGGTACAACGCCACATTCTGGAATGATCGGTTTAGCTGCGTCAACGATAGCAATCCTGTCATTCTTTGACTTGTTATCCATGAACACTATCAGGAATTTCTTAGCATCTGGTCTAGCTCCCGCCTCATCGAACAGCTTCTTCGCCTCAATCAACGCCTTCTCTAAATCTGGCGAACCAGAACTGGGCACGATAAATTCATCAATGATCTCCTTTAACTCTTCAGAAGAGTGTTTGTTCGCAAAACGGACCAAAACCTGTGGCCGCACATCAAACTTCATAACACTGTAATGCAGGTTTGTTGTTCCGTAAGTGTCTATTATGAACTTGATGGATTCCTGCATAAGTCTGATCGTTACTGATGCATCTCGGGACGTGGCGCTAAGAGCAAAGCCTACATCGATCTTTGTCACCTTCAATGGGTCTGAAACAAAGACAAAGCCGACTTTAACTCGAGGTGTGTTAGCGGCTGAACTTTCACCAACTTACCTCAAAAAAATTTTTGGAAAGGATATCAGACTATTACCTTTGTAATTTGGGTTAATGTATTATATCTCAATAAAAGGTTCTTGTTTATAACTAGGTGTGATGTGTGAAGATTACAACGAAAAAATTGAAAGCTGTAGAGGATAATCAATTGAAAATGCCAGTTAATTTAAAATCTTTTTGACTAAAATTTATATTTCTGTATACAGCTGTTTTGGGAACAGTTGTCGGAAAAATAGCGTTAAAGTTACCTTTCGAGATTATCGCGTGCACTTTTGTCCTTTTTCCCGAAAACTTTTCTCGAAAGAGCTGTATCACTTAATTATGTTTCTCTTCATAGAAACATTCACATTATGATGATTTGCATTCTTTACGGTACACTAAAGAAGCCTTCATTCAAAGACAACTGTTTTTAACTCTCTCTGACACTTTCAACAGGGGATAACTCTCATTATACCTGTTTTATCCACGATTTCCTTGCCAACTTCATCAGGTTTGCCACGGCTGGTGGTGTTGATCACGTTACCAGGAGTTTTCGAGATATTTTTCAGGTTAACGAGGTCAGTTTCGCTTCCCACAGCAACTGTGATAATATTAACTCCACTCTCTTTGAGCTCCACCGCTGTCTTCATGGCAGAGACTTCGTCCCCACTGGATCGCTTGTCCACCATCACCACGAGAACTTTTTGCGCGTCATAACGAACGTCATCGCCTCCAAAGAGAACTTTAGCCGCCTCTAATGCCTTGTCGATGGCAGGCCCACCATTTGGTGCAGGTATTGAATCGATGAACGCTTTCAGATTCTCTGCAGAGTTAATTTTGTTGCCAAAGCGTAACTTTATAGCAGCCTCCGAGTCAAAAGTAATGACCCCATAGTGGATCAAGTCAGTGCCATACATATCAGCTATGCTTTTGATGATTTCCTTCATGTGCTGCAAAACGTTCTTAGCGTCACGTGACGCAGCACCAATGGCGAATGCGAGGTCAAGTTTTCCTATCCTTGTTGGTTCTGAAAAGAACAAATGTTGGACCATTGTCAGTATCTAAGCAACTGCACATCAGAGGGGGTGGGAGTGGGTGCGCTGTCGCTCAGATACTGAAGTTGATCCCAAATGTTAAAACCAAAAGTAATAATCGATTCTCACGGGTAATTTGCAAAACAAACATGTCAGTAACAAAGTCATTTAAATTGATTACCGAATATGGTTCAGATTGCACTGGCTATACTTTATTTCACTGCGTCATTGGTCAAAAAAACAATAACAATCGAAATATGTGGAACTAAAGTAAACCAGTTTGAAATGTACGCTTATGCTTTCCACCAAATCCAGAGACAGCCGGTTTCAGATTTGTTAATGACGTTTTCCTTACTCAAAAATTACGATGAATCTTCATTAAACACCACCCTCGAGTATCACGGGTAATTTGCAAAACAAACATGTCAGTAACAAAGTCATTTAAATTGATTACAAGTTTTCACTGGAAAATATGTGGAACTAAAGTGTTTCGATAAAAAAATTACGATTTTCATTAAACACCACCCTCGAGTATCTTCCACAGCACTTGACAAGTTGGAAAGAAAGTGTCGATAAAATTCTTTTCCTTTTACCCAGAAATTCCTGGAGGCAGGGCAATGCACTGTGTTTGCTTCGAGAAGCATTTCAATTGGGTGACATAAACCAAAGCCAAAATAGTCACATCAACCAATGAGAACAAAGCAAAGTATCACCAATGGGGTAACAAAGAAGAAGCATGAACACTGTCTGAAGCGCGGGAAAACGCGAGTGACTAGGACGCAGTTGGTTTTGTTTTGAGTCTGATTGGTTGAGAAAGTGGCGCAAGTATTTCTGGACCAATCACCAAGCGAAGGTTAAACCAAAGCAATCCCAGGTTACTTTTTGACCCTCAATTGAAAATTGCTCTTTTAAAAATCGTAGCGCTCACATACCTGTCAAGATCTTGATTGTTATTGCTCGGGCCAATCTCCAAGACTCCTCCTCTTTCTCTGCCTCTATAACATCCCCCTTGTTATAAGTGATGCTTCTTAACTCACTGCGATCTGTTTCACTTCCGATTCCCACTGGGATCACGCGGACTTTGTTCTCCTCCATTAGTTGTGCACTCGACTTGATCAACGCTGGGCTGGAAGTCGACTTCTTATCAGTCAAAACAACAAGCACCCGTTTGGCATCAAGGCGAGCATTTGGTCCTTGGAAAATTTTCAAAGCTTCTTGCAGTGCTTTGTCAACTTGAGGATCACTTGCTTGTTTTGGTAAGTTTTTAATGTATTTCCGGAGGTCCAGAATGTCCTTGAAAGATGAGTCTCCAAGTTGCAGCGTTGTTCCTGCAGTGGCTCCATATACGAGGATTCCGTATTGAATGTTCCCACCACCATACCTAAAGTCATTCATGACTTTTCTGATTGTGGTCTTCATGAGGGTGAATGTAGCATCAGCATCTCCGGAGTTTGCACTAAGAGCAAACACAAGGTCCAGTTTGGGAAACGAGGGTGAAACTTTTGAACAAAGAGACATAAAATACATTCGTTACTCACTTCATTAAGTCGTTACGGAGTACTTGCGTCAAAAACATGCCGTTCTTGATCACCGGTCAATTCCCAATTAACTTAGCCCTTTTATCCCTAAGAGTACGTGGCTTCTTATTCTCCTTACAGTATCAGCCTTAAATAAAATATGAAGGTCACGTAAATTTAAAAAGCTATTGATTATCAAACAAATTCTCCTTGTCGTTACGAAAGAAGATAACAAGAGCACAGTGCGGAGAACATTAATTCTGACGTTGGAGTATAACGGGTTAAGGCAAGAAGGCAGCATTCAAAATTTTGCAGACCAAATTAAAAAATAAGTATAATTTTTGTGAACAACATTCAATTTTCGGTGAATTATTAATTGTAGATTAAATTTCGGTTGGTTTCAAAAACCTCAGAACCTCGCTGAGTTTCTATAATAAATGGCAACTTACTACTGTCAGCACAAACCCTTTCTCCACACAATATGAGCTCAGTTATCAAATTAAAAAGTGAAACTCTCGAAGAATTTTCCGAAGAGACAATTTACAAATCTGTAAATATAACAATTTGTGACGACCCACCTCTGAAGACCATAGACATAATTTTCATCTTTAGATCATCAGGCTCTGCGCTTCTTTTCTCCTCAATAATGTTTTCTCTTGAAGTAAATATCTCAAACTCCTTCGGGTCAACTTCTTTACCGATTGCCACGGCGACAATTTTTATTCCCTTATCTTGTAGTGGTCTTGTTGCCTCGCGCACCTCGGACGGCAATTTTCCTGACTGTAGATCTGTAATCACAACTAACACCTTTCTCGCACGGGGTCGAACGTTGGTCGGCGAGAACAACTTTTCAGCGTCTATAAGTGCCTCATCCACAGCAGCGCCGCTTCTTTTTTTGGGAGTAGCACTGAGGAACTGTAGAAGATTGTTGATGTCAGTAAAATCGTTGAACCGAATCTTGATAGTTGCAGTGTCCCCAAAGACAACCAGCCCATACTTGATTTTTCCCACGCCGTATTCGCGGATGATCGCTGAAATTGTGTCTTTCATAAGCTTGAATGTTTCGTCAGCAAACAATGAGCCAGCAGCAATGGCGAACCCAAGTTCAAGTTCAGGAATTGGAGATTTACCTGTAAAAAGGTAGAACATATAAAATTTGTAAGCAGGCCCACGAATAGTGAAGATATACAACGCTGCGATCAGCTTTTAAAAGAAGCAACCATCTTGGTCATAAAATACATATTCATATGATCATAACAGTATAAAGAATCTCAGCAGTTAACCCTTTAACGCCTCAGAGTGATGATCATCTAACTTCTCCCAACATCGTCACACCCGAATCAAATATTAAGGTGATAAGATTAAAGGCAATGATCACCAAACTAAAAAAGCTCTTGATTGTGAAACAAATTCTCCTTCTCAGAACCTTATAGGAAATGTATAGAGAACAGTAGAGAGAATATGCAAACTGATGTTCGGGTGTAAAGAGTTAAATAGCTGACAAATTGGCCGATCGAATCCAATCAGAGAGCGCAGCTCCGGAGTTAAACACCCACAGGGAATGGCGGGGGGACCACTTAATACAGGTTTACTGCTCAATACAGATTCAAGAGAGTAGGTGTACTATGAAAAACGATAAAAAAAAAACGCCATTTCATGCGTAATTGAGATAAACACGGATAAAATTTTACTTGATAGATTATTTTTAGTATAATTTGAGTGGTCCGCTCGACTGTACTTCATCAAATTCTAAAAAGTGCTCTGTGAGCAAAAAAACTGTAACAAAAAAACACAATCCTACTCAGACTTACCCTTGGCAATTTTATCGATGATCTCCTTGCCCACGTTAGTAGGATTTTTTTCATTGTCGGTTTTGATGACTTGTCCATCAGTTGATACTGCCTTCTCCTTTGCAGGGTTCACTTCTGTCCCGACAGACACTGCGATCACGCGAACTCCAGCTGTTTCTAGAGGCACAACCGCTGCTCTAATATCTCGAGGGCTCTTACCAGATGACTTGTCTGAGATGACAACTAACACCTACAAGAAACATGTCATCTTACTGTGAGGGCTCCCAGTTCGGGTTTAGTACTATATCATGGTATGACTTATGCAGCCGATTAACATATTTGGGAGTCAGTCTGGTGTCATTTTGCAGAAAGAAAAAACTATTGCCTGATTGAAGGAGAGGGACGAAGGTTAAGTTACCTGACCCGTTTACGAAAAAAACCAAGATGCGCCTCTCTGGCGAGTTCCAGAAATAAAGAAATAAAAAAAGAACTCCAATCAGGAGCTAAATTTAACGCAGCGAGGGAGTGCGATGAAATTAGATAGCAAAAAGTTAAACTTTCAATCTAAAAGGCAAATCTAAAAAAATCGATTTCTTGAATTGTCTGTTAGCAACTTATTTCAAGCCAAGAGCTTCGTTAGCTTCACTCGGAACTACTTTACCTTAGCTGCATTGTATCGTATGAACGGACTGTTAAACTGATCTTCTGCTGCTTCCAAAGCCTTCTCAAGTGAAGGGCTCCCTGACATCCGAGGCATACTGCCAACAGCTTCTACTAACTCGGCATCTGAAGCAAAAATGTCTCCAAAACGGACTTGTGGTGAGGCATAATCACCGTACACAATGACACTGAATTCCAGTCTCTCCGTTCCATAGTTCTCAATAATCGACTTGATGATATCTTTGATAAATGAATATGTTTCTTCAGCTTCGAGTCCAGTGGCGGAGATTGCAAAAACCAAGTTGGTTTCTGGTATCCGAAGGGTTCCATCTAATAAGCAAAAAAAGAAAGAAAGAACAGAAACGTTACGATAAAAATCGCCCAACAATAGTATCACATTGCACAATAGACAAGTTTTAAATTGAGTGTCAAAATTAATTTCGAAATTATATTATTATTCTCTGACTTGGTTGTTTTATTGGTCAACTTCTCAACCAATCAGATAGGAAGCTAGCACTTATAGCCACTTGGTCACATGCGTCTTCCCGCACTTCTGGCAATGAGCTTGTTCTTTCTTAGAATCCTATTACCTCCTTGTTATATTTCTTTTGTTCTGTTTAGCCGCTGTGATCAATTTGGTTTCAGTTACTTGTTGACGATCAGTCGAAAAACTCTTCAACAGAGACGTTCAAAGTGTACTTACTTATCACTCTTTCCATGATCTCTTCACTTAATTCATCCGGATCTTTGTCTTTCTCAGATTCAATTATGTTGCCCTTATTGGTCACAATCGCAAATTCCACTGGACTGACTTCATCACCAACAGCCACGGGAATAATTTTCACGACCATCTGTTCAAGAAGCATAACGGTGCCTGACACGAGATCTTCGTCGAGCCCAGAGCTCTTGTCTGTCAGGACCACCAGGACCCTGTCCACATCCTGCCGATCTCCAGCATCGGCGAACATATCAGCAGCTTTCTCCAGAGCCTTGTCGAGGGCCGATCCACCCGAAGGTTCCTCGATTGTTTCCAACACTTCCCGAACCTGATCAGCATAAGTAGCGTTTCTGAGATGGACGATAACTGAAGCGTCATCATCGTACACAATAAGACCGTAACGGATGTTACTAGAGTCGTATTTCTGGAGCAGGGAGTCGATGGCATCCGTCATTAACTGGAACGTTTCACTTGTATATGTGCCAGTCGCTGAGATGGCAAACACCAAATCTAACTTGGGGACATTCAGTGGACGATCTAAAGGATGAGTCGACAATCAAATTCATGTTTTAATATTGTTTTAAATTTAGCTAACTTAAAAGGATAATTAAAAGGAGACTTTAATGTAATGTGTTCGACTAGTGTGATAGTCACAGAGACAAACAGACTGACATATAGAAAGACAGACAGAGACGAACGTATGGACAAACAGACTGACAGGCAGATAATCAAATTATAATCTTTTTGAAAGGACACGCTGTGGATCATCGTGAATATTAGTGAAGCAATAACTTAAAGTTAGTGATGGCAAATCGAGTGACAAAATTATAAGAGTTAAAAAAACACGCTTCGAAAGCGACGTAAGACTCATTTTGAAAGTGAGCTCTTCGTTGGCAAAAAACAAAAGAGGAGACAGACGAAATTGCAGTGACATTTAAACCTCCACTGTGTAGACAGTTGGGCCAAAAGCTGCAACATCTGTACCCTGCCACACTATTCAGTCACCACAAACGTCTATGCCACTTACCTGTTAAAACCAACACCATGATATCTTTGGAAAGCATGCTTGGAGGCTCAGAAGTTGGCACAAGCAGAATATCCCTGTTATCGGAAGCCATTGTTTCTAATTCCTCCTTGTTTGTGCTGTCTCCTATGCCTACAGTAATAACACGAATGTTCTTCGTCTCCAAAGCTCTCGCCTTCAACATAATGTCACTCAACTGGAGTCCTGATTCGTTGTCCAACATGACGATAAGGACCTTTCTGGCGTTCGGACGGTCCTCGCCATCTTTGAAAGATTCCAAAGACCTTTCCAACGCCTCATCTAACGCCGGGGCTCCACTGCTTGGTACCAATGAACCTATGGCACCTTTCAGCCTCGTGGGGTCCAAAGCACCATCGCTGAACTTCACAACTAGCCTGGCCACGGATCCAAATAACACCACACTGTAGCGAACTTTGCCTGCACCATAGGTGTCCACCACATCAATGATAGATTTTTTCATGAGGTTGAAAGTCTTCTGAGAAAGTGCCGCTGTAGCACTAACAGCAAAACAAAGATCCATCTCTGGTGGTTCCACCACAACTGAAACAAAGAAACACAAAGAGGCTCTTAGAGTAATTTTCAACTGAGTGTTGAAAGTACTCCGATATTGCACTGGTTTGTATTTGTTTTGCCTGGTGATTGGTCTAAAAATATCGCACCACCCTCTAATCCAATCAGATACTAACCTAAAACCAAGCGCAACTTGGTCAGTTGCGTTTTCCCGCTCATGGACCAGTTTTCTTGCCCGTTTAACCCCTCATTGGCTCCTTGTGATATTTCACTTTGCTTTTAGAGGCTGTTGTGATTTCTTTGGCTCTTGGTTTACGACACTACGCAAAGCGCTCTTATGGAAAGTCTTATAAACCTCTTAATCTACGCAGCAGGGCTATGCATATCTGGCACATATCACGTGTTCCCGAAGAGGACGTTTTTATTAATTTTGTTTGGTATGAAAAGATGTATTCGATTCATTTATCAAACGCACTTACCATCAAATACCTTCTCCATAACCTTTCTAGCAAGATCTGCTGGGTTGACGGTTTTTGAAACTTCAAATTCAGTTTTAGGATTGTTGACTAAAGAAAATATTAGAACAGGGATCCCATTCTTCTCCATGGACTGAACTGCCCCTTCAACAGCCGAAGGATCCAGATCCGAAACACCATCTGTCAAAAGGACAACAACCTTTTTGACCGATGGACGTAGACTTGAATCTTTGATGATTTGCAAAGCCTCGTCCAAGGCCCGTTTGGTTCCAGGGCGACTTGAAACTCTTCGGGAATTTTCAATGAAGTCTTTAATGCTTGATCGTGTGGGAAAACTAGTTTTGAAGTCGAATTCCTCACTAGGCCGGCTTCCGTACACGATAAGGCTGTAATGGAGCCGATGTATTCCGTAAGTGTCTGTTACGATTTTAACAGCATCCTTCATGCGCTGAAACGCGTCTTCAGGGTTCCCTGTTGTAGCTGTTAGAGCGAACACTACGTCGACTTCAGGTGCTCTTGTACGTACTGAAAAAATTACAAAAAATGTGTACAAGGCGAAAATCTTACAAGAAACATATTGCTATGAGCATGATCAGGGGTAAAGTAAATACATAAGCTTGAGCCGATTTCCGAGGTATGAAGCGAGTAAGAACCTTTCTACACCCCCTGGACGGGATGCTAGTTAATCGAAGGTTACCCCTAGCGTTTTGTCCAGTTCTCCCACCATATCCCTTGGTAAAGGGAAGCGCTATGGAAGTGGCACCAGCCAGGAGTCGACCCAGAGGCCAGCGCGCTAAATGACAGGCCACCGCATCTCTCCACTGGAGAGGATTCAAACCCCAACGGTCATGGATTCGTTACTCTCAAGGAATCAGACATTTATCTACCAAAGACTTGCTTCGTTGGCGATTGAAGCGTTAACCTTTTTTGCCACCCTAAGATCTAAACATAGATCATCCATTCTGTCCGCCATACGTTTCTTAGAACTTTAGCTTTGGGAATTTGGTCTTTGAGGTGAAACTGTGGGGCTTGACATTATTTCTTTCTTCTCGTTACCTCTCTGCCCGAAAATGTATCGATATTGTAAGGGAGAAATTCTTAATGGTCACTCCAGGGAGCGAGTGCGGTTTACTGATTCTCGAGTCCTCTGATACAAGATGGAATTTTCTAACAGTTACCACCTTCATCCCTTTTGCTTTAAAACAGAGACATCAATAAAAAGACGCAAGTAAAAAGTACCTTTTAAAATCTTTTCCATTACTTTCCTTCCGAGATCGTCGGAGTCAACAACTTTGGAAATTACGATGACATCGCTCACATCAGGTGTAATCTCTTGGAGTTCGTTTTCATCAGCCTCGCTGCCTAGTCCTACGGAAATGACTGTCACGCCTAAATCTTGAAGTTTATTCGCCTCAGAAATGACATCATTAAGATTGGAAGATGTCTTTTTGTCTGAGATCACGACCAAGATTTGGTGTGCATCTTTGCGCGCATTTGGCGATGTAAACATTTTTCCTGCGCGCTTGAGGGCTTCATCTAAGGCGGGACCTCCTTTTAAAATGGGGAGTTTTGTGACCGAGGCTTTTAAATCATCGCTTGTGGAGTAAGAGGCCAAGTCTATATATGACGAAGCTCCGCTTCCGAATAGGATCAAGCCATACTGCATGTTACCCGTTCCGTACTTGTTGACAATAGAAGTAATCGCCTTTTTCGTCGTTTGGAACACCTCATCAGCTTTAGACGATACTGCAGTTATGGCGAACACAACATCGATTTTAGGTACCTCTGGCAAACCTATGATGGATCAATAAATAAGCATGTAAATATTCAAGCTAACTTATAAGCAGATCAAAGGAGCTAGGGTGGCGCAGTGAAGAGAGGGCTCGCCTCCTATTGCCGTATTTATGCCAGTAGTTCCCTGCGAAAATAAATCGAAAGATTTATTATCGGTGGGTATATTATCCAAAATCTTATATTATCCAATATAATATATGTATTATCCAAACCTGGCCGCAAAACTTTCTCCATCAATTCCTTGGTCAAAGGTGTCTTGCCTGCATCAATGGGAACAGTGATAACGTTGTTGCTATTGCCTGTAATATTAACCAGTTCATTTGTATCCACATCTGACCCAATCCCCACGGATATAACTTTCACTTTCTGCTCTTTCAATGGTGCAAAGGTTGACTCAATCTCTTCCTTGGATGAATCCCCCTTTACGTCAGTCATCAAAACGAGTACCTTAGAAGCATTGGCGCGCACACCCGATCCCTTGAAAGCTTCAGAAGCCGCCTCAAGGGCAACATGAGGTGATGTCGGTGGAGTGATCTCCGGCATAAATGTGACGAATCTTCGTAAGTCGTCGGGATCCACCTGTTCTTTGGTGAAGCTGAACTTAGTGGATGCTTCAGAACCGTAAATAATAAAGGAGAAATGGATGTCCTTTGTACCGTATTGTTGTATGATAGAATTTATCACCTCCTTCATCAGTGGATAAGAAACGTTCGACTGGAAAGAGGTTGCGCTTAAAGCAAACGCAAGATCAACTGGTGGTGGTCTCAGTGATTCTAAACGGATCAAAATAGTAATCGGTTAAAAGAAATAATTTCATAACCACTGGAAATATAGCAGCAGCAGCCCAAACACGATAAACTCTTTAATTCTAAGGGTGACTAGCATCTGTTTTATCACCACCGACCCCGACCAACCCCGAAACAAAATTCAGGTCACGAAAATAAAGGAAAGGATCACCAATTAATGTTAAGCAAATTATCCTCGGCAGCACATTAGGAAATGTATAGAGAACAGTATGGAGAATATGCATTCTGATGTTGGGGTGTAAAGGTTTAAAAGAGCAGCAATATTTCCGTAGGACTAAGTAGAATAAGCGAAACCAACGCAAGATAACCCCACCATCAGTTAAAAACAAAGAGAAAAGTCGAAGGAAACATACTGTGGAAGGAAAACTTTGAACCGGATGCAAACGCGGCAAAACATACAACGGCTTGAGAGCGCGAAAACTCAAACCACTTTCCTTGCAGGGGAAATGGGGAAACCTGTTACAAGTGCACGAAAATGTTTCGCAGCCAGCTGAAAATGCAAGACAACATAAGAAAGCCATAAGCGATGGAAAACGCAAACAGGCTTTATGCACAGAGAATAGAGTCCAGCTCTAAGAGAGTGAAACCGACCAAAGCTGTAAGCGGGAACGTGCAACCACCAAGATTTCAGTACATGACAATAGCGGAAAAAGCTAAGGGGTAAACTGGCTGAAAAAAAGGATGGAAAGGTACGGGAAAAAAAGTTTGTACGGGAGCACAAACGCAAAAACCATAAATCATGGTCTTCGGTAGAATAAACCAAATTATTCAACCATTAAGGTTGAAGAAGGGTAAAGTACTCGAGCCAACCACCCCCAACTCACCCCAGCCGCAGCTTATGCCGGTTTCTTTATCATGAAGCGACTAGAAGTATCACTATTCCCCCCAGGATGCGATGTTGGTCTATCACAATGCCCCCAGCATTAATCAAGCTTCCTTGACAATTTCCCAGTACCCATTTATACCCCTGGGTGGAGAGAGGTAATGTGAAAGTAAAGAATTTTGCCAAAGAACACATCACATTGATCCGGTCAAGTCTCAAACCCAGAAGTTTCGACCCGGAGTCTAGTGAACTGGACATAAGATCACGGCTCTCACGTATACATAGCCCAACCCACAAAACTATTAAGAGTGTAAGGCAATTAATACAAATTTAAACATAATTCTTCGTCATACCAAGAACTCTAGCGATAATCAGCTCCATCAAACGGTTAGGTTGTTCATCTTCATCAATAAGAACCACATTATCCTCGTTGCTTGTAAGGACGCCCAGTTCATTACTGTCAACTTGATCTCCTACACCAACAGGAATAACAACGATTCCAGACTCCTCCAAATAAACTGCTCCTTCCCTTATCTCGTCTTCATCCTCACCAGACCTCCCGTCCGTCAAAATGACGAGGACATGCGTAGCACCCTTGCGAACGCCACTGTCTTTGAATGTCTCCTTAGCAGATTCGATGACCTCTGTGAAAGACAACCCTCCCGTGGCGGAGGGCAAAGCGTCAACGGAGGCCTTCAATTCGTCGATGGTGGAATACTTTTCGCTGAATCGTACAAAGATATTGGATGTGTTCGAGAACACAATGAAGCTGTATCTAAAGCTCCCTGTACCGTACTTGTCAGCAACGGTTTTCAGTGTATCTTTCATGAGCTTGAAAATTTTCTCTCTGGATAATCCTGTAGCACTGAGAGCGAAGGCGATATCAACTGGCGGGAACTTGCCTTAAAAAAGAAATAAAATAATACGTCAGTATTCGTCATTTAGAGCAATTTTCAAGTGTCGAAAGATATTCGGGATTGCTTTGGTTTTGCTCTAGTTCGTTATGTAATTGGTCCGGAAAACTCATGACAATGTCTCAACTAATCAGATTCAACCAATCGCGACTTGGTCAATGGAGTTTTCCCGCGCTTCCGCTTCATTGGCTCCTGGTGATATTTTCCTTGTTATATGGGCTAATTTGATACCTTTGGTTTTGGCTGTACGACACTCTATCGCAAAGCGCTCTATTTTTCTTCTGTCCGATTGGTCTCGAAACGTCACGTGCCCTAATAAGATCCTAGAATAACAAAGAGACCTCATCCAAATGAAAGACCCTTTTTATATTTTATCCTATTTACCTTTTCTCACTTTTTTCGATTTCAAGGCGCTATTTCGTGTTCATGCGACAGCATATTTTACCACCATTAATCCGTTTTACAAATTGGCCAGAGTAGATTTTCCGGATTTGCATAGCGGTTTTCAATTCAGTTTTCTACATTGGTTTTGCTGGGAAACTCCTACTTCGCTCCCAACTAAATGGATAAAAATCGTTGCCGGGTCGCTTGAAAAAGGGGTTCATACTTGCTCTTTAAGTTGCATACTTTTGAGCTGGTTGGTTGTTTAATGTATGTGTAGTATCGTATTTTCAGGTATATGACACTCAGTCGAAAAGCACATGCATAATCGTTTATGTTTCAACTTACATCTGGTAACATGTTCCATAAGCTGTTTTCCTAGTGTTCGTGGTTTTTCAGATCTAGGCACTTCAATGACAAGACCATCTGGATTGGTCAACTCCAATTGGGATGAATCGTCCTCAAAACCCACAGCTACTGGAATGACCTTTACTTCTCTCTCGTCAAGAGGTGCGGCAGCTTCACTGATTTCAGGTGCACTGCTTCTAAACGCTTTGTCTGTCATTATCACTACCACTTTGCATGCATCAGGTCTTGCATTCTCAGAGTCGAACACCTCTTCGGCCTTCTTCAGAGCTCCAATGATATTGGATCTTCCAGGTTGCATGCGAAGAAGCTTAACAAATTCTATCAGATTATTTGGAGTTCTGGTGCTACTATCAAAGTCCAGTTCGGTCTTTGCATTGGCGCCAAACAAGATGAGGGCATAACGCAACTTTTCTGTTCCATATTTGCCAATTATCCAGGCTATTGTTTCCTTCATTAATCTGAATGTCTGTCCGTTTCCTAAGGAGTCGGCACTTAGTACAAAGGCAACGTCAATTTCCGTTGAAACCGGTGGGGGATCTACGTGTGAGAAAATAAAGTTTTGCAGTTCTTGTCGGTCTGAATCAGAAAGTTACGATCTTGTAAACATTTCGAGGACGGATTCATAAGAAAGGTTTCCAACGACACTAAGAAAAATTTTTAGTTTCCAAAGTATTTCGGTACTGCGGTGGATTTGGTTTATCAAACTCTGTCACCAGTCTCGCAGTTTCTAAAAAATGGTAATGTTGCGTCGTTGTAGGTGGTAGATCGAGATCATTTGGTTTTATAAACTGAGTTGATAATGTTAATTGGAAACCGTAAAAAGCTTCTAGAGCTGAACTTTCGAGCATTAGACCTTCGTGCTCCAAATATCAGCTTTCGAAACTCTTTACTGGGGCAAATTTACATCATAAACACAGTTGATAAAGCCAAATTCTCTCAACCATTCTGATTTGTACCTTAATTCTACTGCAAAATGGTTACTCACACTTTTCCTATGCCTTTGAAAACTCTTTACTGCGGTAAATTTACATCATCAACGCATTTGATAAAACCAAATTCTCTCAACCATTCACATTCGAAGCTAAATCCCACTGCAAAATGGTTACTCGCACTTTTCCTGTGCCTTTGAAAACTCTTTACGGTGGTAAATTAACATCATCAACACATTTGATGAAACCAAATTCTCTCAGCCATTCACATTCAAAGCTAAATCCCACTGCAAAATTGTTACTCACACCTTTTCTGTGCCTTTAGAAACTTACGCGTATGAATTCTCATTGGCACTTGATATTCACCCTGCTTCTTATTAGCCGTTGTGATACCTTTGAATTTAGTCACCTGATACGTTAAGTCTTATGTGTTCTTAGGGAAAAGTTCAACAATAAAAAAATTATCAACCTGTCCCCCTTGCTATCTCGGAGGCGCGGGTTTAATCTCCCCGAACCCTGAATTTTTTCAAGCTTCTTGCCTACAATTCCCAACATTGCAGCTCACCCTCGAGAAACATTGTTTTACTTGATTTTCAGCCGCAGGTGAAATGATGTTTTTATTTCATTAAAAATTATAATACAAAACTAACCTGTGAGGATGAGCCTTAGGATTTCTGCGGAAAGCTTGTCAGGATTTTCATCAGTTGGTGAATCTATAATATTCCCAGTATGTGGTGTAATGTAAGCTAACTCCTTCGCATCAGCTTCCACTCCAATGGATACAGCGATAATCTCCACTTCTTCGTTTTCTAGAACAGTAGCAGAAGACCTTAGCGCACTTTCTTCAGCACCCGAACTCTTGTCTGTGAACACGACAAGAACCTTTTTGGCATCCTTCCGTGCGCCTACTCCGTCAAACATCTTTTTGGTGTCGTTCAGAGCTTTGACGAGTGCGAGTGGAGGAACGCCTGCAAAGGATATTTCAATAAAAAAAAAAGTCACACTCATTTTTTTAGGAGGGTAAGAATTACATATCAAGTCTATTTTGCAACCTTAGATTTGACCCGACGAAATAAACGATTTTAGTATATAATAAAACAGTGGATGGTGTTGAAGGCTTATTATCATAATATCCACCACTAGCCACCTTCACTTCGGTGAATAGTTTTAAATATTCTGTACAGTTTACTGTACAGAATATTGTACAGTATATATTCTGTACTGTAGAGTTTACCATAGTGTCACCTAGATTGCTAATCAGAGCGCGCGTAGGGTCTAAGTTATTTTATCAAACTTTAAGAATATTACCTTTCGGTTTGGGCAGATTATCAATATACTGTTTCACTTCAGCTTCAGGCACCATCTTGTTGGAAAATTCCAATAGCCTTTCGGCTGATCGTCCATAGAGGATAATACCGTAGTGGATTTTAGAAGTTCCATACTTGTCCACCAAGGATTTAACGGCATCCTTCATGAGTTTAAAAGTCTCGTCTGAAGTTGAAGATACTGGACACATGGCAAACACAAGATCGATGTCTTGTATAGGCACCGACACAGCTAAATAAATAAAGACGAAAAAATCAGGCTCATGCATAAATGGAAGCGCAGCGGAAACATCATTATTCGCGTGTAAAGTATAATATACAGTTTGAACTAGCTAATGTGGAGAAGAAAGCCAAAAGCAAACAAAGAAACTAATTTCAGAGCTAGTAGACTTAATATCTTCCACTCACATACCCAGGGTCCCGCTGGTAAGACTAAAAATATGCAGGCTTCGACGGGATTCGAACCTGTGCATCCCAGTATTCAGTTGGGTGCCACTACCGACTGAGTTCCGAACCCACATGGCAGAAGTGAGGTAATTATATCACAGCGCTCAAACGTCTGCGCATGTACTATTGTTGCAATGACTAGGTGGCACGCTTTCAAGCTGTCTGAACCAAGTTGTCTCACACAAGTTATTACAAACAACCACAAAAGCCAACAAGTCACGTTGTTTTAAAAGCTTAGAACGTTTTCGGTAAAGCTCAAACTAGAATGGTAAATCAACAGGATACCCATACTTCCATAAGCTTTGTGTTAAGAAAGTTTCGAGTTTTCCTTTTCCCTGTTTCTCTTTCCTTGCAAAGATTTCTATGAACGTTTCAATCGTTTTTCGTTTATTTTGCAAGACGGCGATTGCTTGTTATGTTTTCCTTTGAAAATTCGCGCGGGAAATTGGCATGCCGCCACCCTGCATTGATGCCCTAGCGCATGCCCGACGTTTGACCGCTGTGTTGGCAATTGCGCAAGGTACTTTGTATCTTGCAGGGGAATCTGATCACAATCATTTCAAGCAGTATTTGTGAGAAGTCTTATCTCATGCAACATCAAATAAGTGTCATTTTCTCACGTTCAAAAGCTTTTTCCATGATTCTGTTCCCTAAAGAGGCTGGATTGGAATCGGAGGGTCCTGTAATTACATCTCCCTTCCTCTGAGTAATTTCCTCCAGTTGTTTGGAGTCCGGCACACTTCCAATACCAACAGCAATAACGTGAATGCCTTTATCTTCTAATGGTATGGCTGCTGTCCTGAGCTGTTCATCTGTGGACCCGGAACGACCATCAGTGATCACCACAACAACCTGAAAAAAAAAAGAGAGGGAGTCAATCGGCGGAAAAAAATACATTATGTCACGCTTTCAGTAATGCTCTTGTGTCACGCTTGAGGTCACGCCAAGTCTGAAGGAACGCTTTCTGATGGATGATTTCATTGCGCTACGTGACTCTCTTTCAAAACTCGAGTCAACTTCTCAATCATTTTGATGCAAACCTTAAATTGATCGTAACCTCGTCATTCGCTTTCCGCAAAGGTATGGCGGTCTTTTTCACTAACTTGTCATTGAAATTCCTTTGGTTTTGGTTTAAAAACATTCGCACAAAAAGCGAACTTCCGAGGAAAAAAATTTTTACAATGAAGATTTATGAGAGCTGCAAGCTTCTTAATCCTTTACACCCTAACATCAGTATCCATATTCCCCATACCCTTCTTCATAAATTTCCTTTAGTGCTGACAGGGAGAATTTGCTCAACAATCAAGAGCTTCTTGAGTTGGTGATCATTTCCTTTATTCTCGTTACCTTAATTCAGCGGTAATAATGCAAGGAGAAATTAGATGCTGGTCACTTTTAGGGGTCAAAGTAAGATCACAATGAGGCATACGAAACACTCGTTGTTACCTTCATAGCATTTGGCCGGACATTCGCCCCTTCAAAAATGTTCTTGGCCGCACTCAGAGCTCGCTCAAAAGCAGGAAGCCCTTGACTTGCGGGCAAACTTTGCACGAGTTGCAAAAGATCCTCAGCAGATGGGTCCTTTCTGTTGAATCTTTCCATAACAGTAGCATCTGTACCGAATGACAGCATAGCATATCGAATGCTTCCCACCCCATAAACATTAAGCACATACTTCAGGGTGTCTTTCATCGTGCGCAAAGTTTGCGCTACGTTACTTGCGGTGGCGCTCACAGCCAAAATCATGTCCACGTCCGGTAGAATGCGTACTGAAATACAAAAAAATTCTGATAAATGCTGTTTTTTTTTCTGTTTGTTTGTTTGTTTGTTTCACAGAGATACACGGTGGCCTAAAGACTCCACCTCTAGAGGTCTGGGTATGAGACCTGGCCCGGTGAATGTGCCTCAAAATCTCCACCCTTAAGTATAAATTGGTACTGGTGTGATAGACAAACATCCCAGCTAGGGGAGAGTGGTGATATTCATAGTCCCTTCATGCTAAGGAAACCGGATAAGCCTTGTCTGGGTAGGCCTCTGGGCTCGAGAACAAACTCTTTTTCACAAGCTTCACCGCTGAGCTTAAGAGAACTCATTGGTGCGCTCGGCTATGTATTAGGTTCATATGCACTGAGTGTTTTGATAGTGTTAGGAAATCTTACTACCACAGAAATGAAGTCGCTGCCACCCATAACCGCTGACCGTCAAAATTAAACATCACAATTATTTAAATTTTTAGAGAGTGCTAAGTGGCCTTCAAACAGTGTTCGAGGGCAAAATTGTGAAAAAGGCTCATTCACAAAAAAATTCCACTCTGTTTTAATCGAAATACTGAGTGAATTCCCAAAAAAAATAGCCCATATTCTCACTTGCACAAACGAGAAAAAAAAATTTGATCGAATTCTCATCTAACATCCACGTGACTGTTTGGGTCAAAACCCAAACATGCCTTGGCATACCTTTAAAGATCTTCCACATTATTGCTTCTCCAAGTTCATCTGGTTTAAATACTTTTGGAGCTTCAATCAGACTATTTTTATCTGATGTAATCAACGTCAATTCTCTCTTGTCAGCCTCCTTTCCGATAGCAACAGGAATAACATCAATAAACCGCAGATACAAAGTATTCGAAATCTCGCCCAGTTTTATTTCGTCGACACCAGACCTCTTATCCATTATCACGACCAGAATTTTCCGAGCAGTTGGTCGAGCTCCAGGTCCTTCGAATAACTTCACTGATTCTTCTAAAGCTTTCTGAAGGTCAGGTCCTAAGTAGAGATACGAAAAATATACCTTTAAAATGCGTGAATGCAAAATAAGAGACAAACCACCGAAGGAAAAAAAAACACAGTAGAAGTGTTTCGTTGATTGAAATCGTGTGGAATTTTTTAGTACCACGCTATCATCACGAAGAACGTTATTTAAAATGGAAATACAGTTTGTTTATCTCAAATCTTACTCAAGTCTGCTAAATTTATCTGAAAGGAATTCTTGTGATTTTGAAGTGTTGTGACAATTTTTTTTCCCGTTGATGTAAAGGATATTGAAGACTGAAATCTTGATTCACTTTATTTCTTTGATATATTAATGATACCCCAGAGAGGTCAAAAGCTTAACATACCGGGGAGTTTGAAAAAAGCGGAGGATTCAGCTACAATTGGCGGGGATGGGAGGTTCAAAATTAATCGTGATCGAGACCTCAAAGGGCTTAAAATAGCAGGAGTTCGAGATCCACGGGGGTTCAAAGCACCGAGAGTTCGAGATCTCAGGGGGTTCAAATACCGGAAGGTCGAGATCCTAAGGGGTTCAAAATACCGGGAGTGCAAGATCCTAGGGGTCAAAAATACTGGGAGATCGAGATCCCAGGGAGTTTAATATACCGGAATTTGAGATACCAGGGGGTTCAAAATACCGAAAGTTCGAGATACTAGTGGCTCAAGACACTGGAGCATTCAAGATGTCTAGGATTCACCATATCAATGAATCTTCATAACAGAGTGTCATTTTTAACATGTCACCTGTTGAACTTCTTGGTACAGAATCCAAAAGTCGTATCATTTCTTCTCGAGTGAACGCGTCTCGCCTGAAGTCCCTAACACGGTTGGGTACATTGCCAAACACCAACAGACCATGATGAATCTTGTCTGTTCCATATTTATTCACAATATACTTTGTTGTTTCTTTAATGCGGCTGAATGTCTCATCTGCATCTGTTGCGGTGGCGCTAATGGCGAAGGCGAGGTCAACTTCTGAGACTGAAGGTCCATCTGAAAGAGACAATTCATAAATTTTTCCTTCAGAAAGGCCAATAAAAGCACTTCAGTTAATACGTCTCTCTAGATACAGTAAAATCCCTATTAAGTTGCGGGCTGTGAGGAGGGGGTGGGGGCCAAGCCCATACCGGCCACTGCACAAAATGAACCAAAATGCTTCTGGTGTAGTTCGTTCACTCAGTATTCATCGTACCTATTATCGAATTCCAACAAAGTTTGGTGTGGGAAGACTTAAGCCTTCCCCCTTTCAAAAAACTCATAAACACTCATACACACTCACACATACACCGCTTCGCCGTTAACCAGTGTAATTCCTTCAATAACACTACTGATAATCTTTTCAGTCGATAAAACTCAGAAAACTCTCAGTTACTGACCGACAAAGAGATGCTTTGTCAGCAGTTTGGCGAATTAGTTTTCACATTTCGGGGACAGAGGAGTTCATAGCCACTTTTTTTCATTTTGGGGGGAAGGGGGTGACGGGGAGAGAAGGGTGTGGCGGGGGGAGAAGGGGGTGGCGGGGAGAGAAGGGGGTTGGTGGGGAGAGAAGGGGTTGGTGGGGAGAGAAGGGGGTGGCGGGGAGAGAAGGGGATAATTAATTCCTTTTTCTACCTCGAATCTTGTCCATAATCTTCTCTCCTACCACCTCAGGATCCGTTTCTTTTCCAGTCTCAATAACATTCGTCTTGTCAGGTGTCGTGTTAACGAGCTCATCAGGGTCTCCTTCTTCACCGACCACAACAGGTATAACCAAAACGTCCGTATCCACAAGAGGCTTGGCTGCTGTTTTAACGTCATCCACAGTAGACCCAGAACTACTATCTGCCATGATCACAAGAACTTTACGGGTTAAGGGTCTCCTTTCATAATCATCAAACATTTCTGCTGCTTTCCTCAGCGCGGCTGCCAAGTCTGGTGTCCCCGTGCCAATATCGAGGTTTTCTACAACTGTCTTGAGTTGCTGTGGTGACGGAGGTGTCTGCCCAAATTTAATTTCTATCGATGCAGTTTCACTGTACACAATGACACTGTAGTGTATTTTCTGGGTGCCATAGGTGACGATGATGTAGTTTATCACATCCTTCATTAGCTGAAATGTTTCGTTATAAAGTGTACTGGCTGCACTCAACGCGAAACCAAGATCAATCTCAGGGATAGCTTGAACTAAACAATGGAAATATCGACATGAACCATAGTTTGACTTGATAATTATGATCTGAATGTATGCTTTGAAATGAAGTCCTCAGATGGATAAAGCCAGAAATATTAAGAGGAGGAGGGAGAGGGTTTATGGTTCCGTCATTGTCAAACTTCTAAGGCACACCCGAGCCATGAAAAGCAATTGGATCAATGTAGTTTCTAGACAATAAAGGAATTTTCAACTGTTTCGAGTGTAATTCAGGAAGGTAATAGTCTATGTCACCTAAGTCACAGCCTTTGTGTAAAATTAAACGCAACACTCTCTCCTCCCAAATCCGTTTCTACTGCAAGGTAGAAAACTGCAAGGGGGAAATGAAATAAATTGAAAGCTTTCTTATTTATAATTTATCATTTAATCTCCTGATACCTGTGCGAATCATCTCCATGATCATCCTGGCCAATTCAGTCGCCGAAGTTCCATCTTTGGGTTGTATGATGGTCTCTTTGTCAGGAGTTATAATTTCCAATTCTTTCGTATCGGCCTCTGTACCGATCGCCACCGGAATCACCGTTATCCCAGCATGCTCCAGGAGCTTGGCTGCTGTCCTGACGTCACCAACATTTGAGCCAGATTTCCTGTCCGTGATAACAACCAGGACCTGACAGAAAACAAAACAATAAAGTATCATAACGTGTTCCACAGGAACAATAAATTAATGAGTCACTGACAAACCTATGCCATTTCCGTCCTCTTCATGGCACAAAGAGTATTAAATTCACGTCTCTGGAACGGTGTATGACTTCTAAAACATAGGGTATGAGAGGAAGATTATCGCGATTTAATAGAAAGCATCAAGAACTTCCCTTACAATCACGGATCCCTTAAAAAAAGACTATTTCATTGAGTACAAGTAATTTTAAGTCTACGAAGTCATTCACGCGGGTGCAAACACATTTTATTTCTGAAGTTGAATCGGTAAGTCCCTTCAAATCTTAGCAGAGGCGAATCTGTTCCCCATTGGTGGCTTTCGACCAGATTTTGATCCCTACAACGACAAGGAGTATTTCACGTTCCCTCCCCTTCCCCAAAACTCACGAGTGCCCTTTCACACTCCTAGGTGTGGTGATATGAGAGTTAAGTATCTACTTCAAGTCCACAAGCCAAAAGTCCTTTCCAGAGTCAGACCTGGAATTTTCGATACTGATTCCCGTAAGCCTACTGTACGGCCACCAAAATAACGCGCGTGTTCCCTTAAAATATAACAAGCCCGCAAGAATGGATACTGCTCTTAGTATCACTTGTTTCTACCTTACGAGCCTGCGGTCTTGCTGCATCAAAAAGTCTCCTTGCTTCTTCTAAGCTCTTGTCCAATGCCACTATCCCTGTCTCTCGAGTGACTGCATCAACTGTCCGCTTAAGAGCATCAAAATCAGATGGTTGGCTTTGGAAATCAAACCATTTTTTTGGTTTTTCGCCATAAGCCACGACTGCATAGTTAATCTTTGACATGCCGTACATATCAGCAAAGGCTGTGATGGTGTCTTTCGTCAGTTTGAAGTTAGTTTCGGCATCCGTGGCTGTGGCGCTAATGGCGAAGGCTACGTCCAAGGTGGGTACATCTGGGATTTCTTTGAAGAGACATTCAACACAGAATATGAAAAACACGAAATTACTGCAATTCTGATTTAAGAAAATGCTCAATAGGAATTTACCAAATTGATTACACCCTTAAAAAGTTCGTTCTTTCCAAAACAATGGACCCCAGATACATTACCTTTGAAAGCCAGATTCATGACCTCAATACCCAATTCATCTGAGTCATCCGTGATCTTGGCCGGGATAACATGGCGTACATCTGTTGCTATATATTTAAGCTCGGTAATGTCGCTTTCGCTACCCAACCCAATGGCAATGACTTTAATACCCTTCTCCAACAGCTCTTTGGCAGCAGTTTGAGCAGCCTGATCATCTCCTGTCGATTTTTTGTCTGTGAAAACGACCAGGACTTTGTGTGCATTAGGACGAGTGCCTTCCGATTCAAACAGTTCTTCCCCCTCCTTGAGTCCTATGTCCAAGCGTGATCCACCGGACTCAGGGGTGACCGTTGCAAGATGTCGTTTCAAATCATCTCCATTGGTAAAACTCTGATGAAATTCGAGGACAGTTTTTGTGTCGTTACCGAACACTTCGACCGCATATCTGATCCGGATGACGCTGTACTGGTCGATAATAGCATTGATGACAGAATTCATCTTTTCAAAGTTCTTATTGGCATCTGAAGAAGAGACACTCAGAGCGAAGCCAAGGTCCACCACAGGCACATACTTCATTTCTGATTAAAATTAAAACACAATAGAAAATTCATTTTGCAAGGTAAAACTAGAAAGGCGTCCTGCTATCTCAACCCCCCAGGAAACAGTCAAGTTCCTCAGGAAAGAGATAATTACAACATCCATCAATAAAAGAGGAGGGTGGGTACCCTATGCCCATATAGAGGAAGGCAGTGATCTCCTCTGCAGCGAGGGGGTGACCATGGCAACCCAGACAAAGCTCACCTCCAGGCACCTGTCAACACAACTCCAACAAATTGGTGTAGGGAATAATTACTAACCTAAATTGTGGGGTGGAAGGGGGGAGTGGGGTAGGTGGGGGAAAACAAAACAAGCAGAGTAGTAAGGCAAACCGAGCAAAAGCACAGGGCAATTCCACTGCAAACCTTTTTGAAGATCCCCCCCCACCCTTCCCCACATCTCATTGGAGAAACTGCCGCAGTAACTTGGTTTAATCCTTACCTTAAGGGATACATTGAGAAAAGTCTACCCCCGAAGATAGATGGAGAGTAACTTTAAACATCGCAAAACTTCCTTAGGCAAGTTGCTCACCTTTGATAGCTTCTCTCATGATCCTGTCACCAAGTTGTTTAGGACTCTCTTTGGGGTCCTCCTTAACACTGTTATCTTTCATGGGAGATAAAGGCCGTAATTCACTCCTATCTGACTCCTCACCCATGGCAACGGTTATAACCTTGACACGCATCTCATGTAACTCATCCGCAAGGGGTTGAATTTTGGCCCTGTCCCCTGTCGCTTTGCTATCGGTCAGAATCACCAACACATTGCGACGCTCCGGTATCTCACCGCTGAACATCACCTTTGCACTCTCAAGAGCGGCTGCTAAGTCCGCTCCGCCTCGACTCCGCTGTACCATTTCCACGAAGATTTTTAGTTGCTCGTCGCTACTAAATATCTCTGTCAATTGGATTCGTGGCACCGCCTTACTGCCGTAGACAATAAGACCATATCTGATTTTTTGCTGTCCGTAAGAGTCGATGATTGAGTTGATTGTGTCGGTCATGCGGCCAAAGTAATTCTTAGAATTTTGTCCGTTTGCATTGATAGCAAACACCAAGTTCAGTGGTTCAATGCCTAGGCAGATTTAGACAAGCGACATTAATAAGTGTGTTTGTGGTCGTTGTTGAAACACTTATAGGCCTAGACTACAAGTAGTCCATCCTTTTCGGCGAATTCCGTCGAGCGATTAAAAAAAAATTAGCCGAAAAAAGTATTATCTTAGCGCATCGCACTCAACTCTCGGAGTGAGGTACCTCACTCCCAGAGTTCTGCGCGGCACTGATTCTATTTTTTTTTCTCCCCCGACAGACTTTGCCAAAAATAAAAGGCGACTGCATGTAGTCTACACTAGGACACGTGATTTCGAAGATAACCTTAATTACTGGTCGAACAGGACACTTTGAAGTTCCATAAAAACTGACTCTTTCAAAACGAGGCTACAGGAAAACTACTTTTTTTTTTTTTGGAAAAATTAAAAAAAGCTTCACAGTTACACTTGTTTAAACAGAAGCATCTCAGAACTGCAATGGCTTTCAAAGAATGTCTAACCAGCTACGGACAAAAACTTTTCGGAAACCAGGAGTAAATCCAGTTTGAAGTGTACTCAGTAACAAACCTTTAAAAACATCAGTAACCAAAGCCTTTTTCCTTTGTTTGGGCTCGATTTCTGGTTTATAATTCGTTTCTTTTTATTTTGGTATCTTTGTCTTCACTGTTACCGTAGTTATGGTAGTAATGTTCAGTTTCGATGCTGCTTTTGTTGTTGCGGTCGTTCAAAATTTCTGAGTGCCTATTGCGTTACATCCAACTAACTCTTTCAAACAAGATTCATCCATACCTTGACACAAATTCTTGGTTACTGTTCTCAAACTTCTTGCAAGCTGTCCAAATGATCCCATCTTAAGGACATTTTCAGAATTCCCCATGGCAATAGTTTTCAGTTCACTTTCATCAGCCCCAGCTCCTACGCCAACAGCCAGAACTTGCACTCCTTTAGTCTGCAATGGAAATAACACTCCTATTCAGTGACTTAATCCCTCTACACCCCAATATCAGTATGTATGTTCTCCATACTGTTCTCCATACATTCACTAAGCTGCTGACAAGGAGAATTTGTCTAACAATCAAGAGCTTCTTTAGTTGGTGATTATTTCCTCTGTTCTTGTGACCTTAATTTTTGATTCAGGGGTGATATAATATTTAAGGAGAAATTAGATGGTAGTTACCCTTAGAGGTTAAAGCATCCATACGGACTATCTCTTTATTGTTACCTAGTCTTAGCGCGAGCCAGTCGCAAGATAAACCAGGGTCTGATAAACCTGCGATCGATAGACTTTTGATCCCGTTGTGATTTTTCTACTGGTCGAGACGTTTTCAGAAGTTAATACTCTGGATGTGGAATTTATTTCAAGCTTATCAAATGTATTTTCTGCTTATCAAGAGGAAAGCAAGATCAAATGAAGAGTTGAGCGAAAGGAAATGAATCGAGTTGAGTTGAGAACCATCTTAACACAGCTACTTTGCGCGCTTGAATGACAAGACTCTCCACGCTTTAATCCTATGACTTCAATATCACACTTAACACCTTATGATGATATATTTAGTTTTGAAAAAGATAGCTGACAGCAGTCAAAACTTTCAAAAGAAGGATGAAAACTCTCGGTTAAGTTGAGAGAAAAAAAAGTAAGCGCAGTTACAAAAACCAAAGTAGTCACAACCGCTTATCAGAGCAAGGAAAATACCTTTAAGAGCCAGTGAGGACTCAAAGTAAAAACAACCAAACTGACTAAAGCGCGGGGATACGTCCGATGATCAAGTCGTGATCGGTTTTGGTTTTGCATCTCATTGGTAGAGAGGGGCGCGAGTTTTCTAAACCAATCACAAAGCGAAGTGGAGGAAAACCAATGCAATCTGGGATTACTTTTGAAAATCAATTTAAATTGCTCTAATAGTAGCTTTTTTGTTTTGGTTTCTCTGTTCGAAATCACAAAGCTCTTTTAGCTACAAATTCACCGGACCTTTAGAGGAGCCAAAACTGTCGAGTAGGGAGCTGAGTCATCGCTGGTTTTTCCATCTGTGAGTACAATCAACAACTTCGGCACACCCTCTCTCGCTCCGCCTTCTTCAGTAAATAGTCTCTCGTTTGCCATTTTAATCGCTTTGTCTGTGCGTGTACGCCCAGGGTCGTAATTAATTTCCAAAATCTTCTCCTTTAGCGCCTGTGGGTTTTGCGAGGCAGAATTGGCAAAATCAAAGTCCAATATGGCGTCTTGATTATAGTGAAGAAAGCCGAAGTGGGTGCCGTCTTTAGAAACGTGGAAGTAGTCGATAAGCTTGGCAAGGGAGCGTTTAAGGGTCTCGTAATTTTCCCAACCAACGCTTCGAGATGAATCCAAAACTACACCAATGTCCATCGCGTGAAAACAGGCTTAAAAGAAAGATGAAAGCATCGTAAGTTATTGTTTAAATATTCCCGTTGGACTCTCCACTAGATAAAGAGAAATAGAGAATAATAAATGGCTGCTTGTAGATAAGACATTTATCTTTTCGTATTCAACTCATTATTTCCCGAGTGAGTGCAGCGAACGAGTGATAAATCGAGTTGATAGCAAGAAAAGAAATTTCATATCTACAAGCAACCATGTATTGTTTTGTTTATGTACACTCCTTAGTTTTTTACTGATAAGAGAAATCGACTGTCTTAATGAGAGAAGCGTGAAAGGCGAGTGACATGTCAGCATCTGATTGGCGATGTCAAACACACGTAGGGTTGTCAGTTCACATGTTAAAACTGAATTGGAAAATGGAACACTTTCCCTTACAGGCATATTTCACTCACTGAGCGATCCCACAATACTGAAGGTTCATCATAAAACTAGGTCGCAGCAATACTCTGGGTTCGAGATGGCGGAAGGTTCAGGATACGGGGGACCGTGACAGACAAGGGAGTTCGAGAAACGAAAGGTTCATGATAACTGTGGTTCAAGGTGTTGGAGGATTCGCGATACGAGTGGAAAAGCTTTAGATATTAGGGGAGTTTGAGATATCAGGGGATTAAAGGTACGCGGGAGATATGGATGATTTGCACTTAAGGGTTAGAGGTGTAGAAGGATGGCACTAAACCATTACTAAAAATTACGAATAAAAAATCGAAGGTACTTGTGTTCACCTCCGCAAGGTTTCTTGTCTGCTACTTCCACATCTCTGCTCTCTCGACATGCTGTCGCCTTCAGAACACACTCATTAGCATAATCCCGACCATCGGTTCCACATACGGGATCTTCAATTTTGGCACATTTCTCATCACAAGCGCATTGGGTGCTGCCATCGGCATAAGAGACGCACTGGGCATAGTGCTCACATACCTTATTCTCGCACGGATCTACAGAAAGACACGGACAAGCGTAACGTCAGTGCAGTCAGATTTCACCACAGTGGTTTCTTGGTCAACACACCGTAAACTGCCGCTTAAAGGCCCTCGGCCTATACAACTTCGCAAGAGGTTTAAGGAGGGCTTATATCCGAGGAGGCTTATATCCGAGGGGGCTTATATCCAAGGAGCATTATTAGCGGAATAGAAAAAGTGCTCCGAGTCGAGTAATGGCAATGCTGATCAAAATACGTTTTTAATTTCACTGGTTCTTAATTAAACTTCATTAAATATCGAATTCATTTCACGCATTTGGAACGGAATTAAAACTAACAACAAGAACAAAACTGGAACATAACAAAACGGAATTTCCGACTTTTCTCTTGAACTTTATCTTTGCTCTCCAATGATCAAAATTTTAATGTCTAATAAACCCTTTATCCTCCATGAGTGACCAAGAGAATTTCTCTTTACGATATCAACACAATATCAAGCATAGAAGTGAAGAGAATAAAGTAAAATATCATTAGTTGATTCAATACCAAATTCTCCAAATTTACATCGTAAGAATTGTATGTCAAACAGTAAAGAGAATTACTAATGAGTTCTTGGGAGTTGAAGTGTTAACAGCAGAGTTCTAATTTCTTAAAGAGAGGAGGGGGGTGCTTATAATCGGATGTCTTTTTTAAGATTACGGGTAGATTGGCCCTTAGTCTGGGGGAGGCTTTTACGCGGCAGTTTTCGGTAACAAGATAAGGGAATTAACGGACAACGAAAAATTACCGAATTATACAAACTGTCATTAAAACTAACCTTTTATAATCACTTCATATACTTTTGGCACCAAAGCTGGCAGCTGTTTATTTTCGTCGAAATCAAAAATATATTCTTCTCCAGAAGCAAAGACCAACAGCTTCCTTTTCACGGGGTTTTTGCCAACAGCCACCGCTACTATCCTAACTCCTTGGTTTTTCAAAGGTGACGCAGCATTACGTAACGTTGCGTCTGCTTCATTCGTGCCCTCTCCTGTCAAAATAATCAATGCTTTAATCGCGTAAGATCTTATCAGCTTAGAATTTCTAAACAACTGGTTGTTTGCGCCCACTAAAGCACTTTGCACTCGTCCTCTTCGTGTTAAACGCAGCCTGTCGACCTCGTCTTTAAGGTCGTCTGTGTCGAAGTTTTGGAACTCGGCCAGCAGTCGACCTGTGGAATAGTCAATGATGGCTACGTGCACACCAGGCGCAGAGGTACCATACGTGTCCAGGAACTGCTTAATGAAGCCCTTCTGTTTCTGAAATGTGTCCAAGGTAATGGAGCCTGCTCCTCCCAGAGCAAAGACAAGATCCACCGGTTGTTCTATATCAATAAAACGTAACAAATTTAGTTAGTGAGAATTACGAAATCGAACGCTGGTTTCGGGCTAACTAATGGCAAGAAGGAGGCCTAGTTTTCAGCGCAATGGAAGCCAAATTGAGAAGATGTAAGGGAATAGAGTCAAAGTGGTTACATAGAGGAAGAGTTTTCAAAATTTTGCAAAAGGGAGCAAGGGTTCGCTCATATCGCTGCTCTATTTTGCGTACCGGCGGGTCTGTATCGACGCGGTGAGAAGGACCGGCAAATGGAATGTCTAGCGCAAGACAACATTGATTCCACGTATATTCCTCGGATTCGCATATTTCAACCCTTAAATCATCAGGTTTGTACGCTGCCAAGTTAAAAATGCGATAGACCTCCGAGGGCCATTTTTTTTTTTAATTTTTTTTCATGTCGAACTAAGTGTGACTACTTTATCTCCAGTTTCCGAGAAAAGGTTTTATAACTTAATGAAACGGGAGCGACTTAATTACAAAACACATTATAAAACTAAATTCTTCAGTCCACTTGAGTGTGAATAGCCAGGTATAACATGTCGCCATAAATGACTCCAGTCATTGAAATGTAAAAATTTCGATCACGTAAATATCTCCTGATTCCAGTTGCACATGACGATCTTTGCTACATGGCTACGAACAAAACTTGATTGTGCACAGAGAAAGATAAAGAGGAGAAGAGTCCTTAGGTGATAGTAAAAAAGAAGCCTGGCTGTAAGTGTATCCTTTAAATATAATAATCTCACTTCACAGAGGGATCCACGGGCATCTAACCCCACCCCCCTTTGCTACACCCCTGAAATTTATCGCCACCCCTCCCGTATGGTATGCTGGTCCACTACAGAAAGGCGCCCAGAATTGAACAAGTTTCCTTGACAGAGTGGCGGTTTTCATTTATTCCCGAAGCTGGGGACATAGCGACTGTAAATGTGAAGTGTTTTCTTTTTTTCCAAAAAGGACTATCCGGCAGGCCAGCAAACTTCGCAGAAATGCGTGATCACACATCATCACGGTGAAATCACGACGATCAAATCCCGTTGTGAAACTTCCTCTATGTACTGAAACAAAACTCGGCTGCCAAAATATCAAACAGATTCCATGTCAATGTTACCGAGCGTCTGTTCAGTAATAGCTCACAGATGAGGTCAACATGTGGGGGCTGAGAGGAGATATTACTAATGTTATTACCACATTTTGATGTCTATTGTCATCTATTACTGATCAGACCCAGGGCAACAAAGAATCTACTTTTTTAATAATATAAAGAAGCAAAAAGCTGTTCACGGTGACATCACTTATGCATCTGTCCTTCAACAGATCATAAGTAAGAACCATCAAAACACGTACATAATTTAACTTGTTTTATAGAACGCAACTTACGTATACACAGTCCACCATGCCGTACTCTAACCTCATGGTACCTCTCACAAGCAGCTGCAGTCAGCTGACAGATGTTATCGTACGACAGCCCGTCCGTGCCACACACTCGGTTCTTGGAATCACCGCAGGCATTTGGATCAGGACAGGTGCACGTGGCTATTCCAGATGGCGGCACCAAACAATACGAGTAATATTTACAATCCAGCTCATCACAACCTGGGTCTGAAAAACACACGACATGTGTTAAATGGATCGTCGTCGTCAATTCTTGACCCGTATTTTGGATTGTTGAAATTGGGAGGTTTCCTTTCAATTTTAATATTTGCTTTTATGACTGGGCATGACGCCTATTCCCTCTTCTTTCACAATTTTACCCTCCTATCTAGAGAAGAATAATCCAATTTAAGCTCTTTTCCGCATTAACCTTATTAAAAAAGAGAGAAATTAATATTTTTTTGTCTCCATTCCAGATAGTAAGAGAATGTGTAATAAGATTTTTGCGTCAATAATGACTATAACAAACCACACGGATGACAAAAAATTCTAATTGCCAAAAATAGGATATAAACTTACCATTAATAGCACCTTCCTATCTTTTTGCTGTATGTCTCGTAGCACAATCCACCTTTGTTCCACCTTTGTTCTTGACAAGCCACCAGTTGCAGGGCAACCAGGTTTTTGTAAGTCTGACCATCCGAGCCACAGACTGGGCGGTTGACATTACTAGGCACCAGGTTGCACTCACATTTTGCCACATCACCTTTGACACACTTTGAGTAGAAATGACAACGTTTCCAGCGACAATCGTCAAGATCTGGGAAAGACAATGTAATACGAGATTAAAACATGGCAAACTTGACATGTAGTGAAACTTTTGCTAAAAATTGCTCCTCTCTCCTGCTCAATGAGAGAGAAACACTAAAACAAGACAACCAGTCAGATCTCCGATTTTGCGCCCTTTTTTTTTCTTTCTGGTTTTTTTTTGGTGGTTAGATCAATAAAATATTGATACTGACCAATGGCCTGTATTATAGAGGCAGTTCAACTTTATAGTTACTTGCTTTTTTAATTCAAGCTTATGTGGTGCACTAGTTTGATTTCCAAACCACACAAGTGATCTCAAACAAATTATTAATCACTCAGTTCTATTACCGATAGAGAAATCTCCCTATGGGGAAAGTTTCTTCAGCAGACCACTTCACTAACCTTGCACTTTTCCTAAATAATTTCCCATCAAAATAAGATCTTTAAAACAATGATAGACGAGTTACCTTTTAATATCTTGTCCACAGTTGGTTGTAACATCACTCTCAGTCGATTCAGTGACCCTACGGTCAAAATGAAATCCTCCCCTGAAGCAATGGATTTCACATTATCAAGTCCATTATCTTCATCTCCAACAAGAAGCACTACTACTTTGATTCCTGCATCCTTTAATGCATTGGACATGTCTATGAGGCCTTGAGGATAAGTCACACGACTTCCATCAGTTATCAGCACAATAGCCTGAAAGTAAAAGAAATAATCAGTATAATAGCAAATTTTCTCACTCATCATTAGCCACAAGCCAAAGACCTGCAAATAACTGCCTTCAATCAATAGCCTCCCAAGTGTTAAAATGCCCAAGTGTAAGATCTAAGAGCTTGCTAATTATTTTTTTTGTTCTTTTCCTTTTTTCATACCTCCTCATTAGTGTCTTTTTTTAAAGATTTTTAGCATTTCTCTTTGTCAGTTACACACACCGCACATTATTTCAGAGTCCTCTTGTATTTAAAGCCAGTTCCTTTAACACATAATCACTTTTTAAGTCAATTAACCAATAGTCACACTTAGCACAATTCTCTGTTTTAGAGGTCCATTTTTTTGCGGTTATATATTAGGTGTTATAAATGTAAGCATTTTTTACATTTTTGCTTCATTTGTATTCATTGTTTGTTTACAGTTTGTTTATCTTAATCAGTCAAGTTAACTCTTTTTAATGTTTTTTGTTTCAACTTGCCACTACTGCTGCAGTCTTCTAAACAGTACTATAATGCTTTTTGCTGTTACCCCAAGCATTCCATGAAATTTAAACAAACTTCTAAGAAATTTCTGCATGTGGAATTGATTGACACACCTAAACCTGTTACAGGTAAATTATGTATTTGATTCCACTGAAAAATTGAAAATTTCTTTGATAGAATTTCAATTTGTGCTATTTTTTCTTCCTAATTGAATAAAACAAGATGAAGGAAGCAGATTTTTTAACAACTACTTGCTCTTACTAACAGCTATCCATTAAATTCAAGCACAAACTATACCAGGAAAACATGTAAATGCCATACCTTGGGGAACTGACTATATCTCAATCTGTTATCATACTCCACCCTATACAAGAGACCAGGAACAGAATCTCTCATTGCCTCATCCAGTGTTGTCTTTTTGTCAATGCTCTGCAGTGCATTGATATATGCAGGTAAGGTAACATAGTTGTAAAATGTTACAAAATCCATCTTTGCTGTGCCACTTAGATCAAACTTCAAAAATCCATGAGCTATTCCTTGTTCAGGGATGCGGAATCTGTTTCCAAGTTCCTTGTAGAATTCTTTGATTTTCAGGACATACTTGGGCTCATTCATCGTTGCAGTATCAATGCCAAACATGAGGTGAACAGGCTGTTTTACTCCTAAAAGCAGATCAGTCTAATATCAAAGACCATTTTTATAAATGCAACATGAGCCCTGCTCCCAACTGTGGCCTCATAGCTCAGTTGGTACACATAGGAAACACCCAACTAGTCTTCAGGAGGAACAGGTTTAAATCAGGCTTCTTTTCTGCAATTGCTTAAACTGCAGCTCAGCTTGCTTGAAAATCCACTTTAACCTTTACACCCAAAACAGTGACTTGCATCTAAATTCTTCTTACAATATCACCCTTCAATCAAGCATTAGGGTCATAAGAATTAAGGAAATGATCAGCAACTAATAAAACCCTTGATTATTAAACAATTCAAATATGCAAACTGATGTTAGGATGTAAAGGATTATTGAAAAAATGCATGAGGAAACACCAAGTCTGGGACAGGGTTAGGATTTTTTTTGGAGTATATTCTCCTCTAACAGATTGTCTTAGCAAGGAAATCCTACAATTTATCCCTCCTGTTTGACCCCTGACCTCTGAACTCTCACTTTAGACATCTCACCTCTCAACCCTCAAACTTCACCAAAGTCTATCCCCTTGCCCAAACCAACCCCTTTCCCTTACCAATGCTAAATGACACTAAAATGAAGGTCGTATGAGAAAACGCAAGAGGTTTCTTTTCATTTTAATCAAACCCAAATCGAACCAAAGAGTGAAGAGAACGTAATTCTAATGAGGTACATACCACATGCTGTCATGGTTTTAACTTTAATCGTTTTTCTCTTGGTGCAAGATTCCCTTTGAAGTTCACATTCATTCTCATAAGTCTTTCCATCACTTCCACACACCGGTGAATTCCCTTTGGAGCAGTTCGAAGGACATTCACACACATGGCTGTAACCATCTATGGATCGGCGGCAAATAGAGTAGAATTCGCATACAATAGACTGGCAGGGATCTAAGAAAAGGAAACATTGAATTAGTTAGTACATAATAGTGATCTTTCAGCAACATCAAATAGAAAATGGGATAATCGAGAAAAAGTGAGTGCGATTATAAGATTTTCATTGGGTCAATAGTATAACGTTATAACAAAGAAAATGTATTGAGTAAAGCTGAAAATACAGCGTTTGAAAATATTTATTGCAAGATCTTTCCTGAGAGTGATTTTTTTTCTGGGTATGGTCTTTCATGTTTCGCAATATTACATCCTCTGATTCCAAGTTAAAAATTCGAAACATTCAATATATTTGACCAATCAAACCTGAATCCCAACAAACTGATTCGAGGATAGAATGAAGCCTTTCTTAAGAAAAAAATAATAAAACCGCAAGACACGACATTGGCAAAACACACTGCCATCATGTATGACTTTTAGAGCTCCCAGTCTCTCTCGGGTTTCATGGGAAAAACTGGACTGGAACTTCAGTGAAACAAGGATTTGTCCGGAATAAAGAAGGGTAGGTACATAACCAAGTGCTACCCTGAGCTACACGAAAAAAAAAACAGTTTTCAATGGAAATCGATGTTTTTTAAAAACATAAAAAAAACGCATTAAATTGAAAAAAAAAAGTTTAACCACTAACAAAAGCTTCGGTGACGTTACAAACTATATAATTTTAATTCAGGGTATATTAATGGAAGATATCGGCTTACTTTCTTCTTGCTTGCAGACAGTCTGCTCAAGTAACATTTCTCCATTAGGTCTACATCGTCCGCACCATCCTCCGCACTTAGCAGACACCATTGTACCATCCTTAGATTTTTTGTACTCATGCATTTCTATTCCTGGTGGGAAGCCAAGCGCCTGCCACTCAGTAGACGACTTCAAGCGCAGGCCTGTACGAGTAAGGTCAATTTTAAAGTGTCCCCTTCTGCAGTTACCACCAAAATGCATTGAGAAACAGTCACCAGCTGTTCCATACGCGATTCTCCTGCCGAAAGGATCCGACTTAGCAAACGTATAATCGTCGGGGATGATCGCCATTCTCGTGAGATCCACACGAACTTTGCGGAACTTCGTCAATCCAGCTTCGGTGTAATTCATAGGTCCGGGTTTTCCTGAACATCGATACCTTGCGGAATAAGGTCTGTGAGGCAGCCTTTTGGCGTAAATATAGGCGTAATTGTTCTGAACTCCGGCTGGCAACGTGACAAATTCCTTGGGGGTACTAGTATTCATACCGTGACAATAGACTTTCATTGGCGTGTTACACTTTGAGCGTACATATATGAGATATTCACCATCTGTGGCGGCGACACCGGCATTTTTCAACCCAAGACAACTCGTAGCACCTGCAAAGTTTAAAGGCGAATAACAACTACTCTGTAAATAGTTTTCTTGCAATGGTAGAACCCCGCTAACTCAAACTCCTGAGGGAAACAGAAAATGGTTCGAATTAGCGACGGTTCGAGTTAGCTGATAGCAAATGACAGAAAAATGTGTCAAGGGAAATCGGATCTTGTTAAAGTTACCAGGGGCTCGAGTTATGGGAGTTCTAGTTAGAGGGCTTCCACTGAAGTCATTTTTGGCTATGCCACACCCAAGAAAATTCCTCTGGCCTTGAAATTCTGCGAGTAAAGAAGGAAGCCTACAACTTATTTGTATATCGCCCTAATATTACATCTGAGCATTTCGAAGCTAGCGGTAGAAAAAGGTCGATGTTGATGCCTACACTGTTTCATGGCCCCTTTAAGATGAAAATAAGTCGGCAACAGCTGTAGAGATTCATTCCCGGGTTCTTCCAATTAGTATTAAGAGATTATAATCTCTTACTGCTACGTATGGAGGGTGAAAACCTGGGAAGAAATCACTCTTTAATGTGATTGTGGGACTTAATAACCAAGATGAAACTACTTCCATTTCATTGAGCTAACCCTGGGCTAAGGAATGATATAAAGATTTAGCCAGCCTTAAACGGGGACTCGAATTGCTTAAAATTTTGATGCCCTTTGGTGTGATAAAATTTCCCTGAAGTTGCATTGTCCGACGTCGTTTCTTCCAGCTTCTCGCTTACGCGAAATGCAATTTTCATACAGATGTAAACCGTCAAGTCACGGCGTGTTTTTCCCGAGGTTGATCAACTTTTCCTTAGGTAAGGGGCTCCGCTAACGCGCTTCAAAGGGAAGAGCTCCTGCATCACGAGCTTCGGACCATGTACCAGCTCTCAAACTTACCACACTTCCCGTAACGAAGTCGCGTGATATCCCTCTGATACTGACAGCTAGCCGCTCTCATGAGGCATGGGTTGTTGTACGTCTTACCATCAGTTCCACAAACTGGATCATACTGTCTGGCACAGTATATCCTGCACAGACACTGAGAACGCCCGTTGGAATCTTCTTCGCACACTCCGCCATATCGACAGTTACTCTCGTTGCATGGTTCTATCCCTTGTTGGAAAGCTAACAATTTGCCATTGTCGAAAGAATCATCTGAGAATAAGAAAATTGTACATCCTGCATCAGAAAAACTACTACCCCGGCCACCCCTGCCACATTGCATCTGGCTTGTATAACTCGATATAATCTCTATTGACCGTTTGAAAAGGCGCGAATCATATCATAAACTGTCATTATAACCACACTTATTAGACTTAAAACGTTCTTGGGCTGCCCTACTTGGGCTTTCCCTATGTGAAATTTTATAACGTAACTTCCCCATTAGATTTATCATGATGTTTCAAAGAATATTGAAAAACTAAAAAATGAAAACGTACATTTAGCTCAAAACTGCCATGGCTCGTTACGAGGGACTTAATTTTTGTTTAGTCTGGTTATCAGCTTTCTTGGACTTAACTACCCCTCCTCACCGTCCTTAAACCCACGTACATCCCCTCAGGAAGTAATTTAAGGCCCGGCAGTTATGTGTACACGCAGCAATTGATTACCAATCACCTCTTTAATAAAAAAATGTTACCACCACAGCTTATCGGGGCATGATAAGCTGCAGTCTCTCATTATCAACTATTTGCGCGCACGCAACGCTTGGTTCAGTCCATGCAAAAATTTGCCTTGGATAAAGCTATGATTTCTATAAACAAACTAATTACTGTTTATGTAAGATTTCAATCGCAAACTACTCAGTCATTTTTGAGCTTCCGTGCTCGCGCCTGAAAAGTGTACGTTTGGTTCAAAGGCGACTTTAATGATAAACCATGAGAGGGGTCTCTTACTTAACAGTGATTTACATTTCGCACATAGAACATAGACATAGGCAGGTCAAGGAAATAATAATAAGAAACATTCGATATTGTTCAGCCTGGTTTCGAAAAGAAACCCTTCGTTTCAATGGAATGATTTTCTCTTTTGCCGAAACTGAGTTCACTCCGCCGCTGAGTTTAGTTTAAAAAAGTAGGAGCTAAGAGGATTACGTATTTGCGCGCAAGTTTTGCTTTTTTGAAACACGATTGATACTTACCACCACCGGAGGAATTAAAACATTCGTGTTAACACGACTTATCGTCGGAAGGACAAAAAATAAACAAAGATAATTTTAAGATATTGTTACAGAAGAGGTGAAATGAGATCAGGAATATCTTTTTGCGTATGGATAGCACGGCGGCATTTCAGAAGATTAAAAAAAATTAACACTAACTGTGTTTTATATACCACCCCAGTAAGGCTTAAAGTCTGTTTTAGTCTCAAAAGCGCTTGATCAGGTCTGATCTCTAATGACAAGTTTAAACGCTGCAATTACGGAGGACTTTGAGTCAAAAAGAATATATAATCCTGGCATGCAACCCTTAGACTGTTCTCCCTGACTAGAATCTTCGCTGAGAAAACGTGCGAAAAAAAGACAATCTGAAGTTTTCTGTATCACGCAAATGAAGATCCTGTATCCAAGATATGATCTATACGCCAACTAGCACACGTCAAAATTTCGATTTTAGAAAGAAATTTTATTATATTTTTCTGCATCACGAAGTTTGAAACGATGGCTTCAAAATGGCTTTTCAATATTTAGTTTGACATAGATAAAAAACCAAACTATGATCCTAATCTGACCCACCCGTTTGCTAAGCCTCTTATCCCATACGCACACGTCTTTGGTCTCGTTCCCAGATCGCATTGTAATATACCTGGTCACAAAGCGGGAAAGAAGGGGGGGGGGAACTTCATACGCGCTTCACCTCTGCTAAGAATTTGTTTTGATGTAAACAAGACAGGAAAGACAGCATGTTTCCCGTTTCACGCTTATTTTTATCCTCTTTGCATGAAATTTATAGCCTGAGGCAAAAAAAAAAAAAATTGAGACCTGTGAGTAGCTGAACACTTCTCGTTCATCGGCAATCTGTAAGAGTGTACTGAGTCAGTTCAAACAATACAGAAATTATTACGTTTCCTTACAACAAAAATTTTGAAACCTTTCAAAAAGGATGCAATCAGCGAGAGGCTTTTAGAATGCAAATAATGTGTGCCTGATCAAATGAATAATTCATAGCTTGATGCAATATCAATTGTATCTTCACTTCCGGCGAGATTTCCTGATATTCTCGAATGTCCATATCTCATTTTTTCCAATGTTTAAAGAAAAGGTCATCTTTCACATTGATGCATATGTAGTTACATATTTATTTTGTCGTTAATTCTGTATTTCGTTTCTGCTTCCGAAGGCACGTTGCATTACTATACAGTAACTGTGACAGTTAATTAATCACTCATTATTTGAAGACTTTGAGGAAAAAGTGTGATATTTTGTTATTATATTTTATATGGTGGAAGTCACAAGATTTGACCGTTGCAGCCCTAAAATTTCCAATTTTCTTAACAACCAAGAAGCCACTGTAATTTCCGATCAAACCTTCAATCCCTTAGCCGCTGCCATGCAGCCCTAAAATTTCCAATTTTCTTAACAATCAAGAAGCCACTGTAATTTCCGATCAAACCTTCAATCCCTTAGCCGCTGCCATGCAGCCCTAAAATTTCCAATTTTCTTAACAATCAAGAAGCCACTGTAATTTCCGATCAAACCTTCAATCCCTTAGCCGCTGCCATTCATCATATGCCAAGATTCTCAGTTTCCGTTTTAAAAAAACTCTATCAACGACGATAGACTGAACGACTCATTCAAAGTTATCCATAATTTGCGGATTGGGTGCAGTCGCCCTTTATAGACAGTCCCTGACCTCTTTCGCTGAATCGTGTAAGGATCAGTTACTCACAGGGTACATAAACATGCGTCTCTAGATTAAAACTTTTTGGTTTTTTCGTGCGACCTTTTTGGCAATGTTTAAAAAAATCGTAACCAGACAAAATTTTAAAAACTATCATTTTTGAAACAAAGTTCGAACGTGGATGAGTAAGGAATAAGGAATGACAAATTTTGAATGCAATGCAATAAAATTGGGCGAAGGTTATCTCTCACATTCGATATTACATAAGTCAACAGCGCATAGCCGTGTTATTTTAGAGAAATCGCATACCAATGCGCGAGTTATTCTATTAGTATTCCGTACCTGGGAGTGCTCTGAGGACTTCATCTATCATATTCATCGTGACAGGCAAAGAAGCAACTGCGGTCAAAAATCCGCTGGAGTGCCGTTTAGCAACCCAAAGTCTCACGTCTTCCAGTTTGTGTCGGTGATCACAAGATGACGCTCTTTCGATGGCATTTATATCGGAAACGCTACCTAAATGCGCGTCCCTGCGAAATACATTTCGCACGTAAACTCGAGCTGTTATGTGGTTATTTTTCTCAAGAAACAGCCTCGTTATTTCTCCAGTAAATGCTACATAGCCCTTTCCAGTAAATTTTGGTAGCTGACAGGTTCTTGATGTAAAATCACCGTTTGCGGCAAAACAGACCGTCCTTAAAGTACAGAATACTGCGAGAATTCTTAGAAAAATCCACTCCATTGTAGTTCTGTGCTTTTTGTCCTAGTTCTTACAGCATTTCTGCCTAATCCGCTTGGTAGTTCATGCAAACACAAGCACGACAAACTTGTACGGTTCGCTGTAATTCCAGCAGTGTCGGATCTGTTACAGACACGCTACAAAAATAATTGAAAACAATAATATGAATGTGGCTAATTAGGGCTGGTTGCAAACAATGGAGGAACTACTGAAAGACCACAAACCTTTTGTGAGGGAAAACTGATTGTGTAAACGATGATCCCGCAATGAAGACAAGCTTAGAAAAGCTTAAAAAAGTTGTCCTGTCGCGATGCAAATGGTACAGTTGAAAAATTTTAAAGAAGTTGTAAACCTTGAAATATTTTGATTCTTCTACCACGCGTGCCTGTAGGAGAATATTCCCAGAAGAAGGCCTTTGTGATCGGATAAAACCGGCTCAAGGCAGTTTGCAAGAAAGCTAGACTTTGTGGGAATAATTACTGAAAGAGTCGGTGGGATTTTAATGAAATATTATCTGTTTTCACAGCTTGATCTGTCAAATATCGCTGCGATAAAAGGTAGCGAAAGATCAGTAAACTATTGCCAAATAGTATTTCCTTTACCCGATGAAACCCAGGTATACAAACAGGATATTTTTAGAATATAAGGAGCTTTTAAACGTTACATGAGAGCAAAGGGTTTTAAAATTTAGATATTGGATAGAAAAGGATTCAGCTAATTTTTATTAATCGTTTGAGCCTTGTCAGTGGTTTGAATGGATCCATGATTATTTGGATCAACTTCAAAAAGAGCTGAATGTTCCTGAATTTTTTAAAGGAAAAGCATTTTGTCCATCAAAGACTCGTCAACTTAAAAAAAAAAATACGATTACAGTAAAAATAACTCGCAACTTCAAGAAAACCAAACATGACCCATCGTTTACGATTTTATCGTTGGCAAGAATCCCGGAAGGGTGATGTAAGACTATATCGCTCTTGAAATTGCATTTAACGAAACGATCAAGGCAGTTGATTTTCATAACAAACGTGATTTTTATTTATTTAAGTGTCTCAAGAGATGTGTTCCTCTCAGACATAAATTGGCTATTTTTTCTGTAGTCTCCTTCAGGTTCAATGCCGTTTTGTAATTGATGTCACGAAAACCATGTTGCGTGACATTCCAGAGGGATTTGAAGTATTGCTCCGTGTTCGTACCGTAAGGGTATTTTATCTGAATTCCTCGTGGAAACCGCGAAAATCTTTTGAAAATCTACCCACAATCCCGGCCATAAATTTGAAAGCAGAACTTTCTGAAAAATTTTCTGTCGTTGATAACCTTTACGCGGTAGCAAAAGAACCAATTAAGAAAATTAATACTCCCTGGCCAAAATACGGAAGGTTTATACTGAGAGAAATCATCAGAAAGCACCTTCTGATGTGTCACTTGGCTTATGTTTTGAATGACTACAAATTTTTAATACTTGTTCGTTTGTTTTACATCACACAAGGAGTTCCCATTATAAATCAGGCAATATGATACTGATTCAAGTACTTCGTTGTCATAAACTTCACACTCCGAAATTAAGATCACAACCTGGTTTCAATCCAATTTGGAATTGCTACGTTCCCTTAACGGTTTCCAATTCTGCTCAAAGTTTAAATTTCTTGCTAAAGAATTTATGTTTATTTTTACCAAACGTACTGAAAAGAACTTGTAGGATTTTGTAGCAAATTGCATTGAGATCAGACGAAACGTCGTTGTCAAATCAGAGTAACACGAACGAATGCCAAACGGTTCTCCATCCAAGTTGATGTAGGCATTTGTTAGCATTAAAAGCCCATGTGTTGAAAAAGTATCCAATCATGACAAGACTTGAGGCAATTTTAAGAATTGACGTATCTTCCCACGCGCAACACGTTCCCAAAACCTTAGCAGAACTTTCCATGACCTTCAAAGGAAATTAAGGGCGCTAATCAATCATGCGAGGGTACCACCAGCTTTGAGAAAGACGACACTTCCTTATTAGCGAGGGTTTAAAAATAGATTGCGTGTCATTGCGCTTCTCGATTAACCGTTCTGTGGCACAAAAACCAAAGAAATCACGTCAGCCATTCAAAACAGAGGTATATTTCACAAGGAGCCTATGAAAACTGAAAAACGGTTCACGTGAACGGCATAAGGAGCAGGTAGCCGCTTGATCGAATAGCGTTTCTCTCCCTTTCACGCAATAGTTGAGCGTCCATTTGCTTTAACCCCTTTACTCCCAAGATCTCATTAGTAATGCTCCTTACTGTCTGCCAAACAGTTCGTGTGATGTTAGTTTGGCATTGGATCAACTTATAATCCCCTAACTGATATTTTTCTTTATTCTCATCACTTATCTGCTTGATATTGTATTGATATTGTAAGGAGAAATTCTGTCCTGGTCACTCATGAGAGTTAAAGGGTTAAAAGCTTTTAGATCATAGGTTTTTTTTACTTCACTGTGATTACAGTGGGATCACAGTGGGGTGTTGCTGAGATAAAGTTGAACACAACCAAACCAAAAAAAAATTTATTATTTTCGTCACAAAGCAAGTAAATCAAGCTTAAAGTAAATTTATTCACCAAAAGAAACGAGAAAAAAGAAATCGAATGGAAAGGAATGGAAAAAGAAAACAGTGAACAGAGGGACTGGTTTGTGCATTAAACGTTTGTTTACTTTTGTTTTGCTACAATAAATTAATGCACCTCTAGAGTAAACAACAACAGGAAATCACGCCTACGGTTGACAACTAGCAGTACCAAATATAACAAAGACAAACACTTGCTGTATGTTGTGAGTATAAAATTCATGCTTGAAAAAACAAACTTGCGCATCACTCTAACTCAATGAGCCATAGATATTAAAGTACGTGACAACAATTGTGTAGAAGAGTGTCATTTTTCCTTCTTCTGTCTTGTTTATTGGAATAACTGGATGCAACTTGACAAATTCCTTAACTGATTCCATCACTTCACTGAGCTTTGAACTGTGTCTCTGCCTGATCGGCTCCTGTGTAAAGTAAAATTAAAGAAACTGTGGTGCTGTGTTGGTGGGGGAGATTTGAAACATCAGCTTTAAAACTCTTCACGGTGGCCAATTTTTACTATCAACTCAGTTGATGGAACGAAATCTTCCCCTTACCAACACAACTCAAGAAAGTCTCACTATAGGGAGTACAAATTGATGATTGATATGAGTTTTTACTTTGACAGAAGGTGTAAAATTTCTGCAATGCTTTTTTTTTTTTTTTTTTTGGGACTAAGGACAACCTACAAAATTCCCATACACCCAACCCCCCCCCCAAAAAAAAAAAAAAATTTTTGTGCTACAAAATAGGTTCCTTTCTCCAAGCCAAGCCCTATCTGTTGACTGGAAAAATGACTCAGGCATATATTTAAATGTGTATGTATGATGTACTCATTGTGTCTGTGAGGAGATGAATCATCACATTTTCCTGTGTGCTCATGTCAATAAGTCTCATATATGTTTACCTAATTTCACCCCAGGCCTCCCTTTTAAAGTGCAAATTAATGAACCGCAATTAGAAAGTACTTCTAAAACACTGAATTCAAAAGAAAACCACAAGAAAACAATAAAGGAGCAAAGATTCATAAAATTTTTGAGGAAATAAGGCAAGGAGCATACACTTAACCCTTTAACTCCCAAATTAAATTTGTAACTCTCCTTACTGTCAACTATACAATTCTTATAATGTTAGTTCAGAGAATTTAGCATTAGATCAACTAATTATCCTCAATGTGATCTTTTTCTTTATTCTCATTACTTATCTGGCTGATATTGTATAGATATTGTAAGGAGAAATTTTATCTTGGTCACTTATGAGAGTTAAAGGGTTAATGAAATAAATGAAGTATCATGAGAACTCTGATTTGCCAAAAACCTATTTTTTACTGCTATAGTTATTTTTTGAAAGAAATAAATCGCACTTTCAGCTATTTGTACTATTTCTATAAAATTTTCTTGTGTTCTCCCAAGATCCAGTGTCAGTCATCATGCCAGTAAAGCAATAAAAAATTTGGTCAGTTGTTTAAAAATGCAAATTTAGTATGCATTACAACAACTGAATTGCATGCAGATTTTTACTGATATAAGTTTGTCACTAAACTCAATTTCTGCAGCTCTCTCTCTCTCTCAAGTCAAGTCCAGTCTTCCCAGCTACTGTATATTACCTAGTTTATAACAAACAATCTAGTACTTACGTTCTTTCCTAATGTTGTTAACTTTCCTGTTTGAGTCTTTCAAGTTCTGCTTCAAGTTCAGCACAAGCTCTTTCTATTTCATAATTCTTTGTTACCAGCCCTACCCAACTGAAAAGGGATAACATATTCAAACAATTCTATATACATCATGGAGCTAACAAATCAACCAACTGTAAGAAGAAGAAGAAAATAAGGTATTGATATTGTTGTAAAAATAAAAAAGAAAAAATTGAAGCAAACCTTTGTTCCAAATGTTGAAGTTGTTCTCCTGCTTTGGTCTATCACAAAAAAATACAGAAACAAAAATTTAAATAATCAAACTAGTTATCTTCCTGTCTTTTTCCATAGACAAGTGATGGGGTGTATTGAAAAAAGCCTTAGCTGACGGATGATTGACTGATAGATTCTCCTTTCAAGTTGCCTGGTATTTCATGGTGTAATACAAGGGGAATTACACGGTAGACATTGTGATTAACATGTAACTTCTCTCCATAATATCCATATATTATCCAGCAAACAGGTAGTGAGAATTCTCAAACTCATCAGGTACAAGATATTACCTTGATCAAACACCAAATTCTCATAACCAATTTACAAGGAAATGTATAGTAGCTAGAGGGGAGAATTTACAATCAGATCTTGGGGTTAAAGGGTTTAGGTTTAATGAAAACATACCCCTTACATCAAACACATTGAAAATGTATTTCACATGAATGCACCACTATTTACAGTCAGTTATTTGCACATCAAAAGATGAGCTCTTGATAAATCAAAGGAAGAAAAAATGCACTGCATCAAATGATGGTTCCTTTACTAAACTCTGCATCTGAATCATCATCCACCACAAACAGAATAGTTTAAGCCATAACATGTAATAGAATTATCTTGAAAGTCATTAACAGTGGATAGAGCTGTCTAAGAGGTTACCTGCTCTGTTTTACGCTGCCAATTGACCTCTTGAATTTCTTTTCTATGACAAAAGAAGAACCAAATCTTGTTGTTTAGAACAGTTTGAGAAAGATGATGACATTAAAGATTGGACATTGCATGAGTGACCAAGAAAAAAATTAATTCTTACAACATCGATACAATAACAAGCAGACAAGTGATGAGAATACAGAAAAATATCAATTTGGAGAAGTTTAGTTGATTGACTACCAGATTCTCTTAACTGACTTTAAAAGAATAGTAAGGAAGATCGTAAGGAGAATTCCTAATGAGGTCTGGGAGTAAAAGGCTCGAAATATTTTTCCATTTACTTAATATCCGTGAGTTTCTTCTGCTGTTGAGCCAGTATTCTTGTAAGAGTTTCATTGTGAATTCTCCAAGAAGCACTGCCATATTTTGACAACAGCTCCAGATTCTCAATCCTTAAAAAGAAAGATACCATGAAAATGTAAGAATTGAAGACATTATAAAAAGAAATCCTCAAAAATAAAGAAGCAACTCCAACTGAAAATGATCTATTGTAACAAAGATACTTTTCATTGATACTGATAAACTTCAAATCATTTGGAAAACTAAGAGTCTTTTATGAAATTAAATTATCAGTTTACAATCCACTTGCATCTTAAACATTCAACCCCAAAGAGTGACTAGCATCTAACTTCTCCTTAAAATCTCACTCCTGAATCAAACATTAAATTAAGACTGACTGATTGTAAAACAAATTCTCCTGTTCAACAACTTCAGAAATGTAAAGAGAACAGTATGGAGAATATCCATACAAATGTTAGGGTGTTAAGGGTTTATTTATACCAAATGATTTTCATACTTGATAACTCTCACAGAAAAAATAAGAAATCCAATAAGTAGCCATAATCACCATACTCTATACAATATTTCATGGTACACAGCACCAAGAATGACAACCAGATATAAATGTAACGCACAGAAGACAATGAAAAAGTCATACAGTACTGCAACAATATGGTAATATTACCTTTCAGCTTGATGCTCAAGTTGAGCCATGGAATTTTCCACAGCTTCTGTCCAAGATGTAATATCATGTTTCTGGTTGGCAGTTGGCTGGGGTAGTTCATATCTAAAAATACAACATAGCATGAGGGTCACCTAACCATCATTAACATTCACACAATCCACATACAACGTAGAATGTTGAGAGAAGACACAACGGTATTTGTAAATAATGAGCCAAGGCAGTGATTGACAAAGTCCTGGAGTGTTCAACCAACAACACGAGTTAGTTCATAAAATAACTGTGGGTTTATCCAAAAACAAATGTTAGGTTTCTGATCAGTGATAGCTCATGTAGGTTTACAGTCAAGTCGCCCAAGAGTCATCTTGCCTGAAGTCATGTCACCCAAAACCTGAGTCATGTTGCCTGAAATTTTAGTTATGTCACCTGAAAAAAAAGTCAAGTCACCCAAAGAAACAAATACCAAAAACATCAGAATTTCAGACTGTAAATAGGCAATAAAGTTGAGAAATTTTAATCACTAAAGAACTCGTTGTTTCCAAAAACACCATGAAGATTCTAAAAGTGCTGTTCCTTCCTTTTAACGAAGGGAAATGTTGTTAGTTTCTAACAACAAAATGAAGCGTTGTTCATTTGGTATATAATCATTTCTTACTCAAGGATGTTTCATAAGCTTGAGAAACTTTATCCTGGTTTCTAAAAATACCATGAAGGGAAGTGTTATTTGTTTATACAACAACATATACAACAACAAATGCATGGATGCAGTGTAACATACAAGTAAAGTTCTGTTGTGTCTATTTGTGACTTTCTTAACAATAACAGATGAAAAAACCTGGTAAATGAATGTTGGTTGTCGTGTTTGACAGGTCGGTAAAAGGTCAGCCCTTCATTTTTTTGTTAGACACAAACAATGCTTCCCTTTTTTGTTAGAAACGAACAATGCTTTTAGAATCGTTGCTCAAACATATTTCAATTCCGACCACATGATCAATTTCTGTGTAGTCAAGGTCTTCTTGTTAGAGACCAAGAAAGAGTTTCTCAAGCTTACAAAATGTCAATGAGTAAGAAATGAGTACAAACCAACCAACAACACTTCCCTTTGTTGTTAGAAAGGAACAACACTTTTAGAATCGTTACTCAAACATACATTGAAATTCTGATATTTTTAGTATTTGTTTCTTTGGGTGATTTGACTCTTTCTTTTGGGTGACAAAACTAAAAATTTCAGGCAACCTGACTCAGGTTTTGGGTGACATGACTTCGGGCAAGATGACTCTCGGGTAACATGTCTGGTTACCGTCATGTAATATCTCAATTATTTCATTGAAATGTATATATCATTCATTTAAGATAAACACCTTTTCATGCTTAATAAGTCCATTGGTTGTCTTTTGCTTATTCTTTCAAATTCTTTCTTCAAGATTGGCGTCTGTAAATATTACAGGAGTTACATAAATTAGTTTTGGTTGATTGTTGAGTGACAAAACTTAAAGGACAAACTATTTCATCGTGAAATGACATTCACCACGCATCTCCTACCTCAAAAGCCTCATAGTCTGGAGTAGCTAGGAAATCTAAGTAATTCTTTGTTGGTCTGTAACGTCTTGTTTCTTCTTCAACCAGCTGATTTACCTGATTGCGACGGAAGAGCAAAGGGGGTAGATCGTGTTTGACTAGTAGTAACAACTTCACGTATTGCCACTGATTGCTAGCTAAAGTAATCACTGACCAAACACATTTTTGGGCACTCGTCTTCGAAACAAAGCAATAGCAAATTGAATGGAGCTCCACTTGAACCAGCATTGTGTGGTGAGTCACCTTAGACCTAAACTTTACTTAAACCGGGAGGAAGAACCCATCGCTGATGGACATGCTACGCGCATCTAATTCTTTGAGACTTTAATGGCAGAATAACTATAAGCCTAAAAGTTGTCACATCTCCCCTAAAACTGTGGATAGATAAACATAAATCTGTTTCAGGTCTAGTTAAATAACTTACCATTTCTCTAACCCCCGGATCATCGTATCCTTGATCATAGTAAGGTAAGGCGTCCGGCGCGACTTCATGAATGGCCGCCATGATGGTTCACTACCCACAATGCACCACTTCGAATACCCAGAATGCATGATTTCGGACGCACTATTCATATTGAATATTAAAGCTCTCAACAGATTGCAAACCCTGTCCTCCGTATGTGTGCTGTCATCCGCTTTCATAGGTTACCCTTTATCGGTTGGCTAAGACGTTTCCGGACGCTATCGTTCGATTTTGGACACCAAGCCCGATTTCGGATGTTATCGTCCCTTTCCAGACGCTCCCGTCTCATTCTGAAACCATCATCCGATTCCACACGCCTTCGTCCGTTTTCGGATGCTATTCTCCATTTTCTGGACGCTTTAGTTCAATTTCACACGCTTTTGTCTAGTTTCAGACGCCATCATCCGATTTCGGACGCTTTCATTCGTTTCCGGATTTCGTCTGTTTACAACGGTTCAGGCGTTTCCATGCGAATTTAGACGCTCTCCTTTTTTGTCCAAATTTGATCGTTTCCGCCCGATTCTGTGAAATTCCGAAAAGACGATTTCGAGCTGTTGAGTACGTTTTCGGGAACTATTGTTAGATTTCGTTAGATTTTCTCCACATAATTTCTCTAATCCTCCTAATAAACCTGATCGCGTTTAACTGACACGAGCAGAATAACGATTGACTTATTACGCCGTAAGCAAACTCCAAAATCAAATAAAAACAAACAAATAAATGCATTAAAAAGAGTCTGTTTACAAAATTCGCTCAGACGCAGGGCTAACGCTCGAAACGTCAGCTTTCAAACTCTCAACGATGCCCAATTTAAGTTATCAACCCAGTTGATAGTACCAAATTACCCTGTGACACTTTCCCCTCGACGCAGCACTATAGTTTCTTTAGAAACTACCCCTTGTTTGCAACTCCTTCATGGCACACCGATGGGGCTGTTGTGGTTCAATTTTATCCTTGGTTCAAATTTTATATTCTTTTGTTTTTGGGTATTGTAATATATGATAATGAGTTTGAAACAAAGGAAAATAAAATTTGAACCAAGGATAAAATTAAACCACAACAGGGCCAATACTCGCTAGAGTTTGTGGCTATTCACCTCCATGACCCTTCATCAATTGTGGATGACCATTCGACTTGAGCTTAGTAAGAGGATCTGAATGAGGTTAACCGCGGGCTGTACCACGGCAAAAAGTTTAGTGGTTAGGCGTAAAAATTGACCAAATTCAACCTTAAATCGGAAAAAAAAGTTGGCTGTAAAACTTTTTTTTTAGTCTTAACGGGAAAATTAACCGTTAGCGGTAACTTGGCCACAATTTTAACCATTAACCGCAAGAGTAATCAACCCATTGAGACCCTCTAGTAACGAGACAGCCTAACTCAGAAAGGAATTGGTCTTCTAGTCCCACGATCTGACTCGCCTAGAAAATAATAGTTGTTGTTTTGTCGTTTTCCAACGGTAAAACCAATAAGTAACGTGTAAATGGCATATAGAGAAAGGGCTCGAGACCCAAGAGGAATTGGTTACCTCATTCCGAAATCCTTCTCTCCGAGAAAATAAACATCTCGTAATCGTTGTTTTCATCGTTTTCCAAAAGTAAAACTAAGAAGTAACGTGTGAATGGCATATCTAGAAAGGGATCTAGCCGGTATGTCCTGGGGTGGGGTAGGGAGGAGAAATGAATTCGTTTTGGAACCCGATTAACAATTCACTCTAGGAAAGGGATAGTTAGAGAAGAGACAATAGCACTGGAGCCTTGTTTAAGCAAAGACCGCTGGACACAAATCAACAGACACTTAGGTAATGGTGTGCACTCTGTTCGCATTTGTATTTATAAAAAAAAAAATGGTCAATAAATACAATGAAAAAAAATTCCTTCCCTTCCACAAACTGACATTCGGTGAAAATTCAACCATGTAGTCTACAAAGCTAAAAATTTACAACCACTATGTACACTGTTTACATTCAATAAAACGCGTAAGGTCTTCACACAGCTAAGTTGATATTGAAAAAAGTATGTCTACTTAGATTTCTTTAAAGATAAAACGAGAGAGAGAATCTCAATAAAAAAAAAAGCTGTTAGAGAAACTCTTAAATCAGAGATCAACCTGGGCGCTCAAAAGGCAAGCTTAACAACTGAAATCTTAAATTCAAGTAATGCAAGTTGGAAAGTGCAACTTCTTGAGACTTCGCAACTTGTGGTTTCAACAACGGTAACTCCTTCACCTTCAAACAAGCACGCACCCTCAAAACCCATCCATTGACCCTCCACGGTTCAACCTTTCTCCAGGCAGGGAGCACAGCTCCAACTGGGTTTGGAACCCACGACTCATCCTAGCAAAAGACTAACCATACACCTTTTCTGTGTCCCTTTCATCACCAGACAGGGATAAAATCCACCCGAGAACTTTAAAATCCCGCAACTCAGTCGGTGATGACTGGAACACCATGCTACATTCACCAAACATGGAAAAACAATTCCAGCTTGAGAATCAATTCATCAACCAAAGCCTTACTACTCACTGGGCATCACTTCCCTTTCACAGTCACGCCCTTTGCAGCAAACCAACCTAGTCCAATTAGTCTCAAACTAAGGTCAATAGACATTAACTCAAAATATGCACATCCAAAGGATTCTTCTCCATCTGAGGCACCGAGGAACTTGTGATTCAGCTCAGATCACGTACAGCAACGACCTTTGAGCACCCATGGTTGTTTCTCGCCTAAGAACGGATTTTCTTGGCAAAAGTCATAAAAGAGCACGACAAAAATAACTTTTCGCGTAGAAATATTGATGTTCGGCCTCTTGGAATATTGTCCTTGACATTGCATTTTTTCGATTTAAATTAATTATTTGCATTTTCCCTCGGAGCATCTTTATACATACTCCCTGAAAATAAAAGAAAATGATGAAACAAAATAAGTTGATTTGACCAAATTAATACCATACATGCATGCTGCATGACAGACGCCCACATGAAAGAGAAGAACGACGGAGCACCAAGAAGACCATTAACCCTTAAACTTCCATGAGTGACCAAGACAGAATTTCTCCTTACAATATCAATACAATATCAAGCAGACAAGTGATGAGAATAAAGTAAAATATCACATAGGAGATTATAAGTTGATCCAATACCAAATTCTTCGAACTAACATCACAAGAACTGTATGGGAGACAGTAAAGAGAAATACTAACGAGATCTTGGGAGTTAAAAGGGTTAAAGAAGAAAGGACCAAGCGCCTTTTCGAATTTCCTTTGGGGTGTGGTAACCAGTCCTCCCTGTCTTGTCCCACTTCTCTCGAAAAAAAAAAACTCATTCCCAGTACTCCATCTTCCCTCTCCTTCTCTGTCTCTGTCATATACAAAGCCTGAAATAAGCTCTTTTGATGTATCAACCCTTGAAGCCTCAGATTCAACACAAAATTATCGCACATGACTTAGATACGTTCTCTCGTAAAGACAACTTGGTCGTAAGGCAATGGTCACCAGTTCTTTGATTCTTGTGACATTTCCTTGTGCTAGTGAGCTAATATTGAGAGGAGAATTTTGATGTTGATCACTCTAGTGGCTTTCAGGGTTAAAACTCATTTTAACAGCACAGCTTTGAGGACAAAAACAAAAGGAATAAATAAGTATGCTTGTTGGATTCCTTTCGTTTGTGTCTCCTAAGCCTCTATATAGGAAATTTAAGATATCAAAAGCAGCTTATTTTACTATTGCTGGCAAGCTTTATGTATCTCCTGCAAAAAGATTGCGCATAGAGCCAGTGGGATACAGGAAATTTCTAGCTCCCTATTCTTTGTCTGGGAAATTTAAGCATATATTCTGTAACTTTAAGTGTCAATTGGGTCAGCAGTGATCGAAAGCGAATTACTTTGACAAATAACACAACTGCAGAAAAAGCATTGCTACATATGATAAGCTGGCTAAAGCTAAACGTGAGGTTATCTTCACTGGAAGACAGAATTATTTGATTCATGAAATTCTTTGGTTTGTTGTCTTTGTTCTTCAAGAGAAAAAGCTGTAAGTGGAAATTACTTATCTATATGAACGTTTTTAGGCCAAAGGTTACCAACAGAATAAATATTACAATTATTAGTGATTAAAAACTTTAAGCAGTAAATAAAATACACAAAACTTTTGAACACTAGACAAACAGAGTTTGAATTTCAGAGCATCACTTCACCAACTTCATTTAGGTAATCACATCAATTCAGAATCAAGACCTTCATTCCTTAAATAAATCATTAACATGATCTTCAGGTTTGGTTTGTAGGTAATTGCGAGTCCATTAAATTGGTTATTTTTCATAGCAACTGGAGCATCACGGCATAGTTGCAGCGCAGTTTAAGAGGGCAGAGGTTTACTTCAATTTTTCACACACAAAGGTAAAAATATACAAGCATTGAGCATGCTGCTTGTAATCACACACTCAAATACCTGCCGACCGCAAGCCTTGATGCATTTCAGGACTACAACTTCTACCTAAAACACAACATGGCCTTTAAGATTGTCCAAAACAGTATGTCAAAAATTTGATGGTGCAGTTAACTCAGTGCAAAGAGTTATCATGGTGCTTGTGTCATACAGGAAAATAAAAGCTTTGGTTTCAGAGAAGGAAGGAATATAGAGATGGCTTCCACTGCAGTGAAGTACTACAGCAAAGTCAAAGAAACTTGCACAGCAGTTGTGTGCAACTTGAGTTGCTTAGTAAAAAGCATAGCTTGGATTTAACATTTCATGGACAATTCTGCATCATGATCATCTAGGGTAGAAATAACTTTTTCTCTTTCATATTCCATGCTAATATAGATCTGGAATAACATATTAGGATTTATTATTGTAGTTTCAAGTTTAGAATTTACTTTAGGGGTAGAATTTGTTTCATGCTGCAGTTCTTTCAATTTGTTGGCTTCAAACTGTCTTACTTTAAAACACTTCCTACAATTAAACAAGTCAGTAATCCTGACTTTAATTCTAAAGACAACAAATGGTTGAGAATTTCAAGACAACGATATAAAACTTTTAAAAAGTTTACCATCTGATGCCTATGTTATAACTTAGGCTTCTTAGTATTATGAAGATCACCAACTTAGTTAAGAAATTAAAATTTGAAAAGAAAACAATTATTTTAAAATTTGTACAAACACCACAAATGAGATGTTAAACAACAATGTAGAAACAGACATAGAACTTTATTCATTAATACTGTTAAATATAAAATATTAGATATTAAATATTAAATATTAAATATTAGATACACATTTATTAAAAACTTTAAAATTAAAAAAAATTAAAGCTATGCTTGGTAGGTTAAAAAAAATTAGAAGAAATTGATTGTCTCGTGTAATTTTTGATGTGATTAAAATTAAAATTGTTTGTTTCCTTAATTCTAACCAATTTAACTTCTACAATGCACAGAATTTAAGTCCCTGCAATTTGCTTTCCAAGTTATTTTACTGGACATTTGTCTACTCTTAGAAAAGAAAAGAAAGAGTGACGGCTTAAAGAGAAATTGCATTCATTCATTAAGTTAAATTTAAAAATTAATAAACAAAAGACAATTGGCAGAGCTGGACGCTTAAACGACTCCATAAAATATATAGATTTAGCCAAGCCTGAAAGCGGAGCTCGCATTCTTTTTTTTCCCCCGCACGTCTCAAGGGCACAACGCCTTGCCCCGGCCAGGACTAGAACCCGGGTCGTCCAACTCGGAGCCCGGTGCACAGTTGACCACGCATGTTAAAAGTAGCACCTTGTGCGGTCGTACGGTCGTACATCCAAATTTTTTTCGGCTTGATGGGCTACTTCTATTTTGTATAATTATGGGGCTACGCTCTGCGAGCTCCGCTATTACTGGAAAATATGACCACTAAAGTTTCAGAGATTACACAATAAAATTCTCAAGATAATTGACTGAAAACAAGATTCATATAGTATTTGTATTATATCTTTTGGAAATAATATTCTCTTAAATTTAAAATTGTGCCAGAGTAAATTGTAAAAATAAATTCACATTTATTTATCATCCACTTCCATTGGGAGTTATTCATGTTATGTAAAATAAATTTATTTAGAGATTCAGAATTTGGATCAATATCTTGCCAATCTTACCATACAATAATTTGTGATTTTCATTTATCTCAAAAGGTTTATGTCAAGGAAGGATAGGTGCAAAAGCATAAATCAGAAGGAGCTCACTAAGAGTCACTGCCACTCACGTCTCAACAGTCCTCTTTAAACATGCACACCAAAGGGTGAACTTGTCCACTCTGAGCCTGAGCTGGTGTTTCAAGCATTTCAAGCGGTTCAAGATTAACCGGTTTCCCTTGAGTCAACATTTACTATAGAATTTTTCTGAATTTTTCTGCAAGTTTCAACAGTGACTCAAAAGCGACCTTCTTACATTTCACACCAATCCCTTATTGACTGTAATTGATCCACTTGTTACAAGGGTTTATTAACCTACAGGTTGAGGCCTGAAAATGGATTATAATTAAAATTCTAGATGTTACAAAGTGAGATTAACCTTCATGACATTGCAGGTGGTAAGTTGCAATTATTGGCTCCATTAGAATGATCACAGATTAACACGTCTGAACTAGTGGTGTGTGAGTGCTGATATAGAACGGTACTTACAGTTTCTTGTGCCTGGCTACCACCAAATTAAAAAAAAAATTTTTCTAGAGCATTTTGTCATACTGAAAGACAGTTTATCATTTAGCATGCCCTCCATAAATTTCAAACCAGGGAAAAAAGCAATTCAAAGCACACGCTCACAAAAATTATCAAGCCAGTTTTGACATGAAAAATTATAGCTCAAGACATTCAGATGCAATCATTTGGTGGTAACCAGTTCTCAAAATAATCAAAGCATCAACTTTCCACAAACAAAACTACTTACGAAGATTCCAACATGAGAGACTCCTTAAAGAAATGCCTTGAGGCTCTTTTAGGATCAATATCAGGACCAGACGCAATACCATCCTTCAGTTCTCCCACACCTCGACTAGACTTCCTACGGAGTCGACTAAAGCGAGATCTTTTCTCTTCTCTTTTATAGCGAAGTTCATCAACAGAAGTAGGAGAAATGGCATCTTCATCAGTCAAGGGACTTGTTGGTTCCAAATTTTTTGGGTGTGATTTATCTTTGTCCACCTCTTTATCTTTATTTTTATCTCGATTACTTGTCAGGTCTTTTCCTATATTCAGAAGGTCTGAAAGAGACATGCTCTTTTTTCTGGTGCGCGACAATGAATTACAGTGTTCCTTCTTTTTTTCAGCCTTTGCCTGGGATTCTTCCAGGTCTACACTTGTGGGATAGTGTGCCTTATCAGGCTTCACAGGAAGTCTGGTAGACTCAGAAGACCTTTTTGTAAGTTTCCCCACTTTGTGCCCACGCTCTTGATTTGAAATTGTAGCTTCTGTGGCTGATGCAGAAGATGCATCTCGAATTTTTTGGATGATTCCATTTACATCATGACTGTCTCTATCACGATGTCTTATTATGTTCTCAGGTCTTGTCTTTCTTGAAATCACAGGTGATGATCTTCTTGGTAGTGATATACGCTTGCGTGGTTGTTCTGTCGTTGTTATTGCAGATTGGATCTTATCTTGAGCAATAAGTTGAGATTTTATCAGTGGCGGTTGTTTGGAGGGTCCATTACTTTTAAAAGGTGCCTCCATAGAGTCTGATAAATTTTGCAGGGCTTGAAATTCTTGCATTTGATCCACCTGTGGAACTGAAAGATCCATTCTACAGTCTTTACTTGGTGATAAATCACCTTCAGACTCGAGGGGTTCCTCAACAGAATCCTCCTCTTGTTCTCCTGCATATTCGCTGCTTTCATAGTCATTATCAGACATAGAAGACGAGACTCCTTTTTCAGGAGATGAAGGAGGCTGAATATTATTCTCCTCAGCAGGAGTGCGGGGTGATTCTCCACCAGAGTCTTCCTGATTTGGAGACTGAGGCTCAGATCTGACTTCGTTAGTTTGTTGATAATTTGGTGGAGGAACTAATGGAAAATCGACAGCTGCATTTGCCAACGGTGACTGAACCTCTGAATCACCTGCCGAGTCATTTAATGATGCAGATGAAGAAGTGACAGATCCATCCTGCTCCTCTGTAGTTCTCCTCTTCATTACGATGGCTTCCCTAAGACTTGCCACACGCACAGACGTGGGCCCTTGTGGGGCTGACGAAGATCTCGACAGGGAACTGGAATCCACAACACGTGGTCGTTCCTTTGGAGGTGCGGAGGAGGACCGTGATATCTTTCCAAGAGATTCAGACCGTGACTTAGCCATTGCTCCCTCTAGCAACTGTTCATCTTCAACTGAAAGTATTTCTTCCTGTCGTTGTAATGCAGCACCATCTGTATATTTAGTTGATTTAGTTGCTACTTCTTTACCTCTAACTTCTGAGGAATGGGTGCTGCTTCCTGTGGTCAATGCCGAGTCAGAACGTGCACGAGAATTTAAGGTTGAAAAGTTCATTCCTAGCTCGTCTTCTGAATCAGACTCCACTGATATAATTGATGACCCAGATGATCTGCGGCGTTGAGGTCGAGGAAGTGCAGGTGAAAGTCCAGAGGGTGTAACAAGGCCTGAGGGACTTACAAGGTCATTGTCGTTGGGATTTTGCATATGGTGTACATTACTAGATCCCTGCCCCAATTTGGCAACCATGAACAATTTCTAAGACAATGAAAAAAAAAACAACAACAAATACTTTAATATATGGATAAATTTCTAAGAAATATTAGTATGATTAGTTACCCTCATTCAAGAAAATTAAGTTGATATCTAGCATAAAAACTTCCCTTTCCTCTTTCCAAAATTAAAATACATTCTCTTATTGCATACTTATTCATGAAATTACCAACACAATGGTTAGCTGAAATTATAGTAGGTATCCCTGGTTTTTGGCAGAAAACAATATTTTAGGTACTGAAGATTCAGGTATACCTGAGCCTTTTTTATTGCATCCATCCACTGTGCCTGATCACTTGCCGTCCCTTGGAGAGCAAATGCTTGTACAGCTATGTTGTACTCATTCACATAAATAAGTAAGAAGGTCCCTAGGGTAATAAAAATAATCAAAGTTCATCATTTTCATTGCAACTTACATCAATTCTAAGGAGGCATTGACAAGTGGGAGTGGTACATTCAGATAAAACACACAGGAGATGTATTGCACACTATAATTTTTTTCCTAACTAGAGATGAAGGACATCTTCTTAAGGAAAACAAAAAGAACACAAAGAACTGTACCTCCTTGATCCCTGGCAGTGACTAGCTTATCCACTTGGAGAGGCTAAAAAAAAAGGAACAGAACATCAATTTGATGATAATCAATGCTAATTCAAAAATTATTGTTTTATTTAATAATAATCTAGCAATAATTGATAGTAATACATCAGAATCTGTTATGCAACTCATTGAACGTTGATCAATTTATATCACCACTTGAAGGGATGAGTGGATAACAACTTACTGCTAAACTGAATTCTCATATGATATAGAAATTTTCTGTTTCACATGACAATTTCACATTAGCATAACACAGTCTATGGAAAGTCACTTAGAGCTTTCTTTCCCATGCACCTTCTTTCATCATATCTTAATCTTGTTATGTACTGCAAAACCCTATGCAGAAGTACATAACTATTACATGGATCTCTGACCAGTTTGACGTAGTTGTCTGTAACACTACCCAAGGAGAATGGAGAGCCCCAGCAAGATGTGCAAGTTTAGTGTCTGACTTGATTTTGATTTCTTAAGAGCCAATAACACTTTTTGCTAACTCACCGGTTTGATCACTTTGAATTTATCAGCTTTCTTTGCTTTGGTTATGAGAAGTAAATCAGTAAAGAGAAAAACATAGACATCCATCTGCAAAGAAAAGATTTTTCAATTGAGGTCAACTTGATGGTTGTTAGCCATTTCATTCCCAAGAGCTAATAAAATGCACCACCCTCTCAACTTCAAATCCCTTCAAAGTTAAACTCTAACAGTTTGGTTTGAATCAAGCAACAGCTACAAACTGACTCTTTTCTTTTTTTCTGATCATCTTTCTGTTCTCAAATGGGCTGACATTGTGAGGAGAAATATTGTCTGGTAACTTCTCAGAGTGAAATGGTTACTATACAAGGAATAACAACAAAGCAGCAAGTTTCAGAATCTGACATCTAGTTTACCAGCAGTGATAGTTTGCATCTAGTTTACCAGCAGTGATAGTTTGCAATTAGTAATGCCTTTCACTCACTTTGCCCTGTTTTTCAAGAAGCCTCAGATTTCCCTCATGAATAACACTACGATGTTGATCATCAGTTAAACCAGGCATGGGTCTGGTAAGGTCATAGGAGCTGTAATCTTGGAGAATCTGAGTAAAAAAGACAGAAATATTAGAGCCAATTCATAATCAAATACAATTTTTCTCATTTCAATAACATGGTTTTTGCAAGACACCAATTGCACTAAGAAATTCACTTCATATCATCCTATATCTTTAATGATTTTCTATTTCCCTTTTAACCCTTTATATCCTAGTATCAGCATGCATATTCTCCAAAATGTATTCCATACACTTCCTATGGAACTGACAAGAGAGTTTGTCTATCAATCAAGAGCCTTTTAGTTGGTGACCATTTTCCTTAGTCTCATGACCTTAATGTCTTCTTGAGTGGCGTTACTGTAAGGAGACACTTGGTGCTCATCACTCTTGGAGGTTAAAGGGTTAATTGTCTTTTCAAAATTGTCCACATAAAGAAGAGAGAAATAAGGTTTCCTTCCTAATACCTTTTCCATCTCCTCATTGACAGCTTCTACAACACTGTAGTTGTTGTGAATCTTCACTGCAGTTGCTTTGAGTTTTTCCAACTCATGCCTCTCCTTCATGGCAGCATTTACTTTACTCACAAATGTTTCTACTTTAACTCGCTGCATCAGAGTAAAGGGAAAAAGTAAACATTGTTACAAATTACAGTCACACCTGAAGAAGTATGTGAGCTATCTGAGTGAACTGACCTAATAGACTGTGAGCAAGTCCTCATAACCAGTGCTACAGGACATGTGTTTCTATGCCCATGTGAAAGATTTGAGACAAGACAAGGAAAAGGCTTCTCACAGGCTTGCTTCACACAAGGACTCAGACTTTCTCGTGGCTAAGAAATGTTTGTGTAAGAGTGCTAATAACAAAAGCTTGCTTGCAAAATATAACCTAAAGTGCTTCTGCACTTCTGGGGTTAGAAGAAAACAGTGCATGACATACATGTACTTAACATTTGTCTAGTTTTACACAAATCTTACCATTCTGTTGAGAACATCTTTAGTGTCTTCCTCCATGGTTTTGTTACCAATGGCTTTCAATAGAAGATGGTATTTTGTAACTCTTTGCATGGGCCAAACCAACAAGTCAGTTAACTTCAGCCGGTCAGTGCAAAACCTGTGATCTTCACACCACTACTCATGAAAGAAGAAACAACAAAAATTAAATACAATAATTAAATGCATTTGTACAGTGTGACTGTGCATAAGTCTTGAAAATGAGTTTTGTCAGTGACAGTGGCTAATATTGCAACAAACTTGAACAAAAGTTAAACTCTTGGTCAAATGTCAAGCATTTGGTTGATGAAAAATGATCAGTTGATTTTATGGTAATGTTATTAAACATGAGACTTAACCCTTTTCATCAGTATGCATATTTTACATACTGTTCTCTTCATATTTTCCAAAGGTGCTGACAGGGAGAGGTTTATTTTTTAAATCAAGAGCTTCTTTAGCTTTAAGTTAGTGATCATTTGCTTTGTTCTCATGATCTTGATGTTTGATTCAGGGGCGTATTGTAAGGAGAAATTTGATGCTAGTAACTCTTAGGGAACAAGATGTGATTGATCTCTTTCAGTCCTTTGGCAAAACAAGGCCATTCTGTTGAATAGGAATTTTTAATGTCCTTAATAGGCTGTTTCCTTCAATTATGTTGTCACAGAAAAAAAAGAAATTACTGATGTGTGAGTAACAGTTGGAACTAAATCTATTCTAGTCATCTTACAGTGATGTACGTCTTGAAATCTTCATTCTCAACCAGCTTTTCCTTGTAGTATTTCAAACATTTAGACTCCTCCATGCAGTACTTTATGTATGGATCAAACTGAGCCTCAAACTACACAAAAATAGCAAAGAAATGTTACAGATACATCACAAAAGAGCTGAGACAAGTTACCAATACTCAAAGTCTAGTTTAAGGCTTCATCATTCATAACACAGCAGTAATGGATGGCAAATGGCTGGTTTACGTGTGACATGTGATTGAGGCCAAAATTAATATGTGAAAGCATGGATTTGACAGAAAGGCAAATGTGATTCATAAATTTTAAGAACCAACATGTGGATTTTTTTCTTTCATTTTCATTTGCTGAAAACCTCAAGATTTCACTGAAACCTTGCATACAAGAAGAGAGATTTGAAGTTTTCCCTTCTTAAATTTGTGACATGTGAGGAGTTGTTTGCAATATACATGATGCATGAATTTTTCAAAAACTCCAGCACAAAATGGGATCAAGAGCCAACCCCCTTGCCCCTTTGCTACCATCACTTAGCAGGGCTCTTGTAAACCTCATTAACTGACTAAAGATATTCATTCAGATTCTACATTTCCAAGAAATTTTATCTATGAATTTTTCCTCTCACCATGTTGAACCCAGCTTCCATATCCAAAGGATTTAGCAGATCTTTTGTTTTCCTCGCCTGTAAAAAAAGTGGAAAAATTAGACAATTTTCTACCTATTTCTTATCTCTAAAACACAGATGAAAATGTTATCATTAATAAAATACATGTACCCAAGAAGCAGGTAAAAATACACTTACATATTCAACAACCTTGCTAAGATGTTCTGTCCAAAATGCTAAATTGACTTCATATATTTGTTCAACATTATTAAACAACTTAGATGCCTCGATCTGTGTCACATGGAAAGCAAAACATCATCATTAGAAGGATACAAACAGAATGATGATCAAGTTAGAGAACAAAGTCAGAGGAAAACCACAAAGAGATTGAGAGGTCACCAGAGAGGGGAATTTTTTTAGTAGGAAAGCATATGGAATCTTAGTTAAATATAACAAGATCAAACAAAAAAAAAATGTGATGGAGCCTTCAACCAGAGATTATGAAAGATATGTCTTCATTCAGTTAGGAAGTACATTCAGTTTTATATTTAGTTTATTTTGATCACAATAATAATAATAATAATAATAATAATAATTTATTACTTATTGGTTGCAAATTAATATCTGAATATGATCAAATGCACCTTACAACACTTTTTCAGACTGCATTGAGCAATTTACAGTTCTTTTTTTTTGAAGGAGATTTGGCAGATGCCCCCTATTTCAGAATCTAGGGCAGACCACAACACTGGGAACTATGACCCCTATTTTTTTCAATAAGTGTGTGGGTTCTTTAATGTCCCCCACTAACCAGTACCAAGAAGATGCAGGAGACGGGACCTGCAGCTTTTCGTCCTTATCCGAGAAGACTAGAATGTCTAACTGCTTGCAGATGTCGTAGCAAAGGCAGCACATTCTCCTCAGTTGTTTTGAGACCCTAAGTGTGGGTCCAGCCTGGGTCTTGAACCCCAGCCTCCCACACAGAAGTCCGGTGCTCATCCACGTGAGCTAACCAGGCAGCAGAGAACAGAGGCCACAAAACGATGTTTCAGTAGAGTGTGAGGGGAAAGTATTGGTATATGACCATTAACAACATAATATGTGCAAATCCTTATTATACAGTCATGTAATTATATGAAAAGTCATACCTCTACAAGAAATCCTTCACTCTGCAAATTTCTTAAGCACTGGAGAAACAACTAAAAGAAACAATGTATAAATTTAACAGAAATATCACTTAAAGCCTCTCTTCAGTGAACATAAAAGCTGGTCACAATATTGGTGTTGGAAACTGCAATATAGTCCTTTTTACAGTTGTGCACTTGGTTGCTAAGCCTTTGAACAGCAGTGAGGCTAAGGGTGACCTTGTTATGATACAAACCTTGCTGCTTATCATATGTAAACTACTTTGTTATTGTGCTAAGTGGATACTAGTCTCTATCACAACAATGTCACTTTCAGCCTCACTCTAAATCAAAGGCTTGAGTACACAGCTATAAAATGGCCTATTGATCACTGCAAGATTCGTCTTGAAGTAGAATTCAGTTTTACTTACCTTTTTGATTATGTAGAGTTTTGATATATACACTGCCTCTGTGGACAAAAGTTCCCACATAGCCTCTTGCTGGTCTTTCTCTTTCTTTGTCATTGTCTGAAATAAATGAAAATAGATGAAAACAAAATCTACATTCCACTATGAAAGGAACTGTAAAAAGAATACAAGACATTGCATACAAATTGATCATGGCATAGAACAAGAGACATTACCCCAATGCGGCTTTCATCTACAACTTCAGTCCAAGATGATTCCTGAAAAATAAATCACACATTTTTGCAACATGGGAAACATTCTTGATTATCAAAGCTGGCAAAGAATCACACTTCAGGTATTCTATGTCTTTCACTTCCATCATTTGGGAACTAATGCACCTGGTTGAAGACTGTACATTTATTTGTTGGTTGTTTGTGACAATTAAATGCTTAATCAACACAACATCACAATAAAATTTTGTTCACTATCCTCACTTGTTTACTCCAAAGAGTAGTACAATTGTTAGATAATCCATGAAAAGATAACTTCACCAAGAGTGTTTACTTTAAAATAAACACTCTTGGTTTAATTATTCCTGTCATTTGTTCAGTGCACTATAAATACTTACAAGTTTAATCTGTTCTTCGATTTCATTCTTTAGCCCAGAGTCATAATCAGCACTATCCTCCAGACCATACAGGGAATATCGATCTAATGAGTCTTTCAGAGTTCCCTGAAAAATAGCACATTGCATATTGCTATAAACTCACAGAAATCTGCAAATGAAGAGGTGTGTGATTCTTAAAGGCCTTTTTTTTAAAAGAAAATTTATACAAGTTGCACAAAAATAAACATGAAATAAGCCTTTGACAAGCCCTGCTCATTATTTCTCCTTCAAGCACCCTCCCTGTGGGAGACACTCCATAGCGTTATGATTTGCACTAGACTCTCGGTCAAGAAGCCTGCATTTCGGCAAATTGTCAGGGAAGCCTGATCAAATGCTGGGGGGTAACCTTGCAATAGACAAGCATCCCATTGGGGGGAGTTGTAATACTCCTAGTTGCTTCACATGAAGGGAACCAGTTTAAGCTCTGGCTGGTTGGGCCACTTGGCTTGAGTACAGACTTACCTTAAGCACCCCCCCACTGTCAGTTTTTCAACATGGCATTGGAGGAATTTGCAGTGATAGATAAGAGACTGCTGTCAAATGGCTTACCTTAATGCTGGGTTTAGGTGGGTTAAACAATCCAGTCAAGCGACTGGCTGACTTTGGTCGTGGCACGGTGCCACCCCCACTAATATGAACTCCACCAGGAAGAACAGGACTTGACAGTGTAGGAGGCATGGTCCCTCCAAACTCTTTACCAAACAAAGATTCCATGTTCTTTTTGCCCTTTTGGGTCTAAAGCCAAACAAACAAACAAATGTATGCCACAAAATTAAAAAAAAGTTGAATTGCAACCTGCAAACTTATTGAAAAATTTCCTTGATATTTTAAAATGACTTTACTTCCTACTGATTAAGGAATTCCAAAAACAAACTGGCTCTTTTGCAGCCTCGCACTAACTGTTTATAAAGTAGTTTTTCTTGCAAAGGTGCTGAGGTGTGGAACAGCCTATTCCAAGATCTGTGTTCTACAGCATCCTTACATGAATTCAAACACAACATGACAGGTTTTATCTTATTTTTAAATTATTAACTAGTTTAGCCACACAAAATTAGATGCATTACCTGTAAACTATACTGAAGGAATTTCTTACCATATATCAATAGCTATAACTCAGTCAATAAATCCTTAAAGTAAATTCCACCTGGAAGTGGAAGGGTAAAAAAAAAAGCAACTCACATTCTTATTGAATTGCTGTAGGAGCTTGTCATCTCTTGAGTTCTCCCTCTCTCTGTCATCATCAAACCTTCTAATGTTGCCTTTCTCTTTCCCCTTTGTTGTAAAAGAACCAGACCGCGTCAGAAAGGATGAGCTCTTCGGGCGTGTGGGTGTTTCATCTGAATTGTTCTTCTCCTCTGCATACGAGTCTCTCATGATATTGATTACTCTTTCATCCCCTTTAAAATCTTCATTGGCTGAAAACAAAATCATTAGAATCCTTTAGATTACATAACTACCTATTGTCTTTGAGTAAGATAAACAAGATGTGGAATACAGGGAGACTTTCTCAAGGTTTTTCCAATCTAAATTTCCCTCAACATAACAAGCTGTACAGCTAGTAAATAAGGCTTACATCCACTCCTTTTTCTACAAATTTCCTTTGTCTTTACCTCAACACATTTCATCTTGTAGGGAAGAAGCTGAAAATTCCAGTTTCCCAATGTTTCAATAATGTTAAAATGAATAATTTTTAACAATGGAAAAACCAGTTTTTTTGCTGACTAAATAATTCGTAATCACCTTTACACTCCCAAAATCTCAGTATCATGTCTCCTTACTTCCCATTGTATACTCCTTACTAATTTTTCTGAGAGAATTGTTTTTGGTAAAACAATTTAATTGTTGGCCAATAGTGCTGATATTGTGAGGAGGAATTTTTTTTTGGTGATTCCCAAGGGTGAAGGGTTAAAGATTAAACATTTCACTGCTTATGATTATCTTTCTTCACTAATAGCAGTTGTTTTCCTGTGATAGCCCCTGTACCCATCTGAACAATTCTTCACCGAAAATCAGAGTGGAAGTGCCAAAAGGCCAGTACATCTTACCTCTAACATGAAGAGTATTTCCACCCAGCGGAAAGGTATCAAATGCAAGTGGCAAAGGAGTATTAGATGAGTCCAGAAAGACAGAATGAGTTGAAAAGGAAAATTCCTGTGCTTCAAAAAGAGGTTCGATAGATTCTCTGAAATGAAAATAATTTATCAGTTCAAGTTATATATAATATATTCCAAGGACTCAAGAGATGTAACATAAGCAAATTACAACTTGTGTACATAAGAATGAATTTCACTGGTAAAAATAATTTTTTAAAAATTTAAAAAGCATTACTTTCCCTCAAGGAAATTTGCAAAGTCCTGAAACAAAATATTAAGACTGAACTAGTTTGATATTATTTTAACAATACGCAACATACACATAGGATAAAATTCCAGCAAAACATTATAATAGAGGACAAATAAATCAGGACAAGTAAACAACAAAGTTTGTCAACAAAACAACATGTCACCATGGAGAAGAAATTATTACACTTAACCCTTTAACTCCCAAGATCTGATTGTTAATTCTCCCCTCTAGCTGCTGCACATAATCACTTCTGGGAGTTAAAAGGGTTAACACCCTAACATCAGCATCCATATTCTCCATAATGTTCTCTATAAATTTCCTTTGGTACTGACAAGGAATTTTAATTAAACAATCAAAAGCTTCTTTATGGATGGTCATTTTGTTTTCTTATTCACATTATGAATGATTTAGCGTTACTGTTAGAGAAATTGGATGCTGGCTGCTCTTAGGATTTAGAGGGTTAATAACCTCAACAATAAAGATACAAAATTGGAAATACATGAAATCATGAATGGCTTAAAATCAAACTGGTTTACCTCAGCGACTTTCCTTTCAAAGCAGGCACTACTTCTACATGGAATTCTCCACTTTTGTTGTCAAAAAATTTAATGCTAAAAAATTCTCTTCCTGGATCCTATGGAAAACAGAAGAAATGTTAAAGATGTATTCATCTGGGAGAGATTTATGACCATAAACAGTTAGAGATGCCCCCATAAAGTGTTCCTGTATTAACTTTTTTTGAAGGACTGCCTCAGATGATAGAGGTTGCCATGATCATGAAAAAAGGTCATACAAATTGAATGAAACAAAACTCTTGTTAGATGGTCATTGAAGGGGTTATAAGCCTAACTGATATCTTTCCCAAATGATAGTAAATGGCTCATTACCAGCTTGTGCTAGAAGCCTGATAAAAACACGGTAGCACAAGACATTCAGTTTTCAAGATTTTCAAGCACTGTTTGATGCATCCACAAAAGGAAGTAATTTCAAACAACTTGGTATATATGCACTTCCTAAGTTTCACATTTAAGTAATTTAAGCAATCTGAATTTTTCAGCAGCTAATTATAATAATGAAAAAGTACAGTATAGTCTGCTGAAAAGCTAAAACTGTCAAGGCAATACACTGCCGTGTACCTGTCAGTGTAACGGAAAAATAATTTTATAACTTTTCAACTTTAGGGCTCAAATACATACTCTAGGATGCAATCAAATCAAATACACTCATCCAGTGTTTTCTAAAATATCTGTGGATCTGCCTAATAAATCATTTTAACGACATGTTGAAGATGATAAAGAAAAGGTTTTTCACTTCAAACTCACTTCAGTGTTGTGGCGTCTTGGTTTTTTCTTCGCCGCCGCATTTATTTTAAACATCCGTTTCCCAGAGGAATATCCTCGGTTCTTCTTTTCCCTGTTGGAGAAGGAAATATCATAACAAAAGAGAGTTACAGCTGTTTGTTTTAAGGTAACTTGACCACAATTTCTACCATCAAACATGTCTGATAATGAATTTAAGTTAAGTTGTCTGATATCTAAAATGTATTTGATATTTCCTGTGAGATAATTAACTTAGAAACAGTAATAAGAAAAATGATTGTTTCTCTTCACTCTTCACAAAAGTAACTGTCATTTTAAAAACTCTAGAGATTAAAATTCAGAGCTCAGTTTCAATTTTGTTTCATACTTATGACCAGGTGAAGATAACCAGAAGACTGCTTGAATCAAGAAAGCAAATGGAACAAAACCTTCTGTTAATTCCAGCTAATTCCAAATATTCTCTGTTGCATCTCACCACACCAAAAACAACACCACAATGTTTTAATTAGGTAAAACATTTAGTGCTGTCATTTACAAATATAGGCTTGTTCATATTTTGGGGCTAAAATGAATTGCCATACTTATTTAAAGCCATTATTCAATATTGGTTTAATATCAAAATTCTCCCCCATAATACAATATCACTCCTTTGACGAATTACAGATCACTACTCAGACTTTTTTATCATGAGCTGCTTAAGTGCAAAAGAGATTGCCAACAACTTCTGTTTCATCAGTAACAACTGTCACCTTTGTACATTATACAATAGAGTAAAAACTGCCGACCAAAGTCAAGGGTAGTAAGCAAATAATAGATGCCATTAAGTATGTTCCTCCCTTATATTCACTCCTTTAATCAACACTTTATGAAAAGAACTATGCTTCTCACTTTTAAGATAACTAAATCAGAGTAGTCTAAGTTGATATCTGATTGTGTTAAAAGAAAAGCTTGCCTGAAAAGTAAGTGACCTTTTGACAATTCTACAACTTATTATGTTAAAAATATAGATTACTATATCATCACATATTGGCAACTTAATATTGGCTGAAAATAAATTAGCTGTAAGCACAATTATAGTTAAGTACATAATTTTAACAACATCAGCTGACCCTTTACACTCAAATATCAATGCACATATTCTCCAAACTGTTCTCTACAAATTTCCAATGGTGCTTACATGAAGAACTTCTTTAATGATCAAGAGCTTCTTTAATATGTGATAATTTCCTTCATTCTTGTTACTGCGATGTTCGACTCAAGATTATATTGTAAGGAGAACTTAGATGCAAGTTGCTCTTAAGGATCAAAGGGGTTAACAAATGAGAATGTCATTCAAACTAACACTAAGTGTAATGAGTATTAATTTGTGCCACTTACACTTTTTGTTCAGATTCAACATCCTCCTCATTTCCTGAATCTGAACCTGCCGAATGGCTTGATGGCGTCCTAATAATATTTGTACTTGGCCTCTCTGAAGAGAAGAACACCAAAATGACAAATTTGCCAATTATAATCAGTTCTCAAATGTTTTATTAAAATTATTGTCCCCTTTCAAACTCCGCACAATTAAACCCTTTACACCTTAACTTCAGTATGCATATTCTTTATGTTCCTCTTTAAATTTCATTAGGTGCTGATAAGGAGAATTTCCTTGACAATCAAGATCTTCCTAGGTTGTTGATCATTTCCTTTATTCTCATGACCTTAATATGTGATTCAGGGGTGATATTGTAAGGAGAAATTAGATGCTAGTCACCTTTAGGGATTGAAGGGTTCTTAGTATCCTGGTGACAAAAATACCTTCCAAGGGCTCACCATCTGCCTCCACGATCTACATACCAATTCTCTTCACTGTGTCCCATACATTCATTATAATTTTAGCTCTGAGATTTTTGCAATACATCAAACAATATACCCTAGTTGATATTTTCCATCACCTAATCTCCTTCTGGCATGAAAATGTATTTATAGTATGGTAGAGAATGTGACTCTGTCACTCTATTTTAAGACAATTTGAGTGTTAAATGGTATCAGCTTGAAATAACTATTTGCCAAGGTATGGAGACACCAGAGAAATAAGAGAAATAACCAAAATTGTACAAGGATGGTTAAGGATAGAGAACATTTCCCCATTCAAATTAATGGACTTGAAAAATGGAGGCTAAATTATTCAAGATGCGCAAAATTGTCAAAACTCCCTACCCATCAACTTCTTAAATATCAACTAAACTAGCAAGTTGTCAGGGGAATGTTGCACTAAACAGGTGGCAGGGAGCGAGGAGGGTAATCCCTCCTGTTAGACTAATATCCCGTGCAGTAGAGGTACCACTATTTATACTAAAATCATCTCATGCCACAGAAACTGGTAAACTGTGGTCACTGTACAAATCAGTCTGATCTCCAGAGCTTATATGTCAACTACATGTACAGCCTGTACATGTAGCTTACATCATTCAAGAAAATGAAAGAATAACAGCACATTTCACTCTATTTTTTCAACAAATTTAGGTAAAACACTTACCTGGGACATCGAACCGTGCATGGTTAGAACCAGCTCCAAGATGGTGGACTTCATCACATCTCAAACACAACAATAAAGGATTGCCGTAGTTTGTTTCCTGGCAGTCTTCATGATGACAAACCTAGTTTGAAAATTATTAGATAAAAAAATTTGTGATGATATGATCAAAGTGAAAAATAGCACCCTCTTTAGATGTGCATATCTTCCAAACTAGGTAATTCTACAACTATAGAAAAATAAAATTTAATTAACTATGTCACATGCTTGATACAGCCGGCCAATACACAAAAGCTTGACCGATGTGTGTTCATTCTCTAAACACATTTACTTTTTATGGAAACTAGGTACTTCCAACTTTATATTTTACCTTAAGCAATGCTTTCATGATGCAGTTGATAAATTCTACTTGAGGATGTAGCTTTTGAAATTTTTTTTGGCAAATACTACACGAGAAGATATGACTCCTTGCACATTTGAGAACAATGTGATATCAAACAATAGAGAATCTGCAGCAACATCTGAACCAGTGCAGTTCAGAAATAAACAAAACCTCATGCTGGGAGCTAAAGGAGGGATGTAGTACTCTAGCTAAAACTGGCTATGGAATGACGTAAAAGTAATTGTGAAGTATGTCAAAGATGCAATTGGTAGTGAATGAAAGAATGGTACAAGGAGAAAATTCTGGAATGAACACTAAGGAATCACTTGATTGCTTATAAAAATCACAGCAGACACCGTGATTATTTCCAAAGAAAAGCTTTTATGTATGTAATTGAGAATTTTTAGATGTGCTAAAAGAAACCCATGGAGATAATTTTAGCACACAACTTTCTAAACATCACTCTTCTCGGCGGGAAGGTATCCTTCCACCATTTGTCATTTTAGAAAAACATAATTTAAAATAATAAAAACAAAGAGTGCACTCTCCCAAGGCAGGAGAGAATTATTTTGTCTACCATAATCTTGCCCAACATTGTTTGAATTTTCCAAATTCTTCCCTTTCTGGGAAAACAATAGACAACTTGTGCATGTGCAGACAAGTTACAAAAGGAAATTAACACAGACTTATTCTGGTTAACCAAGGTCACTGCTATCTTCTATAAAACAAAGGAAGGCAAATTGAATTAGAATGAATAGATGATTAAAATATTGAACTAAGCATTAAGATTTGAAGTGCGACTCATGCTAATTCTATTTGTCTCATGGAAGGCTAAGAAGGATCTGTACGATAAGACACTTAAAACTTCACACCCAAAACACATACAGCCTCCTACATTGAAAACACAAAAACTGCAAAATAGCTTGCTATGAAAAAAGTATTTTGCCAAAAATTATAGCATGTGAGACAAATTACAAGACATTTTTCAAGGACTTTGCATTTTAAAACATTTTCATTTACATTTGTAAATTCTTTGAATTCATAAACTAAGAGTAGCCATTGTTTTTTAAAGCACACCAAAAGAGGAAAATTTACTTAAAGCAACTGGTTTTGGAGCACTCCACAAGATCAAAGTTTGAGGTTAAATCTATTTTAGCCTTGGAATAGTGGGTAAAAATGGAGTATTTTCAATTAAACAAAAAAAAAATTTTTATTTTAAAAAAGTTGATGATGATCACATGATCAAAATCATGCTTGAATACATGTCTCCTGAATTCAAAGTTAGAATGTGTTGGACCCTTGTCTGGTTAAAGCTCATAGAAAAAAAAACATTTTAACCCTTTACCTCCCATGGGTGACCACCATAGAATTTCTCCTTACAATATCAATACAATATCAAGCAGACAAGTGATGAGAATAAAGAAAAATATCTGTTAGGAGATTCTAAGTTAATCCAATACCAAATTCTCTAGACTAACATCACAAGAACTGTATAGGAGATAGTAAGGAGAATTACTGATGAGATCTTGGGAGTTAAAGGTTTAGAAACAAAATCAAGAAACCAAAACAAAAACAAGTCTTCAGATGCAGAGAAATCAAAGATGGAAAAGTTACACAGCCCACACTGCAAAATAACTTAAATATACATCACTTCTGTGTTAATAAAATCTAAATCTTATTTTCACAAAAAGATGTATTAGAAATATCACACAAAGCACTTGTGGGTTTCAAATTGGAAGCTATGAAAATTCATCTTAAACATCCAATATGAAAACACTTGAACAATATCAAATGAATATAATCAGTAGCATTCTTATTTCTTGTTTTCAAAGTAGATACCAAACATATTCAGAACTAAAATAAAGAGGCCTTGGTTAGAGAAATCCGTGTTTAAACTAACAAGAGAAAAGCTAACACCTTTTTGTTTTCCTGTCGCCAAAGATTGAAATGTTGTTAAAGAAGTTATTAACTTGTCATGACCTTTGATATGTGCAAAGATAATCTCTAACCTTTTGTCACAATCATTTTCACAAAAATGAAAATTTCACCGCAAGAAAAACAAATACACCATTTAGACATAACCTAAACCACTGCGTATTCTACTAATACAAAGTTAGAGCTGATTTAACAGGAAATCACATATGATTTTACTTCTTTGTACAAATACTTCTATGCAAAAAAGTATCGGTTGTTGATATTTTAACTACTGAAAATAGGAAACTTTCCATACATTAATTACATTGTATGATCGTTTTTCTTCCAGTCAGGAAGCAATAACTATTGACATCAACATAACACATATACCCAGAGACGCAATCTGTAGTAAATTATTTGTGTGTAATAAGAATTGTACCCTGATGATGCACATATCTTAGAAATTAAAATTTCATTGTGAGTTATATTCTATGGTATATCTCAAAACCTCCACAGTAAAGAACAAAAATCCATGCTACACCCTGCTGAAGAACCTCTTACGCTAATGAAGATATGACAATAGTTAGTAAACTTTTGTATTAGTTAAATTTAATCCTCAAGAGCACTACATGTGTTTGGACTTAATGACTTCTAGAGGATCCTTGATATACGTGCCTCAGAACTAGACCAGATTCAATGGTTTATCTCTATCTAAACTACCTACAGAATTGTGAAATGCGAGCAACTGCTTGAAGCAAATTTGTTAGTATAGTGGAATAAAAAATAATTAACATTTTCCAGACATGGCTATATGAAAACAACACAATGAAAGTTAAAGCACTGAAAATTTTCAATATTATTTCATCAACAATTTCAAAACAAGTTGTAATTTTTTTTTTAAGTTCATCTTCAAAGGGACTGTTACCTAACAGTTTTCCTCTTCCTTACCACCAATGTTCAAAATCTGTTAGTGAGATATACTAGTTAAAGATCTGAAGCTTCATGGAAAACTTACATCTATGATTGCTTTTAGATTCTAAGTAATGAATCCAGTGCATTCACAGATTTGGCTTTCAGTTCATGATAATCTCATTGTCGGGAGACAAAAGCTGTTCTCTGTGCCCAATTTGTAATAACTTTACAACTGACAAAATGAGATTACCACTATATAGGTGTGTAAAGAACAGTAATTTGCGACACCCAATTTGCTCAAATTAAAGAGATAAAAATATGAAATGACATAACAGTTAATCCTGTAACATTCTTATCCTGTCTCACCAGTAACACTTGGTTGCAACAAATTTGCCTAAATGATTACTCACTTATATCATGTCACTCCAGTTGTTTAAAGCAAAAAACTACCTCAGTTTATGTTTATCCTGTACAGGAGGAACCCTACAATTTAGTTTCCAGAGTATGTAGCATATAGTGGCAAAATTGTAGAGATCTTGTACAGTTTACTTTGATAGCTGTACAAATCCAGGTTATTAAACTACACCCAAAGGTGATTCAATATGAGAACCATTTTCTACTAAAGTACTAAAAATCTGGAGAGATTTCAACATCTTGGAAAATTTATGACCACTTTAAATTCAAAACCATTACTCAATTTGAGGAAATTTGTCAAAAATATCAGGTTCCTCTGGAATAAAAGGTCGGCACAAAAAAGAAATATCACTCATAAATATAGCATTATTATAGTGATGATATTGCAAATGCTTTTGTAATTCATTTGTACAGTAACACATCAATAAAATCTGACAAAATTCAAGCTATATGGGAGAAGAATCAATCTAACATTTATCGATACTCTGCCAAAGAAAATTTTGAAGAAACTTGATCCGAATGTAATTACAGGTAATTTAATTAATAGAGGGTGTTAATAGCATAAAAATGTGACTAAGTAGAGAAATATTCACTTTTCTGTACAATAGATAAGTCTGGAAATTAGATTTCTACGAATTTATCTTGTGGTTTTCGTTTGAAGTAGATTACATCCATGCTCTCAACCAAAGAAAACATGACATCGATTGATAGCATGACCCGAGAGGCGACAACGCCGAAATATGAGTACCAAGATGATAGACAAACCCTTGCTGGTTCTTAAAATAAACCCTTGAGATTGTTTTAAGATTTCCCTCATGTGAGCAATTAAAACACCCAGCAAATAAACGCGTAAATTATTCCCCAACCTAACTCTATCCACTGACATTAATAGAGATGAGATATTTTATCATGTTGTTTATCCAATGAAAGTAAATAATGCAGCGACAATAATACCGTGATTCGATTGAAAAACAAGACTGATTTCTCAGCTAACGTTGAAAGAGGAGCACTCGATCTAACTATAATTCTGTGACAATCCAACAGACTGTGGTTCTAAACTAACAGACATCACGTGAAATGCATATGCAAGTCAAGAGGGGTCGATATATTTTCAAAATTGTCGAATTGCAACAATTTGAACCGCAAAACGAAATCAAATACTGACGTGCTGTTATTTTTACAGATTAAAAAATAGAGCTTACCTTAACGGCAAAATCCTTCTCCGTTTGGACGTTGCTCGAGCACAATCTGCCCTGACAAAGCCTTCTTTCTCCTATGATTTTGAAACGGTTCAGGGATTGCATCAAACAAAGGCCTTTATATATTAAGCTTGTATTTGACATATTTGGGCGCCTTTGCAGCAATAGAATCATTCCGGATAAATACACTATGTGCGAGAAATTCTATACCCGCTGCGACTGATTACAAGAAATCACGTTCCTTAAAAACGCAGCCTTCGGTTTTCCATACAATTGGGTACACAAGGATTAAGTATTTAGGTTTTTTTAAAAAAATTATCTCGGTAGGCATGCACTAAACACTAACGAACGACCCATTTTCGCATTGGATTCGAAATACATTTTCTATTTGCATAACGTATCAAAGACATAAAAAAAACATACTAGACACTTTTTCGGCGTGCATAATCACACTCCTTTGTTCGACGGCCTCCAGAAACCGTGGAATAAAATAGATTTGTGTACTCAATCGCTTCACAACTACAAGCCATCTTCGAATTAACTCGATCAAACAATCAACTTATGTCATTTTAGACGCTTTCCCGACGCCTCGGGGATGTTATGTCGATGAATATTCACAATTTTAAGACAGCTTGATTGAATTAAACCCAATTTCAACGTTCCTAACCAAGAATTATTGTTAGATTCGAGAAGAAATAAACAAATATCGAAAACTCTATTTGATATATTAACGCTTACATATGCGCATAGCACTTTCCTGTAGCACTTTCACTATGCAAAGACCACAAAGAATTCTATCGAGGTTTCCTATTATTCAAAAGACGTTAGTTAAACAAATAAATATAAAGAAACCATGTTAAAAGACGTACCTTTATCGAACTGGCCGTAATCATCCCGACCTGCGGAAAACAAGAGTAGAGTCACGTTTACAGTTGATGGGACGCTGCACACCATAACAGCTATTCGGTTCGCCGGGCAAAACTGACACGAGATTCTCGCAGAACAAGTAACGTTCGGCTAATTCAAAACATAGAGCACTTAATAGAACACTTAAATCCTTTCTGACACGGAAAGGCTTTATCGATTCGTTGTTTTGCAAAGATAGCACGATTTCAAACAAATCTGACAATTTCAACAACAGCCGAAGGTGTGCAACCCTAATACATCAGTAACTCCTTCACATAAAAAGTAGATACTAGTGAAAGACCGGCCTAATAGTCCTCACCGATTTCGGGCATATCGTCAAGAAGTAAGCCCAAACGCTACATCCGCTCTCATTCCTTAGGCGGCAATGGAAAATTAAGCCGGACTGTCTTCAGGAAGGAATAACGTCGGCATAAAAACTCCACAGGAACTTATTTTTCCTCCTCAAAACAACAAATCCTTTCGACCGCTCTCAGTGTCTATGACGGCTCCTCGATCATCGTAGATTAGAAACGGTAATTCGAACCCCTTGCACGTGCTTGGATCGATTCAGTAATGAACTCTTAAGCAAGTATGGGTGTCTCTTGCACGTTCCGAGACAAAAGTGTTGAGTTACTTGGTGAAAATGACCGAGATGCGACCACAACTTGTCACAAGATTCCAACATGCAAATTCTGAACAAAACGAGATGGACCTGGCGCGATGACGTCATGTATAATGATCTGATAATTACGAGTTCGGAAGAACCAATCAAAACACACGATGAAGTGTTCGCTGGACAACCTTTCAAATAAACATAACAGTTTTTGCGAATAAAACGAACTCAAACACCTTCTTTTATCCCATATAGTCAGTCACGGAAATCAAGATCAACGGCTGAAATTTCAAGATTAAAAATGTTTGACTTGTAACGCATGAAAAACAACCCTAGCTTGGCAAAAGAAAGTATAAAATCATTCGTGCACTCTTTTTGAACAGATCACAAAGCCTTTGGTATCTCATTGAAGGCTTGTGGGAACAATTTTATGCTCTAAGACACTGTTGAAAATGAAGCATTGCGCGGTGATGTAGCTGACATCGAAAATCTGGAAATCCTAAATACAAAATGATTATTCACTACAATATTCGTGAGTACATGTTTCTATGCAAAATATTTCCATGATGGTTAGATAGTTAGCTTATATTTACAATGCCTGGTCACTGAAGAGGCTTTAAATTGCATAATTAAGTTTTTGTCCTCATTCTTCCTAATAAGAAAGCGTTGTGCACAGCATTGTTTTTCCAGACAAAATGTCCAAAGTTAATGAATTGCGAATCAAGAGTACAGAGCTCACAAAAATACTACTGTAGACAGATAGAAATGTTTTTAGCGAAGCGAATTAATTTTCACGTTTTTTTTAATTTTGTAAACTCGCAAACAATCTAATAGAGAGTACAAAAATGTTTCGAATATCGACGAAAGGCTAAATGGGTTTTTTGATTTACGTAAGTACTACTAATCGATGTTAATTAAAACTGTAAGCAGTTCAGTGAACTAAAATGAAAGTGAATGTTAGGTCAAGGTCTACATAGTTTTATAGGAATGCGTTCGAGGACCTTCCAGAAAAGAAAACTACTCATTTCCAGCCAAGTTTCGGTGCGTGTGAAATCGATACCATAACCTTCTCAATAAGCCGAAGAATTCAAGGCTAAAAAAATTCTCGCATATTTTCGCTCCACGACTGCAAAACAAATATTTTACTATTTGAATATTCAATACCATTGACAGTCTTGTTGATCTCGACAAATCCATGTATGGCGAAAGATTGTTGATCGCGGGCGATCGTTCCGCCCAAAAACAAAAAGTTTGAAATGAGATCGCTGTACCACATGAAACGAACTCAAACAAATCTCATTTAGTTATTACGGAATACAGTACCGGTTTGTATAACATTTGCCATCATCAGACAGCTCGAGCGGAAGCTGAAACACTTATGAACGACATGACCTTGGCAGGTATTTCTCGGCCGATAACTCATACTGTTTTCAATCGATTGCTCAGATAAAATATCGTTCAGCATACTTCCGTTATTAGTTTGTTTTGTTTATCTGATATTTGTTTTTGAATTCACACGAGGAATTCTTCACGAGCCTAAGTCAATAATGATCGAAATCTCTATTTACTTGAAGTTTGCACTTCCCGGCACCACCCAAGGGCTCGACTGACCTTCTTACCTCATTGCGGGGGTGGGGTGGGGTAGGTCTCGCAATGAACAGTGTCTCAGTGACAATGTCACTTTGGTTTGGGTTAAGTGCCGAAAAGAAAGAACCAACGCTTTTTATTATGCTCAGTTATTGTACTAATGGTCTCCTTTCTTGACGAAGATTGTTTCAAATCAGGGAAATATTTAATTTCCGCTAAGGAAGTACGATTGTGTGAAATTATGACGACTAAAGGAAAAAGAAAAATCCACGCCTCAATTATTTCTTTCGCTCTGCCCCCACGCACTTAAATATACGCATTGAAAAGGAAGCATTATACCTACACTTACTTGAATTACACATCGTTAATCCTTTTCGGAAAACCATTAGAGAGAGAAGAGGGGGTGCAAACACAAAAGGATAACTTTAACCCACATTGAACAATTGATTTCAGCTGTGATTTCGGTTTGTAAATTTTAATCGTGTAATTATCAATTTTAATTAACCCCATACTTCCTTGAAATGTTTTGCTAGACGAGCCTGAAGTCATAACGAACAATCTAGAGTTTTTAATCGTTTAAACAAGGCTTTTCTGTGGTTTTCCTTAATAACAGCGTCACTCCCCGGGAACGTGCAATTTGTCTGATCTGTAAATGAATTTCCTTCCCACAAAGAAACGTATCTTTTCAATTTCTTTCAATTCAACGCATGGGCTCGGTTTCCGCGGTTGTCTGATGTCTAAACAAGAACTGAAGATCACAATTTGACTCGATGCCAGAATAAAAGAAACGTTATATTAAAATGAATTGAATTAATCCCCTAGCTTTCATGCTATCTTATGGTTTTTACTTAAACAGTTAAATATAAACTTCAGTTAAGGAGCGATGTTTTTTCAGTCATGCCACGAGCGCGGGATGAGTCGAACCCCAGACCAAATTGATCCGGAAAGCACAAAGCAATCAGCACTTGCGAAAAACAATTTTCCCTTTTCTAAAGAGATTCTTTTGAACGTTAGAAAAGCCTTCCCTCCAATCCTCTTTTATAAGAGTGATTTAAACGGGAACCGGGAGCCCATGACGGAACTACCACCAACTTAAACGGAACTACTATCTCACTTTGCGCACAGCGGCTCGAGGAAGACGTCATTTACACATAGGCGAAGATTTTTGCGTGACTTGAAGGAAAACCCTTTCAAACTGCATGTAGAGCCCGTGGACGTAAAAGTACCCCACGGCTCCACTCACGTTCCTGGCGGTCACGCAAACCATTGAAAAACAACTGAGCAAGGAAATACCTAGTTTTCAGACACTGAGTAATCAACATTGCGACATGCGAAAATGACATATGACCTATGCTTTCGCAAGGATAAAATCGGAAGTGTTGCGTGAGCGTTGGTGTATTTTCTGTATTTTTAGCTTTCAATCCGTGTTATAGTGTAAAATATCACAGCATCGTGTTCGATTTAAATCCTTTAAGAGGATTTAGAGCATTCCTCAATAGAACACGAGTATACATTGGGGGACTCCGCCTCCAGGAGATGGCATCGGAATTTTAATCTCTCGCGGTTAGGAGGAATTTAACTAAAAATCCTAATTCAAACCATCATTCATCGGGTTGATGAGTTTCAAGAGAGATAACGGTCTCTTTTGATTGCATTCTTGGTAGAAAAACTCTTAAATATTTACCATGACAAATCTTCCCAGGGGGCTTTACAAAATGCCATGAGTGTCATTTTTCTGTCGCTGATTACCCAACTACATGAGGAGGGAGGGGTAGGTAGGGGGGCAAAGCAAGAAAATCTTACATGGGATCATGGGAACGCTCCACCAGGCTTAAAATAACCTATTTTGGCTCAAAAGGCACTCCTTTATCCTTTATTGCATGAACTACCCCCGCGTAGGAGGGGAACCCCAACCTTAATCAAACTTGGGTTTAAATTCATGGCTCACCTTTAAAACCTGAGGGAAAAGAAGAGCGCAGTGAATTTATTACTTACTTTCCCTGTCACACCTGTTTAACCCCGTTCCGACCATACCACCCCTCATGTTTTCCATAAGGATCCTACCTCTAATACCACCGGTTCGATGCTCCCGCGGACGCCAGAGGCCAAGTACTTAGAAGGGGGGTAGCTCTCACGTCCCGCCGCTATCCGCGGCAGGACGTGCGTTGGTGGTCGTATCCAACGCAGGAGAGCCTAGGTCGATTACCTCTTCAAATTCAAATGAAGAAGTACTGGTGATAGTGATGGTGGAAGCTGGTGATGGTGTAGCCGACGTCGACTTTGATGACGCTTGTTCGCAGGGGCAGGGCTCAATAACGGAAGTCTCCGCTATGATGGGGTCAACGGCGAGCGATGGCTGCGGTTTACAAAACATCTTGGCATTGTCTTCATCGTAAGATTGAACCTCAACTTTTTGCACCTTTCCGGGTGAAGGCGAAATTCTCCTAGAGGAACGGGGGCTCCTTCTCAAGGCGCTCAGCCATCTTCGTGGGGTATTGTTGCCTGGATTGGTTGACTCTACCGGACCAGAGTCGCAGGGAGAAGGCGAAACCCTTGCAGAGGTACGGCGGCTCCTTCTCAAGGCGCTCAGCCATCTCCGTGGGGGACTGTTTCTGAGACTGGTTGACTCGACGATACTGGAGTTGCTGGAAGTGGACAATTGTGCGGAATCACCCGTGGGTCTTTCAGAAGGAGGCAAGGCGCTTGGAGACTGACAAGTTATTCGGTCAATGCTTCTCGACAGATGCTCGAGTGATCTGATAGCATTTCGAATGGCATTCCTTCTTGAGTAGCCTTGGAGTCTCTGAGCAACCGTGCACATAGACGAGAGTTTTCTCTCTGCTGAATCATCCACATTATCGTTCTCGTCAATCCCACTGCAAGCAACTGAATCTTCTACCGAATGACGCCGAACGGGTGCTCTATGGTGCACTGGAGTTGGTGGATCGTAAAGATGGCTCAGAGTGAGAGAATGGGACTTATCGCTGATGCTAGTGGCTCGATTCGCGTCTGTACCAGTCGAAGGAGGACCACACAAAAGATGGCTGATTGAGGACGAGTCAGATGGAATGTTGTGACGAATGCTTCCCTCTGGCAACAGGGACGCGATTTGCGGGTCAAGTGAGTCAGGTACCTCTCCAGGACTGAGTATTCTAGGCGAAAATGAGGCTAGATCACTAATAAGCCAGTCGGGTAAGTAATCAGTAAGTTTCTCTAAGGCGCTGTCGAACTCCTCATCTGAAGAACCACATACTGGATTCCGACGTAGGTCCTCCAACGACCCTCGAAGCCGCGCCAGGAATGATGAAACGCTGCCAGAGCTTGCACCGTTGTTATCTTCCACATCCTCGCGGTATTTATTCTTGCTGTCGCATTTTGAGGCGCTTAGGAATAATTCCTCTCCAGACCCTGAAGTCACGGTATGTCCCACTCTCTCTGATTTCGCCAAGGCCTCTTCCAATCGACTCTTTAAATCACTACAGGTGCGTCTCGCTCTTTGCAAGCGCTCCAAAGGCGTCAATAGTGAACGTGGACAGGAACTTGAACTTTGGGAGCCACTTTCTGAATTCGTGCTTTTCACGGACTCAGATGGGCTGCGCAGGTATTTGTCTGACTTTCGGCCTCTTTTTGAGGCACAGTTCTTGACGGAAGTCTCACTAATTGACTCGCTGTAACTACAAATGCGGGATTGACAGTTACCCATTTCAGAAATGTAAATCTATCGAAATTTCTTGCTTTAAGAAAAAGTACGTCTTTCTTGAACAGAGAAACGAGTTGATGTGTTCTTTTTCATTGTTACGTCTCCGATACGCAGTAATTAATTTGCGCGCGCGTGTGACGCAAAGAATAATTACTGTGTGTAGAGAGCCGATTTTTTGCATTTTTCTTTTTTTTTTGTTTTTTCACTGTAATTTTTTCTTTTTACACCAATTCTTTCTTAAAATATTCCAGGACGTCCAAACAATTTTCAATACATAAATTTTTAAAGTCAATTTCTTTAAAAAATACAAGTGGTCAAATACTGCTGAAAATATGCTACATGCAGTCCGAAAATTTTACCAGCTTTGATTTATATGCGAAACAAAGGAGGCTTGTCAGGCTTGCAAAGTGTACTTTTCTATTTTATTTCATTCACTATTGTTTATAGAAAAGAGAGATTTTCCTCAAATTGCCATTTCCCTCTCAACTGTGAAAAATAAAACTAATTTATTTGACCAATAGGTATTTCCTTCCATGAATTAATCTTATGCCCAGGCCTTCCTCGGCCGAGATGCATGAGCATGAGTACCTTTTCATTTGAGATGGGTTCCCTATAAATGCCGCTTGAAACAATGGAAGCAGATTTCGCCAGCCATATGTTTGTGTTTGTGAGGTAAGTTCTGACTGACGCGCAATTGATTTTTCGTTTGCGGGGCCAAACTAGGTCGAGAAAGTATAACCATAATACAAGAGATTACAAGTGAGTACAGATCTTTTCAAAGTGTAGAATCTCAGGTTTTACAGGACGTTTATTGCTTCAAGTTATCTGCGTTGATTAGTCAAGTCAATCCGGCGCTTTTTGCTGCAGTTTCTTTAGAAGTTTTTCGCAACAGTTGACCAGTCTTAGCAGGAACACAGTTCCTGAGGCTTTGCTTAGAGGCATGGTTTCTCGTGTTCTGTAAGAAGAAATGCCTTTCTCTCCCTCCCCCCACCCCCCACCCCACTTCACATATAACTGCAACAAAGTTATGGTAACAGAATCTTATAAAATGCAATTTTGGACTTTTTTTTATAATACATGAATCTAAAATCCGCCTTTACCTCTGACACTTTCCAGACTTGAAACCGATCATTACCTGCCGGTTCGCATGCAAACTTGTAACTCTGAATAATTTCAAACTCGCGGAAAATTAAGTTCAACATGCCCAATTGTCAGAGCTCACCGGTGGATTTGCTGACCGCATAGCCTTAAATCATGACACCGTAGGCATCACCTCCCTGGGTGGTAGTGGGGGAGGTAGCATGGTTCCCCGCAAAATTGTAGGTAATTGAAGTAGTAAAGACGTGCATTCCTTTATTCTGAGCAAGAATTGATTTTATGGGTACTTACGTAAAGCAGCAATTTGCTATGGCAAAGTCAAAAATTAAATATAGATCAGAAAGCTCAGATATGTGAGAAATAATAGTTTTAGCTTGAGAACGTAAGATTTCAAAATTCTTTTAAGTGTTTCATGCTCAATGCTTGAGACTTGAGCGCTCTGATATTTACTGTAGTCGACCTTGAGAAGATGATTGCAACCAACTTGGCGAACCTTTTATGCCACAAATCTATCACATTAAACTTTTTACTCCTAGCATAAAATCTAACAGATTTCCTTGCGTCAATTTTGCACCAATTAAAGCACGGTCACGCTTAACGCAAATATTGCAAGCGTTGGAAAAAGAACAATTTCAAAAAATACAAAAAAGGCCCGATTGATAGAACAACTTTCATTTTAAAATAAACTTTATCATTAAGTCGACTTGCGTTAATCTCTAGTTATTTAAAAACAAATGAAAGGCCACAATACATTAGCCTTTAATTTACTAATATTTACACGTGCGCCTAAAAACCTCAAAGCGCCATTGACTGCTGACACGCAATAACATCAATATACTTGGGTTTGAAGGTCAGGACATGAGCACGATAAAAAATGAAGAAGCGGAAATCAACTTCTTTCGAAACTTGTCGAGAGGAGCGTTTGAACGATTTACAATATGGACTTACCTCTCAGTAACATTCGCCGGAGCAAAAGTATTTCGAGAAAACACATCCAATATTCTTGTCACTGCAGTCGCAATACTCGGCTAAATTATATTTCGAATGTAAAATTTCCATGTGTTATTTCTTGCTGAAGAGTTCGTGGTTTTCCAACACTAGAGGACTTTTCTACAATCCATACTAGAAACCGGATTCGAATAACTAACAATTTTGAGTTCACTACACACTGGCAAATGACGAACATGATATATTCATAAACACCCAAAGGTTTTCATAAGACCTTTGTTGCCCCGGTGATATCCTAAGTTTATTGTTAAAACACTTAAAACGCTGAAGAACTAATTTGTAGCTCTCAAGATTCAGCTACCGAGAAATTATTTGATAATGCATGTTGGTTAAGAAAAGGTCACTAGTCTACGTCGATTTGAAAAACTTTTTCTTTTTTCTGTCGCGAAGCTTGTCATATTTATTCGTCACGGGTACTCAAACCACGCAAAAAGCGTTAAAATAACTTGTTCAAACATACATAGTTCCTCTGCAAACACGCCGTGTTGACGTCAAATGATGTCACTAAAATACGTTAGAAAGGATTTTCTAAAACTAACACGCAGTGCTGTTATGTAAGTGAAGTGAAAAGTCTCTTAAGATTCTGACAACATATTCGAATAACGCGCGCAGAGTGAATAGTTCTTAGTAACAATCACGTTAAACAGTGCAGGGAATGTTTTTTTTTTTCAGATTTAAAGTATAAGGAAAGAATCACTGCTCTTTGTTTCATTTGAATCATTTCTTTATTAACGACAGAATGTGCGCTCAACCAGTGATAGGTCGATCAATTCGAAACTTCAACATCCCCCTCGGCAACTCCCCGCGGGCATTTAAAATTTTGAAGATCAGTTCGTTCAAATTCCCGTCCCCCACCCCCGGGAAAAATTTGTGTTCAAACACCCCACTAGTATACAAGTCTTTATTGAACGATTCTTTTTGTGATCAACGAATGTTGTAGAATTTAGTAAATCGCATAATATTTTTTTGGTGCCGCTGTTTGGTTTTTCGCTGGTACGTATCATTTTTTAATGTGAAAATTGTATTCTAAGCCATTTGCTCACGAATCGGAATTTACCTCAAACTCATTGTGTATTCTCTTGGTTCAGCTTTCCTACCCCATTGAGACGAGGTTCAAATTCCCCAGCCCCGGGGCACGCACGACAGTCAAATAATAATCCTTCTTCGCAAAAAGATCAGTTTTACACTGAAAAGAAGAGTTAGACTAGAAAAGCGACACCCGCCTGAGTTTGAATCCCGACAAAGCAAACGTAATAAACCCCTTCCCCCTCCCCCCGAGATACCCAGTCGTCAGTGTTTGGCGCTCTATCCTTCAATGAAGACTTGGAATTCAGAATCTTCCCAGTCTTGCTCTCCTGCTAATTCTCTAGTTTTACTCGGAATACAGCTCTCTCTATTCTGAGAGAAGGGCTCTTTCGATCCAGAAAATATTTAAGAACGGCTTCCACACCAAGAATTAATTTATTAAGTAACTTGTTGAACGTCATAATACACAGAATTACAGGAGAAAAATCCTGAAAATCTTTCATGTTTTAAAACGGACTTGAAAGTTAAAACTACTTCTCACAACAAGAAATAACTACACATTAATATATCTCTCAGTTAGTGCGTGCATCTTTATTGGTCTATTGATCGGACCGTATTTCTCTATACAGCCTGCTAAATGCAAACCTTTGCTCTGGTCGCCAAAAAAGATTTAATAAAAATGTTTGAGTTACAGTTAGGTACCGAGTTTTTTTATCGCGCAGATTTATGTCGCAAGCGCAAATCAAAACATTACTGGCTGAATTGCCATCCACAAACAATAGAGATATTTTGCGCAGAAAATATTTTTTCTTTCTCTTGAAATCTGATCGGCACAAAAAAGGAAAAAAACAAACAAACAAAAAAAAAAACCGAAAAAAACAGAACACAACAATAAAGCCCCAGGGCACTAAAGTGTCGAAAAGTGACCTTGGCGTCTGCCGGTCTCAGTTATTAGTTTGTTTTGCTTTAAAATTCTAATAACTTTCAAAAACGATCAACTTGTGAGTTAGTGCATGAATTTTCAAAATTAGAATCATTCAGACAGTTTAAGCAATCCTCTGCGGTATGCTTTCTGCTTTACTAAGAAATCGGCCATAAAAACAAGATAACCGACTCACTAATCTAAAAAAAAAAATGAGTAATATGCAAGTTTTCACTACATCACAACTTCTTTGCTCACTGATGATCGGTTTTTTTCCTACACAACCCCGCACAAAAAATTGTCAATGAGCATTTTTAGATGTGTGAATCACCAGGCGATTCATCCATAATGCAAGGAGAAAACTGTTCACATCCTGGGCTGAGATGTAAACGGCTGAGGCCAAGCTCAACATCTTTCATCGAGTCTCTTCCACATTCGCCTTCTTCAACGATGTCTCTCGGACAAGTCATCTCTGTTTGGGTTATCAACTTCTTTCCAAACCTTTTAGGCAAACTTGCCGTCTTCTTCCCTTTAGGCAAACTTGCCGTCTTCTTCCCTTTAGGCAAACTTGCTGTCTTCTTCCCTTTAGGCAAACTTGCTGTCTTCTTCCCTTTAGGCAAACTTGCTGTCTTCTTCCCTTTAGGCAAACTTGCTGTCTTCTTCCCTTTAGGCTATGAGGAGAGAAAAAGGTACATAATGTATACAAGAAGCAAAGTGTAAAAGTACGTTATCGTGTTATAACCATAGTTGTATTGATAACACTCAGTAGACTTTGCTGAAAGGAAAAGAGGTTGAAGTAGGGTAATGTAAAAAGGAGAAGCGATAGTAAAGGGGAATAACGCGAATGACAAACGAAGGAAACTACAGCATTAACCCTTAATTGGAGAGAGATGTTTTTCGTTTTGTCACGTGCGTGGAAAAAAAAAAGGTTCCATGAGGAATCTAACTTCTGAATTTTTTTTTTAATCCATGGCTTCTGTCCATGCAAACTTCCTGTCCAGTTAAACCGCAAGTTTTTTTTTATCTCCGGTCCAATTGGAGTACACTATTCGACGCTTGAAATATTAACATGACAATTAAATAATCTAAGTAATACTCGATTTGGAAAGAAACGGACATATCACTTTTCAAGCGACAATTTAAGCTTTAGAGTTAACGATGGTTCGATTCCCAAATTTTGAACCAAATACGAATTATGCCTGGAAAATGAAAACTATGCTTAAAGTAGTTTTTGCAATGCTATATATGTGTTCATTTCCCCAAAAAAATTTAATTCATCGCCACGCAGTTTTCTGGTCGTAAAGTCTAGTAAGCAACAATTAAAGCAAAGTGAATCTCGTAAGAGCGTCTCATAAACGCAAGACATTCATACGTTTTGCACTTCTATAGAAATTGATCCCTTTCTTGAATAAAGATTTGCTCTCAAAATATTTTCTGGTCAGGTTTCCTTGCTTTCTATCCAAGTTTCCTAGTAGCTCGCAAGCATATCATCTTATGACTGGGGTGGCACTACAACCCTTCCGAAGAAACAACAAAAAAGAAACGGAAAGAGCTCGCAACTTCTTTCAACGTTTTGTTCAAAAGCTATAAAATATTTCACTTTCAAACTCTGACCTAACTATTTATTTTTAAGTTTCCATGAGGAATCTAACTTCTGAATTTTTCCTTTATTTTTCGAAGTTCCGCGTTCACGACGAAATAAAATTGTTTCCCTCTTTCACTGCCGAGCTCAAAATTTTTGGAACCCGCTATTACCACTAATTTGTCACCCTAACACACAAAACTAATTTGTCACCCTGTCAACAAAACATATTTGCAGAATTTTTTCTAGTTCAAAGTGTTTTTCCATTTTGATCTTCTTCGTCTTCTTTTTTCAGTCAATTACAAACTGCCAGACATGAACTTAGCTTGTGATACCGTCTCTCAGTTAAAGTTGGGCTGCAGGTAAATCACTAGGTGTTTTGTTACACAGCAAGTATCTCTAACACGTCATCAATATCTTTATCATTCAATCACTACACATCATACAAGAAGCGTAACTGTAAATAAATTCAAAGTCAGAGTTGACACATCACTCCGCTCCTACAACTGATTTTTTAAATTATTTATGAAAATGTTTTCAAAAATATACCGTTATAACTTCCAAACATACCTGTACATCGTACTCTCTTTCAAATGGTACTTTAGTATACTGAAAGTACGTCAAATAATACAACAATCAGTCCATGCACTGAAAGCTAAACATCATTATTGTTATAAGAATGTAAGTTGTTGCTTTACACTCTCAGTTCTATGACAAAGCTTAGAGCTGCAAATAAACACTGACACCAAATGTTTAACACACATCAGGTAAACCAATAAATGTTATTAATCAACCGGAAGGTCCGTGTTAGGAAAAACTGTGCCCAAGGGCGGTACTCAAGACAGAGCACACAGTTTTTTCCAATACAGACCGACCTAGGCTAGTGAACAGCATTTTCATTTTCTTTCTCAAAAATATACCTCAACAATGTCCAAACATTCCGGTACTTTAGTTAACTGAAAGTACGTCAAATAATACAACAATCAGTCCACGCACTGAAAGCTACACATCATTATTGTTATAAGAATGTAAGTTGTTGCTTTACACTCTCAGTCCTATGACAAAGCTTAGAGCTGCAAATAAACACTGACACCAAATGTTTAACACACATCAGATAAACCAATAAATGTTATTGATCAACCGGAAGGTCCGTATTAGGAAAAACTGTGCCGAAGGGTGGTACTCAAGACAGAGCACACAGTTTTTTCTAATGCAGACCGACCTAGGCTGGTGAATAACATTTTTATTTTTTTTTCTGAAACTTGACGAAATGCTTGCGAAAAGAACCCGAAATATGTTGACATTTCTGCCGCAGTTTGTGTTCAAGGATAGTTTTCTTTGTCTTGAAGTAGGTTTTCCTTCCGTTGCTTAACAGCCTTCGTTGTCTGAATCTATAATTTAAAGTCACTTGCAACAATATTTACGTCGTTAAGCCTCTCTCGTAAATCGATGGAAAGGTGCAAAATGCACCTGGGTCCGAATGGGAAAATTAGGACCACTGGAGCGCGCGGAATTAGCCAATCAGATTCGAGGATTTAGGGTTCCGGACTACTGAGATGCTAACTGGAGCTATCACCGTTTTTCAGCCTGCTAAAGTTAATCTCTTGGAACAAAGCACAAGAAGGAATGAACCAATTGACATGCTACACAAGAATGAATGCTTTTAAATTCATAAAGCGTTTTAAATTAAGCCAGAGGAATGAAGCGAGAAAACATTCCTATTATCACATCTGAGATGTAACGAAGAATAACAAGGAAGTTCAGCTGAGCAAGTTCTTACTAATACAGGAGTGTTTACAAAATGCACATAACGTGAAGCTCGTTTCCTGAAATATACCATTTGATGTATCTGTTTATGTAAAATAGTGTGGTCAATTGACCAATGCAGAATTTCTACTACAAAATTAAACTTCTTCTGAACAGCAACCAAACATACCCTGGCACCAGCTACGAACTTTCTATGCAGGCGCACTTCAGGCGGCTCGATGTTAATAGTCCGCTAAGAAAGTAATTAAAAAGCACTCATGAGTTCACTGAACAGCCTCACTCCATAAGCTAAAATTAATGTAGCCTTGCAATGGCAGTTTCTGAAGAGAGGGGGAGAGGATTTGAAGAGCTACTACTTAAGCTAGAAAGTAATGATTCTCAAAATAATGACAACAGAACGAGACAGAGATATTTAAAGCACAACTATTTTCCTGCAAGGGCTACAAATTATGTGAATTTAAATCAGGAAGTCTACCCCGGCTTCAGCCAACTGTATTCTAGAAGGTTTGTAGCCACACATCCTTCTCTTTTCACAAATACGCATTACCACACAATTATCTGGCCGTAGGGTCCAGCAAACAAAGATTTAGTCATCATGAATTTTTTCGAAGCATCTAAAAATCAAGAAATTCACGAGTTTTAGCCCTTCTTTAGAGAAAACTGTGGTCTTCAAATATTTTGTGACCAGGTTTGCCTTTCTTTTTATCCATGGCTCCTGTCGATGCAAACTTCCCATCCAGTTAAACCGCGACTTTTTCATTTCCGGTCTAACTGGCGTACTCTTTTAAGCGCTTAAAATATTTAAATTAAAAATCAAATAATTTAAGAAAGGATGTCAGCATCCATCGAAACAATTTGAAATATTGTGGCAAGTCGCCCAAAATTCGTTCTCTCTCCTACTTTCATATTTTGTAGCCCAATATGTTCTAATAATTGTGGTGTAGTTTTTTTGTGAAAATATATTTTAGTTTTCGAGAAATGACTTTTTTCGTTCGACCGCTCAAATATGCAAATTTTCACCGTAAATATTACATAAGGTGTGTGACCTCATGTGACGAATGTACTAGACCTACGGTATTTCTGTTAACATAATCTTTTGTTTTATCATCTAAACTTAATCCCCTGTCGTTATTGAAGCTGGCAAAGAAATATTTATTTTTTGGTGAATATTTTTGTCCGACATACTTTTCCTATGTTGAAAAGTAGCATCAAAACAAAGACAGTTTTAACAATGACCGATATGACACAATCTACTGAGCTTCAAGCTTTTAAAAGACCAAAGGATGGTTATAAAGTTACTGTAAAAAATTCCTTATGTATTTGTGTTGTTCCATCTTGAGACGAACTCAAAGTCCAGCAAAATTTACTTGATAGCGACTATGAAATATACATGGTGCGCCTACTTGTCGCTTCCGTCAATTGGAATAAATCACTACAATTTGTAAAAAAAAGTCTAACGTAACACTCTTACCTTGTTTATTTATGATTTTATAAGCTGTTTCTATTATTAATTTACGCCTGGGTATTACTTTTTGACAGGAGCTCAGGTTTTGCGTTGTGTTTTCCCCTCCCTCATTTATATCATAAGCTAGTCACGCAATAATTGATACCGACACAAGTGAATATTTACCATTTATAAAGATTTTTGTTTACGTTGAATTGAAAATATTAAAATATGTACTTTCTTCACTAATCGTTGTTTCAGCGGCAGCGAAGCAGTTAAAATCGGGTTGTTGCTTCAACGCTACTGAAATTTTTAGTATTCAGACAGGCGAGCAAAGCGTGATGCTCTGGGAATAAAAACTTTTAGGGGCCTTTTACATGATATCCGAATGAGTTTTTTACAAGAACGAGTTCATACCGGTTGCCACATAATAACCAGCGTAAAAGTCATTTCTGAGTGAGTTTATTGGGGTTTTCATTTGAGAACGAAACACTCATTCTGGACGACCTTTTCTACCTGTACAATGTAAACGCAGCACGGCTCTCATATTTGTATGAATCCTCTGTAGGAGCGAGGCAAGCATTGAAAAAGACAGAAAAGGATATAAACACTCGTTTTTGCAGGCTAATTGTTGCCACTCCCACACGGATAAGACTTCAGCACCTTTTATAATTTTATAGCGGTCGTTTTTAAAATTCCGGGCGCGCACCCCCGCCCTCTTATATAAAGGGGTCCCCAGGGGGTGCTAATACGTGCAGCACACTTGACATTTAGCAAGGACAAATTCTGATGTGATTTTGGCGAAGAGAAACATGTTTTGTCAGCGTCTAGTTGCTAGTGCGGAAGGGCCCTTTACCACCGTGTGCATAATTACGCGTCCCCTCAGACGGCGGAAAGCCAACAAAGTGTTCAGACATTAGTTAAAAAAACTCAGGCTCTGTCTGAATTTTTGGTAGCCTATTGACCAATTCCCAATCGAAACTTAACTCTGACGTCACGCGTAATTTTGCTCACGGTGGTAAGTAGCCTACTTACCAAAGCCAGATTGTACGAATTTTCCAGACATCTTGAGTACTATCTGTGATACACGCTTGCCAATTCAGCTTTTGGAAACGACTTAACCCTACCTTTACCATGGCCGGACAGTTCTTTTGGCACCCTACATCTTATATTGGAACCACGATTCCACCCAACACCGAGATTTGATCTGTGAGTGGGGCAATTTGTAAAATCATCGATATCTTTTGGCGTCTCGAAGATGCCGGCACGTGGCAAAACAAGATCAACTTCATTTCCTGGATCTGAAAACTTGCAACTCCGCAAGTGACTTGAAATGTCTTTTTAACAATCACGCAAGGGAACGACTTGGTCTTCTCGATAACTAAACCCACAAGTTCCACCAGCGAACGATTTAACTAATTAGCAATCTCCATGTTAGCATGTAAGATGAGACGCTTATAAAACAGATCAGTTAGCTAAATCAGTATGTAGCTTGTCAATCAAATTGACTACTGTAACCATACTTTGACTTCAGCCGGCAAAGGAATCATTGATGGATCTGGACATTTTAGTTTTCTGAATGCAGTAATTCCTGAAAGGTTTTTCTAGATGTCATGCAAAGAGGAAAAAAAACCCATCTCTTGGTATTTCGGAGGTTGACTCATCTTTGAATTTCTGTGTCACGCTTGTCACGCAACTGATATAATGAGTTAGAGAAGATATATAAACTGGAACTCAAATCTGGCTAGAATGTGGTGGAGCATAATTAACGTGATCATCAAAACAGCTGAGAAAATCATAAAAAAACAAGGTAAGAGTGTTATGTTAGATTTTTTTGCAAATTGTAGTGATTTATGCCAGTTAACGGTGGCGACAAGTAGGTGCACCATGTATATTTCATAGTTGCTATCAAGTAAATTTTGCCGGACTTTGAGTTCGTCTCAAGATAGAACAACACAAATACACAAGGAAATTTTTACAGTAACATAATAACCATCCTTTTGTCTTATAAAAGCTTGAAGCTCAGTAGATTGTGTCATATCGGTCATTGTTAAAACTGTCTCTGTTTGATGCTACTTTTCGACATAGGAAAAGTATGTCGGACAAAAATATTCACCAAAAAATAAATATTTCTTTTCCAGCTTCAATAACGACAGGGGATTAAGTTTAGATGATAAAACAAAGGATTATGTTAACAAAAAGTACCGTAGGTCTAGTACATTCGTTACATGAGGTCACACAACTCATGTAATATTCACGGTGAAAATTTGCATATTTGAGCGGTCGAACGAAAAAAGTCATTTCTCGAAAACTAAAATATATTTTCACAAAAAAACTACACCACAATTATTAGAACATATTGGGCTACAAAATATGAAAGTAGGAGGGAAAACAAATTTGGGTGACTTGCCGCTGTTTGTTTGATGCATGCTGACATAAGCTCTTAAGTGATACTCGATTTGAAAAAAAATGGACAAGTTACTTTTCAGGCGACAAATTAGCTTTAGAGTTAAGGATAGTTTGATTCCCAAATTTGAAACACGAAACAAATTAAAGCTGAAGAATGAAAACTGAACTTAGAGGAGGTTTACCATGCTAAATATGTGTTCATTTCCTAAAGCTATTGTTAAAAAGAGACATTTGTTACGAAATCCTTCACCTTTTAAAAAAAACTGGATAGAAAAACACAATGACAAATGGAGAGAACAGTAATATATACACAGCATTTTCTCTTCTTTAATGACCACCCTAAGGATAAATAATTGAACCTGCTTTAAAGACGAAATTTAAACTCTTACTCTCAGACTCTGACTTTACTCTTTCTAACATATACAATTAATCCTTCTAACGTACCCATAATGTTTTGTTGAATTCAGCTCCGTTTTCTTTAAGCAACCTTACAATATCAGTGTGACAATTTCTTACAGCCCCAAAGAGTGGAGTGTCCTTCAAAATATAGAAAAGAAAAACAATGAGAAAGTATAGTAATATATAAACTGCATTTTCTCTTCTTTATTGACCACCCTAAGGATATATGGTTGAATCTGCTTTTAAGACGACTACATTCTGATACAAATTTAAATGAAATTTTAACTCTTACTCTCAGACTCTGACTTTACTCTTTATAACATATACAATTTATCCTTCTAACGTACCAATCCTCCTTTGTTGACATCAGCTCCATTCTCTATGAGCAACCTTACAATATCAGTGTGACCATTTCTTGCAGCCTCAGAGAGCGGAGTGCCCTCACAAAACTGGAAAAGAAAAACAATGACAAAGTAGTGTAATATATAAACCGCATTTTCTCTTCTTTAATGACCACCCTAAGGATATATGGTTGAATCTGCTTTTAAGACGACTACATTCTGATACAAATTTAAATGAAATTTAAACTCGTACTCTCAGACTCTCACTTTACTGTTATAACATATACAATTTATCCTTCTAAATTATCCTTCTTCTCTTCCGTACCTGTCCTGCTTTGTTGACTCTGACTTTACTTTTCATAACATATACAACTTATCCCCTTAACGTACCCATCCTTTGTTGATGACTTTACTCTTTATAACATATACAATTTATCCTTCTAACGTACCGATCCTCTTCTGTCAGTGTGACCATTTCTTGCAGCCTCACACAGTGGAGTGTTCTTTAAAATATAGAAAAGAGAAACAATGAAAAAGTATAGTAATAAATAAACCGCATTTTCTCTACTTTAATGACCACCCTAAGGATATATGATTGAATCTGCTTTTAAGACGACTTCTAACGTACCCATCCTTTGCTGACATCAACTCTGTTCTCTATGAGCAACTTTACAATATCAGCGTGACCATTTCTTGCAGCCTCAGAAAGCGGAGTGCCCTCACAAAACTAGAAAAGAAAAACAATGAGAAAGTATAGTAATATATAAACTGCATTTTCTCTTCTTTAATGACCACCCTAAGGATATATGGTTGAATCTGCTATTAAGACGACCACATTCATATACAAATTTAAATGAAATTTAGACTCTTACTCTTAGACTCTCACTTTACTGTTATAACATATTCAATTTATCCTTCTAAATTATCCTTCTTCTCTTCCGTACCTGTCCTGCTTTGTTGACATCAGCTCCGTTCTCTATGAGCAACCTTACAATATCACTGTGGCCATTTCTTGCAGCCTCACACAGTGGAGTGTTCTTTAAAATATAGAAAAGAGAAACAAAGAAAAAGTATAGTAATATATAAACCGCATTTTCTCTTCTTTAATGACCACCCTAAGGATATATGGTTGAATCTGCTTTTACGACGGCTTCTAACGTACCCATCCTTTGTTGACATCAACTCCGTTCTCTATGAGCAACTTTACAATATCAGTGTGACCATTTCTTGCAGCCTTAGAGAGCGGAGTGCCCTCACGAAACTAGGAAAGAAAAACAATGAGAAAGTATAGTAAGATATAAACCGCATTTTCTCTTCTTTAATGACCACCCTAAGGATATATGGTTGAATCTGCTATTCAGACGACCACATTGATATACAAATTTAACTTAAATGTAAACTCTTACTCTCAGACTCTGACTTTACTCTTTATAACATATACAATTTATCCTTTTAACGTACCTGTCCCACTTTGTTGACATCAGCTCCGTTCTCTATAAGCAACCTTACAATATCAGTGTGACCATTTCTTGCAGCCTCAAGCATTGGAGTGCTCTTCAAAACATTGAAAAGGAAAACAATGAGAGAGTAAAGTTATATATAAACTGCATTTTCTCTTCTTTAATGACCACCCTAAGGATATATGCTTGAATCTGCATTTAAGACAACTACATTCAGATACAAATTTAAATGAAATTTAAACTCTTACTCTCAGACTCTGACTTTACTCTTTATAACATATACAATTTATCCTTCTAACGTACCCGTTCTCCTTCGTTCACATCAGCTCCATTCTCTATGAGCAACTTTACAATATCAGTGTCACCATTTGTTGCAGCCTCAGAGAGCGGAGTGCCCTCACAAAACTAGAAAAGAAAAACAATGAGAAAGTATAGCAATATATAAACCGCATTTTCTCTTCTTTAATAACACCCTAAGGATATATGGTTGAATCTGCTTTTAAGACGACTATATTCTGATACAAATTTAAATGATATTTAAACTCGTGCTCTCAGACTCTGATTTTACTTTTCATAACATATACAACTCATCCCTTTAACGTACCCATCCTTTGTTGATGACTTTACTCTTTATAACATATACAATTTCTCCTTCTAACGTACCAATCCTCTTTTGTTGACCTCAGCTCCGTTCTCTATGAGCAACCTTACAATATCACTGTGACCATTTCTTGCAGCCTCACACAGTGGATTGTTCTTTAAAATATAGAAAAGAGAAACAATGAGAAAGTATAGTAATATATAAACCGTATTTTCATTTCTTTAAAGACCACCCTAAGGATATATGGTTGAATCTGCTTTTAAGATGACTTCTACCGTACCCATCCTTTGCTGACATCAACTTTGTTCTCTATGAGCAATTTTACGATATCAGTGTGACCATTTCTTGCAGCCTCAGAGAGCGCAGTGCCCTGACGAAACTAGAAAAGAAAAACAATGAGAAAGTATAGTAATATATAAACCGCATTTTCTCTTTTTTATTGATCACCCTAAGGATATATGGTTGAATCTGCTATTCAGACGAACACATTGATATACAAATTTAAATAAAATTTAAACTCTTACTCTCAGACTCTGACTTTACTCTTTATAACATATACAATTTATCCTTCTAACGTACCGATCCTTTGCTGACATCAGCTCCGTTCTCTATGAGCAACCTTACAATATCAGTGTGACCATTTCTTGCAGCCTCGGTGAGTGGAGTGTTCTTTAAAACATTGAAAAGAAAAACAATGAGAGAGTAAAGTAATATATAAGCTGCATTTTCTCTTCTTTAATGACCACCCTAAGGATATATGGTTGAATCTGCTTGTAAGACGACCACATTCTGAAACAAATTTAAATGAAATTTAAAGTCTTACTCTCAGACTCTGACTTTACTCTTTATAACATATACAATTTATCCTTCTAACGTACCAATCCTCCTTTGTTGACATCAGCTCCGTTTTCTATGAGCAGCATTACAATATCAGTGTGACCATTTCTTGCAGCCTCAGAGAGTGGAGTGTTCTTCAAAATATAGAAAAGAAAAACAATGAGAAAGTATAATAATACATAAACCGCATTTTCTCTTCTTTAATGACCACCCTAAGGATAAATGATTGAACCTGCTTTAAAAACGAAATTTAAACTCTTACTTTCAGACTCTGACTTCACTCGTTATAGCATATACAATTTATCCTTCTAACGTACCCGTTCTCCTTCGTTCACATCAGCTCCGTTCTCTATGAGCAACTTTACAATATCAGTGTTACCGTTTGTTGCAGCCTCAGAGAGCGGAGTGCCCTCACGAAACTAGAAAAGAAAAACAATGAGAAAGTATAGTAATATATAAACCGCATTTCCTCTTCTTTAATGACCACCCTAAGGATATATGCTTGAATCTGCTTTTAAAACGACTATATTCTGATACAAATTTAAATGAAATTTAAACTCGTACTCTGACACTCTGACTTACCCATCCTTTGTTGATGACTTTACTCTTTATAACATATACAATTTCTCCTTCTAACGTACCAATCCTCTTTTGTTGACCTCAGCTCCGTTCTCTATGAGCAACCTTACAATATCACTGTGACCATTTCTTGCAGCCTCAAAGAGTGGAGTGTCCTTCAAAATATAGAAAAGAGAAACAATGAGAAAGTATAGTAATATATAAACCACATTTTCTCTTCTTTAATGAGCACCCTAAGGATATATTGTTGAATCTGCTTGTAAGACGACTACATTCTGATACAACTTTAAATGAAATTTAAACTCTTACTCTCAGACTCTGACCTTACTCTTTATAACATATACAATTTATCGTTCTAACGTACCCATCCTTTGCTGACATCAGCTCCGTTCTCTATGAGCAACCTTACAATATCAGTGTGACCATTTCTTGCAGCCTCAGAGAGTGGAGTGTCCTTCAAAATATAGAAAAGAAAAACCAATGAGAAAGTATAGTAATAAGTAAACCGCATTTTCTCTTCTTTAATGACCAACCTAAGGTTATATGCTTGAGTCTGCTTTTAAGACAACTACATTCTGATACAAATTTAAATGAAATGTAAACTCTTACTCTCAGACTCTGACTTTACTCTTTATAACATATACAATTTATCCTGTAACGTACCTGTTCTCCTTTGTTGACATCACCTCCGTTCTCTATGAGCAACCTAACAATATCAGTGTGACCATTTCTTGCAGCCCCAGTGAGTGGAGTGTTCTTCAAAATATAGAAAAGAAAAACAATGAGAGAGTATAGTTAACAAATAGAGAAGCCTTGACTGTGCTCTGTTCTATTATAAAGCACTTAGGAAGCGGCTTGAGCACGAAAGAAGTGTAGGGAGAAACACTCCACTACGTCTCGTGTTTCTCCCCACTTCTTGAGTGCTCTAGCCGCTTCCTAAGTGCTTTATAATAGAACAGAGCACAGTCAAGGCTTCTCTATTTGTTTTATAATAAAGAATCCATTAAATTCTCCAAGCATAACTTTCAATTTTCAAAACAAACTTTATTTCCAAAGCGAACAACAGTGTCGTCAGCATGCTCTATACTCTCATAAAGCACACTACAATAAGCCAATCAGAATCTCTGTTAGAATGGTTCAAATAATCTGATTGGCTGTACAAGACTAAAGCTGTCAAAAGTGTCAAACCATCAAAGTTCACATTCTGCGATAGTTTACAAACTGAAATAGTTCGGCAGGTCGAATTTAACACTTTTGCCTGAAGTTTTTAAGTCTCTAATACAGAATCTTGAAGTGAAATGTGCAGTGAAATTCAGCCGAATAATGGCTCATAAAAACACGCGAGTTTTTTCACATGACAAGGTAGAAAACAAACTGTTCAAGGCGAGTGTTTTTGAATGAACGACAGACGAATTCACCGGAACATGAAGATCGCTCGGGCTGACAGCGCCGAAAAATTCGGCTGCAGTGACTGATGTGACTTTCCACTCAATGCATCGGAAAGGATATCAGAGCAAGCTCTTATTTTTTCACTCGAAGGGCGGCCGATGTAGTTTCTGAGGCTTGCTTTACCTTGATGACCAGAGATCGCCATGATGAGCGAGCCGCGATGGACTTCAGCATGATCATATTCGCTCAGACACTGTCATGATTAGTATGAATTTTAACAGTTATGCCAGATTGGTTATATTTTTCATCATTTCTGTTTTGTTCTGTTTTGTTTTTGAACACTGAACTTTTTTATTACCGTACGTAAGCTTGCAATCTAACTGAGCGTGAAAATCTTTAAAACTCGGAATGTCTATTTTTCCTTTGAGGATTTTCGTATCTGCTCACGTTTTAATAACGTAAATCACGGTGCCTGGTATGTTTACAAACGTTTGTTTGGTTCTTCTGTTGCTACTTGCCGGCTCGCTTGTTCCGAAATTTCACTTTCCATTATCGGAAAAAAGCTAAAAAGAAGTCCCGGAAAAGGTCGAACATAGTACAATTTGGCAGATGGCGTGACAGCTTTAGCTCAGCTCTATGCTCTATACTCTCATAGAGCACGCTCTTTCAGCCAATGACAGCGCGCGTTATATCCGAAATTTATTATAATAATATATAAACCGCATTTTCTCTTCTTTAATGACCACCCTTAGGAGATATGCTTGAATCTGCTTTTAAGACGACCACATTCTGATACAAATTTAAATGAAATTTAAACTCTTACTTTCAGACTCTGACTTTACTCTTTATAACATATACAATTTATCCTTCTAACGTACCCATCCTTTGTTGACATCAACTCCGTTCTCTATGAGCAACTTTACAATATCAGTGTGACCATTTCTTGCAGCCTCAGAGAGTGGAGTGCCCTCACGAAACTACAAAAGAAAAACAATGAGAAAGTATAGTAATATATAAACCGCATTTTCTCCTCTTTAATGACCACCCTAAGGATATATGGTTGAATCTGCTATTAAGACCACCACATTCCTATACAAATTTAAATGAAATTTAAACTCTTACTCTCAGACTCTGACTTTACTCTTTATAACATATACAATTTCTCCTTCTAACGTACCTGTCCTTCTTTGTTGACATCAACTCCATTCTCTATGAGCAACTTAACAATATCAGTGTGACCATTTCTTGCAGCCTCAGAGAGTGGAGTGCCCTCACGAAACTAGAAAAGAAAAACAATGAGAAAGTATAGTAATATATAAACCGCATTTTCTCTTCTTTAATGACCACCCTAAGGATATATGGTTGAATTTGCTTTTAAGACGACTACATTCTGATACAAATTTAAGAGCAACCTTACAATATCAGTGTGACCATTTCTTGCAGCCTCAGTGAGTGGAGTGTTCTTCAAAATATAGAAAAGAAAAACAATAAGAAAGTATAGTAATATATAAACCGCATTTCCTCTTCTTTAATGACCACCCTAAGGACATATGCTTGAATCTGCTTTTAAGACGACTACATTCTGATACACATTTAAATGAAATTTAAACTCTTACCCTCAGACTCTGACTTTACTCTTTATAACATATACAATTCATTCCTCTAACGTACCAGTCCTTTGTTGACATCAGCTCCGTTCTCTATGAGCAACCTTACAATATCAGTGTGACCATTTCTTGCAGCCTCAGTGAGTGGAGTGTTCTTCAAAATATAAAAAAAAGAAAAACAATGAGAAAGTATAGTAATATATAAACCGCATTTTGTTTTCTTTAATGACCACCCGAAGGATATATGGTTGAATCTGTTTTAAAGACGACTACATTCTGATACAAATTTAAATGAAATCTAAACTCTTACTCTCAGACTCTGACTTTACTCTTTATAACATATACAATTTATCCTTCTAACATACCTGTCCTTCTCTGTTTACATCAGCTCCGTTCTCTATGAGCAACCTTACAATATCAGTGTGACCATTTCTTGCAGCCTCAGAGAGTGGAGTGTTCTTCAAAATATAGAAAAGAGAAACAATGAGAAAGTATAGTAATATATAAACCGCATTTTGTTTTCTTTAATGATCACCCTAAGGATATATGCTTGAATCTGCTTCAAAGACGACTACATTCTGATACAACTTTAAATGAAATTTAAACTCTTACTCTCAGACTCTGACTTTACTCTTTATAACATATACAATTTCTCCTTCTAACATACCTGTCCTTCTTTGTTGACATCAACTCTGTTCTCTATGAGCAACCTTACAATATCAGTGTGACCATTTCTTGCAGCCTCAGAGAGCGGAGTGCCCTTACAAAACTAGAAAAGAGAAACAATTAGAAAGTATAGTAATATATAAACCGCGTTTCCTCTTCTTTAAAAACCACCCTAAGGATATATAGTTGAATCTGCTTTTAAGACGACTACATTCTGATACTAATTTAAATGAAAATTAAACTCGTACTCTCAAACTTTGACTTTACTCTTCATAAGATGTACAACTTATCCCTTTAACGTACCGATCCTCTTTTGTTGACATCGGCTCTGTTCTCGATGAGCAACTTTACAATATCACTGTGACCATTTCTTGCAGCCTCAGAGAGCGGAGTGCCCTCCCGAAACTAGAAAAGAAAAAACAATGAGAAAGTATAGTAATATATAAACCGCATTTTCTCTTCTTTAATGACCACCCTTAGGATATATGGTTGAATCTGCTAGTAAGACCACCACATTCATATACAAATTTAAATGAAATTTAAACTCTTACTCTCAGACTCTGACTTTACTCTTCATAACATATACAATTTCTCCTTCTAACGTACCTGTCCTCCTTTGTTGACATCAACTCCGTTCTCTATGAGGAACTTTACAATATCACTGTGACCATTTCTTGCAGCCTCAGAGAGCGGAGTGCCCTCACGAAACTAGAAAAGATAAACAATGAGAAAGTATAGTAATATATAAAAACGCACTTTCTCTTCTTTAATGACCACCCTAAGGATATATGGTTGAATTTGCTTTTAAGAAGACTACATTCTGATACAAATTTAAGAGCTAATGTCAACATGCATCAGACAAACAGCGGCAAGTCGCCCAAATTCGTTTTCTCTCCTATTTTCATATTTTGTAGCCCAATATGTCCTAATAACTGTGGTGTAGTTATTTTGTGAAAATATATTTTAGTTTTTGAGAAATAATTTTCTTTCGTTCGACCGCTCAAATATACAAATTTTCACCCTGAATCACACGAGTTGTGTGACCTCATGTAACATATTTACTTGGCCGGTATTTCTGTCTGCATAATCCTTTGTTTTATCATCTAAACTTAATCCCCGGTCATTATTGAAGCTGGCAAAGAAATATTTCTTTTTTGATGAATATTTCTGTCCGACATACAATTTCTATGTCGAAAAGTAGCATCGAAACAAAGACAGTTTTAACAATGACCGATATGACAGAATGTACTGAGCTTCTAGCTTTTAAAAGACAAAAGGATTGTTGTAAAGTTGCTGTAAAAGTTTCCTTGTGTATTTGTGTTGTTCTATCGTGAGACGAACTCAAAGTCCGGCAAAATATACTAGCGACTATGAAATATACATGGTGTGCCTACTTGTCGCCACCGTTTACTGGCATAAATCACTACAATTTGTTGAGAAATCTAACGTGACACTCTTACCTTGTTTATTTATGATTTTATTAGCTGTTTCGATGATCAAGTTATGCTCTACCACATTTTAGCCAGATTTAATTTGCACTTCATAAATCTTCTCCACATTATTATATTAGTTGCGTTAGAAGCGTGACACATAAATTCAAAGATGAATCAACCTCCAAATTACCGAGTGATAGGTTTTTCTTTTCCCTCTTTGCATATCTATAAAAACCTTCCAAGAATTACTGTATTCAGAAAACTAAAATGTCCAGATACATCAATAGTCGTGGTTACACTGGCCCTTTTACCCATGATAAATAGCGTTTGCCCACGGGCAAGGACGTTTTTGTGTGTAACCGCTTTCCCCTGACCGAAACTGCTCTAAGGTTATTTCCATAGATACATCAAAAAGAACAAAAGAACTTCCCATGACAGTTCCTGAACTGAAAAGGTCGGTTTATCTGCTCCCTGAGGTGGCTTGACCAATCATAAAGCAGAATGTAGCTAATACAGGAAATCGCCTGCAGTGTTTTGAGGTGACCTCCGATGCGCTTGGCTAATTTCGCGCCTTCTTCGGTGTCTTCTCGCAAAAAACTGCTGGACTGTTATATTTATAGAGGACTGTCGTATAAAAGGAGAATCGCTGTAGTTTAGCTTAATAGATCTCGATTCGTAACATCCATGTTGCTCTGTACTTTTCCTGCCAATTTGTCAGGTCAGTGAACTCATATCTAATTATATTTGACCCTGAGGGGAGTCTTTTACTGTGTAACCGCATCCCCAAGGGTAACATGAAACCTGAGCTTAACCAAACCCAAGCCATTTACCCTCCGTAAGGCCCCAAACCCAAGGTGTGTGTAACCACGGCTAACGATTTGTTTGCCGGCGGAAGTCAAAGAATGTTTATAAAAGTCAATTCGATTGACAAGCTACATACTGATTCAGCTAATTGATCTGTTGTATAAGCGTCTCATCTTACATGCTAACAAGGAGATTTGCTGTTCATTTAAATCGTTCTCTGATGGGACTTTTGGGTATAGTTATCGAGAAGACCGACGTTGCATATCTCAGGTCGTTCCCTTGCGTGGTTGTAAAAAAGACATTTCAAGTTACTTGCGGAGATCCAGAAACTGAAGTTGATCTTATTTTGTCGCGAGCCGGCATCTTCGAGACGCCAAAAGATATCGATGATTTTACAATTTGCCCCACTCATAGATCAAATCTCGGCACCGGTGTTGGGTGGATTCGTGATTCCATTAGTAGATGTAGAGTGCCTAAAGAAGTGTACGGCCATGGTAAAGGTAGGGTTAGATCAATTCCAATAGCCTACTGGGGAATTGGCAAGCGTGTACCACAGATAGTACGCAAGACGCCTGGAAAATTCATATAACCTGGCTATTTACCACCTTGTGCAAAATTACGCGTCCCGTCAAAAAAAAATAAAAAACTCTTCATAAAGGGTAAATATTCATTTGCGTTGGTATCAATTATTGCGCAACTAGCTTCTGATAGAAATGGATAGGGGAAAACACAACGTAAAACCTGGGCTCACGGCAAAAACTAATACCCAAGTGTAATATAATAACCGAAACAGCTTATTGGTCTTATAAAATCGTAAATAAACAAGGTAAGACTGTTATGTTAGATTTTTTTACAAATTGTAGTGATTTATGCCTCGATATGCCAATATACGGTGGCGACAAGTAGTCACACCATGTATATTTCATAGTCGCTATCAAGTAAATTTTGCCGGACTTTGAGTTCGTCTCACGATAGAACAACACAAATACACAAGGAAATTTTTATAGTAACTTTACAACCATCCTTTTGTCTTTTAAAAGCTAGAAGCTCAGTACATTCTGTCATATCGGTCATTGTTAAAACTGTCTTTGTTTTGATGCTTCTTTTCGACATAAAAAAAGTATTTCGGATAAAAATATTCACCAAAAAATAAATATTTCTTTGCCAGCTACAGCAATGACAGGGGATTAAGTTTAGATGATAAACCGAAGGTTATGCCGACAGAAATACCGGAGATCAAGAAAATTCGTTACACGAGGTCACATAACTCGGGTAATATTCAGGGTGAAATTTGCATACTTGAGCGGTCGAACGGGAAATATCATTTCTCGAAAACTAAAATATGTTTTTACAAAAAACTACACCACAAATATCAGGACATATTGGGCTACAAAACATGAAAGTAAGAGAGAAAACGAATTTTGGGCGACTTGCCACAATATTTCAAATTTTTGTTCAATGCATGCTGACATCCTCTCTTAAATAAAATTTAAACTCGCACCCTCAGACTCTGACTTTACTTTTCTGCTTTAAAGACGACTACATTCCGCTAGAAATTTAAATGAAATTTAAACTCTTAGTCTCAGACTCTGACTTTACTCTTTATAACACATATAAAGTTTATCCTTCTAACGTACCCATCCTTTGTTGACATCAGCTCCGTTCTCTATGAGCAACCTTACAATATCAGTGTGACCATTTTTTGCAGCCCCAGAGAGTGGAATTCCCTTCAAAACATAAAAAAGAGAAACAATGAGAAAGTATAGTAATATATAAACAGCATTTCCTCTTCTTTAATGGCCACCCTAAGGATATATGGTTGAATCTGCTTTAAACACGACTACATTCTGATACAATTTTAAATGAAATTTAAACCCGTACTCTCAGACTCTGACTTTACTCTTTATAACATATACAACTTATCCCTTTAACGTACCCATCCGTTGTTTACTCTTTATAACATATACAATTTACCCTGAGGATATATGGTTGAATCTGCTTTTAAGACGACTACATTCTGATACAAATTTAAATGAAATTTAAACTCTTACGCTCAGACTCTGACTTTACTCTTTATAACATATACAATTTCTCCTTCTAACGTACCCATCCTCCTTTGTTGACATCAGCTCCATTCTCTATGAGCAACCTTACAATATCAGTGGGACCATTTCTTGCAGCCTCACACAGTGGAGTGTCCTTAAAATATAGAAAAGAAAAACAATAAGAAAGTATAGTAATATATAAACCGCATTTTCTCTTGTTTAATGACCACCTCAAGGATATATGGTTGAATCTGCTTTTAAGACGACTACATTCTGATACAAATTTAGATGAAATTTCAACTCTTACTCTCAGACTCTGACTTTACTCTTTATAACATATACAATTTCTCCTTCTAACGTACCCGTCCTTCTTTGTTGACATCAGCTCCGTTCTCTATGAGCAACCTTACAATATCAGTGTGACCATTTTCTGCAGCTTCACACAGTGGAGTGTCCTTCAAAATAAAGAAAATAAAAACAATGAGAAAGTATAGTAATATATAAACCGCATTTTCTCTTGTTTAATGACCACCTTAAGGAGATATGGCTGAATCTGCTTTTAAGACGACTTCATTCTGATACAAATTTAAATGAAATTTAAACTCTTACTCTCAGACTCTGGCTTTACTCTTTATAACATATACAATTTCTCCTTCTAACGTACCCGTTCTCCTTCGTTCACATCAGCTCCGTTCTCTATGAGCAACCTTACAATATCAGTGTGACCATTTCTTGCAGCCTCAGAGAGCGGAGTGTTCTTCAAAACATAGAAAGAAAAACAATGAGAAAGTATAGTAATATATAAACTGCATTTTCTCTTCTTTGATGACCACCTTAAGAATATATGGTTGAATCTGTTTTTAAGACGACTACATTCTGATACAAATTTAAATGACATTTAAACTCTTACTCTCAGACCCTGACTTTACTCTTTATAGCATGTACAATTCATTCTTCTAACGTACCCATCCTCCTTTGTTGAAATCAGCTCCGTTCTCTATGAACAACCTTACAATATCAGTCTGACCATTTCTTGCAGCCGTAAAAAGTGAAGTGTCCTTCAAAATATAGAAAAGAAAAACAATGAGAAGAACTGTATTAAATACCGGTGCAGCGCTCTACCAACTCTACGCTGCATCGGTATCGCAGAGGTCATGGGTTCAAACCCCGTACTTACCTGAATTTTTTTCAGGTCCTATTTTCAACTACTAGTTCAGTAGTGTTCTTAGCTGCGAGGATCTCTTAAATTCGTTCTGTAATAAATGGTTGAGTCTGCTTTTCGGACGACTATACTCTTCGAATGTGTTTTAAGCATAAGGTCCGAAGTAGTATTACCTTGTACAACAGTTAATCATATGATAATAATTCAATTTATTGGTTAGAAGGGGCACTAAGAATGGAACAACACAATGACTTCACGACATGGCGTCGGTCCCTTCCTGCTTAACCAAGAGTTTGAAACCTTTTAAGACAGTTTTCAGTTCCGGTCCGTTCGAGAGACGTTGTTAGAGGTTTTAAATTTAAAGGAAAACTATATAACTTGTATAATACTCGTTTCGGGAATAATACGCATCTAACTTTTCGAGCGACAAAATTAGTTTTGGAATCAACGATAGTTTGATTATTAAACGTGATAAGAATAATGGCTGGAAAATGAAACCTGAACTGGGAGCAATTTTCAACGGTAAATATCATTCGAAATATAAGTGTTCTCTTCCTGAAAGTATTGTTGAATAGAAGAATTTGTTAAAAAAACCTTCTCTTTCAACAAATTTCTTAACACATCACCACGCAATTATTTGGCTGTCAGGTTCAGTAAACAGCGATTTAATCGTGGTAAATTTGTTGCACGCATCTAAATATCAAGGAATTCACAAGTTGTGCACTTCTCAACAAATTTAGCCCTTCTCTGAATAAAGCTATGGTCTCCAAATATTTTCTGACCAGGTTTGCCTTTCTTTTTATCCATCTGGTCCAATTAGGCCGCGAGTTCTTTATTTCCCGTCCAATTGAAGTACACTATTTGGCGCTTAAAATATTTACATAAAAACTAAATAATCAAAGTAATACTCGATTCGGATAAAAACAAACATATTACTTTTAAGCGATAAAATTATTTTTAGAGTTGACGATACTTCCATTCCCAAATTATAAAGGTGATAGTAATTAGAGCTGAAAAATAAAAACTGAACTTAAATTAGTTTTTGCAATGCTAAATCTAAGTGTTCATTCACAGTTCAGATTTTTTTTTAACTCGTGAGACGGACTTCGGCAAAAAGTTGGGACTGATTGCAGTCAGACAAAAACTAAAATTGTGTTTTCCCCATGAGAAAATAAACCTCAGGCCTTGCGGTATTATGGTCAACTGACTCTCTACCACTCTAATACAGAGAACGCATTGGTGAACTTATCCTGTATCTACTAAGGTCATATGTGTGTCATTAAAAACTGCTTAGATCAGCAACGTAGTGTGTGTGTAAATAGATTGAGAAAGATGTTACGTTTTGGGCTCGACTTTTCTTTTATTCAACAATTAAGATTAAAACTTGCAATGTGAATGTGGCTGCCATTTTGATGAACTTTGTTGCCATTCGTGTTCAGGCACTGTTTTCAAGATTGCCATCTTGCATGAAAAACATCAACTAAAATGTTTCAAATAAATTAGTACCAAGGATTTATGACCATACAAGTTATATTAACCAAAGGTAAAAAATCTCGAAAGAAAGGAAACATGTTTCCACTTAGAAGCTAATAGTACAATAATGAAAGAAGACTGAACTCTAGCGAATATTAAAGTTCACAGTTTGAAATCCTTCATAACTGATTAAAAAATCACGTGTGTACAGTCGTTAGCTGCTTTATACATGCAATCACCTCACCTTGTGAAACACTGTGTAAACTTCCGCAAATGAACAATCAAGATTCTACCCTCAAGGATTTACTTCCAAATTCTGGGAAAAAACTATACATAACAAACACACCTGGCTCTCTTCATTCTCCACTTCAGGACGACGACTCTGAACAGAGGTATCATCTGGTAATGATAGGTGAATATGCGAGTTCCCTTGTTCAGAAAAGAGCCTATGTCCTTGGCTTAAACCTTCCTCTGAATCAAAGACATCTCTCTCCACACCTCCATCAGTCTTATTTGGTTCCATAGATGACATTTCCCATCTTGAATGCTCATCCTTTCCAGCATATTCATTCTCATAAAGATCAAACCAACTGGTGAGACCTTCCACTTCAATAATTACTGGCAAAATATCATGGCTCACGTAAGTTTCCTTGTTAATGACATTATGCAGATACTGAGTTGGTTTAAATAACGGAACAGGTTCCTAAGATTTTCCTGCTTTAGAATAATCCTAGTCTTAGATCCAACTTTCTGGGAAGTTAGGGGATGGCTTATAAATGGAGGGGATTGTATTTGGAGGACATGGAAGCTGCATTGACTAGGTTTGAAAGTGAGCCAATAAAAAATACACCACTTTTCTCAATTATTGCACTTCTTTGATTTAATGCCACAGCTCTCACTACCGGTATTTCTTCAACCAAGTTTCTGATAACTTAAAACAGAATTTAAAACCAAATCTCTACCAATATGACCCCAGATTGATATCAATTAGAAATAAATGTACAATTGCCTATGAACACATAATTCCTAGCCATAACCTGTAGTTCCATAACACTCTGCTATTTTTGTGTAACCAATTCTTAAAATAAATATGAAAAAATTCGGTTTAGGGCCTACAACAGGAATTTTTCAACACTGAATAATTATTTTTATCTGCATATCAATGATTCTTTCGGCAAGGAGAGATAAAAATAATTGTACTCTCATTTGCATTAGAATATTTACCTGATTCTTCCCATCCCTGACCTGAGTGTATTTCCTCATCACTACACTGTGGAGGGGCCATGTTTAATTTGCTGTCTCTATTCCACAAAGGGTTGCTTAGGGGTGATTGAGCTACCTCTTGAGTAATTGGTCCAGGATGTGTTGTTGATTGCTGGTTTGAAGTTACAGAAAGAATTGATTCTGAAGGTTTTGGTATAGCATTCGTATAAGGTGGTTTAAAAAGTGCATCATCCTGGTACTGACTTTCTCCATTCTCTACATTTAGGGCAGGAACATCACGACAAGGCACTGGGGTATCATCACGTAATGCTGACAGAGTATGGAAGGTTCTTTCTTCAGAATAGAGAACCCATGAAGACCTTGAAGTCACTGCTGGTAAACTACTTGCTCTGACGCCATCGGAGTTTAGACTAGGATCTGTTTTATCTTCCAGAGGAGGTGAAAAACTCTTTTCTGGGCAATCGTCTGGGGCAGTGCTTGTCTTCCAAGTTTCCTTTACATCATCTCCTGACTTGGATGGCAATTCTAACAGAACAGAAGGAAAACAGTAAGAACACTTGGATACTCGCTTTCTTAGAGGGAAATGGTGTTCGCTCCCTTTACCATTTCTCCACAAATGCTCAAAAACAAACTCAATATTGCGGTGCTATAATTCTACCTCTATCTCTCTTTAGAGAGGAATAAGAGTTCAGGCAACACTGCAACACTTTACATAATAAATGAAAGATCAAATTTTCCTCTCACAATTTAGGGTCAATATCAACTGAAGTTTCAAGCTATAAACTCAAGGACACAACTTCATTACCTATTAATACACGATGTTAAACACTGCAATGTGCGCTATTACCTTGTTACCTGATTATTACACATTGCAAATCGCTACCATGTGCATTTTCTGTGCTTACTTAATTACCCAATGAAAAACTCTGCTATGTACGTTTTCCTACAATACTTTTAACGCTTTATTACATGATTAATCAAAACTATAACAAAATTCTCGAATGTCATTGGTCATCACCACCCAAATAGAGCACTATGTAGGACAGTGTACACGTCATTCTTCTAGTTGGACAGTGTAATAGGACAGTTAAAGGGACAGTTGACACTTCATGCCTGTGTAAGTGGACAAAACGCGTCATGTGCGCGTGCTTTTTTCTCGCATTTCGCCGAGTTGATTGTTGTTGTTGTTGTTTTTCTGAAAACGTATAACCGATGACAATTTTTTTTCTTCAAATTTTGTCAAAATTTTGATTTATTGGTAACAGGATTGTGTGTCGTCCAATTCTGTCCGTAATCATACAAGTGACTGACAAAATCGGACGACCGATCGTGATTAACAAATTGGACTCCCACTTCACGGTCGTCCAATTTTGTTAATCACTCGTATGATTACAGACCGAACTGGACTCCACTCCGTCCTATTATTATTATGTAAAACATCATCATGTGCTTTTGCCAAAGTTATATTGTTACGGTAACAAAAAAACCTGATCTGCCTTTAAATAAAACCAGCAGGGAACACCTTATTTCAACTAATAGGTTGGAATTATGGAAATCAACAATCCTAACAAAGGCAGCATATGTCTTTCAAACAAGAAGTTGTCTCGAATCATCCCAGCTGGAATGTAAATGTTTGTGTGAAAAAGTTTGCAGATGACATTTTAAAAAAGTGTTAATATAAACCCTCATAGTAACACATAACACTTGCCTTTTCCATGTAAGTGATTTTTCTCTGGGTCTCAAGAGCAACTTTTTTCCTTAAGGACAACTGAGTCAATTATGAAACGGGGGAATCTATCAAATGAAAACTAAAATCACCAACCATTGGGAGTTTCACTCCAGTTATCTGGATCAGACAGTGAAGAGCTGTCATCTTCAGACAGCATATATGGAGAATTCTCAGTATCAGCAAAGTAGTTTTCTTCCCTCTCTTGAGGGCATGTCTGTTGATTGCCCTTAAAATTATCGGAAAAACCTGTGATAAAGAACAAATAACATCAATGAGTGGGCTTCGTGAGCCCTTAAGTCACACAAATTTTTTTTTTTAAATCATCATGAGGGGGTAACAGGAATAAGATGTAGAAAAATTAAGATCAAATCAACTTCGTAATTATCTATAACTAAGAAATAGTTAAATCCAAGGAAGAGCAAGCATGGAGTACCCACAAAAGATCACAAATAGGTAGAGTTCTTGGACTGCAAAAAGTGCATCACCTGTTCATTTAAAATCATTTCAACTAACCCAATTTTCTGCACAGCTTATCAACAGCATTTGAAAGTTTCAACCATATATCCGTATTAGAATGAACTGGGTGGAAGCTTTGCTCTGATAACCTGTAAATACCTCAATATTAGCAGGTATACAATGTATGTAATCAAACATGCAGCTTGTATGATGCTGGAGTGGAATGTAGTGCTGATAAGGGAAATCCAGAGTTAGTTTAAGTTATTTATCCTCACAGTCACTGTCTGTCTGCATGTCTAGCTTTCTTTTTAAAAGCAGAACTTTCAAATTTTGTTACATACTTGCAGGGCATGAAATTAATTTTTTTTTCTGATAGCCACTTCGCTCCTTAATTTTTCAAAATGGTAGCCAATTCAAAAAAAGTTGGTCACATTTTTTTTTAGACACACAAAACCTTTCTTTACGCTGTCAGCGTACTAGATAGACCCTCCAAAATTAAGTTAGGAAAGAGATGGTTAACATGCTTCAAAGTGGACACTAGGATGGATGATATTCAACATTCAAGCTCACCTAAATCCAAGATGGCGTCTAGTTATCGATTGATATGCATGTGCTGTGTTTTGGAAACAAACTTAACGAGGAAATTTGTCGTGGATTTATCTTTGCAAATCTTTTTAATTCACTATATCTCTAGGTAAGGTTATGATGAAGCATTCTAGTCGCCAGTTTGGCGACTAATTTTCAGGATTTGGTCGCCAAAGTGAAAAATTTAGTCGCATTGGCACCTGTGTTAGGCGCAATTTCACACCCTGACTTGTGTATCAATAAGAAAAGGTCCAAAATACTAAAAACTATGCTTTTCTATAGAGACCAAAATAATTTTGACTCTGAAACACTGATCTCTGAATACAATTTAATGGATTTACCATTTCACTATATCTTGAAAGTGTTGCGCCAGGTCTTCAAACTCGTCTTCCATGACAGTATTCGCCCCTGGTAAAGATCTGTCTTGACAACCATCATTCAGAGCACCTGTTGCTTGCCCTATCAATTCATATCAAGAGTACGGAACATTGAGGCACACTACTACAATGAATATGACCTCTCTTTACTATTCTCATCCTAAATAATCGAAACTTAAACAATCACTTAAATTATAAGTACAAGAGATGACTGTTGAAAAGCCAAAATGAATTTAAGGGCCAAGCTACATTATCAGCCACATTTTAGCCAACATGGCTGTAATAAACTCAACTTGCAATGTAAAGAGTTTACTGCTGTACTTTAGTACTGCTGATAGGCTCAGAAAGGAGCCATCTTTGTTGTCTTGTTGATATGAACATGCTCGTGGAAAATTGTTTGCGTAAATTTTCGTGTAAGAATGTTTTTTAGAATTGTAGCCAGCTACTAGGAAATTGCTCAGGCTTTGCCTGCTTATTTAGTCCATTAGAGCTAAAATAATTGTATCTGTGTATTGTTTGTAGGACTCCTTCATTGCTTTAGATCAGTAAACAAATCAAAACAAGGAGGTTGTTTCTTCACTATGGAAATGATAGCCTTCAAAGTGCCTATGTTAATAATGTGTGTAACATAATTTAGTCAGATTCACCTGAATTTTGCTTGGCGGATGAGCTCTGATTCACGAATGAGCTCTGATTGTACACTTGTTCTACCATCTTAGCAAACAGATTAGACACCCCTTCTGAGCCATGCTTCATTGCTTTAGAGACACATTTGTTTATCATGTCTTCATACTCAAAGTTGGTTTCACCCAAAAATTCATACGAGTATGCAAACACACGCACTTCAACCACACCTGGTTCTTGGGCAGCTGAATTTTAGAGATAGAAGACAGCTGTTACAATTAAGTGACAGCAGCTTTAACCCTGTATGACATCAAATATGTGACAAATACCTGATCCTGACCAGTACACTGTGATTCATAATAAAGCTCATAGATATTTTCCAGGCTCCACTTTTGACTGATCCTTTAATGACAATTTACATAAAATGTGCAAGGATCAGTTGATCACTCATATAAACCATAGATCATTTAAATCTGAATTTGATATTCAAAATTTATCTGAAAGTTTACAAAAACTTCTTCACAAAGGAAAAGGAATGTTTTTCTTCTTTCACAAACTGACACTCATTTTATTTGAATCATAAAAGAGTAGTGGAAGTCAAGGTAAAAATGTGACGTGCAAATAAACAATTTATGTCATATTCGTAACTTAACATTACAGATAGTTACCTGGAATTTTCCCTTCCAAGGTTAACTTGTTAAACTTTGTTAAAACTACCACCTCCTTTCCAAAATTGGCATATCCAGATTGAATTTGCTCTGGAAGTTCTTCTTTCAAAGATATCTGGAAATCCCCTCCACCCTGCACACGCAAAATTATGTTACATAACATCAGAGAGCTGTTTTAAAATTCATTGCATGATGCCAATGTACCACAAACAATCCTTTCCGGCTTCCAAAGTGCATTCTATAAAGCTCAGATTACTTTTTCATACCATAGAAACAAGAGGGAGATAAAGCAACCAAAACTAACCTCTAAAGGACCTGATGAAGGACAGATCTTACAAACCACTAGAAAAAGTAGGAAACATAACAAAATATAATTTTCACTGTCAAAAGAACGATACTATCACATTGAATGATAACTATTAACCAAGAAAAATTAGTTTACAGTCAACCATGCCTGAAAACAAGCACCCTAGGGAAGTTCCATGAATGCCCTGTATAGATAATCAAAATCAAATCTATATTCTTTATTCTGAGCCTTAAATGTATGTTTAACTTCATTAATTACAAAAATTTTAGACTGGAAACTGTAATATAGCAATTACATGTTACACTGTTAATATCCTGGATAGATGCTGTACTTTGTTCTCAGCAGAAAAAAAAAATAGAGGAACTTAAAATGCAAACTTACACCGTTCTTGTTCAACATTCTGGTTAGGTTCCTCAAAATTAATCTGGGGATGAGCTGTAAATTTTGCAACAATGAGACTGGTGAAGGACATGAACACAAAATTCAATTCATGCTTCATGGCATGTGATATTTCATTAATACCATTGGTGTGCCCATAAAGGTATTGATAACCCACTAAGGAGAAAACGTGCATGAACAGAGCTGACTAGTGGAATAAATGTGCAAGAAAAATGTTTAAGGGAAGTTTTGAAGAATTCGGATTTCATTATAGCATTTTTTAGTCCACTCATGGTTAGAACAAATTGACCAGCAAAGTTTCAATAAAATCACCATGCCCTTTACTAAAAGTTTTAAGAAGTGCTAAGAAATACAATTATGTTAAATAACAAATATGAACATGGGGTCAAATTCGCCTTTTTTCTGAAAGGACACTGGTACAACTGTCACTTGCAAATATCAGGAAAATGGCTAGATTTCAAGCAAATATCAATCAAAATAGGTTGTTCCTTCCCAACAAATTACACCATCATGAAGGATCAGTTTTTAAATATGTTATTCAGAAGATGATTGATATGGCAAAACTGCCTCAGGCTCGAAACTGCCTCAAGCTGCTGACGGACAGGATTTGGCACCATGTGACAACTTTGTACAAGTACACTTATGGGAAACACATTTTAGCATAGTTTAAGAATGAAGTACTATATGACAATAAAATAAACACCAGATTTTCTTCCCTTGATAAATGATCCCTTGCTTTGGAAACCTACAGGTACTGATGAAGTTATCCATTTTTTTTTTTTGGGGAAATTACTTGTTTGCTTAATTTTTACAGAATGTTTTAAATTTGACTCTTGAATGTAGTCTTATTAATACTGATCTAAAACTTGATTGGTTGAGATGTTCTTCATTCTTATGAAGCTGTAAATTACCTTGTAACACGGTGCAAAATCCTATCTTATAGCTGTTGATCTTATATTTCACTCTAACTAAAATCTCTTTTTTCTCCAAATCAGTTCCCAACAGTCGCATTTTCAGTTCAAAATTGAATTTTATGTAGTGAACAACTTCATTTGTGTGCCAACTGTAACAATGAATGTAGTTGATTAATTACTTTTATTAATTATATAGGTGATACATAGCAGTTGAATCTTTTTAACCAACAGCAGATTTAATACTGAATTTCATAACTCCAATGAACTTTTAGTTTTCATAATGGAATGATTATCATTGAAACTGCAAGCTCACACTGTTCTTAATTGTTCAACAATGTGGTTGGGTTTATCAACTTCTGCATGTGGGAATGAGCTATAAATGCTATAAACAAATATTAGACTGGTAAGGGACAAGAAAGCAAAATTTAATTTAAACTTCAGGGCATGTGAAATTTCATTAATATCATTGGTGCACCCACAAAGGTACTGAGTAAACCCACTAGGAAGAAAATATGTTTGAGCAGAGCTGACTAGTGGAATAAATATGTAAGAAAAGTGTTACAGGAAATGTTATGACAAAATGGGATGTCATCAGACCATTCTTTGGTCCATGCACTCCTGGGTAGTAAAATTTGAATCCCCAGCACAGTTTCAAGAAAATTCCCCATACCCTTTAAAAAAATTTCTATGAGGCTAAGAAATAAAAACAACTTTAAATGGACAATTATGAACATAGGGTTCAATTTAACTTTTTTTCCAAAATATACATTGATACATGTACCATTTTCATTTGCAAATATCAGGAAAATGGATTTACCCATCCAATAAGTTATTTAACCCCTTAACTTCCAGAGGAGATTAACATGCAACTTCTCCCTATAAAATCCAAACATTATCCTGCAAACAGGTAATGAGAATACTCAAACTTACATTATCAGGCAGAACTTATTATCTTGACCTAACACCAAATTCTCATACTAATCTACAATGAGATGTTTACCAGCTAGAGGGGAGAATTAACGATCTTATCTTGGGAGTAAAAGGGCTAAAAATTACACTGTGCATGGCTTACAAATTTGTTGTGCAACATCTTGGTTGGTCTCTTCAACCTCTGCATTGTTTTGACCTGCAAAAACAGGCATAGATAATGTATGGCTAGCAACATGAAGCATTACATGATAATTGTTACAGGGAATTTTATTACAAAATGGGATGTCATCAGACCATGTTTTAGTCCATTCCTGGCTAGTGAAAACCAAATTGCAGTTTATCGCAGTAATGCTTAAGAATTTTTTGGTTGTTATGCTGAAGTTATGCTCAATGCTTGGACTACAGCATCACGCCCAAAATTATGCTGGCGTAATTTATCTGTAATTTATCTGTGTTTCACGGTTTATCTCCTTTCTTTCAAACTAACAGCTAAACAGATATTTACAAACCCAAAACACAGCATTGCAAAATTTTTGACAGAACTAAAGCTATTGATCCACATGTTTAATTAAACATACCTCATTTCAATACCTGTTCTGTAACTTATACTTACTGGGTGGAAGCTCAAGAGCATTCATAGCACTGGTTGAATTTTCAGTCCCTCCATCAAAAGGGAAGAACAGCTGAAACCATGCAAAACAAACAATCTGAAGCCATGGTAGTAAATTTGGTGTCCAAAGAAAAAAAGATTGACTACATTCATATTTTATTAATTTCTTTCTATTCTATATTATGCCAAACTAAATACCATCTTTTCTGCTCTTCAGAATTTAATTTTCTCCTATCGTGTTTATTACTTCCTCTGTAACATCAAAGAAACACAAGGCACCTGTTTTGAAATTTAGCCCTCCTGCTACAATCACCTTGTGAGAGGTGGCTATAGTGAGATATGGCCCAATCCACTATTAATCAGAGCACTGGCATCTCTTATACTAAGCATATATACATACATATATATATAATTATTTTTATATATTTATATATCAATAAATACACCCCTTTTCAAAAACATTGTAATTTAAAAATACATATCAAATACATGTACACTCACAATGGTCGCATTGTCTATTGCCAGCACCTTATTAATATTTCACAGTGTGGAAGAGCTTCATTGCCAAGTTCTGTGGCACTATTATTTACAATTTTCTTTTTATTTCGCAATTCCTCTTTCATCTTGAACAGTTTTCAGTTTCCCTTGTTTTCTTTATGCAGTCAGAAAGGAATACTGGTTGGGAGAATGTCATCAATAACCTTGTTTGTTAGCACATAATTGTCTGCAAAACAAGACTGGCACATCACAGCAATTAGCAATCAAAGCGTTTGATAATTTGCAAAAGGTAAAAATTATCTTCATAGAATCACTACATTTCTAAGAAACATTCTCTAATGTTACAGAAATAAGCTTCAAAGGTCAAGTTTTTTGTTTCAGAATAGATAATTATCACAGAATAATGCAATTGCAGTGCTCATAGTTCTGGGTTGTTGCAAAAACAAAGACCCCCAAAACCTAAGACCTTAAAGACTTGAAAACCAAGTCCCCTTAATTTTCTTTACTTATTACCATCTTGTTATGGTTTCTCACCTGAAATATCAAGTTCCAGTTTCAATCTTTCCAATAATGATAAAGTATACAATCAAACACCAGTTGACAGAGGGTTCCAAAAACCTACCCCTCCCAGCCGTGAGCTATAGACACCAATTTTTAAATAAAAAAATAAACCCTGAAAACAAAGACCCAAAAATGAAGCCTCAAAAAGGAAGACGCATATACTAAGACACCATGCAAAGCAAAAACCTGAAAATAAAGACCCATATATTGTTTATCGATATTAATAAAAGAAGTGATCAAACACATATTTCATTTCCTCCCCCCATCCCACAAACTCAGTGCCCAAAAGAAATGTGTAATTCAGAATTCTGCATGAAAAAATTCTCTCCAAACCTTCCTCCACTGATGCGCTTTTTCACGTGGGCCTCACTGCATTCAAACTGAAAAATTTTGAAGGGCACTAGTTTTTATGAAAAATAAATAAGAAGGCTACAAATAGTAAAAAGTAAAGACAAAAAAGCAAATTCTGGTTTAGCACAATGTGATTGTTGGCAACGATCATGTTGCCTTACACTGTGAACAGAGAGGTTTTCAATGTTTTAACTGGTTTTCTTTGGTGGAGCCACAAAGGGTGACACAAACTTCCTGTCTCAAGATCATGAGGGGGTCTTCTTTCTCCCCCCCCTCCCTCCATGAGCTGCCAGTCTGCAGGTTGGCTTGAAGGCAGGTGATACCCCTCTTCAAGTAAAAACCTAGCCATCAGCTGTTTGCAATGTCAATTGAACCATGCTTTTGACACTCAATCACATTCCAGCCCTGGAGTTTTAGCCCAATGGCTGAGGTGTGAAAACACACAAGCCTGAATACTTATCCTCCAAAACCACCACCAAGATGAGTAGGACAAGCCCCTTCTGGCCCCAGAGCAATTTGAAATTTCAGTTGACAGAGGGTTCCAAAAACCTACCAATCGCAGCTGCGAGCTATAGACACCCATCCTTGAATAGGCCAATGGCTGGTCTGCATACATGCATGCCAGTGCTAACCTTCAAGATAAGGCCTCCCCTACACTTTCATTGGCTAAGCTGGCTTGAAGGCAGACAATGCATGCCTTAAACTGGAAAATCTAGTTAAGGCACATGTTTGCAATGTCAGTAGAACCCCCCTTCCAAATCCGATGCTTTTGACACTCGACCAACCTCCAGCTATTTAGTCTTAGCCCACTGACTGAGCAGTAGCAGGGTATAAACCTGACAATCAGTCAGGCAAAACAGCACATTGTCAATGTGAGCTAAGAAGCTTCTTTCAACAACAGGCAAACTAGTTCAAAACCTACCCTGCCCACCCCTGTGCTTTAGAGAAACAGCTCCCTTCATTTTCATTGATCAGGCAGATACATGTATGTTTAACATTGAAGGAAAACAACCTTTATCCCTATTATTTATTATCCCTATTATTTATTCTGTCAACACCTTTTTAAAGGAAAAACAAAAGGTACATATATTTTGTATATATTTCCAAATTTCAACATTTTTGAAAATGGGTGTATAAACATGTATATATTTATGTAAAAAGAATGCAGTACTCTCAGTGAGCTTTCTATAATTTGATGCAAAATGACATAACTATTGTAGTGGTAATTAATTTTTGCACATACCTGAATATTATCATTTGATCTATATCTATCAGGTTCCGGAGAACTGGTTCTAATAATACTACTGAGGAATGGAGCTCCATTTTTTGAAGTGACTTAGAAAGAAAAAGACAAATAGGAATTTCCAACTATGTTCACACGTTTGTAAGCAAGTGAACTTTTCAACAATTAATATCAATTGAGACATAATGAGAAATGCAACTAATTCCAAGATCAAAATGTCTGTGAGCCACTTAACTCAGAAAATGTATTGTGAAAGAGTGATGAGGTGGGCAACTGATACAAGTTAATTGGAATCAATTGGTCACTGGGTTCAGTGCTGGGGAATTATTTTTTGAGTTCTTTCTGGAACTATATGTTGCAAAATGGGGGGTTCAGGCACAAACCCAACACTGTGAATTGCTTCAATTGTTTGGCTGTGGGAACAGTTTAAGTTTTTTGCTGTTTGATTGAAGTCAGTTATCTTATGAAACCATTGGTGGCTAAATTGGTCAGTGACACTTTTGCAGATGAAAATAATCCTGTGCTTTTTTGAGATAAAAGAAAACTCATTGAATTCACTGCATCATTCCTTAAAATGCAATCAGTCAAAAACACATGTGTTCACATTAACTGTTTTCTTTTTTTTCCAAGGCAGAAAACTGATAGGGATTTGTACTCTCATGTTATCAGATATAAGCAAGAGAAGCCCTGTAGACATATGATCATAGCCATACAGTGCAAATATTATAGAACTGTGAGTCAAAATGTGACATAGGAAGATAAAGAAAGATTTGGATGTCAACTTCTATATTTCAAGAATTTTCAAAACTGTGTTGTCTTGCAAACAGCTGCCCTCTTTTAAACTTCCACTGAACTAGAGAAAGATGTTTTTGTCTTATCAGGAGTGTGGGACAAAGAAAAAATTATGAGTCCCCATGAGGAATAGAGGAAGGAACTTTATAATAGACCTCACTCAATGTAGAGTCTCTGTGGTTCAATGGTAAAGCATCAGAGTGCAGAATCTGAAGTTCTGAGGTTCTATTCCTCATGGGGTCTCAGAATTTTTTCTTTGTCCCACGCTTGTGAGAGGACAGAACACATCCTTCTCTATTTCTTTACTGAGCTCAAAACTAACCATCTCTCTTGATCTATTTCCATTAAACTAGCTGACCATTGAGAGCACACAAAGACTACGAAACCCTTATGCACTGGTCAGTGGATTCACTTAAATAAGTTACATTAACAGGAAGTGATGGAGGGAGTGACCAAAGGAGTGACATTCAAAGTCCTACCAAAACTCAAAAAATTAACTCATTTCCAGAGTAATATTGATCGAAAAATTCTAAAAAAAGTCATCATTACCTTGAGAATTGTTGCATGTTTCAACACCTGAGTCACTACGGTCTTCTGATAAAGATTCCTTGGTAAAGAACAAATTCAACATATTCAGCATAGTTTGAAATAAAGTCCCTATTGCTTGCTCAGTATGTGCTAGGTGCTAGAGGTAAAAATAAGAAATAAATGTGGATAACATGCATACTTTATGGTCTAAAATGAACTGAAAGAGGGAAAGCACAAAAATAGCTCTCTCCATGAGACGGCTGAAAAACTCCATAAAAATTTACTTATTTACTTCACTTCATTTTGGAATGTTTAAGTATTTGGAAAGAAAGGGTCAACTAAATTGCTTTTAAAACTTCTGGAAAAAAAACAGGAACTGTAAGGTGGAATTACGGTCAAGTTGCTGATGGTTCAACTTGCCAACACCAACATGCCGGTGTATAAAGTCGAGTAGAGACATCAGTGAGTTGGTCTTCAATCCAGTACAACTTATTAGAAGTTAAACTTGTTCACGTCTCAAGCTTTTTTGGTCATTGGCGATGCTCAACTTGCTTTATTCACCTTGAGATCCTTATAAACTTTGTTGA